GATTGCTGGTCAAAACGGTAAGTAGACATGTCGATGGCGCGAAGCGTAAGAGACCAACAAACGAAGCCGAAACTGGCGCGCGGGTCACAACATCACACAGCGGTCACAAGATCATACAGGGGTACAGGGGACAACACAGGCTCCTTCTGCCTTGCTTTTGCTTACCGTACTAGACAGGTGCCGCTGGCACCTTATTCATCTATATTCCAATTCAAGAATGAGGACCTTGGAAAGCAATCTCTGCACAACTCGCAGGCCTTGAGAAAAGCCGGCACACATATAGTCAGACACCGACGATCTTGTTGAGCAGTTTCTCCTTTAATTGCAAGCTACACTTGCGATAATTACATTTCTTCCTATAACTACAGTGCTCCATCATATACAGTCATTGCTGAGTGTTTTCTGTGAATATATATCCGGCCTTCCTTTCCATGGGATATCCCAATCAGGTTGATTATTGACCGCACCTCTTGTACAACTATTTGATCACTTTGCTCTCCCCATATTGAAACACCATCAAATGGAAGGCCATCCAAGTTGATGAAAGGGTGATAAACCACAAGCAAAGAGTTTCGGTCTGTATCTTGATAGAAGGCCAGTGCTTCTCCAAACACCAATTCTGTCCTAGTGGCACCATGCTTGTAGGCCTACAACTTATGTTAATCCTGAACATGTTATGCATAAATCAGCAACTCACCTCAAAGTATCTGGATGATCGAGTAACTTTCCTCCCAATCTTTGATTCATTAAGACGGCTGCGCAGGTAATCACCACTCTGCAGAGGCACTTTTCCAAACCTCTCCAGCCAATCTGCATCTCCATTGTAGGGTATGTTCAACCATTGACAAATTGCCTTTAAATGTTGGACAAATGATGAGAATGGATCATTTCTCTCCTTTCTCTTGATAGGAGCTTTGCCTACTGGCACCCTTGGTTTTGCAGGCTCAGGAGACATATGAAGAGATGGGTAATAGAATAGAAGATTTTTAACTAACTGTTCTTCATAGATCTTATTGGCCAAGTTCACAAATGGCTCCTTTCTGGACCTGATTTTTCGTTCCAGAACACCAATGTGTCTTTCAAGGGTCCCCTGAGAGCCAATACGATAAGAACCATTCCAGCGAATGTGATCTGGTATATACAGTAGGTGAAACATGGAAAGGCGCATTCTTGATGCCTTTGTAGAGTCAACACCAACATATATTTCCTGAAACTCATGCAAGAATTTGACAATTTCGGTGCGGATCATTTCCAGATCATCTTCAGTTCTTCCAGTGATCTCCATAGCAAAATTCACTATCCGGACAAAACGTGCGAAATTGTAAATGACAGCCAGGGGCATTTCAAGTTCGATGAGAATAGGAATTGTAAGCCAATGGCACAAAGCCTTCCATTCAAACATCTTGTATTGAGTATTTCTTTTGAGATGTGGGTCACGAACAGGTCCTGTGAATGAAGATGGTATTGTGGCCATGGCCCTTGTGACACGCTGTCCAAATAATTCTGCTCTAGCAGTCGATAGATGTGGAATTTCATCAGGGCCTGTAATTGAAGTCCACAAATCCCAGAAGTTGGCCATATTGTTCTCATACAACAGATGGAATGGATCGGAGAAGAAGAAATTTGGCCAAGCAAACGTTTTGAATGCTGCCAACAACGGAAGTCTAACAATTCCATATTTTTCTGTAATAAGCTTCCTCTCCTTCTCAGTCCTTGCAGATTCAAGTTGGGTAATCACATTCCAATACTCCTGTTGTGTAAACTCTGGCAGATTATTAAGATCATAATCAGGCCTGCCTGGGTTGAACTTTTTTGCTCCCTCTGGTACAGTAATACACCAGTAGATGCGCTTGCAGCCCTTAACATCAGATCTCATTCCAGTCAACTTCAAGTTGAAGAAATTTCCATGAAGAGAATTGATCCCAAGATGGCCATTGTCTTTATTTTGACCAGGCTGATCTGCACTTTGACCAGCAACACCTGCACGGTGCATGATATAAGATGACCTAATGGCATCCCAGATCCAAATACCTTCACCCATTTGCAGTAGTTCCTCTATGACAGGATACATAAATGTGCTCAGATTTCCTGGAGGCTCTGGGCCCAGTGTTGCAAAGACAGTTATGACATTCTCAGCAAGATACCGTATCTCAGGTGGCAAGTTAAGGAGAATCAAAATAAGAAACCAGCAATCAGATTGTTTCTTGAGTGTGAGCATAGCCCCATCAATTGACATGATGTAAAGCATATCACATTCATCTTGGAAGAGTCCTAATTTTCTGATATGATCCATGTGCGTTTTGCTATTGGCATAATCTGAGTATTTCACTTTTGCCCCCTCATTGAATAGTTTAATGGCAGCTTTGACAAGATTGTCTCTATAGCGCAACAGTCTTGATTGTTCTTTATTGGCAAACATCGCCTGGATGATGGGAGCTATTGGTAAAACCATAAACTGTGCTGCTGGCTTCTCAGTACCAGGCAGATATCGATCTCTGCCACAGGCAACAGGAGCCCCCTTTTTTGGTTTACGCAGGAAGTCACAAACATGTTTGTCTTTGTGATCCCCTGTAAATGCTATACATTTTCCAGGGCATATTGAAATGTATTTTGGCATAAAGTTTGTGAGTTTTTGAGCCAGTCTGCGGCACCGCTCAATACTCATTATTGGCTCATCTTCTCGGGCTGAGAATAACTCAGAGTATCTTTCATGAGCACGTCTAGTGGTGTTTGTTTGTTGAAACACCACCCAATGACTAAGGCTATAATTCTGAAGTTTGGTCAATGCAATTGGGCGTAGACCAACTTCAGGAGGCTCGGGCTCAGGCTTATAGCCATTCAAAATTTTTTCGCGGAGAGCCTGTTGGGACTCAGGAAGTGGGAACTGTGCCTCAACTTCAAATTCATAATTATTGTCTCTATCTTCAAAGTCCCAGTCTGAATTGGCATCATTTGCAGACGGTGAGCCAGAATTATCATCCGTAGCAGCACTATGGGCTGAGTCATAATCATCTGCAGATGCAGGATAATCTGGCGATGAGAGCACACTTTCATCGGAAGATGCAAAATCATCATCATCAGAAGGCAGGTCGTGCGGCTGCCATTGATCAAATTTCTCTGAGTCCTGGTAGTAGGGATCCAGTTCAGCTGGAAGTTCCTCGGTCTCTATCTGTATAAGTAACAGACTAGTTAGGGGATGATAATAACTGTCAACCAGACGCCGACACTTACTTGATCAAGAAATGGCATTGAGGTATTGGTGACGTCAATGCCATTTAGAACCTCTGGTTTCTCTAATAATATAGTAGATGTAGATTAGAATCAATAAACAAGGTAACATAGTGATATACTCACCCTGATCTGACTGATTCTTGCCGTCGTCATCTAGAAAGAAATGTGAGAAACTCATTTCAAGAAAAATGTATCACCACTGGCAGAAGATACAACAGTGATAACCGGTGATACTCACCTACTGTCGTATCTATCCTGTGGGTCAGTATATTGTGCGAAGGATTCGGCCTCATCTGCTTACCCAGAAAGGACACAGGACCGCCGGTGTCATCCACATCCATGGCTACAGTAGCATACAGTAAGTTATAATACCAAACTGATAAGCTATCAATGTATACCATCGTCATTTGTATTTTGCACAACTAACAAAAAATCAATTATTTAATGACTGCGCACGCAATCAAAAGTATCACCCACCGCGCTGTTTTGATCCCGCAAGCAGCTCCTCATTTGCCTCGATACAACGTTGAATGAATTGAAGGGTTGTTGGATGATGCGAATATTTCTGAAGCAATTCTCTGTCTTGCCTGAGATGTGCTTGTATTGTTCTCCTCACGCGGGCTCTCTTGCTGAACCCGTAGCAGTTCGAGCAACAGCAATACATGGCGGTACGAGTGGAAGAGTGACTTGATGATAATGGAAAGAACACGCACCGTTCAACACATATTGTTGTCATCTCACGCATAGATAGGCGCCTTACTTTACTTCCCGCGGCGCCCTACTTTACTTCCCGCGTCGTCTAATGCTCATTGGCTATTCTCACCTTTGCCTCAAGTTGAAGCCTTCGAAATCGCACGAATGCTTCTCGTGTCCATGACCCCTGCCTTAGTATCATACGCCTCAAAAGACCCCATTCACACGGCGATTCACGGGAGACAACAACGCAATCGAAGTTACTCTGTGTACATATCACTGTCCAACTTACATCCACCCCTTGTGAGCGCAATCCTTCTCCAACTCCTCAAACTAGCGATTTCTCTCTCCAAATCACGCTGTAACAGCCCTCCAGCAACAAGGACTCAAGGCTGTCTCCTTGCCATCATGATCTTCATCTATCGCCTGATCATCAAAGCTGTTGAACGTTTCTGGCAGTTCCGACCCATCATTCCACCTGTCAATTCCCTCAGAATACCAGCGAGCGACTGATCCCTGGTCCCCCGGTCCGAACGCCATCGAAATAGTTTTGCGTGTAGTACCAATGTCCAACTTCCCTCCCCCACTCCCCAACCCCACGCAAACTCCCCTCCCGACTCCTTCTTCAACGTCCCGAAAACTAAGCCTCGACTTACAGCCGTCGAAATGAAGGAATTCGCATTCCATTCGTTATCAGCCTGAAAACCCCCGTCCTTACGTTTGCCTCACCACAATCGCCATTCCTATAATCCCAGCTCCTTTTCTTTTCTCGGCCTTCTACTACAATCTCAACTCTCTCAAATATCGAATGTACGCCGTAACAACCTCATTCGCCCACCGGGCCCCCCCTGCAACATGGACTCGAGTCAGGTGGCAGCCTTATTCTGCCCTTTCCTCCTCCTCTTCTTCAAACGCCTCATCATCATCATTGAATGTCTCTTGCCGTTCCCCGTCGTCCTCTTATTTAAATACCCCTGCTTCCTCTGTATCAAGCCCTCCATCTGTCAACACTCCCAACGACCCACGCCACGCCACCCCTTCCCTATCCCACAGCTTAAAAGAGCATCAGTCACGCGATGCAAACAAACAGCAGTACGCTCTAAGCCTTGTTGGTAAGAGTCTCACCGTCTGACACAGCGGTCGGATATCTTAACTATTCCCCATCAGACCAAGCCGTAAAGGCATTGTCCGACATATGGCACCCCCAAGATATCCCTTCTGTCTTCCTGACGTCCTCCAGAGCGACCGTACCCCCAACCCCGCCCCCGCTTCAGACGCCATCGACACTACTTCGCGACACATGTCGCCGCAACGTCCAACTTCCATCCCCCATATCCCCCTCCACTCGCAAACCCCCTCTACCCCTCGACTCCTCCTCCGACGTCTCAGAAATCAGACGACAACCGTATCACCGACACTTCTGCTAGCGCCAACACTCAGCATGGCTTGGTGCCAATCAACGGGTTTGTCCACGAGGTTCTCAAGCGATCGCGGACGTCTGTCTGCGTGCTACAGACCGCCCTCTGTTACCTCGAGGCCATTCGATCGAAAACCCCCGAGCTAGTATGACAGGAAGCCCTTGGTGAAGGGATTTTTCGTTAACCTGAAACCCAGAGCAGAGTTATTTCCGCCAGCCACCTTGATCACGACACCGACTACGAGTACCTTCAAGATTCAACTTCTCGGAAAGAAGGTCTCCCATCCCATCCCTCCCCTCCCGCCGATGGTGCCATTGCCACCTGCAGCGAGCTTTCCTGGCCTCTTAGATCCTTGCTTCAAAGTTTACTCAAGGTAGATCAGGGCATGGTTTATTGAGTGCATCGTGTTAGGGACTTCATTCACATAGCGCTATCTAACTACGTATCCATCAAATCCAGACACCTTTCCTCCTGTTCAAAGCCTCCACTATCAGAACGAGGACTTCGTTACTGTGTACACGTGATGTTCCCCACCTTGTTCGCTTACTTGCCGTACGTTCGCTTACTTGCCGTACACGCTCGCTTCAGAATTCAAACACACACGCTTGCTCGCTTCAAAAAACTCGCGCTCTTCAAACACACTCGCTCGCGTCAAACGACACATGTTCTACTCGTTAGCTGGAGCACCGATGTACGTCCTACGCCATGCTATCTACAGCTGACCTCACCTGATTCTACAGGTGAGTACTTATACAGCAGATCTACCATTGCCTCACCCGGTCTTTCCTTCCCGCCATGGCCCCTGCTACGCATGAACTCATATTTCTCACCAACGCTGCCGCTTCCAACGTCCGAGGGCGCCCAGACCGGGACTCAACCTGGTTGGGCATTCCGTCGGTCAACGTGTACGGCGAAGTCACAATCAAGAAGGAGTATAACGCATCGTTCTCTGTCGTAATACTCAAAGAAGGTGTTGTGAGTACATCCGTACCTGACTCTGGTACATATTTACTGATATCCGTAGCCCACGGCGACCGTCCTTGGCGCCACTTGTGTACGGACAGTGATCGACATCGGAATGTATGAAGAAGGTTATTACGCGGACAGCCTTTTTCTCCAGAACCCCGCTACGATTCGCATCTCCTCCCCTGACGGCGTGAAGAAAGTAATTGGTAAGAAAAATCCTTTGGCTTCATTTATACGCTAGCTAATGAATTGTTAAGCCGCGGGAGGCCTCATACAAGCAAGAGACGCACAAACACTTATCGTCCACGCTGACGGCATCTTATGTGCACGACGCAAGAAGGAATCCAGAAGTCAGACGCTGCGAGTGAGTGCTTAATTGACATGTCTTTTAGCATTTAATTTAATTACAGCTAACTATGTACAGGAACTCCGGCAGCTTCTTGAAGGTGCTATGAGTACGCTAGATAGCTTGGAAACCAGTGACCATGAGAAGGCGCTTGCGAAGCAGGTCGGCGAGTCCATGTTTGCAGCCTTCGCCGACGCCGCCATGAAATGAACTTCGTCGATTACTTGTTGTCTACTCGTTCTTTACATAATATATCATGTGTTTGTCGCACACAGTCAACCTCAGTCAGATTTTTGAGCGACCGATGAGTACCCTGAACTGACTTAAAAATACATGAAACTTTGCTTAGAGATTCCGCAAGATACTCCAAAAGGCAAGTGCTGTTTTTTTTACTTAGAGCTTACCGAAACTGACTAATCGCGACTACAGGGAACCTTTCGGTGATACTGACTGACTTAGGTAAAATACTGAGCACGCGTCATTCAGACCCAGCAGCGCAGCCGTGTGCCGCCATATGCATTCGGCCGCTCGCTCGGCAACACATGGATCTGCAAAACAAGGGGCAAATAGGAGCTTCTTTGTCACGCAAAATGTTGCTGGTTTTCCTGTGCATGAACCAGTAGGTACGAGTGCAAGGGACTCTAGATTCAGACTCTAGCGCTACTATACTAGCTAAGAAAAAAATCAGAAGTCTGTGGGATTGTTATTACTTCCACAGCATTCAAGTCAAATTTGAAATGACTATTTGCACGTCACATTTTGCCCGCGGAAATGGGCTTGCAACTTCTCAAATGCCTTGAGATTTTTACAGTAGCTCAATGAAGTCTATTTCTCAAACATACTTCATGTCCGAGCATAGGACATGGAATCTACAACAACTTAAAATTGGTTTTGCATATCTATGTGTGTTTGCACTACAGTACACGTGATAGTATGTACTCGTGGAATTTTTGACGAAACACAAGAGAGTCTGGTCCAAAGTTCGTTTCGGGCCATTTTGAATTTTCCGCTTTGGGACCAATGCTGAAGGAAAATCAGCACATTCCCGCCCGGGCATTTTCTCAACATCCCCTTGTCCAGTTATCAATCTGCTACAGCTACTTTCTGTCGCTTGGTGCTCCTAGCCATATCGGGATCCACGGCACGACCAAGTGGGGAACTTGAAGTGATTTCTGCTACATGGGGAAGTAGGAACGGGCGAAAACTTCAGCTCATCCTACGAGTATGCCAGAGACTCTTGGACAGGGTACCGAAGATGGCCAATTAGGGTGGCCAATACTAGGCGGATACGGAATGGCCACTGACCCTGTGCTGCCGAGTTGTCGCGTCTCCGACCTATTGTCCTCGAAATTTGGCACAAACACACAAACTTCAGCTGCCCGCGTTCAGGCCTTCAAGTTTTCGGTACATCCCTCGGCCATCGGAGAGCTCCAACTGCTCGCACGAATCAATTTGGCACATACAGGCTCTCGTGCTAATGGGATACCACTGAAGTTCTAGTTCACGCCTTATCCTAGGACAAGAGAAATTGCTGCCTATCATCGCCCCCTATTTGTGGTCATTCTAGCCCCGCAAAGAATGTGTGGCCAATTAATGTGGCCATCTCGTCGCATCGCCTGTGTGGCACTATGTTCGGGTCAACATATATAATAAATGTCGATGAATCAAACTGGTGTTCATCACCCCCAACATCAAACCTTCAGCGCAAAATGTCGGACCTTGTGCGCGACTCATCGTTCTGCGTCACCAAAAGGACGTGGACTCTCAAGGCTTCCGCGCCAACGAGCATCAGGCGTCTCTATGTACCGTTGAAGAATTTCACCGCAGAGGATCTCCCGGGTCTTGTCGCCAACTTCGAGCGCAACGGCATACAAGGGTTTCCTCCAGCTTCTGATAGCCGGGCGCTCTCGAGCTTCAGTAGCTCTCGTGCATCGTTTTCTGATTTCTTGAATGGCCGGCTGCCTCTCTCTCAACGCGCCCAACAACCTCAGCGTCTGGGCCAATATATCAGCAGAGGTCACTGGATCTTTCAGTATCTTCACGCAAATCAGGACGAAGAAGGCGAATTTGACTGGTGCGACTTCAGGGAACGGAGGGCTTCGTCTGTCTTTTCCAGGGAGAGTACACCGAGACAAGCGTATCCTTACAACCCCATGGTGGTTTCGGACGCGGACGGCTATCTCCCTCAGCGAGGAACTTCGCTGTCAAGAGAAGCGTCCCTTACTCAAATCGCTGCTGCTTCACGCGCGCCCACCCCTCTTCGTCATGCCACCCTGGAGATCGCACAAGTCCCGGCACGTAGGCCGTCAATGGATGCCACGCACCAGCCAGCCACAGCGACTTCTACACACGACGACCTCACCGCAGGACCTTCAATCGCCGATCCTGCCGAGGGTCGCCGTTATCCAGCTCGAGATCGCCGTCCTCCCAAGCCTCGCTACGACCCCGTTATCCCTGCCAGGCGGTCCACTAAATCGACCTCCCGACGTAGCTCGCCAGTGAAAGCAAGTTTAACTAAGATTAAGGAGGCCGATCTTGCCTGCCATAGGTGCTCCAAAGACTTCAAAACGGAATCTATTCTTCGTAAGCATATGCAGTCGTGCGGCCTACCTTCAGCAGGCAACTAGGACCTTTGAAACACACTTTCCTCTCGCTCCCGGTCTCATAATCTCCGCCCATTTTCTTACTGCTCGCTCGTTTGTATTTATTTCGCCTCGTTCTCAAGCTCTGTTAGCATCTACTCAACTCCACGCTCATTTTGGTCTACTCTCCCCCTTACATATTTGCATGTCCTTGAACATATTGCTCGCAATCATTTATTCTCTAACGAAGTTGTCCATAGGCTGTTTCCTTAGCAAGCTGCCATTGAATATATGCACGGTGTCCCTTACTCGCTAACTTAGATAGGCGCTGGGCGTCGGGCCTTCGGATGATCTGCCGCCGCCACGGTTTGTGCTACAGACCGTACAGTTTGGCCAGCAGTTTGTTTATTCCGACTCCAATCTCAGAACAGACCAGGATTCAACCGAACGTCCAAAATTGCGGCGCCGGCGATTAGCAGCCTAATCTTCAACTCGTCTGGGGCTCATCATGATACGAAGGTACCGAAGATCAGCCAAACTTGCTCACAGTCGGGCTTCATTTCGCCTGATGCTTCTTCCGAACAAAGCTCTCCCGACATCAACTGGACTCTCGCAGAAGGGTAGTGCTACATCGACGCCTTCCTAATCCCGGTTGATACTCTTACTCTGAGGTTGGGATTCCTGCGATGGGAACGGTGGTCTACCCGCAAAACCCACCGTTTGCTGCCCTACATGCCACAATTCATGTTTCTCGTCATTCGAAATCACCACATCGCACCATGGGTACTGTTGGGGTCTACCCCAACATTGATCTTAATGTGGATACCACCGACGCGAAGAGACGCGAACGCTGTAATTTTGCGCCGAACATATATACTTATGGGTAAACCCGGTGACTCACAGCGACAGCGTGTACTGATACCGCGAACGCACCGCGCTCTAAATGTGAATGCTTTACTCCGTAAATTAATCATATGCCTTACCAAATTGACAGAAATTGACTCGCCGAGTCGGACCGGAAGGCCAAGCCAGACGTGGATTTCGACGCTTTCAATCACCGAACAACGAAGGCCGCCGCATTGCTCGCGTCTGCGTCGCGTACAGACGCGTCGATCAGATGGTATAGACCAACAGTGCGAGCTATATGCAAGCAGAATTCGGGCAGAACGTGTGGTGACATTGTTTACGAAAGCAGTTGTCTGGCAGGGCCGCTGGTGGCGGGTCCTCCAAAGTCGCGGGCGCCTTCCAAGGTGATCTGTTTCACGATCACGGCGTTCATGGTTAAACGTAACTTTTGGGCTTTTAGCCGAGATAGGCTCAGATATCATGGTTCTGCCACGCTGCAGCAAGGTCGAAGGTGACTTCCATCGTCTCATGCAATACGCGCTGGCCTTGCCTATCGAACTGCAAAGATGAAGATTCTCTCGATTCAAGTGCATATTTACCAGCGTTGGCCTCCACTTGAAGAGTGGAAAACTTGCCCGGGAGTCAGCCAGAACGCCCTCCTATGGCGTGTTACATACGCTGTCAACAGGGTCCCCTCTCGAAGCACAGATCTCCGTACAGATCTGTGCGGGTTCAATGCAATCGACAGGTAATTCTTTTCACTAGCAGCGGTTTTCTCGCTCGTCTTTTTCAGACCCATTTAGGTGGGCCCGTCGCGTCAGTATAAGAAGGCCAACGTCTCCCTCCATTCTGGAATCTCGAGCTTGTATTCCTTAATTCCTCTTTAGCTTATTATCACCATGTCGACGTTAATCTCTCCAGATCACTTCATACTTCCTGACCTCGTTTCCGACTGCACCTATCCTCTGCGCGTCAACGACAACTGTGAAGAAGTGGCGCGCGTCTCGGAACAGTGGCTACTCGACATGGCGAATCACAGCGAGCGCAAACGCCGTGCTTTTCTTGGGCTCAAGGCAGGCGAGTTGACGGCAGCTTGTTATCCCGACGCCGACGCATTTCACCTCCGCGTATGCGTGGACTTCATGAACTATTTGTTCAACCTCGATGATTGGCTCGATGAATTCGATGTAGAGGGAACCCGTGGAATGCATGACTGCTGTATTGGTGCGATGCGCGACCCGCTAAATTTCGAGACGGATAAGCGCGCGGGTATTATGACGAAGTCGTAAGTCAAAGAATTAACTTCCCAGTCGTGATGATTGATTTTCTTGCTAGATTCTTCAGCCGATTTATCGAAACCGGCGGCCCTGGGTGTACAGAACGCTTCATTCACACTATGGATCTCTTTTTCAAGGCTGTTGCCGTTCAAGCGGCTGATCGCGAGAAGGATGTCATTCCTGACTTCGAGTCTTACATCACCATTCGTCGAGATACGAGTGGCTGTAAACCTTGCTTCGCCCTTATTGAATACGCCTCTCGAATCGACCTTCCTGATGAGGTAGCTGAGCATCCGTTGATTCGCTCCATGGAAGAAGCGACGAATGACCTAGTGACATGGTCAAACGTAGGCCCTAATTCACCTGAAACAAGAGAAACGTACTTACCAAGCGACAGGATTTGTTCTCTTACAACGTCGAGCAATCGAGAGGAGATACACACAACATGATTCCGGTCATTATGCACCAACGTGACCTGAATCTCCAAGAAGCAGTGGAATATGTCGGAGCTCTATGCAAATCAAGCATCCAGAGGTTCGAAACCGATCGCAAGAACCTCCCAACATGGGGTCCCGAAATTGATCGGGACGTGGCAGTTTATGTCGAAGGACTCCAAAACTGGATCGTCGGTATGTCATTGCAAGTTTAGAAAAGCCATCTTACTTACCAACCACACATAGGTTCTCTGCATTGGTCTTTCGATTCTGAGCGCTACTTTGGTACCTCCGGTCTTGAAGTCAAGCAACAGCGCATAGTCAAGCTCCTTCCAAAAGTTTCATCATGAACGACACGTGTCCACAAACCCCTGATCAAATACTTCTTGGATAGTATCTCAACATTTCATGGTCAGTCCTTGGTTCTCAACCACAGCGACAAAGTATCTAACTGACTGGTTTATAAGAATATCAGCCTTAAGCACGCCACAGCAGCAACCTATTCAGACTAAATTCCCATAATCAAGCGTCTTAATCTACAGAAGTATAGATACACTCACTCGTAATTATCCTCTAGTTTGTACACGCCGGTTCCGTGTTTTCTGCACTCCTGTTGTCTTATACATACTTAAAGTAGTAGAGCCCTAGATAATATTCCCATCACACTTGTGGGGTAGCAATGATATAATGCTACGCAATAATGCCGTTGAGATTACTCCCCCATAAAAAAATCAAGGGATGCAATCAATCGATCATCGGGGCGTCGATGCCTCCCTCTGATCACTTGTGCTTATTCCATAGGTGTCAGTCTTACCAACCTTATTGCACATTGCTAGTTTCGTTAGACTTGTGGTGGCACAAATCAATTTATTGACTCTTTCCCCTCGGCCGTCGAATCGTCATATAATCTAGTAGAGTGAAAGTCTGGGGAAAGTTGCTACTCAGGACACGACTCCATAAGGTTATGATAAATGACCTCTCTACCTGGCATGGGTGGCGAGGATCATCGCCTGGGGATCAGACTTTCCCCGTCACCCTGTCACCATGGCTGACGGTCAACAACAGCGTAGGATAAACACGAGAATATTCCAACGTCGCAGAGCCTAGCGATGTTGCAGTACCCGGTTTCGCGCTGGGGAGGCCAGATTGTTTCGGTGGCTACAACAACATCGCTCTATGGTTTCACAAGAACACGGCCGTGTAATCGAGTGGGAAAAAATGGCTCAGAGTAACGCCTACCAATAAGATCGTCTTCTCCCGCTCGTCCCATGCCCAAGTTTGCATGTGGAGGGGGAGAAAAACCGGGGCGAAGGCTTAGACAATCCTGTTGCTTTACCAGTTCCATGGGAGGAGGCATGTCAGGGTCCTACCGCCGGAAGGAGAGAAGGAGTCCCTGGAACTAGCGGACGCAATTAAGGAGGTCAATCCAAGTGAGGACGTCCCCCTAAAGAACACTGCTCACGGATATCCTACAACTGCGGTCGCATGCCGGCATGAGGTTAGACCTACAAAGGTAATAGAACCAGGCTCGAGTCGATAGCCTGTCCTATCTTTGACGCCACTTACTCGTCTGGTTCATTGACGAATGGCCTGTTCGGAGAGAATGCGACCAAAGAGATCACAGAGGAGTTGGCTTGATTAGTTATCCTGGCTACCGAAACACGCCTAGGATCTGACAGGGAGATAGCGTCGAAGCTTCCCATAAACGTTGGCCGTCCTACTGCAGACTGCAGAAACGAGTTGTCGCAATGCTGTGGAGGCATGCTCATGGATCGTCGTCAACCTTTCCTCCACGCATGGGCAGAAAAAAGACCATTCCGATGTGAAGGCACAGATTGCTATCATGTGTAGTCATTTAACCTTACGGCTGACCGCAATGCTCGGCGACGTATCTTCTAACTTGCCTCTGTTCTATCTCTCCCACCCCGTCTACTTGCTCCGGAGTGAGGCCGTCTTGGTTGGTCTTCTAGAATGTTAGAACGGCGATGGAGAATGGGAGAGAAGCCACTAACTCTGTCTCGATCTGCTCCTGCATTAATGAGCAACACCGCGGCCTCAGCATGTCCAGATTCCATAGCTAAATGCAACGGCGTGTTTCCTGGATGAAAAGAAGTGCGGTGATGTTGGCAAAAATTCAATTCTCATAATAACCGTAGACGACCCAAATTAAGAGAAGGAACCGTACCAATTCGATCAGCAGTGTTCAGCCGGACTTTGGCGGGGGGTTTCGCAGACTCAAGCAGAAGCTTGATGAATCCGACTGAGCCGGTGGTTGCCGCACGGTGACTGGGCAATGTACATCATGAGAAGGACGGCCTACATCCCATAGGTAGCAAACATGACACACAGAGGGTGCTGATTGGCCTTGTCCTTCGCATTGACCTGTTCGCGGGGCAATTAATGAATAACTTAAAGTACAGCATGCTTGTAATGCTCCAAACAGCGAGTTCTAGGACGTACATCTGCACCTCTTGAAATTAAGAAACGTCCGATCTACCGAGCAAGGCAGTCATCAGAATAGATTCGTAGCATGAAAAGGACATCCAGACCTCGATGCGTGATTTCGACGCTGCGTAGTGCCTGAAATCCATCGATTTCATATTTCCGCCGTACGGACTAGCTGGATACGTACAGCGGTGTGAGCCCTTTGTCATTTATGCGCTGGACATCTGCCCCAGCACCGACGAGTTCTCGAACGATTTCCTCGTGGCCAGCACTGACTAGTATTGTCGTCAGGTAGTCATTTAAGAAATAAGAAGCCAGGATGAGTGTACCGGCTATATGTAGCGCGGTCCAACCGCTTGAATCGAGCTTATCCACATCAGCCTTTCGATCAAGCAAGTATCGGACTATATCCGTCGCCCCGGACGAGGCTGCCCAGTGTAAGGGCGTCCGACCATCCTATCAGCAGAGATATTTAGATTAACGAGCTGTAAGACGCGTATATAACCATCGGCTTACCGCATCGATTGAGTCAATAATTTCTGGCTGGTCACTGAGGAGTGACTTCAGAAGTTGATATTGCTCTGTGAAAATTCGAGATAACGGTGGGTGAAAGCGAGGTCTAGTCCATGGTTACATACTGTTCATGGCGGCATAATGAACGGTTAACGAAGACATTCTATAAACTCAATTCTGTGGTTCGTGGCAGAGTGAGCACTGACGCGTTTAGATCGCCGTAAAAGGAATCCCACTTATGTTGTTCCCACGATCCCGCTCATCCCATGCCTGCAGCAGTCGTCCCCGACCCGAGTACAAGTCTCCCTACCCAACACGCTTTGATCCCATTCCTACAGTCTCAATCGCAGAACACTTTGACGCGTCTTTATCAGAAGCCATCATCATGCCTCGCTATATTTCGGTCAATCTGTTCCTGAAGCCCGTCGCGTTCGTGTTGTTTACCATGGAATGAATACAGATTGTTGGCGCCTTTGGAAAGGCAGCTAGTCATGAACCTTTTGTGGCTTGAATCAGCGATTCCGGTGGCCACGATGGCTGCATGGGTTGCTCGCGACGGTAAAAAGTAGGTCTCGGCGTGGTCTACGAAGAATACACTTCATTGCTATCTACAGACTATATGATGCTGCGGTCGTAAATTTGGGAAACCTACACATACTCCCCAGCTCCACGGTGAAGCTGGCGTTGAACTCTACATTCAAGACGAGCTTCAGACATGCTATCACCGGAGGGTATGTCATGTTATTGTTGTTTCGCGATATAGTTGACAGTTCTTCCAGCGGGACTAGCGGAAGCTTCGGTGTACCGGTAGAGAAAGACGATAAACGACCTGCTCTCGACCTGGGTGCTTTAGACTCGTACGCGCTGGAACGTTGGGAGGCATGTGAACATTGTTGGATTGCTGACATGTTGCCGACTCACCCTGTCATCAGACCATTCTCCATTATATGGTTTCATCTGGCTCCGGCCAATATCCATCCAAACCTTCGCAGGGCGTCCTCTATCTTCTTCAACGCAGTGGCTTAATGGCAAACATACAGTGCGCATGTATTCACTTTTTTCTAACGTAGTTAGTTAAATTTGCCTAGTGGGGCGTTACAGATAACCTCGTTCGGATTCCAGTTCCTACTTTACTCCCCACACGAACAACTGTGGAATCTCTTGCTCCAGTATTTGCACATGGCCGAAGTACGCCCATGCCCGTTTGGTCGGTCGCCATCTAAATGCTTTCCTCTAGGAGCGTCAAATGGACTTGGTAGAAGTCCTCAGCTTCTTGTTCATGTTGTCAACCATGGAACTAGGAAGGGTATAACCTACATCTCTTCTTTATTTTAATATCCGAGCTGAACTATATCGATTCAAGGAATACTCGACGGAACACCTAAGTGAGACCCAAAAGGCGATGCTAGAAGACCTCCGCGATTACGGCTTGATTTGGCAGCGTAAGGCAAGCAGACGGATGTCCATGTCTAGCCGGTTCTGACCTGGAAGATAGCCTAATTCACGGCGATTCAACCCTACTCGCCTTGCAACAACTCTAACTTCTTCATCCCCTCCGCTGCCGACTTCGACAACCACAAGCTCTGGTCCCGCTGAAGGATTCATCATCCTTGAGACGAACTATCGGTTGTATGCTTATACCGGTACAGCCATAGTCGCATGCCTGTATGCCAATATTGATGATGATTCCAGATAACCCTCTTCAAACCGCGGTGCTCAATCTATTCGTGACTCTCAAGTACCGCTTCCCCAATCTCGTGGTTGGTACAATTACCCGAGACAGCGTGAAGAAGGCGCTACAAAGTGGAATCTCTTCTGACCAGGTTTAGTCAATCCGCCATCAACGCATTGCATAAATTCTGACGGTGATTTTACCGTGGCATTTGCGCAGATTATCAGCTACTTGTCCACTCATGCCCACCCTCAAATGCGAAAGAATGTGGATTTCTTTCTTCGCCATTACCGCATACCGTTGATGATCACTAATTGCCCCTGCCTTCTGATTAGAATCCGCTTCTCCCTGTGACTGTACAAGACCAAATACGCCTCTGGGAATTGGAGAAGAACCGCCTGAAATCACAAGAAGGTACCCCTTTTCTTCAATTACTTAAAATCCCTCTAAAATCCCTCGATTTACGCATTTCAAAATGCCAGGCTACCTGTATACAGCATTTGCATCACAAGCCGACTACGAACTAGTCTTAAATTACGCCAAACAGCTCAACACTGTTCTATGGGAGAACACGGCCAAGCGCTGTTTCTTTGGCAGTTTGGACGGACATGCCAATATCAGGGGCTTCATTGAACGGAGGACGGGCGCCACGGGATAGGTGTGCACGCCATCATTGTCCCTTCTGTGTACCCGGTGGAATACTAACGTGGACTGCCTGTCGGCTCGATGCATGCCCAGCGTGTGTGATTCCGTAGTGTTGGTTGCCTGTATGGAAATTAAATCTATATTCGCTGTAAAAGTCCACCGTGCGGTAAAACATTGAAACGCCCACAAAAGTGTTCAGTCCATGGAGAGGCTGACAGGGAGGTCGTGGACACAGCGTACTTAAGGTGCCTATTTCTGGAAATCGGGGGTTTGTTTCGGAAGAGAGGGTGCTTGTGGATACGGGGTTGTGATACACTTTTGTCAAAAGCCCGAACTTACCGGGTGAGAGTTTTCTGTCAAGTGGATCTATTTTGGTAACACTCGCTCTGCAGTATTCTGACGGATGCTCCCTCAAAGCATTCATGAAGACCGTATTTCTAAATACAATACAGCGTAGATCATAAACGAGCGACGTCGTTAGATATGGCATCAAGTAGTCGTTACGGATGATATGTTAGATATGCACAAAATTGTTGCCGTGGATAATGTGAATAAGGTGAGTGTCCATATTTATGTGGGTATGTGCACGTAGAACCGTTAGAAGGCCTTTAACCAAGCGAATCAAGAAAGGGCAATCGATACCGATTTTGCTTCAATCCTTTTAGAGTTCTTCGACCTTCGTGGTGTACTCCTCGGGGCTGGGCAGAGTTCCGGAACCACTGCCATACTGGTCGTAAGAATGGAGGCTAGGTGAGAAGGTCTGCGAGGGGAGGGGAAGATCGAGGGTAGAGGCGTCCGCAGGAGACCAACTGGACCCGTAGCTATGGGATGCCGCATGGGGGTGATAGCCGTGAGGAGAGAAGTGCGAGGGAGGGGGAGGTGGGGGAGGGGAGGAGTCGAAAGACGATGATGAGGCAGAGTGAGGGATGGGAGTGCGCGTGCTATCCCTCGACGAATTCGGCATCCACGACGAAGACATCCGTGGTGTAGCGGCGTGTGAAGAGGAAGAGTAGTGGTTGTGACTACGGCCTAGGTTTGTTCCGCCTGAAGCATACGTGCTGTACGATCTCCCGTGATCGTCCCCGCTACCTCGAGAGGACACCATCCCTCCAAAGGCACTGCCTGATCGCATTCGAGGACGATCGAGGAATAGACCATCGGCGGCGCTGCTGTTATTCGATTCGTAACCGTTACCTTCCCACTGGCGGCTAGATGACGAGTTTAGAGGGGACCAGGAGCTGGAGTCAGTTGATGTTGAGCTCTCCCGACGAGGGTCCTGTATAGGATTGGGGAGTGGCCAACCCAGAACGACGGGTCCCGGCAATCGGAGGCTATCGATGCTGGTTCCCCACCTGTCGGTCGCGCCATGGCGAGCGGGATACTCAGATGATGGAGGATAGAGCGAATTGCGCGGCGGATACGAGCTCTCGACGGGGGAGCTCTGAGATGGAGACCAAGGCGGGGAATGGCCGACATTGTACGTCTGCTCCTCGACTTTACATTCCACGCTTTCGTTATTGTCTCCATCGCTTCTGTTTATTGCAGAGGCGGTGAGCATCTCGCAACGAAGGGTGAACAGAAGGACATACACTAGTCTCGCTTTGCCGTCCGGCCCAATCTCCACCTTTGGGGGCGTACGGAAATTCGTCAAACGGAAGATGTGAGGCGGCATGGGGAGGGTGGCGATGTCTGCGCGACTGTCTGGCTTTCTGAGACGGCCGAGACGGATGTCTTCAGACGTGTAATACGAGATGAGGTGGAGATCGGAGCCCTCGACGGTTACGGTGATGGTCTGCGAATGTCGCAATTCCGTTGGCATTCAAGCAGGTGGTGTGCAAGATATCACTGACCTTCTTGATCAATCCATTAGGTTTGAACGTCCCCTGGTCGGTTGTTGAGGTTGAGGTCTTGTGTCCCGCCCCCAATTCGGACTGGCCCCCAATACCCCGGGATGGGGCCTCTGGACTGTGGTATGCCCTCTTGTTACCTACGCGACTGCTGCTCCGTTCGTTTATCTCCCTGTAAACCTGGAAGGTTGCCGAGATCGTTAGACAGCCTCTCGGTAGTCAAATACAGTTGATGAGGCTCACCAAGAAATTTCCGACAATGCGGGATGGGGACCACAGCAAACCGTCTGGCAAATGAAAGGTTGAGTGGCAGTACCGCGGCGCGCCAGCGAGGGCAAACGTACCAGTCCACCTTTTGATCCCGCTTTCCTCGACGCTGAAGACGAAGACAGCGCCGCTCTTGATCATGGTCCTGCGCTCGCTGTCGTTGAGGCGGCGAGTGATTCGTGGAATGAGGCCCTGACGGGCGGCGTTGATGAGACGCAGGGCATGGTAGGTTGAGTCAACAAAGCCAATAAACGCTGGGACGTCTGCAGAGTTGGCGTTTGAGGTCATGAGCAGTGGCAGAGTGGTTGGTACGCCTGAGCTTGAGGTTGTTGGAGAGTTTGAAAGTATGGGACCAGGGATGCGGCTCCCTTCCTTTATGATGCAGCTGTGCTCCCGTGCCCTCAATAATCGCAGAAATAATTGAAGATAGCGTCGTGAGCCGACTTCGCGCAGAATCAGGGATTCACGTTTCCAGATTCAAGCTTTGCTCAGCCAACTGGGCCAGGCCGGGATCAGATAGCCTTTACTTGGGAATAACGTTACCCGAAGCTCGTCCTTACTTGACACGGACGCCACAAGTCACCTCTGCAATGGAAATCCAAGAACATTGCGGGCTCGCTCAACACCACCTCGTTGAATTTCCGTAATCAAAATGCGGCTACCGTGAGGTCTGCAAGGAACCAGGAATCCGCCAGTCAGTCAAGCCCCTTGCCATCTTTGATGAGAACGGCGTGGCCCGTCCATCCGGCACGTCCGCTCTTCTCTGATTTTCAACACCACCCCTCATGCCAATCTAGATGGAGTATTGGGGATGTAAATGGCGTCGAGCTTTCCATCCCAGTTCCCATTTCCAGGGCTCTTGTACAAATCCAGCATAGCGCTCGATTTCCGTCCCCTGGTGCTAGGCAGTTCTTGGGGAATTGGGGCATCAGCGTTCTTGGACAGGCCCTTCTTGGGTTCGTGTGCTGGAGCGGTAAACAGTGTGGTTCAGGACTTTGTTTTCACAGCTTTTTTCAAACACAGCGAACCGAGTTCCGTCTATCTTTCCCCTTCCGCTTGGCTCGTCTTACAGGTCCGATACGTCGTTCTGCCAGCAGGCAAGCCGGCGTGAGTTGCAGCGCCATCACTAAGAAGCTCGGATCTTATGAAAAACATGGAAGGCCATCGACGATCTCTAGGTGCACCCATTCATCAAACTCGCCCGTGTTGCCAAAATTACACGTTGAAATACGAGAGTAATAGAAATATGTCGTCAAAGAAGGTAAAGGCCAAAAAGGATAGCTCGACGGAACGTAATCAGGTGGAGACCAACAGACGTAAAACCCCGCTACACCTTCTTAATTATCAAGCACAATGTAGTATTCATTGCGATTCCTGGGTTTTGGCCAGCACGAAGGAGCCTTCATATCCAATTCGATCTACCCGTGTGGAAGTTTCCCGCCAACGACCAACAAGGTTCTGGTCGTGTATGTATCCTTTGAACACCCATTGGCCAGAATGAGCTTGTGTCGAGTCGACCTGGAATTTCGGGGATATCAGGCATTCGATTCCCGATGATGGGGAAGGACAAGGTAAACGCAGCTTCTGCGGTCTCACTTACAGGCGTACGGAGCAACACGACTAAACCGTCCCAAGGCCTGACTCGTCCAACAATGGAGTAATGTCCCCAGGCAGCCCCGTGGCGTTCCCCAGTCTGCGATGCGCGTGGGTCACCAATGGAACACGTGTGTGAATGAGGAAGAGATCGCGTCCATCAGCCGCAAATTTATAGAATTGTTCCAGAACTAACCTCGCCCGTGATCAGGATGTCAGCGATTCCACTGCATCGGTGCGAGACCGTATCTTCATATTCCTGGTCATTGTCAACATGAGAGGATTCCAGGGAATCGGCTAGAGCAGCCGTATTCGTCCCGCGGTCCAATATAGCTGCACCAACGCGGTCGTTATTGGTGCGACAGCCCTGTACCAAACTCTCGGATGTCGTCTGGGAATAGTGCGCCTGACCATGGGGTTCGTATGTCTCGTATCGGATGTAGCTTTCTGATGCTGGGTTGTACACTTCTATGTGATCCTGCAAGCCATGATAAAGGGAGATTAGCTGCAGATAAACCTCTATCTTTACAATCTGCCCAAACCAGAGCGGAATGAAAGGAGGACGCCTTATGAGGGAAACTTACCTCCAAGCGTCTGAGGTCAAGTCCTCGCGGTAACCACGCGTGTAGAATATCATCGAAGCTCGTGTCATCGATTGATATTGGTAGAGGGTCGTTAGGATGAAGGCAGTGATGTTCCTGAAGATGTAAGTACATTGGCTGTTGATATATGGGAACATGGAGTGTGCTGCGTGAAGAGTCGTTGAGGAGATCGAGGTACGAGCTGAAGCCAGGTTGCTGAGGTGAAGTGTATATCAGAAGGGCATATTCATAGTCAGAATCTGCTACGCACCAGAATCCTACCGGCCCAAGAGCCACATATAGCACCTGGGGAATACACAAGGCCCCTTAATGGCGGATCCTCCAACCAGGGATCGTAGCATGCTGCAAGTCTACTCCAATCTTCGTCGTGTTGCTGACTAGTTCCCTCCTCTTCATCTTCCTCGTCTTCAGCGAAATACTGCTGTACATCCGAAAGGGAAGGCAGTCTCTCTGGCACACGGATCCGATTTTCGTTGTGGAATTCCAAGACATCTTCGAGGGTTGCGCCTCTGTGACCCATCGTGTTCGCTTCTTCTCGATTGCGGGGTAATGAACTCACATCATCAGGCAAATCCTGCGAATCTTGACGTATTTCATTGCGCAGAACCGTTCCAAGTGTCGCTGCAGTCGTTATCATCGGCACAGCAAGCTCAAGATCGTGACCGTAATGCGTGATCTTCCTCGTTAGAGGTGATGGCGCGTTGCGAAAGTCGGAAGGGAAAACTGAATGTGGACAAAGGGGGAGGTGAAAGCGCGAATCGGGCGCAAATATGGCAGGGTGCTAAGTCAGGGTAATATTAATTGAGCTTGTTCCAAATGTAGATGCGACGCGTACTTTATAGCCACCCACGATGAATGGGCGCAATATGTTACCGATGGTTAACTGCATCGACAGTCCTTCCCTCCTCACTCCATCTGAAGTGTTCAGGTAACGAACCCTGTCTTACATTCAAGACAGCGGGGATCACGCACCTCGACTGGCAGTCAGCCACAATAACCATGCAATTAGGGATGTTCCCTCCATCTCCGTATACCACATGGATGGTGCGTCTGGTTGCCAAGTGATCCGTGAAGCTAGCGCTCCCTGTAGGAATTCCTCTACACCCGCCCATATTACAAGCTGACCCCCATTCTTTCCATCGTTTTCCAGCATCATCAAGTACGCGGTCCAAAGATCATCGCGATTGTATTGCCTACTGCGGATCCGCTTTAACGCTATGAAGCGCTTCTTGAGCTCGGAAGTAAGGCAACGTGTCGTACGCCATCGTTCCGAAAAACGGCGAAGTAGAGCAGAGCGGTCGAACTTGATATTGAACGTAGACGCATATATATGCGCGTTATTCTTGAATCTGAGCACGCTGTACAGCCTGCGAGATACAAGACAAAGAATGCCCAGTTCTGAAGGGGGCCCGAGCGGTTTTGACGCCACGGCGTAGAGCGCGATGTGCTCAATGATTTCGGGCGCTACCTGTTCGAATTTGGAGAGTGGATTCCGGGCAGCCATGGGGGTGAAGACGAGGAGGCCGACATAGGTGGTGGTGGAATATATAGAAGCAACGAGCTAGGACATAGGTACATCGGAGCGGGGAAGATTTGGAAATGCGTGATCGCCGTCGCTTCGACCATTGAAATTATTGAAGGGTGAGAGAGCATATGGCGGCGGATATGGAAATGCTGACCACATATGACGGGCCCTGCAACGGACACTTCCGTTGCACTCGCTTGCGGAACGTCAACATTTTCATTCTCAAGCAGGCGTTTTCAGGCACCGAATGATCCTCCGCTGATGCCGGCCCCAGTGCCGTGCGGCGTTCCCCGTTCATTTGTTCGCGTTCTTCGCTCAGCGACCCGCTAGAAGAGTGCTGATGGAATTGCTGCATGCAAATTACCCGACAGAAACCAATGTTCTCCGCTGGCCCCTGTACCGAATTCATCCCGAGACGACTTCTACTGCTCACGAATGTCTGCCGGACGTCCAGGCAATGGACCAGCTGTGAGAATGTTAACGTAAATTTTGTGGGCTCATCACTTCCCCGCGTTAGAACAATCCGTCGCGTGATCATTTGCCGCATCGTTGGAGCTCGTGCTCCCAGGCGTGGCGGCATCCAAGAGCAACTAGCAAAATTTCTCTATATTTCGCCGAGACTCCACCTGCCACCGTTGCCGAAGTCGAGACTTGACGGTGAACTGCGCGACGTGCGCGGTATACCAAGGTGTGCCATCACCTGGACCAAGGCCCGCTCTTTATCCCCGTTTGTGAGTTCTCACCGAAACGACCCTCGCACGCCTATCATCACTGCCGGCGGAAGTTACGTCTCTCTCAGCGCTAATGCTCACCAAGCGGAGTTCACAGCCTTCAGCTCTCCATCTAAGCCGTAAGCCACCTACAGTCGTACACGGCGAAGTGGGGCGAGGGCTTCATAGCTGCCGATCACTGCAGCCCAAGGAAGGACAGGGTCATATTCCTACTCCAAGAACCGAGGCGCTATGTATAGACCTTCATGACCCGAGGATCAAGACTCCCATGGGCGCAATACGATAACACACGTTCGTCGTCTTGCAATTTTCGCCTCATCCCACCATCAAGATGTCATAGAAGGGCGCACAGGGGCCTCAAGAATGACCCCTTCTCTGCTCTCGATTGTACAGCACGAGACCCAGATAAGGTGTCCTTGCAATTGCTATAACGATGCGAAGAGAAGGTGAGGCTACAAACTGTCGTTATCAGATACCCATGTTGACCATATACTGAAATTCTCTGTATATTCGTTATGCCTATTGGACAACCGCAGGATATGAAGCGGTCTTATTGCTTGAAACCGCCTGAGTACCGCATGACCCTGCTCGGATATTATGACCCAAGCTAGCTAGCGAGGAGAAGCTACATGTACGCGGTTGCGTTCTCCCGTCGAAAGTCACACCTGGTGCATGTCCGCAGGCAGACTCCGGCGTGCACGAGATATTTTTCAAGTCTACCTCATCCGGACCTCAGCTCTCTTCAAGTGACGTTCATTTCGCCTCATCTTAGGTCACCGTGCTGATATTTGCGCCACTTAGATGTTCTGTTGGAAAAGGGTCGGTGAGCATTTTCTATTCCGTCCCCTCGGTCTCCGCGGCTCAGCTCGACTACGAAATAGAGCAAGCATAGAATGAGCAGATGGAGGAGTGCTCGATTAACTCTGGGAAATGAGGCAACGGATCGCGCTGAAGAAGGCTTTAAGCGAGTCAGTCTTCGTAAGCGGCGGAAAAGATGGCGGTAGAGTTACTTGCATTGTATGAATGGCTCGTGGTGGTCGAATTATCTTCTATAACGCGAACTATGGGGGCAGAGTCTCTGACCATGAGTGAAGGATTGTAGATCGTGATTAGGCGTAGTGGGAAGTAAATTACATCATGGTCACGTGGAGGTCCGACATTGAAACTCGAAGACTCAGCGGGGGCCCAGTCTCTGCTGTGGCACTGAGTTGAGGCATGACCAAACATTTGGACAATTGCGGACGCAGATCCGGTCAAAGTCTCATCGATGATAGATAGAAAAGGTCAGCCAACACTTCATGTTATTCGTCAGCTACAGTTGTCCACAATACACCACGGCGCCGGGCGAAGTGACACAGTCTGGACATGATTTATGACGGTATTCCGATTAAAGATCATGATTAACTTTGATAACCTCCGGTTTCTGTTCCGCGAATGCGCCCAGCAAGACTGGAGGAACCAGCAGATTGGCGTGTTCCGGAATTAGTGCTGAGGTTCAACTTCCTGGCAAAACTCATGGAGATCTAGGCTGAATACCCCCGCTGCGCCGAACCTTGGGCTTTGCGCGGAATCATTGTTTGTGCAAATGAACAGCACGGAGAATTGCACGACTTATCACCAGCTGGCATTGTCGTGGCCTGAAGCATGAGCCTGTATGCCAGCTAAGCAAATGCCGTCACGTAGGAGCTGCCAAAGAAACTCGGAACGATCGAACTGTAGGATGTGTGAAGGAGTACCACCGCGTCGGCTTGCCTATACGTTAAACAGCCGGCGGCTGGGCAGATGAAATAATTAAGCTCAAAGATGCGAACATACGAGGTTATGGCGGCGGTCCGGGATGCAATCGATGCGAGTTTGTTTGAAGATCAAGGAACGAATGACATCACGCTGAGAGATAGACACACGGAGAATAGATGGGTGCTGGAAGACATTTGTTCGATCACCTTCGACGAAATTGATAGGGCAAGGGATTAGGCTCAGCCCGAGGTTCATTCCGTGCTTCAGGTTCGTTGTTCCGAAGGTCATCATACCATAGGCCGGTTTAACGCTGTGATAGATACTCCATATATATGCAATATGTTCCATCCTTCCAGTAATGAGACAGATATAGGGTATATCGATATTTGATACGCCCCTTACGGGCACTCCGACGGATCCCAATCAGTGACTAGCTCTGCGGTGCCAATTAATTGACTGAATATGACTGTGGAGCATCACTCACTTTCGTCCAAACTGTCCAATTGGGACAATTCTTCTGTGGATAGCTCGAAATCGAACAGCCGAGTATTCGCGGCAATACGACCTTTAGTAGATGATTTAGGGAGCGGAATGAACCCCTACAGTGCGCATGCCACACAGTTAATGTACGTCCCATGTATAATATATGAATACTACGTGCCTTCTGCAATGAGTAGCGTAGCAAAATTTGGGCGGGCGTCTTCTTATGTTTGTCCGCGAGAGCGGCTATGCTCGGATGATCGAAGCGGAAGCCACGAACAAGAGGAGCCCAGGCCTCCATATCCGGTGAGCAGGAAGCAACTAGCAACTGAATACAGGGGGTTTACCTCTAGTGCAATGTCGTGCTCATTGCAATATGCCACGACGTCCACACGTGTCATAAATGGATGCAAGTCTATCTGAATGGTCCACATTAACGCATGGCGCGAATTTGAAATACCCGGGTAAAACATACCTGGTTGATGGCTGGGAGAGGAAGATTCGAGTCTTCAAGTTCCTTGAGATGCCTCACTCCGAAGCAGCTGACGCCCACGCTTTTTAGCTTTCCTTCTTTCTGGGCATCACAAATAGCTCGCCAGCTATCAAGGCGAGCCTGTGGGCCTCCAAGCGGACCGTGGATAAGGTAAAGATCGATGTAGCCAAGGCCACACCGGTCCAGAGATCTTTGGATAGCAGCCACGGTCTTCTCGTATCCGTTGTTCATCTTGAGCTTAGTTGTATAGAATATTTCGGCACGCGGGATCCCGGTAGAACCGCAGTAGTCGAGAATAGCTCGCCCGCATTCCGACTCGTTGTCGTACCAATCCGCAGAGTCCTGTCCATTGTGACGTTTTGAGTTCTAGAACAGACGGTGGCAAGGAGGTCTGCCTACCACATGACGGTAGCCTGCCTTGAATAACCTCGTTATGCACATATCATGACGGATTTAAGGACCGAGTATTTACCTCAAGAGCCCAAAGGACGCAGTTATAGGCATCCTTCCCGTCAAGCTCATACGTACCTGTGCCGGTGCGGTTCGTTCACCACTAAAGTCAGTCGATGTTTGGAGCACTCACCAAAGCCCAGAACAGGGATTTCATTCCCGTCATGCAGCTGAGGAGTCGATTAAGCTTTCGATAAGCTTGCGCGCAGCAAAAGAACTATACCTTTCGTTTGGATTCGAGTTTCAACCCAGACATATTCTTATCGGTCGTTGACAGGAGGAGAGCCGCCGACCCTGCCAGTGGCTGTTGCTACCATGGCTAAACAAGACGTTCTCACGCTCAGCAAATCGTCTTTACCTCCTGCTTCACTTCATTTCAGTGGAACTGTGACTTCCAGAGGCCCATTTGCACAATGTCAACCCAACAAAGCTACGACAACTCCAGAAACCTGGAATCTGGCTGGCTGTCGTCCTCCGGATTGAGTTTGAGACATTGTTTGCAACGGCTTCTACGGCCCAGTTAGCCCCAAAGGATGGTAAAGTACTCACAGTGATGTTCCACCAGCTTCCACGCCAATTATGGGAAATCAAAATTTGCTAGACCATATGTCTCAAGTTGATTTTAGACATGAAAACTCCGGAGCTGTGTCGTGCTTCTGAGTCGCGGCCGGTCTGGGGTACAAGGGAAACTGAGTGGCACTAGCGCACTGAAAAACACTGAACACGTTTCGTGGATGGGCTTCCCTTCGCGTTCGTAGCTTCCATCTGACAGGGGCAATGATCCTGAATGTATTCTGCAGATCACCGACTTTGGGATGCTACGGCTTGACATTTGAAGACAGAGACGTTACTGGCTCAGTCCTACGTATCATGTCGTGTCAGTTTGAAGGCATTGTTGGTTCGACGACCGGTTCAAATTTCAGCTCTGCCACTACTCTTCCCGGTACCTGCTATATAAAAAACTACGAACACGCCGCCCTGTCTCCAGTCTCTACACATAGAGGTCACATTGTACATCTATCTCCGTCGTGTTTCGCCAAGTTCCGTGGTAGTTGCCCTCTTGAACCTGGTTTCGCGATAGCCCTCCGAGTAAGACTGTGGTGTCATATTCCAGCGAGCCACTAGTGAGAGCACTCTACCTCGTGCTCTTGCTTCGGCGTTCTCGGGTTCCTGGCTAAATGAATCCATCACTCTCCATCTATGCTACCACCGAAGAAAATAATCATATCATGATACAATCAGTCGCACGATGGAGTGCAGCCGGATAGAACTCCTCTTTTTTCATGACATTTGAAACGGAAGTCAGCGAGGATTGCGGCATCTATGTGTCAATTCATGATTCTATAGCCCTAACAGTATTGACAGTTCATGTCGACTTTGGGTTCTGTTTCTGGTATTTCGTAATAACTACATACCAAGGGCACTTCTAGCCAACATCTCCGGGGATGGGATTGTCCGATGTCAGCTCCACATGGGCCAGTACGGCGGGCATTCTTCGTCTCCAATCAGATCTTAGGAGTACCAGCTAGGAGCCAGGGGTTATTTGTCCTTCTTTGAGGCGTCAGCCAGGAAGATAGGCGCCCGAGGAACCACTTACAATATGCCACCCGCCCTCCCGCTCAACGTCGCGCCTCCAACGCCTAGTAGGCCTCTGGATGGCGACAATCAGAAAACTCCTGGTCAATCGAAATCGAATTCGTCGGCTTCTGCTGCCCTACGACCTTCAGACATCTCGAGTCCCCATGAACTCACGGCATTCGTACGCCTTGTTCGTTTCCATTCAACCATGCAACTGAACGTTACGTGAAAGGTCGAAACACTTCTGGAGCAGCTAGAAACTAAATTCAATGACATGTCTTCCCAGATGATTGACCGAAGTGCGTGTGTCAGAATACTTGGGTGCCCTCTTCTCGAAGCTCACCCTTTGGGTTCGCGTTGCAGTGACACAGATGTCGTCTCGCGTTGACAACCTGGAGGCAGCGATTCAAGATATTATTAACGCCGATATGAGTGTACCTCAGTCCCCATCTCCCGCCCCTGGCGGAACGCTCAGAAGGAACGACACGGGATCATGAATGCCTAATGAGCTGAGGATATGTTATACGTTGCGAGATACTTTATTATACGGAATAATACCCAAATGGTGCGTTTTGCCCCATCTCGGCTCCCTCTCTGATTGATTTGAAGACAGGACATGCTATTCCTTTTAGCATCACTTATTTCAGATACATCTATGTTATTGGGTACACCCTGCGGTGATAGTATTATATGGACTACACCACGAACACATTTGACCAATATTTTACGACATTTTTTCCAGCCCTCATTTCGGGGAAGTAATCCGCGTCTCGACATACAATGAGCGCATGAGCGTTCCGTGCCTCGTGGAAATAGGCCAGGGTTTTGATGAGGGGCAACCTATTCAGTTGTTCTACCATGCGTCTTTGCACGTCGGTTAGCTTGGGCTGGTCTATTGTGCGTCGGAGTTGAGGCCGGTCAGGTAAAGGTAGAGATGGCGACACAGCTGAGTGGGCAGCTAGCGCTGTGTTGCTACTGGTGAGCTCTGATACTCCGTTGATTGTCGTGTTTTGGCTAGTTTCTACCCCTTGTGGGGGTACTGCAGATGAGACTACTCCATCAGAGCCCGACTGCCTGACACCTTCCAGAACGTCTATGACAACATCTTCCGCCCGATGCTCCAGTTGCTCAAATATGTATACGAGCCTTCGACTCCTGGAGGCATCCGACTCGAGGTCTCTTAGCCTTGATCTCGATGTCTTGGAATCTCTCTTGAATCTGCGGAGCGCAAAAGAAACACCGAGCGCCAGGAGCACAGGAAGCAAGGTGTACAAAGCCTGTAAGTGCTTGATCAGCACGGGCAGATTGGAGATCGACTGAGGGGCTAACAATTTTTTTGTGGAGCGGAAGCTTTATGTTCTGCAATGGGAGAAACAGGCCTTTCGAGGATGGGCTGAACCTCCGAAACCAATCCCTGGATAATGTGGGCGGTTTCACAGGATTCGGCGGAAGAGTGTACTTGCTGATTATTGGTGGATAACTTTCGTCTAGTTCGCTGATCCCAACACAATCAGAACGGCAACCTCACGGACGTGTACTGGCACTGACATCTGAACTCCACTGCTAGCCGTATCCGCGAATGGGTCTTGCAGTTCTATAGCTCCTGTGACATATGGTACGGTGACGTCGTTGACGCTATGTTTTCGGGCAAGTGTCAGATACTAACTTGGAGACCATGGTGGAGTTGCACTCACGCATTGGCATATATTCGGACGTGTCGGAAAGACGCTAGTGCTTTGTAGAATATATGGTCTTACAGGTGCGTGCTTTACCTCCATTATCTCCGGAAACGCGTAAAGATTGTGCTTACCAGGGTCGGCCATAACATCCAGAAGCGATCTCCCCGTAGTAGACCATGTGTCCAAACAAAACAATTGCTCCCCCGTTCTGGAAAGATGTTTTGCGCATGCAGCCATCAGGGCTGATAATAGTGATGCATATCGAGGCATGCCTATATGAGGGGTAGCGATGGTGTTGAAGTTTATTGGTTCTACGTCGTGGAAAAAGCCCCGCTGATGGAGGATGCTTTGGTGGGAAGAGGAGTCCGTAAGTCCGGTATGAAAGCTCAAGCAGCTTGGCGACACCCACCCAACAACATAACGTGCAATAAGTCCGCCCAGACTGTATCCTGTTACAGATAAACGTGTAACACGCCCTCCTCCAGCCGTTATATCCCTCACTTCTGCATCAATCTACGAATGCTTCTATGGTAAGACATTTCGCCCAAACGAGGCTAAAGAAACGACTGGACCTCCTCCACGACGCGCTCTCCTCCCCAATCAATGCCATCGTAGGTCAACTCTTCAGAATTAGTTCGCGCGTTGAGAACCCAAAGCCTGGTACCGTTGGTAGCCGAAAAAGGATGTTTGTGCTCCATACGGCGGACCAATTGATGAAGATGCGAAGGATGACCCCACATGCCATGGATAAGCACTAGAAGGTGTACGGGCAGAAAGGATGTGGACATTGAGCGAACCTTTGAGGCACATTGGGTTGCGATTTATATATTGCTGCTACCCGCAGCACACATTGATGCCGGGTGTCCTCGTCATCGGTTATATCGCCAGTCCGGTACATCAACAATGTATTAGCGCTCTATGGTCTACTGACAGTTGAAAGAGATATAGTCCAATCGACATCCCTACAAAACGAGTGAGTCGGCCCAATGTCTGACAACATGAGCTCCGGCACGCATGACTTCGAAGCGGTCGACATCACGACAGATGATAACACCATGCGCGTTCCGCGTGCCCTCGAAATAGGCGAGTACCTTGACAATCGGGAGTTTATTGAGATTTGAAACCATCGTCCGTTGCAGAGGTGTCAAGTCGGGTTGCCCGGAAGGTTTGTCAGAGTGCTTCGAGCAGCAACGACGTGACTTGGATTTGCGTGCAGGGGGCGGAACAGGCACTTGGGTTGTCGTATCCCCAGTTGCAGCCAGGTGGGATGTGATAGCGGCACGCAAGACCTCGTCTTCTTCGGACGCCTGCTCGCTGGGTGTGTTCCGGCCAGATTCGCCGCAGTTATCGGGCAGAGGCGTGTCTAGAGACATGGCCGCAGTATCGTCAATAATATCGACGACGGCGCCTTCCACTTCTTGCTCTAGTTGAGCGATGATGTGGATGAGCTTTTGACGTTCAGTCTTCTCCGATTTGGCACTTTCCTCGAGCAGCCTGATCCTCGCCCGGGATGATCGGGAATCAAGGCTGAGGCGGATGATAGCCAGGGAGATGCCCACGGGGATCAATAGCGGCAGGAAGGAGTATAATAGCTAAACAAGAGTGAGAATGGCATGGATATAGGTACAGATGCCTTACTAGGTTCAGTGGAAATCTAGGCATCAGATGAGGCGGCAAAATGGGACGCTTTTTCTCTTTCTCGCTGTGGAACCATTCAGAGGAGAAGACGCGAGGCTTCGCGACCGGGCCTGGGGCTACGGATGGCACGGAGTAATACTTAATGAGAGGCGGGTAATCATGATCGATTTCCCTGAGGCGAGAGTCAATCGACGAAGTTCTACATAGATTTGTTACTTACAAGTGTACGCCGCTGGCGGCGAGATCAGCGAACGGGTCTTCTAGCTCGATGGCCCCTGTGACATAGGGCACCGTAATGTCATTCACCCTTATTGACCAGCAGTGTGAGCGTGCAGCCTTGAGATTGTACTAACGACTTACGCATTAGCGTAGATGCGAAGGTGTTGAAATTTGGAGAGTGCTTTATAGAATATCTGCTCTGCGCGAATTCAAGCTCTAATATGCCAGACAAGTAAGCAATCACTAACCTGGATCGGCCATAACATCGAGAAGAGGTCTACCATTGGTAGACCATTGATCCACACAGTAAAATTGTTCGCCGGTGCGAGACAGGAGTTTCGAGCCCAACTTTGAGAGTACAGACGACAAGAAAGATGGATATCGAGGAATGCCGATATGAGGCGTCGCAATAGTATTGAAGTTGACTGGTTGGATATGCTCGAAGAACCCGCGCTGGTGAAGAATTCTGCAGAGAGATATACACTGAGCACCGCAGATCCGTCAATAAACCACAAATTACCAACCCTATCACATAACGAGACAGAAGCCCCCCGAGGCTGTACCCGGTAATCGAGAAATGAGTTACTTTCTTCGATTCGGCTTCTAACTTGGCGATTTCTGCGGTGATCTAGGGTCCCTTTAGTACAATTACAGAATTCAGATTCACGAGATTCACCTCCTCCGCGACACGCTCGCCACCCCAATCGATGCCGTCGTAGGTAGACCCATCGCGATTCGTCTCAGCAGATATAGCATGGAGAATCACGCCCTCATCGTTGGGATCCTTCTTCTCCTGAACGACTCGCATAAGCTCTGCAAGGTGACTGGGGTTTCCCCACATCCCATGGATCAACACTAGGAGATGTATCCTTTGCGGTTCCATATTTGCTGGCTACTATATTCAAGAAATGGCGCTGAGATGGTGGATGAGCAAAGAACAATCTTGCGCGCTGCAGCAGCGGCATGGTGTTGGCTTTGCCGCGTAACCGTCTTGCCGCGGAGTCCCTGATGCACTGAGTCTTGCACTCCTGGAGTTAAGACTCCTGATTTCAATTTAGGGGGCACCGAGTGTATAGGGGTCCATTCTCGCTTCACTCCTGCGACATTCGCAACCTTCGGATGTCGCCAGGAGGACTGTTCTGCTCCCTCAGTATTGCGCAATCCCTCGATATTTTACCCATGCTACGATATCGCACTTCTTCATCAAAGTTAAGATTTGGCGTTGTTCATCGTGAGCATGCCGGCCCACTTGATTGTACCTCGAAGCTTGATGTGATGTGGGAGTGTACGATGCGTCGTTCCAACACATTATCTCCACATGTTGTGCATTGTAGTTAAGCTCTTGGGCCGGCGGCAGGGCAGTTGAAATACGAAAAAATTAACCTCAAGAAGCACATATCTGCCGACGGCTCGAAGCATGGTCGTGGTGTGAAGGACTGGAATCGCAACACTAAAGGGGGATGTTGCTTATGGTGGCGCAGAGGAATACAATTATAGCAAAGTATCTTCGCGATACAACGTGGGGTACGCGAGAGAAGAAAGCAAGTTCTATGAAATCTACTCAATTACCGCTGCCACAAGTCCGACCGACTTACCAGCGTTATTAAAGTTATTGCATTGTCGTCCTCCCACATTGCAAGATGCTAGACCGAATGGGTAACATCAAGGAATACTGTATGCGAGCCAAGCCTCTCCCGTTCGTTCGTCACCGCCTACCCACGAACTGACAACTCGAGCCATCCCAGTTTTAGCCATCCAACCCACCAAAATGACGAGCATGCTCAGTAACGGATGGGAATCAAGAATAACTAAGAGGAGATACAGTCATTAACATTCGAACCGAAGCAAATGAAGAAAAGCAGGAGAAACGAACGAACCGCGAAGGGCAAATCCCGCAGACATTCCTCCTAGGACATTCCGTACGACCCACTCACGGTCAATTTTATCATCATCAAGAAGCTGAAGGGCATGCGCGATGTACGCCTTCTTGTCCCATCGTTCCAGAATGTGTTCTGATGGTCGAATTGGTGCCGTTGCAGGACGCCAGATTGAGAGTAAAAACAGAAGAAATAACTTGGTCAGAGACGAATAGAATAGAGATAGAGGTATCAGGGAAAGGCTGCGTCGTGGGTGTCAAAAACCCAAGAATATCCTCAAGATTGGATTACTCTTACCGAAACTCGGATCTGATACCCGGCGAGGCGCTAGATGCGACGCCGTATCCCCTGGAAGACAAGAAACGCTGAATGGAGAGCATTATATGGCAGGCAAAGATTATGCCACCATGAAATATGGCAGTCTCTTTGGAAAGATGAGTATGGTAACGAATCTGTGGATGAAGCAATTCCCCTACCTGCTAAGCACCCGAGCAGCACCCGTAGGAATGCGACTCCATCGTCGTGATTCCATGGAGGGGAGTCGTCAGCCGGTCCTCTCGGTCCTGTCAGGAAGTCCTTAGTCGCAGTGTGTCAGTAGCTGACCAAGTCGTACTGATATGTGCCCAGCGTATGACTATAGTAGGTCAGGCGGTGTGGATTGCAAGAGCTAACCCCGAGCTCACATGCATCCAAGATCACAAGCGCGGAACCAAGCCGCATGACAAGAAGCCAGCGCTTCTAGTGATAAATCACTGGTTTAGGTCAACCAGCCTAGTCGGGACTCTGATGAAGCAGCTCACCTTTTCGCGATTGTACCCAGCATCCTCCCTCTCCTTCCCTTTGTTCTCAGATCCTGATCTCCGAGGTTCTGTCCCTCTATTGAACAGCAGGTGACGATAGACACCGCGCTTCAGTAGAATTAAGTCGATAAATAGAACCAAATTGTCATGTTCAACGTAGGGGTCCGCAAACGCGTGGCAGCTACTCTGTTTTAAGAGAGTAGTTGAGCATCGGGCGGGTTAGAGATTCGAGACACGAACACATTCTTCGAGCCGTAGGTTGTTTGCTGATTCGTAGACCGTGTAAAGGTATGGGGTCTGGGTAGTGCAACTGATGCAGATAGGCATTCCTTCGGTACAGCTATCAGACTTAATTCTGAGCGCGTGAGTTCAGGACTTACACATAGACACTGTCCAGGGCTCAACTCGTCGGCGTGAAGGTTCAAGGAATGGGTTGACAACTCGACGTTCGACGTTGGCACCAGAAGGGGAAGTTGTTGAAGCACGTGTCCCCCTGTCTCCCCTATCCAAGTCTCCTTCCTTGTGCTCTTTGTCGAGCCCTTTGTGCGTCGTAACATATACTTTAGGATTTTCCTCATGATTCCACCCACGCCTTTCTACCTCAGTACCACCACCTCTAGGTTAGTGGCCACTTATTCTACCGGATCTCTATCTTACAATTACGCTCCATAGGCATCGAATTCTGTCCTTCGTTGTTCTGTTGAAAGATATTCACTGGGGACACTCGCCGCCACCACCACTCCTAAAATAATGCCACCAGCTCACATTCCTACTGGCGTCTCATCAAACCTCTTGCCACAACCCGCCGGTGGCGCGTTACCATTCCCAAAGGGTCTCGCTGAAGAAATCTCCAAGGGAGTCAGCAAGGCAATTGTAGACTCAATGGATCAAATGACAGGTCAAATTATTGACAGGATTGACGATAACCTCGCGAAACTCATTGTTGCGTGCAAACGCGGGGACAATCTACCTTCCTCAGACGGCCGCGAAACTTATCCAACTCCCACCAACCCAGAGACGTCGTTGCTCATACCCCCACTCGCCACCACTTCTATCCCCGCTATCCAGGTCCCCGCCATGCAAGCTATACAAGCTCCCCCTCTCGCCCAAGGGAATTACCCCTTTGTTCCCCCTCTCCAAACCAATACGAAGTCTATCCTTCAGTGTTTCCCGGGAATAGAGTCGTCTATCATACAGTCCGTGGTAAAACATGAACTACGGCCACAGCAGCTGTATAAGCTCATCACGACTACCAACAAGCATATCTACCCGACCTCTCTCGTCTACACACCCTCGAAAGGTTTTCACGCCGAGGAACCGTCTATTCTTCGGGAACTCCCCACCTTCACGGCTTTCATGAAGGCTCTCATGGTTTACTTTGATATACTGTCCGCGCACGTCCGCATATCCACCAGCAATATTGACATGCTCGGCTATCTCACTCATGGTGTTTTTTGCTACGTCAAGAACCTCTATCACTACATTGGAACCTACGCATACGAAACAGTCCTCCAATTCCACATGATTTTCCACGCAAAGCGATTATTCGAGATGCAAGACGGCGATTACTCAGGCTGGTCGCGAATCGACAGCGACTTAGTAGCGGAGATCCTCCTACCATCGGTCCGAATCGCTACCAATGTCTCTGCAATAACTGTCACCGGCAAAATATCGTCGTCCAAGGACAGATTCAAGTCTGCAGCGAATCTAAACAAGGAGGTGTGCCGAAAGTTCCAAGACGGCAAATGCACTTCCCCTTGCCACCGCAACCGCATCCACCAATGCTCGGTATGCAGCTCTGAGGCGCATGGTGGCGCTACATGTACTGCCAGGCACAACAACTTATCATCGATCTCGCCAGCAGCACAGCGATCGGCGATGAAGGACGTTGGGGGACGAAGGTGATAGAAGGTCCGAAGAAAGTCAATAGGACGTACTACATATACTGTAGTTATGCATGAGGGACGACTATTTTAGGCTCCATAACTTCATCGAGTTGTCATTGGACAGCGGGCGAGTCTTGCTCCCTCTCGCGGAAACCCGTCTTGTTGTTAGTCGTAGCTCTGGATTTACGCTTCCATCTGCATCAGATGAAACCTCTGAATCACTGCCAGAGTCCGAATCGACCGTAGAGTCAAAGTGGCGTGATCCAGAGACGCTCAGAAGCAACGAGTCAAGCGGATGAAAGGCTACAGATCCGATGGAGTCTTACCAGGTATCGTGAGTGACGATTAAAGTACCTATTTCGAGAAGGAGGGACATACCTTCGTGAGCTTGGAATGTATGTGCGGCATTCAGAATCCCTGAATCCGACTGAGAAGCCGTTTCGTCCAGATCCCATACGGATATTCGGCCATCCTAAGCAGATTAACTTAACGAACTAATTTCGGAAGGTTCCACTCACTGGGCCTCCAGAAGCCAGCCATTTTCCTGAGGCATCAAGGTCGAATTTCAGCTTTTGGTTCGTCCGTGGTGACATATCTTCTGGAGGCTTGAGGGTACATATTGGCTCATCGACGCCTCCACGAAGATCCCATACGTAGATCTGCGAGTGACGTCGGAAGGAGGCGTATAGAAGGTGCGGTTTGGCGTTATTGAACGCTAGCTATATTATTATTAGTATTCAGCATATGTAGACCGACGTTTACGAGGAAAGAGAAGTACCTGCATCACGCCTGCTCGAACGGACTTGGAGCCGGCCCCAAGGTATAGCAAAGGAACGTCGCCTTGCGATTGATCGTATAGGCAGATATTGTACGCCGACTGCGAGAGAGACCCAGCTGCGAACCAGCTTCCTTCGGGTGAATATGGAGTGAACGCCAACGCAGAGACGATTCCTTCAATGTCAGCAGTAAAATGCAATAAATCAGCCATGTACAGAACTGCATATCCGTCAACAAACCTTTTATTCCGTCCTTGCTCTTCTTTGAAGGAGAAGTTTGCAGGCGTGTACCGGGATGACCGGGCATGCTGAGATCGAATATCTCTATCGCATCTTCGAATCCACAGTACAGACTACTCATAGTCGGAGTGAACGCCAAGCTGTGGGGCGCGATGAACCGTTCACGGTGATCTACGATTGGGTATGAAGCACGTAGCTAGCTACATAGATCAGTCACGCCCAACTCAATTAACTTAGTTGTTTTGAGCTGTACGTACACGTCCATCCGTCCCATGGAGGAGTTTGACAGGACAATCGCGTACGGAAGCAGCGAAACAGAATGTAGCGGGATTGAGCATCGAAGCGGATGGAAACCACGCGAATTCGACGATCGGCGATGCTTGTGGAAACGTTTGTATGTCGAGCTTCGACGCTCTTTCAGCCTGATGCAATTTTTCTGAGGGGAGGAGTTGGAAGCGACCACTTTCTGTGTTCGTAAGGATACACGAGCCATCGGCACACCACCTGGCTTGACGAGCAAAGTCGGAGGGATCATGATAAGGGGTGTGCGATGCTTTGATCGTCGGGGCAGAGAAGTTATACTCTGGCGGTGTCCATGGACTTGCTTCCAACATAACCTGAAAAGTCGTCAACTTGACGTAGTAGTTGAGAGCAAGTGGAGCGGAGATTCAAATCCGGACAGGCATGATTTTGGAAGTATCTGTCACGACTGAGTCAGTGTTCAAGCGTTCATGGCATTCTATTCTGAGTATCGACCGGGAGGTTCCACTAGTTACGCAAAAGTTACGTGTAAAGGTTACGATGTATGATACTCTTTGGAGTGTTTATTCAAGAAATTTGCTACAAGGATTCGGAAATTATGTGGGCTGAATCAAGAGGTAAGCTGGAAACAGTCAGAAAACGGCAAGGGACTTACTCCTCCGCGTGAACTGTATCGTACCTTCATAAGCGAGCCATCGAAGAGGGGTGTAATTCGGGGTCACTCACCCCAATGTCCGGTATCCAGCTTCTCCAGCTCCATATTCGGGAAGTAATCGTGCAATGTATGGATATTATGACGATTAATGTACCTGGTAGAAGGGTCAATGTCACGTTGGCAGAATCGCGAGGAATAACGCAACTTGCTCTTCTGCCCTTTAATAAAGAGAGTATTGCCTTCCCAAGTACGTTCGCCGAGTTTGTATGGAAATGAGCCAATTTCTGGGATGGCATTTGCAAGCGTGCCTAACGGGACTTGGAATTTACCGTGCGGGGAATGTGTCGTGCCCGGAATGAAGTTTGTCAGTAAGAACGCGCGAATAGAGGGGTCCTTCGGTGGAGATTAACGAAGAGGGAGCAGAAGGACGTGGAATCGAACCTTCTCCCATTTCTGTAGCAACGCGTCGGCTTCTTTTCTCGTCTTGAATCCCTCAGCTTCGATGGCCCGCATCGCGTCTATGTATCCCATGAATTCGTCCGAGATGCTGCCGATGGAAGGGGCTATGTCCACCACGATTAAGTTCGAAAGAAGGGACGTCGGAAGTGCAGGGTTGAGTGCGAATGCCATAGCCACTTTTCCTCCCCTACAGAGATGCATTACTAAGAGTAGTTACCAGCGGATACATCTGGGCGCACATAGAGTGGCCCATCAGAGATACGTGTTTGAGTTTGTGCGTCTCGCAGAAGTGAAGGACGTCGGCCGCCATATGTAAGTAGGTCATTCCGGGGACGTGAGGCGACGAGCCTTGGTTCCGAAGGTCCTGAAGAGGGTGGTCAATAGAAGCATTGGGCAAAGGACTTTCTGCATAACGTACCAGAGTGTACACCGGTCTATGCAACTCTCTGCTAAACGCCTTCGCAAGTGACTTCCAATTACGCTTGGATCCACTGACGCAGTGAGTACATGCGAGGTACGCCACTGGGGGAGACGTACAACAAACCATGCAGTATAACGAGGGGATCCCCGACGTCCTTTCGGGTATTCGAGTGTGTAGAAGATCCTGAGGGGGCGTGAAGGTCAAATTCAAGGTCGACCGGCGTGATTGTGGAACTTGAAGCGAAAGCTAGCCAGATTTCACATTAGCCTGCTGGCTCAAAATGACATTGTTCGGAATACAAACCTCTTCTACGTATCGTCGCGTAACATGCCTTGAGTTTCCAAGACGAGGAAAGGAACGACCGAGACGGGATCATCATGAAGTTCGTCACGAGCCTGTTGAACACAGAGTTCAAGGGCGCGTGTCGCGTCGGCGCTTATTTATTTAGCCCTTTCTCTTCCTTGTACCTCATATTTTGTCATTTGCAGCGCATCCTGCTGTTGTTCCCTGCCTCGTGTCTGCGCGCGAGCTCGCCCACGTTCCCTCATCGTCCGGTTGCCTCGTCGCATTTATTTCGTTTTGGGGGCCTCTTCTATGTCACTGGTCCGAATCTCCGAGGTCTCATTGCTTGGGTGCCTTTGATGAAGTTGCCTGGTGTCCCTGTCACCGTCGAAAGCCTTTCAAATGCCCAGCAATAAGGGTGCCGCTGTATTTGGATTCCTCCGTTCCCGTTGTAATAGGGGAAAGGCCCGGGACAGTGTGCGTCCAACGACCAGCCCAGGATCACACCGCTTGCATCGTCCCCCCTTTCCACCTCAAGGACAGCGCCGCATGTTATGGCGTGGACCAGTAGAAGCTCGAACACCAAATCGTAATCGATGCCCTTTACCTTGAGCAGCTGCTAGAAACGCAACGAAAGCGCCATCTTTAATTTGCCTTTACCTATGCCTGCGGAAGCGATGTCAATACCCTTGGCAATTCAGCGTGTAGTGAGTTACGTTATAGGAATAAAACGGCTGCTATAAGAGCCTCCGCTAATACCCTATATCGTCCAACTTTCTGAATCCCTCTCATTGTCGAGGTATGTTCTCTCCGTCATCGCCTGCCGTAGCCTCCACTAACCGGCGTGTCTTCTAGACTTGAGAGATGCCCTGTGTGGATCTTCCGACCGAGATGTGGGAGAGCGTGCTAGCATATGTGCAGGAACCCTCCGATATACTACACGTCATGCAGACATGTCGACGTCTCTTTTCTGCTGGTCTCGGGCAACTTTACGAGCATATCAAGTGGCAGAACACTAGACGCTTGGAACAGAACCTTATGGCATGGCAGCTGCTGGAATCTCGCGATTTCAAATCCCAGCTGTTCACTATACCACGCAGCCTCACCATAGCTAATTACAGACCCCTTACTCCGCCCCGCTTGTTCCTGGAAGAAGGGGAAGCGAAAACTACATCCACCATAACTAGTCCTACGATTTCCAGCATCGCTCACCGCATCTCTACCTTCACGAACCTCTCATCAGTCGTGTTATTCACATCAGCTATCCCCGAGGAAGTGTACCTCGCAATACTCAATGTCCCACATCTTCTGCGCCTCCATATAGAAGACTGCGTGCTTCCTCGTCTCCCGATATCAACTCGCCACCTCTTCTTCGGCCTCCACATTCAAGAACTCGTGCTGCGTGGTCTGCGCTCCGAAGGTCGTCCGGACATGCGTTTTGATCACCTCTCGCCACTGTTCTTATCTACAGCTCCTGAACTGCGTTCGCTCGAAGTTGACTGGACTCTAGAGGCGGCCGCGTTCCTCGTACACCACTCCCCATATGATCAACATCCCTTCTCCTTATCACCCAGCCTCCAATCCGTCAAGATTATCATGCCGATCGAGGCTTCGCTTCCTGAGGACCCAGACGACCTCTATTTGGTATACGTCGCGCCTCTTATACAGTTCATGCAAGATACCGCATCCATCACCCACTTAAGCATCGTCAACAAGCTCCCCAACTTCCTAGTGCCCAACGATATCCTTCCAAACCTTAGATCCTTCAGCGGACCAACTAGCTTATTCTCTAAGTTACCTAGACGGGAGCTGAGCCATCTGCAGCTCACCGATCCCTTGTCTCCAGCTCAGTTCGCCGTCTTAGAAGCCCTCCCGGCGGCGTACCCTAACTTATGCTCCCTCGAGTTTGTTTTTCATCATTGGAGTCCGGGCATTCTGCGATTGGCAAAGAGCCTTCTGCTTCCCGGCCTCTCTGATATATCAATCGCGACCGGATCTTGCGAGGCGTCGGAGGTAGGTCGACAGCGATACCTGCTATACATATACTGATCCGATCGGGGGCAGGATGTCTTCGAAGACGGGAAGCGACCCCTACACCCCCTCGTCTTCACACGTTGCGCATCTCACATGATGACGACGTTCATCAGCTCCCTTCGAGCTCAGTTCTCAGTTCTTTTGAACTCCCACCCTAGTCCCAACCTACTTGATTAAATCGCAGCGCAAAGTCGGTTCGTTTGGAAACTTCTGAGATGGAGAGTCCAAGAACTTCTCCTTGTACTTACGACACGGACTCTGCACTTCTTAGAATTGGACTTTTAGAATTATCGTCCAACCCTTCATAATCGCTTACCGCCTTTCAGGAACAATGGACCATTTTGCCAATGTCGTTAAACAATAGTGTACATTACGATCGGCATTACATTGCTGATATTACTCGAATTATTGTGTGTCCGTGAGTTGTGCAAAGTGGTATACAAAAGTCTGTTGTTGCTTGAAGATTGAACGAATAGGCATCACGAGTCGTCACTGCGATTTAACCGCAGTTGAAATAGTTGCCCTTGATTACGGCTGGACACCCTTGAGTATCTACGAAAATGTCAGTAACGCAACCTCTACTCGCGAGGCAATGGGGCTGACCTTTATTAAGAGGGCAATCAGCCGGATCGTCGCAGCACTTGATGCAAGCACGCTTGTCTGCCGGTTCGACGAGCTCGACGTAGTGCTTGTATCCTAAGCAGACTGAACCTTGCGGGTTCCCAAGACCCCCAGCTCCACCAGAGGAATCGTATTGTCCTCCGCCGTCGCTGGGGTTCAAGCGCGATAGCTTTTCTGGACGAATGCATCCGGTCACTACGAATGTGGACGTCATTTAGAAACCATCATTGTGAATCGCAGGAAAGTAGGCACGTACATTGGGCGTATCGTTTGCCTTTGGCGTTGTAGCCCGTCTTGAAAGCAACGTTGCTCCAGAAATCTGGAGGCAGCTGCCCCTGTTTCGAGGAGTATCGCCCTGCTGGCGAGCAGTATGTCTTCATGCCTCCGGGATGCTCAGAGTCACCAATATTGGTATGGGGGTCCCTAGCGAAGAAAATCGCGCGTCAGCAGCGAACTCGCAGATCCCGTAAAGGCGGGTTGCATACCTTGGCATTATCATGCAGTGTGAAGTAGCATCGGTCACGTAGACGATGTTGTCGACGGCCGGGTCTCTAGTCTCAAGGACTAGGGGCGAAGCGAGGACGCTGACTGCCGACAGGCAGAGCAGCAATATTCGTGAAGTAATCATAGCGTGTAGGTCGTGAGGTCGTTAAGCGGTATGTGATACGAGTCTCAACGGAATGTGCAATCCGAGTTCAGCGACTGAACACGGAATAGGGGTCGGGGTGATGTGGTATGTAGATGTGGTTGGGTTGTGAATGATACTCAGCCGCCTTTTGACGGGCAGGTTTTATACCTCGATAGTCGCCTAGAACATAAGGGCAGAGCGTTCCGAACAAATGTCATGATCCGCCCTGCGATGGGGCTGACCGTTGGCTGACCACTTCGAGCCCCACCCACGAACAGGTTCAACAAGGTTCCACATGACCTTGGCAGAGACTAGTGTCGACGATGGTGGGCATGTCAGCCCGCGAGTCTAGTGGTCGGGGCCTAGAATCTGGCAGACGCGTCGGGTTTAGGGCGCTTAAAAGTCGGTCCACCAATAGGATCAAAGCACTGAATTATTATCATCAAGGGCTTTCCGCCGCACTATCAGAAGATGAACGGAATCATGGCTTTTCTACCTCTCGGATAATCCTTCCCAAACTCTTTCTTGTAATTACGGTGCTTTTTGGCAGCCCAAATCGCCATCTGACCTGTGGAAATGACGAAGAACAGCCAGGCTACGGAAGTCGCCAGCGGGAGGGCACGCATTGGGGTGAACATGAGCGTGAGCATGCGGCTGGAAACATCGGAGTTGACGGTTAATGCTTACCCGCGATGCTGTTCGTCATAACGCAAATGACCAACCATCCGACGGTTTCGAACAAATAATTCGGGCACGACACGAGACCAAACCCGTACCCGTAAGGGATCCCGCGTTTTCCTGTTCCTGCAGGTCGAAGACTGCGCAGGGTCAGATGCGTCGAGAGGTTCGACAGTTCGGCGAACTAGGCAGCGATGGTGAGCCAGGCAAGCAACATGACCCGCGATGAAGACCCACCAGCCACACAGCGGCGCAGGCGTTGAGAAACTGTGGGTTGTTTCTATACGTGTTTACGATGAAATTGGAGGCTGACGCGTATTTGGGGCGATAGATGTCATATGCCAAAAGCAAACCTTAGGAATGCACGACGCGTCAATTGCTAGTCACATTACGCCAGGAAAGATGCTTACCGCTGAAGATATGGTAGTGCGCAGAGCTACGATGGAGAACTGTGAGCAGCCGATCGTTACAAGAAGGGTGCGGCGTACTTCTTGAAGATGTTTTTTGCGGGCATTGTTGCGTGCGAGAACCGGTGCACGCTTGCATGATTGACAAGTTAGCAGCGTATGTTGTGATAGACCACGAACCACTCACAAGAGGGTCTCAAGCTCTCGCTTGAGGAAATGCAGTACGACAAAAGCAAATACATAACTGTGAAGATATGAGCCATGGGGAGGGGCGTCAACACGTCCGTACTCACCTTTGCACAGCGCTATGCTGGACCTCACTTCCGTAAAAGACCCTCGGAAGATAGTATATGAGAGGATGTATGAGAATCGGTCCCAGCTACATCGAAATGACGCGTCAATTGTCGCCCATGAAAATATATACCAGCCCTACTCACGTATTCTACAATGAAGACCGTCCTCCATTGTATCTGAGGGCCCAGATCCTTCACCGAGAGCCGGCACTGCTCAGTTCTCGCGTCAAATCCAACCTCGGTCAACTTCAAGCCGTCATCGAGTGCTTTTTTGTCCCCTTCCTGCGATAACTTCTGGCGTTCAACATACAGCTGAAAATCACTGTTAGTGACACAAACGGATAGATAAGGTTAGTTTCGCACTTTCTTCACTTTCGAGGCCAATGCAACTTTGACGTCGCGTATGGTGACTTCTGAAGCAGATTTCCCCGGGAATTCCAGTGCCACAGCTGACTTGGAGGCTGAGGAAATGGTAACGGTCAGAGTCATGGCGGTTGCGTGCAATCCAGCGCCGTAAGTTCTCAGTTCTGAGGATAAGCGGGAGCTACAAGCTTCAAATTCAAACTTGAATTAGAGAGTTTGCGAAGGCCGTCAACGGCTGACAAATCAGCCCATATCGGCTTTTTTTCGCGTGCTCCCAACAACATTCACAGCTTGGCCTGTGGTGCAAATTGTTTCTTTGTTCCTAAATACTTAGTTCAAAACCAGCCATGAAATAGTTCATGAGTGCGATCCTTCAAGGCGAAATGGTATTCGTCTAGTAAAACTGACACAGAGAGCGAGGGTGACAGAGAAAATAGGTTTGTGTAATTAGCAGCGGGAGCGCTGAAGTCCGACGCACACGAAAGGAGGATTTCACCTGGAATCTGAGGATATCACAAATATGCGTGAACGTTCATAAAATTCGGATAGAAGGGTGTGGACGTTGCAATGACTATGGTTACCTTCCTACAACGTCTACGATCACATCTGGAGGTTGAAAGCACCGTTGGCGGTCTGGCAATCTTATTGTGATCCAGGCGTTAATGTGGATATACAACTCTACAAGTTGTCCCACTGGCAATAGTGTCGCGGAGTTTCGCGATCATTGTTTCTTTCGATTCTGTGACTGTCGGACACGAAGCCTCACAATTGCAGTTGGTCGACAAGTCTTAACGTGGAAGCCATATACGTGTGCGTGGAATTCAGTGTGGCTCTCTTCACACTTATAAGTCGACTAACATACTTAGGCGCCAGACATTCACCTAGTTCAGGGATGATAACATGATAAGCCTGGCGAACGTTATCAGCCATCAACGAAGCCATCTGTAATCCATGTAATCGACGCAGCACAACCCATGATGCATGAGCGGACTCGGCGCGCTTTCACGGCTAATGATAGTGCACCACGAGTTGGACACCACGAGTTGGACATGCTGCACGGTTCCCGTGGATGCTGGCAGTACAATTGTGCCCCCAGAACATGCCACCTCTTATAAAGCTCGCGCTCGAGCTAGAGCATCCCCACGCCTATCCCTTTCTTTCCCTTCGGATTGAGGGTGACATCCATCTGTGCCGTATACCCTGGGCATACAAGGCCGGCAACCACCAATTCAACCTGGTCGTTTGTTGCAGACGGACCTTTCACGACACCTTACGCCCCCCAACGTCTTATACTTATATACCAGCGACGATTCACGACTAGAACGATCACACAATGAGCCTGCCGGAGTTTGGATTCATGTCTGATGGAGCGACGATGCTGGACAATATACCACGAATGCTTCGTCGAGAATGGAAACACAAGAAACCGGTGAGCTTTGTCTCGCTGGCGTTTGGTGTGTTGAGGTATAATAATGTCTCATCCGTATTGCCGCCAGCATTTACAAAGGTCGACATCTCTACCCATGCTCGTACCTTCCCCTCATTTTGCCTCAGCTCTCGTCGATCGCCCTCCCCGGCCCATGTTCACCTGTCTCAGATGCGGCTTTTCGAATCTTCTTCTTGACATGTGTCTTTGGTGCTGCTGGACCTCAGTTGAAGCTAAAGCCGAATGGGCTCAGTCGGAGCGGCTCTATTATTCAAACAAGTCGACGCATGAGAGCAGCGTGTCCTCTCGTAGGCGTAGCCGCAAGATCAGTGCCCCACCGAAGGTGTTCTGGCATCATCCGATCACGCCGAGTCCGTACAGGAGGCGATCTGAACCTACTACAAGTACTACCACCAGCCTACTCCCTTCCCTAAGGTCGGAACGAAGTGTATCATCCGCTGGATGTGATGATATCGAAACGGTGGCTGAGCTCCGGAGTGGCGGTGTCGCCTCTCCCCTACCCTCATTAGTACCCTCAACATCAGGACAGCCAATATGTGTTACCAAGACAACAACAACTTCCAAGCAGACTGCGAACCCTCCTTTGCGCGATGGTGGCATGTCAAACCCTAAATCGGTATGTCTCCGACATATTGCTCCTCTTCGCCTCCGTTACGTATGCCGTACATATCTGTATGATTTCGTTACGTTATCCCCATGGCCTCCCATCCTCCGGGAACATCGTTGAGGGCGATAGCTCGTGTTCTGCAGCCCTGCATCATACAATCTCGTGTCACATACATATGTAACTCTGCGTTAGTTTCTCTTCTTCCTTCTCGCCTTTCCCCCACCTTCGCCTGGCGTCGTCGTCGCGAACAGCGACGGTCGTTGGATTCCGTTTCCCTCTAGGATTTCCGAATTCGGCCCTAATCCCCTCGTAACGCTATACTCAACTGACGCTTGCCTTCAGACTACCTCGCTACTAACGGTGGCCGCCACTCGAATACCTCTCTACGAGCATCAAGCGTTCGAATAATCCTCCCACCAAGACCGTCTTCCGTAGGCCGGCCGTCGATTAGCCCGCAAGCCTGTAACGACCCATATACTCAGTCCGCGCTGCGTCTACATTATACCCCATCACGAATTCGCATAGAATCAATATCAACGACTGGATCTACATCCCCTTCTACACCTACATCTGCATCATCATTGATATCCCTTCCAACGATACCAGGCACACCCAACATCCCATCCACATTCCCTCATAATATCGCTCCCTCTAATATGCATTCTTACATTTCTCACGACTGCAGCCACGACGAGGATACCCATGACGACAACAGCAGGATCACTGTAGCAATGCCCGAGCTCCATTGCAATGACCCTGCGCATCACCGTAAAGACAGTATAAATCAGAATGAAGCCACCAGGCTCTCCGCGGACGGTAGTAGCTTTATGGACATGTCACCAGATGTCCCTGTGGATCAGGCCATCGAGGTGAATGAGATAGCGGACACGGCAGAGCGAGATGGTGGGTGACCATGTATTCTTATAAATATCATTCTCATGAACTAGTTCTCCATTTTCAGCCTCCTCCCCGCTTCCCGAAGTTCATGTTCTCCCCGATACACCTGACACCAATGCTTCCATCGCAGGTATGCCATTCCCAACGGTGTCAACATCCATCCATCGACACGAGGCTACGACGGCTTCCGAAATACTGCCTGACAAAACAATCAATGCCACCTTCCCTACGAACACCGGACGCCGCGGCAGGGACCGTGCATCTGCTCCTCCTCCTACGAACTATGGATTGCAGTTCTTGGACTTGTCAGATGATAGCAATGAAATTACTCCTAGTGGCAAGGCCCATTCGATCGGAGGTCTCCCAGTTCGCGCGAGGACGCTGGTAGATCGTAAGAGGGAATGTCTTCGCGTTCCCGAACCTGAACGAGCTGAGCCACGACGAGCAAGCCACGACGAAGAGACAAAGGCTGACGAGGGACAGCGGGATCGAGGAGAACGCCCCGCGCATGGTCGATCGAAGTCTCAACCTGCTTCGTCTATCCGAATAGGCAACCCCGGACGCCCGTACTACAGTGCTATTCGACCTAATATGAACGTAGGCGCGAGTTTCTCTCAGCCCTCTTCTCCTGTTCGCACGACATACGACTCTCGGCCCAGTTCTCGAGGTGTTTCACCCCGTCCTGGATCCTCTGCGGCGTATCTCTCGACTAGTTACCCTGCGTCTCGTGCATCTTCCCCCGCTCCTTCATCTTATCACAACCATGCCCATCCCAAGACGAAGTCGTTCCTCGACATCGACGTCCTAGATGACGAAGAATATTTATTCTCGTCTCTTACACCTCCTAGTGCCCTGCCACCTGTTTATGCCCAATCTTACGCTACATCAGAGCCATACATCCACCGGACCGGAATGGGTTTCAGTGGTATGGGGTTAGGCCTGGGAAGTGGGGTATTCGGAAATCCCGAGGTAGCTATTGGTCCAAGACCAACGTCGAGTGCAGGGTACCGAGAATCAAGAGAGTTATCCCGCAACGATGTCGAGGATCCCCTAGAAGCTTCACTTCGCCACGCCTCGATGGCAGCGCGATCCAGGAAAGACCGATTTGCGCTGAGCCGCGTATGGAGAGGAAAGAGAGAATCTGCACCTGGATCTCCTTCGAGCTTGCATATGAGCGACAGGGAACCGGGGCTTGAGAACAGTATGCAGGGCCATAAGAACGAGTTTGGAGAGAGATTCGCGGTAGATCTCAGCAAGATTAAAGAGATGGGAAAGGATGTTGGGAAAATAGGTGTGGACGGGGTTGCAGAGCAGATGAAGAAGGTCGGACGTGGGTTCAGGAGCTTGAGGAGTTTTGTGACTATCCGACGATCGAGGTAATGGGTTATTTACCCTGCATGCTCGGACGTGCTTCCGCCCTCAACCTTTATGGCATCCTAGCAGACATTATACTGCATTACAAATAATTATTGTATTAATTGTAAATTGCAGGGCAAGCCCCGGTGCTAGTGCACAATACCCCTGGGATACCCGTATACATAGCGTATACCAAGCGTATAGTTGGTGCTCAACAACTCCACCCTCTTGTGGTTGTTGAACTGATCACGTTGCTCCAAGGTTATGCTGTTGATCACGTTCCCCCATCCTGGGCAGCATACAGGAAAACGACGGCAGGAGCAACGAGGACCAGTACTTGCTTTGGTAAGTCTACCAGTGACGCTGCTAATACGTTAATATGCAATTCTCCGGCAAACAATAACGAACGGGAGAAGGACATACGCAGCGCTCGCAACCCTCGCAACCCTTGTCGGGACGCTTATTGCGCTCAATCTCCCTCGAGTCACGACTGTTTTGACGGTTGTTCTACCCTTCGTCACATTCTTGGTCGAGACTGCGCCGAGCGCCGAGCATTGGACCATCCCCCGATGGAGAGGCGAGCGGTTTTCGTTCGCTCTAGGGCTGTCCTGAAGCTTCCTCCTGTATCAGGGAAGGAAAATGTCGATGACTCGGAATGATATTATCGTCGCGGTCCAACCTGCAACTTTAGAAGTGTTTGTGTTCACTGGTGGCCCAACTGAAGTATATTTACGTGATTCCAACATAGTAAGTTACAAAATGACCTTGGTAAATCAATTCACCAGCCCGCCCGACGTCGACGCTTTGACTTGACATCCTGTTGATTTCGATAAAGACTTCGACTTTTCATGTAGATTCCCCTTCGCTACGCGGACGCCATGCTTCACATTTGAATCGGGCATCGAGCATTGTAAGATTGATTTCCGCCTTCTGGCCTTCCCATTAGAACAAACGGTTCCATCATCCTGCCGAACATTAATGTCCTTGGAGTCAAAGGAGACACCACGCGGAGTTCCCGTCGTATTGCGGACCACTCGATTTTCCGAAGGCTTGGATTGACCCTGGCTTGCGGTCGAGCTCGTGGGCAGAATACAGGTACCTGAGAGTAGGGGAGGAGTCCCAGAATTCTGGAGGATGGGCGAAGACGTTAATTGAGGAACAGTAGCCAGGGCGACGGAAGTCATCGACGAGGAAGCACTAAGGCAAGGTTTTGGAAGCACTCTTGAATATGCAGCGCCACGGTATCGATCTCTGTCTCGGATATCAGCTTTGTCTGCGGTGCTACCAATGGCTACAGTCGAGAGGGGTTTGCGCTTCGCTTTATCTTCTGCAGGGATTTTGTCTCGGGGAACATCAGGTGTAGGAGTTGCATCATTTTCTTTTCCAGGCCGATGATCAGCTATCCAGGTTGAATCGGGGTCGGGAGTCGGGATAGCCTGTAGGAACACCGATACAGGCGGGAGAGCTTCGAAATGAATTTTATCACCGTTAGCTTCTGCTGCCATCGAAGAGGGATCGACGGCAAGCGGCTCCTCCACTCGAACTACGATAGTGTTGCTGAGGATTTCCATAGCCATTGGAGAGTCGTCGCTGAGCTGGTCAATTCCAGTAGGTGGGTCGTCTAAGCGTTTGATAGCCTCGAGGGTAGCTGTCAAATTAGCTAATTCCGGCGAGCCAAAGTCTATCGTCATACTCATTCCCTCGGGATACGGTGTAAGGCTGATCCGGCCTTTACGTTGTTGTTCAGGCGAGAGTGGTATGTCAGATGTCCAATGGCAACTAGCAGTATTTGCTATCGGCAGTGGCACACATTCGGCTCCAGCAGAGTTATCACCAGACGGAGGGATGTCGGAAAATGCGCAAGTCGAAGAAGCAGAAAGAGCACTGATTGGATATGTCGGGAGGCAGGCGAAATCAACGATAACATCCCGTGAGACTGAATCAGAACATTTTTTGAGTTTATCCGTGGAAGGGCGTGGTTCAATAGCTTCCGTCGACTCGTTATCAGCCAGAGATGTTTCGCAGCTTGAAGTACCAGCGCAAGGCGTTCCTTCCTTAGATTCTTTAAGGCCAGCATCGACGTCTTCAGAGTCCCGGAAAACCCAATTGTCGAAATTAACCAAAGTAGCGTGCTTCAGGTCCAAGACAATTTCTTGCATTTGGGCCGAACGGTCAAGTAGAGTAGCCGGTCCGCAATCAGCTTGGGTTATACCGGGACGCGTATCCTTAGATGCACCGAACGACTGGGGGGTAGACAAATCAGACTTTGTGGCAGCGAAGGACGTATATAGACTTGTGATGGCCGATTTCGAGAGTGGATTCAGAGAGCCAGCATAGGGAGTAGAATGGTAGTCCATAGGAGACTGTGGAATAGGTATATCGCGAATAAAACGTTCTGTGCCATCTTCGTAATACGGCATCATTCCAGCCGCCACGAAGCCTTTAAACTGTGTCAGACTCAATACTATGACAACCATGCAGGCGAATACGCACTTGCAGCTTCTTCAATATGCATATGCATACGCGCAAGTTCTGGAGCACCATGGTTCGCGACTGGCTTGTTCGCCGTCAAAGGTAGAATCGGAGGTTTGGCATCATCTTCATGCTTGCTTGATTTTGAAAAGAGGGAACATATAAATCCCACGAATGCGAGCCATATCTTGGCGATGGTTTGAAATATTTCTGTGGCGGCCATGGCGGTAGTTGTCAAGTAGTTGTAATGGGCGGGTGTAGTTTGCAGTGGTAGTAGTCGTGTTCCGTGAAGAAGTCAAGGACAGTGGGCGTCTAATTGCCTTCACCCCTTTCATCGCCCCTGACCATAATTTCTGCTTCTATTTCCTGACAGAAACAATTATTTCTTTCCTGTGTTATAACTGATCTGATACCGACGGCGGCCGCCATCTCCACACTAACCGTGAGATTAGTCAAAGATTAGCAGTTATCTTCGGATCCACGTTGTGGTAGTACCCTCCTCAGCACCAAGACTGATACAAACCGCCGAAATGGGCGAATTTATCCCAGGAATCTCACCAATACAGGCTGCATGTCATACGAAATCTGCGTAAACGGCAAATCAGAAAACCCAAGCCCCTTGAAGCGGGGCGCATAAATGCGAGACCAGTCCACTAGGTGGTGCACTCACTTTCCACCTCACAATTCATCATGACTACTGCAACCACGACTGGTGCTACGGCACAAGGCGCCTTCAATGTCTTGCCCACCGCAAACGACCCGTACACTTATCAAGTGGGGTTCGGCAACAGGTTTGCTACAGAGGCGATGTGAGCTGTTGACGCGTCGTTATATATTCACTACTAACTAGTAGCAGTCCAGGAACTTTGCCTCAAGGCCAGGACATGCCCCAGAAGAATAAATATGACCTCTATCAAGAAGGGGTTCGCATCGGCCTATATTTCGAGGTGTTCTCTTGGCTTATTTCTGCACTCAGATGACTGGGTCACCCTTCATTGCTCCACGGCACGAAAATCTGAACGCGTGAGTGCGCCCAAGAGAGCGCATCATGGCACTAATCCTTTCTTGCTGCAGGTTTCTATACCGGATAAGGCCGTCTGTGGCCCACCAAGGGTTCACCGCCCTTCCTGACAACCCAGATGTAAGCAACAGGTGATCTCATTTTCGGCGCCCTACAGCTTACCGGGCCGCCCGTAGCTCGAGGCTTGCTTTCTCTCTCTGAACCCCAAAGTCCACGTTAGCCCAACCCAACTTGCGTGGTATCCTTTCAGTTTGCCCTCAGACAACGAGAGGGCGGACTTTATTGCGGGCTTGAGGACCTTAGCCGGCAATGGCGATCCCACTCTGAGAGAAGGCCTTGCCATCCACATCTATTTGGCAAATGAGTCGATGCAGAGCAAGGCGTTCTGTAACAATGATGGTGATATGTTGATTCTTCCGCAGCAAGGTCGGCTGGATATACAGACTGAATTTGGGAAGTAGGTCCTTTAATCTCCCCGGTTGCAAACACTATGACTATTTTTTACTAAACACACGACTTGAATAGGATGATGGTACGGCCCGGCGAGCTTGTCGTCATCCAACGTGGAATGAAGTTCAAGGTACTTATCTACCATATGATGAGCTCTTTCCCCGTTAATTAAGCATTTCCCAGGTTGTCCTTCCCGATGGGCCTTCTCGTGGATGTATGACGCACGATCATCTACACTCTGGACTCCGTTAACATGTTTATAGATATCCAGGAGATCTTTGGTTCCCATTATCAGCTTCCCGACCTTGGGCCTTTGGGCGGACACGGTCTAGCTAACCCACGCGATTTCGAGACACCAGTGGCAAGCTTTGACATCGATCAGTCTCCATGGGAAAGTGAGTGGAACGTGCCCAACAGAAACGACAAATGTGGTAACCTCCGTCTTTATAGTTGTTTACAAGTGCGTGCTCGCGCGAGTGTACTTGCCGACATCGATTGTGTTCTCATCTATTTCTAGGCTGTCCGGGAAGCTATTTGTGAGCAAGCAGGAACACACGCCCTTCGATGTAGTCGCCTGGCATGGGAAGTGAGTGCCCTATACCGGACGAATGTAATCTAATTTACCACTGACTTATTTCTGTGTGTAGTTACGTCCCTTATAAGTATGCGATGGAGAAGTTTATTCACGTCGGCAGTATTTCCAAGGACCACATCGACCCCTCGATCTTCTGTGTCCTAACAGCAAAATCGAAGGCACCTGGTATCCCCCTCGCGGACTTCTTGATCTTTAGCGGGAGATGGGATGTCGCTTCTGAAACCTTCCGGCCGCCGGTGAGTTTTCCAAGCTTGTCGATTAATTGCCATGTACTCAACATACTTATCTCACAGTATTATCACCGTAATTCGGCTACGGAATTCATGGGTCTGATTTATGGCGGATATGGAGGTCGTAGCGACTCTTTCTCTCCTGGAGGTGCCAGCTACGAGACAGGGTTCTGTCCACACGGTGGTCAGTACTTTATATCCATCTACTCCCACCAAATGCCTGACAAACCGCAATGCTGTAATCAGTATCTTATGATGAGTTCAAGATGGCCTCAGAAATGGAACTGAAACCCATGCGAATCCACGAGGGCACCCTCGGTGAGACACCCATTCCCTTACCCCTATCCCCTGTGTAACTCAGGAATCTTCCCGGCTTAGCGTTCATGATGGAGTCCAGCATGATGTTGACCTTGACTGACTGGGCAATCAAGAAGACTGGGAAACTGCACGGTTGGTTCATTTTATCCAGGCGTACAACTCGAGACTCAACATACGTAGAACACGAGCCCAAGATGTGGGATAATCTGAAGGGAAATTTCATCAATCATCTCGACGAAATAAACCAAGACTTGAAGGCCGCTGGGTTGCCTGAGCTCGGAAAGGGAAATTGAGGTTATAGCGGATATTGAACAACGATAATGTTGAACATTCTTTGTACATCAAAATCCAAAAACGAATTCAATGTATATTCACAATTCAACAACAATTCGCACCATCTCACTAGCATTTGATAACTCATGTATTTGCTTGATATTTACATGGAACGCGCTAGACGCTCGCTCCCTTTCTGTCATATCTAGAGTCTTGGCCAAGTATGTAAGTCGAAAATGACATATGTTCACTGTGCCTTGGGTTGTCTGCGATTCTGCGATAAACTTGATGAGCTCACATGGTCGAACATATTGTTATTGATCTCATTCTCTCTAGGTCCCAAAAGGTCGTCGCAAGGTTAGACTGCTTCCAATCGCGCAACATCAACGTCCATGAGAAGTACTCTACTTTCTCGGCGCCCCTGTAGCCCTGCAGCTCTTGAATTAGGTGCTCAACGCACTAACCACTGTTCGCCGTCAAAAGCAAACAAGGTAATAAAATGATGCATTACCGTAGTCTAAAGATTTACAGGATCAGAGTACATCCTCCCGTCAAATTCCACTGACTGGAAACCCTCACGACGCATAGCTACGGATCGAGCGAAACTACACTCCATCTCGTGCTCGGCCTCACCTATTCCCAACATGCGCAATTGCCTTAGATGGGGGAATTGTGAGAGCCAATCCAGCAATTTGCACTGGGAGATATCGAAAGGCTGTTCCAACGCTTCGATAACCAGCGCACTGATTATTGGTGTCTGGATTGGAATGTATGGGGGTGAAGTTATCCAGGACTTGGTGCACAGTAGAAGCCGCAGGGTTATCGGGCTCTGCTTGAGGAGTTGCGGCAGTGCGTTCAATTTCCGGGAGACGGTCGACCAATCCGATGGACCGCGAAGGGAGACACGCATCTCAGCATCTGTAGGATTAGAAACTGGGTTGGATTTCCCCGACGGGAAGAAAATGTAGAATACGTCGATGGGGGCGTGGAGACTGGTGAGGAGGGGAAGGAACGGGGTTTGGATATGATAAGTCTTCAATTGGTTTACGGTGGCTTCGGATACGTGCAACGACGTGATTTTGCGATGTCGGCCTAGGAATTGAAGGAGAAAATCGAAGGCGCTCGACGAATCGGCCCCTACGGAGAATTTGGAGAGGGAAGGCAAGGTGATATACTGTCCAATTATCTCCCACTCGTGCGGTGTTAAATCGAAGTCCAAACAAATGTCGGTCAATGAAGCGAGATCGACTCGACCGATCGCTCTTTCCAGAGGCGACACGTCTTCTGAGGGGTTCTCTGAGTTGACAGCGGTAAAAAGGCGGGTCCATAGAGAAGACTTGTCGTTCTCAAGTCCAAGGATCTCAGCCACCTCACGTTGGATAGGTGTCGGCCCTACCAGGGCGTGATGCAACTTCGATTGGAGAGTAGTAGTTGCTACTTCGTCGATTTCGACGAACCACAGGAAGTGCGTCCTATCGTGAACATTGAGTTGACGAGGGGACGACGCCAGCATGGCCTTCATGAGCACCCCGAATGCAGCCCGCCACCCCCGCATGGAGTGCAAGCGTGGCACACCATGAACCGCAAGACTGTCCGGAACCAGGGAGAAATCGAGCGTGATGGATTCGATATGGCGTAGCTTGGTGACAACGCTGTATAAGTTGCGGAACTCCCAATGAAGGACGGACTCTGGGAAGTGGAATTTGCAGTGCAGATGCTTTACGCCAGCGATCTGTGGTGACATCCTGATCAATCTGAACGCCTCCTCTGTTGCAGCGTCGTTGTTGAGAGACAGCGTATCCACGGTGGAGAAGTCATTGGGGGCGGTGGAAGTGATGTTGCATCGCTGCAAATAAAGAGGCAGGAGAAAGTCGTGCGTCTCTCTCGAGAGCATTGCTAGCTTGATTAGCTCCGTCCCATCGAGACATTGTATGATCCGCTGCAAGGCATCAGAACCAATGTTCAAGAAGCTGGGGAACTGCTCAGAAATAGTTCATACTATTATTAGAGAAACTCACTTGGGCGTGATGGTCATATTATGGGTGTTCGATGAACTGTCGAATAGGAAAGTACCCCCTTATTCTTGCAGCGGCGGTATGCGGTCCTAAGTGAAGAGCCTCAAGCTGACAACAGACCATCGCGGTTGTGGGTCGCCTGGGTCGCCTAGTTTCAGATGGATATTGGTTTTAACCTTGACATGGTTATGATTCGATGTGCTACGCTGTACTTGAAAGGAAAGCACGGGGAGAGTCACAGAGACAAACAAGGGCCCGCTTCATCCGAGGACTCCACTTCCACATCGACACCGCTCTCGACAAAATAAACCAAGACGTTGCCTGAGCTCGGAAAGGGTTACAGCGGATATTGAACAATAATGTTGAACATTCTTTATCCAGCAACGAATTCAACGTATATTCGCCAACAATTCGTATATATGTCCTACACCTATATATCTACATATCTATCTATAGGATATTGATACAACTATGTCTGCTGTGCTCCTACTAGGTGCTAGTGGAAGTACGACATAGTTTGACGTGCGTCTTGAGGCTCGTCGCCATCATATACATAATACCACACCCAGGGCAAGCGTATGTTGTGCCGTTATGGATCTCAGACTTCAAATGCACCGACATAGCAGACAGGCTGGAGGTCTGATGAATGCAATTCTCGTGAGGACACTGATGTAGCGGGCGTCGCTTTCGTTGTGATCCATTGTGAGAACGGGGTCGAGTTAATGGATTATATCTGGGAGAATTGTGTGGTGCTTTGAGGCTGCGTGGAGTGCGATTTACGAGACTGGACCTAGTCAGCGAATGGGGCACAGTGGTGGGGGCCTCGCCGAACGGATTGGTCGCGGTCGCCAGTCCAGCTGGTGAGGGCATAGTAGGACTTTTATCACTTCGCTTTGGGCATGGGTCCAAAAAGTGGAAGACCCAATGACCATCTTCGACCCATGTAGGTGCACGCTTGAGCAACGGTAAGACTCCTCGCAAGGCCCCGATGCTCGTAGTCGGCGCTACCATCACAGACGTGGGCGAGTCTGGGAGAGCATTATACAAAGCATCTCGGGTGGGCGCTGACGACACGGTAGAGCGAGCAGCAGAGGACGTGGGTGCATAGCCATGGAACTCTAGCTGAGCCGCGAGCAGTGGAAGATCCCCTTCAGAAACGTATGGTCCGACTAGCGGCTTGACGTCCCCAGGAAAGTCAGGCTTCAAGGTCCAGCGCTGTGGGCTCGCGAACGCGAGAGTCGGCATTGCCAAGTTTGATACGGGTTGTGGGCGGGGGAGGTATCAGGGAATCTGCGGATTACTTTCAGTGAGGAGCTGTTCAAGGGGAGCAGAACACAATTTATATACGAATGCCATCGATGGTGGTCAGAGCTGTGGGGGTAGGCCATTGACACTAATGTGGATTGAGGTGGTATGTAGGACTGCGAGTGGCGATGCAACAATGGGTCCTGCTATACAGTGCACCTCACGGCCAGACAGCCACAGTACAGAAAGGCGCAGGACAATGGGAAGTTAGTCCGTGCTTTGACTACGCATGAACCCAACCAACATGTGCGCGGTGGCAGGACAACCAAGTGTCAACGCCACGCGAGTTACACTACATATTGTGTAAATGAACGACGCCAAGAAACAGTAGTCGGATTCAAGATGCTAGTAGTAGATGATATCGATATACACGTTGTCTATGGGATATGTACAACCAAGAATGCTTTGAGTCCGTCGCATGAACGAAGGTCGGAAATTATTTCCATAAAAGTCCAAGATATGAGATGGGCATTCATAACAAACTTCAAGAAATCATGCGAAGGATAAGGATGGAGAAAGATGGATGCGAACTTCTGAACTGGAATAAAACTATGGACGCAGGACCTTTCGCTTTATTCTGGAGGCAAAGGACACTCGGGTGACGGTCGTTGCATTTGTGCTCGCTGTATCATCGACTTCCCCTACTGTTTCTAGAACACTAGGCTGCGGTGAGCGTAGGCTTGACAACGAGGGTTTGTGAGAGAAGGATGAAGTGAGGTGGTCGCCAACGAAGTTTATGCGAGATGAGATGGCCTCGTGGATAGAGAAGAGTGAACTACGGCGCGACAGTTTTTTGCGCAGGCGTGAAGGTGTGTTAGGCGTGGACGAGTTTGGTGAGGATAGAGGCGTTTGTGCTGTGCCTAGCTGGGGCGACACAAGGGGTGTAGAAGGTCCTTCCGATGATGAAGGTGCACTAGGGATTCGTGACGGTGGGGGAAGGGGTGATGAAAGAGGAAGGTCGCGAGGTGTGACACAGGTATCGAATTCTTCGATCAAGTTACGAGCGTAATCGGGCATGTCTACGTGCAGGTCTTCAGGTATGACTTGATCGGATTCCGTATATACTTGTACACTGTCCCTAAAGATTGTGACCGTTCCTCCAGTAGCACTGTCGTGAGAGAACCACGGCGTCCTTGGCGAGAAATCAGTGTTGACAGTTTGAGGGGATGATTCATGGCTCGTTGACGAAGAGGAGAGCGAGGGAGATCGTAAGGATGGGCTTGATTTGCTAGGCAAGATAGGGCTGAGAAATCGCTTGCTACCGGACGGTTGTATGGGGACGGCAGGCTTCTCGGTCCGCGTCCTGGAGAGCTCGTCCGCCGAATGCGGCCTATTCGTGGAGAGCGACAGTGGGCGTAGGCGTGGTGCCACCGGACTCTGTATCGACATGCGCTTCCGTGAGTACGTGCTGCGAGGCGAGGCTGAGGTCTGCAGGAAGCGGGCAAGGTTGGCCAGCCGTCGCTCTTCAACGGTGGGGGTCGTGGAAGTGGCACTCGTCGCAAGCGACTGTAACTGCTTCTGCAATACCACGACTTCCTCCTGAATGATCGCTTGTCGTTTCTCTTCCTTCCACCGCTCCTGCTGCAAAGCTGCGTACACGCTTGGGTCCACCTGGCGGTCGGACAGCCTACTCCGTAGCGTGTCGATGCGTTCTTGGGCGTCCCGAGCGCGGGAGGTGAGCATTTCGGTCGCTTGTTTCAACGCACGAATCTGCAACTCCCGTGCAGCGGGCTGCACCGATTCAGAGTGCTTGAAGGCGTTCTTGAGAGACTGCTCTGCGAGCGTGTAGCGTTTCTGGCGAACATATCTGGAGGTGCGGCAACGGTTACTCTCGCCGCCTGCGCGAAAACGAACGGCTAGTACGCACTGTGGGGAAGCTAACAGCATGGTGCATGGTCCTGTGGGCTGTTGTTCATAGCACTTTAAGTAGAGACGTCGAATAGTGACAGTTGAAGCGTTCCGTCGTCGAGTGCCTAACGTGCTTGACGTCGATCCCGAGTCCGACGTTGGAGTCCCTGAGATGCTCGAATTCGAACAACCGTGTCACAGGGTCCACCGCCCGTGATAAGCTCTGCTTCATAGGGGTCCCCTAGAGTACGTACCATGTCCCAAGGCAAGAGGACATATCTATCGCTTTAATATATTCTACCGCTCGTTACTATTGCAACTGATATAAAATACATTTCGGTCTCCCTCTTTCAGTTCACTCCTAGCAACCGCTTCGTCAACATCATCACCGTCTTGGAGTAATTATTTCTGCGGACCTGCGAGTTTCTTGATTTCACGGCGGATAGCTATGTGAGAGGTACAAAGGTCAATAAATCATTGATTGGACCAGATACGCGGTGCTCACACTCAGGATCAAGGCCTTGATGAGGAATTTGCTCCCAAAGACCTGGAAAGTTATATGAGTAACAAGGCGTGAGTAAGAGATCAGATATACATACCTCCACAGCCCTCCTTCGTGGTACCCATATACTTGTATTTTGGAGTCAATTGGCGTTCCAGCAGCCAAGTACCGTATTTAGAACCGAGCTAAGAAATAACCCCGTCAGCGTAGGAACAACTAAGAGCCACAACGCTACTTACACCAGTATTTTGGTTGAACGATTCGACGATAAGGACGAAAGGTGAACTCCCAACCTTCTTGATGATCTTCACGATGGCACTCAATGAGAACTGGAGCGGCACGTAGCATGGGTGGAAAAGTTCGACGCACCTCCTCATCCACGATGTTCAAGGTGGGCTTGTTGATCAACCCAACGTCCAAGCCCTCCTTCCTGCACCGCAGAACCGCGTCCCAACTCCTATACAACATCTCTCCGAACGACACCACGTATCCAGCGGTGCCTTCTGCGATGACCTCGTCCTTACCCGGAACGAACTGGTAATTCCCTTCGAAGAAACGCGTGCCGTCTTCCTTGAGGATCCAAGGGACTTTGGAACGGGTGGAGAACACGAAGCGGATTCCGCGCTCAAAGAAGACGCGCTGGATAACCGCGATCATTTGGCTGGCGTCAGCGGGGAAATATAGCCACGATTGGACATCGGAGAGACCATTGTCGGCGAAGAAGGAGTTGATCCCGAAGTGGCAGCTAAAGGCGACGTCGGTGAGTATTCGACCAGCTTTAGTTTACAAGATTATCATCACATACGTGTTGTCCGCCATCTAAACGCACATTAGAAAAGAAGTGTGTTCAGACATAAAAGGAGTATGGATAATTAAATCTACAAACCTCATCAACTGCAAGCGACAGTGAGTATCATCACGAATTGAACACACCGAGAACATTGACTTACCACCGGAATGTGAGAAATGCGAGAGGACATTGCAGTTGTTCAGCCGTGCCATGGTAACCTCGGAAATGACCATCTCCAGGAAAGCAGAGAATGTCGAGAACACGCCGAATTTGTCTGCGTCGAAGCCGAAGCCGGCGGCGGCGGAGAAGTTTCCGCGTTCCATGATCCCAGAAGGAACGAAAACCTCTGGGTGTTTCTGGTGAATCACCTTCAACCCGGTGGAACCTGGGGTAAAGCAACGATCAATCTATGTCAGTAACGACTATTCCAGCGATGTCACCGCACCTTCAAGATCGGTGTCAATGACCATGACCTTCTTCGCGGCCTCCTCTTTCCCCAGCTTATCGAGCACCAAGTTGACGGCTTCACCGAATACCACACGGTTCGCGCCTACTTCCTTTGTAGAGCCGGTGTAAATGATGGGTGATGGGGTGGCTTTGATGTTGTTGAGGATACCTCCAGCCATGGAGTCTGGGTAGCCACGGCTGGCGAGGTAGCTGATAGCAGACTTGACTGGGATGACGTCGTGGCCATGGGAGCTGCCCTGGATGTCGGCGATTCCTGGAGCCATGAGACGCTTGGAGATAACTAACATCTATATGAGTACAGATTCTGGGAGGGGGAAGGGAACGCGTACCAGCTGCTGGGCCGTCATGGCTGAGTATTTCAGCGATACCTCCCCAGAGTGAGTCGATGTCTTCGCCTTCGACGGTGATGACTTTCAGGCCGTGTCCAGCGAGTGTCTTTGAGACGTCGTAGCCTTTGAGGTACTCCGACGGATGGCCCGCGATAGTCACGTCGTTATCGTCGATGAGCAGCTTGACATTGAGCTTCTGTGCGACTGCGAGGCGAGCAGCCTCAGCGTCGTTACCCTCTTGCTGCGAGCCGTCCGATCCCAAGCAGAATACGGTCTTGTCCTTGTGTGCAAGGGCAACACCGTTGACCATGGGCCTAAAATACGCATATCGGTATACGTACACATCATGATGCAGCGAGATGGTACGTACCACATATGTCCAAGACGCCCAGAGGAGAACTTGACGCCCGGAGTTAAGCCGAGTTCCGGGTGGCCGGGGAGTTTAGAGTTAGCTTCGCGATAGTGGAGGAGGTGTTCCGCTGGAAGCGATCCATCTAGCGCGGCAAGGATGTACTGCGTCGCGACACGATGTCCTGTTCACGCAAAGGTAAGCGGCGGCCTAATCATAAGGTAGGAGGTTCGCCCGTACCAGCTTCATCGAAAACGGTGGGGTAGAATTTATCTGAGAAGTTGAACAAGGCCAACAGGATACAGACTTCGGGAACGGTATCAAAAGCGCCGCCTATTATCAACCGCAAGCAATGTCAGTTATCCCCTCGCGCGCAACCCACAACTAGGACTCGCTAACGTACCCGTGTGTCCGCTAACGCCCCTGGCAGCCCCTGTAGCAGTGAACAACACAATCGCATCCCTCAATAGCGTGATGTTTGCCTGCAAATCTGCCTTCTGCTCTGCCGTCAAAGTCGGTACGGACGGATCGAGCGTCAACCTGTAACAGTCCCATCGCCGCCGTTCAGCGCACAGTCCCCACGGCTGGAGATAAAGGGACTCACGACTTGAACTTCTTGAGATCAATGGGGAAGTCGCTTTGTGCTCCAGCCATCCTGGCGTATGAGTCTGGTTCTGGAGGTCTGGGTGAGGGTTTGGGAGAAGGATTGGAGAATTTGCGATAGTGCGGGGAGTTGCTAAGTTGATTGCTTACAATATACAGGGGAGTTTTATCTGATCGCGGTCCGAGTTTACACCGCAATAACCATTACTGTAGACGCCTCACACTCACACATATCCCGTTCGATACCGCTCTCAAGCTATCTCTATGTCATTGCCAGAGCCGAGACTCGACACTGCGAAGAGAAGCGCGTCAAGAGGAACCGGTATACGGTCTCTGAACGGCTATGAATAGGTGGTAAATCGCGAAGTCTATCCGGTGAACGTTCGTGTGTCTGATCTTACAATGAAGAAATAATTTGACACGGTTGCTGCCATGAAATTTGGGACCGTGCATGGTTTCCGACAGAGGCCCCAAAACTCACCGGCTGCCACTGCATCGCAACCAGAATCCATGGGGATGCAACATCAAATCACATCGGATTGCAGGAGGATAAATATACGTCCATTGGCAATGGTAATCTAAGTCCTAGCTATGTGAACGTGTACGGAATCGCGAGCAAGGACGCCTGGGATCTGCAGAAGGCGGGTTAGTTCTGGTTCAAAGGCAAAGCAGTATTATCAAGGAGAAAATTAAATCAGGGAACCGAGATACGACATTTACATGGAGTCCAAAAGGACAACATGGTTCAGACGGCACTTCCTAATTGCTTCGGTTGGAATCATCACGTTGAAAGTTACCTGTACTTGGAAGAAATAGACAAGCAAAGCGGGAAGAGACTCACTGAGATCGTTGGCGTTGATGGAAGAGCGACAGAGGCCGACTCGAAAAAATTGTTGACCGATATATAAGATTTAGACTCCGACTAAATAAATGCTAAGTCAGCAATGGCGGTAAGTGATATCTGTTTATCCTGCTACGACCTTATCATTTACGGAAAACGCCTCCACGCCTCAGATCCCGCGAAAATACAAAAGCTGACAATAATCCCGTCTGCAAACCCAAGGTTGGCAGTTTGCAATTCGTAGCGAATCTCAAAATCCCAAGTCAGTCTTTGAGACTTATCACCATCCCTACTCCCTATCCTCCTCAATCGATTCACAACCTGATTCATCTTCACCCGTGGCCCGAAATTCGATGAGTGAATTGATTATTGAATATCCTCATTTTGTTGCAGGTCAATGGAAGGTGCAGTGTCCACGATGCCGCAGGCATTCGCGGCTCCCACCCACACCAATGGACTCAACGGAGGGGGGCAGCCGAGCATGGTAACCGACTCACCGCAACAACACACCTCGACGCTTGATCCTGCCACGGGCGAGACCGTCACTCCGCCCAAACGCAAGCCAGGCCGACCGAAAGGCAGCGGAAAGAAACATTTCTTGACCACAGACGAGCCCAAAGTGAAGAGACCGGTGGGTCGTCCGAGGAAGGACGGGCTGCCAGCAGGCTCGCTTGGGGTCATACGAAGGTCGAGAAGGTCGTCGGGGGACGGAACTGTCGAGCCGATAAGTGCACCTCAGGTACGTCACATTATCACGGCAGCCTCGAAGGCGACCTCAACCACAATGCCAGGGTTTCACTCAATGGCGCAATGTCAGCACCGACGCTGTCGACGACCAACAACAGTCGACTTCAAAGCGGGCGGCAACCTTTGCGGTCGAGCACACTCTTGAGGCCGACGACTGGGCAGAGTTATCGCGAACCAAGCCGAACGCATTTCTCCAAAACCTCCTTTCTTCTTTATCCGCACCAAACCCAATTTCAACGGTCGGTCCCAGCGTCGAAGAAGCCTTCAAGTCCAACCTTGTCTCTCTTTCATCTCCTCAAGCAAAAGGCTCTCAATCCATCCCGTCTCTTTACTCAATCCTCAAAACATTTTGGCTGCCATCGTCGCCTGCTTATTTCTCTTTGACTGCGTCAGCATCCACGGCACGCACTCCACCTGAGCATCGATTCCTATATTGGGACCCACAGCCCCTTGTGTTCAATGGCATATCGTGTCCAATCTGTTCATACCCACTGCTAAACAAAGGTCGGATCCGCTCCGGCCCGATAAAAGTCTATGACCTCGACAAGCCCTTTTTCATTATTGGCTGCGAATACGTCTGCAAGAGCGTACCGTGTGTCGCAGCTACCAACAGTGACGGTCGTAAATTCGCATCGACAGATCCTTCCATCCTTCGATCCCTTCCCGCGAAGCTGAAGGATGAATTTCCGGCGCGTCTATTACAGGGAGAGAACGACTCCGGGAGCGGGCCACTCATATGGAGCTGGAAGGACATGGGTGTTTCGACAGCGTTGTGGAATATGGTGAAGGGCGCTATGAAACTAGGGTTGCCGAAGGACACTATCATTAGGCTTATCCGATCTATTCAGGCCGGCATAGCTGATGAGACACCGCAGCGGGAAGAGGAAGAAGAGGATGCTGAAGCGGAGCATGTTGAAGAGGAGGTAGTGAATTCTACTGACATTATGATGGTAGAGCAACCACCTGAGGTCGATAAATCTGCTGTATGTCTCCCCTTTTCCTATCTGCATTCAAATGCTGATTATATCTGTAGTTGGACGAGACGTATGCAGATGCGTGGCGGGCCAACGCAGCAATCGTTGCTGCTACTCCCGTCAAAACCAATGCGACTCTCGAACCGGAGCGAACTATGAACTCGACTCCTACTCCGGCCCCCACGATCACCACTCCAGCCCCTACACTCACTCCAGCCCCCACGCTCACTCCCGTAAACACACTCACTACACCCTCTACTACCGTATCTCCCCCCGCTACCTCCCTCACACCAATAACGACCAAATCCCCTCCGCCTGTCAACGCACCAAACACCATGCCGCCTACTCAGATTCAGCCCTATGGATTTATTCCCAACACTGGGTTCTCTTCTTTTCCCCTTGCTTACGCCCAATACGAATACTTCACGGCAGCAGCAGCCAACAACATATTGTCTCATCCACACGCTCACTCACACTCTCCCAATGGCGCGTCTACGCAATCGACGAGCACCCTCCATACGCAGTCTCAACAATCCCAGGCTCAAGCGTCGCCGTCGCAGCCACCCCAGGCACAACCCCAGACATCGACTACTAACCTTATGACGATCGGAGCGAATCCACTGAAACGACCTTATACCGCGTTCATCCAGAATCATCAACAACCTGACGGGGTCAACGGCAATGGTTCTGCTAGCGTTGGTCCCAGTGGCGGCACAACCACGCCGGGATTGGAGCCAGTATCGAAGCGAGCTCCGCGCCATTGCTGTAAATGTGGTTCACAGGACTGCAAAGGCAAGGGTGGGAGGAGTTTCTGCCTGAATCCGTGCCAGGATTGCGGGAAGCTGGACTGCAAAGGGCGAAACAGCAGACGGCCAGATAAACGGTGCGCGGAGGCATGGAGTTGATTCGTTGTTACGAGGGTGGGCTTTGCAGATTTCTTGTACACCAGGAAGCGAGATGTTTTCTTTGAATTATTATCACAGCTGTGATTATATTATTGTTGTATTTTATACCATTGTCTCCATCCGATTTTACGACCGAGGCAGAAAAGTTGGTGGGAACTCGGCTTATATTCAGAGGAGGTAATTACATAAAAATAAATAAAGGAGATAAGAGAGTTAGAAATGCGTGCAGTGTACCTTCGTGTATTCGTCCCCGATGGGGCGACAACGAGGGAACGAGGAGCGGATAAGGCGTTGGACCTGGAATACTTCAACCTCTCTCTGTTTTGGCACTTATTGTCTTACATATTGTCTTCAATAATACATCACTGATTAAACGAGTGTGGGAATGCGTGAAAGGATTGATAAGTCGAATTATTAGATAATTATGCGGCGCGCCATATGGCCAGTGGCCACCTTGAAGCGGCCTGTTCCTCTTTTCCTCCTCATTTCATGATAACTTCATAGACTTCGGTGAGTATCACACTTGGACCTCGATTTCCTGTAGGATAGGCTCATTCTAAATGCCCAGACGTTCACGTTATGTTATTCGATTTACCAAGCGCATTAATTCACCTCCTCCTATCCACCCTGCCTTTCAATTCCAATACCAAGGAACAGCCAGAAGTTGTCCCGGAGTCCAAAGGACTCGTATTTCGACTTCGTCACGCACATGCGACACACAATGACTCTCGAATCGTGTTCACCGACGCGCCAGCGACGCCTTCATTTGCCTCCGACTCCGGACTCTACTATCCGGGGTTGCGCACCAAGCCGTTAACGATATACAAGCCCTCTTCGATGCAGGACTTTCAGGACGCTCGTAAGCGGCGTAACGCAGTTGGGCTTTCCTGGACATCAGCGTTGACTCCGTCACCCGACACATCCGACCGGGAGACTCTTCTCCTCCTCGCCAAGATGTCCTCCAACGCGTATACCAACCCCAACGCTACTGACTGGTATCCTCTTCCCGGATACCCCGACAACAATACCCATCCTTTTGGCTGGGAACCCGACGCAGATGGATTCCGTGGACACATCTTTGTTTCCGAAGACAATTCGACCGTGGTGGTTTCGGTGAAGGGCACGAGTGCTGGGTGGATGGTTGGAGGTGGGGGACCGACGGTTGCGAAGGACAAACTGAACGATAACTTGTTGTTTTCGTGCTGCTGCGCAAAAGTCGGGCCGACGTGGTCTCCAGTGTGCGGATGTCATCAGGGAGGGTACAAGTGCGGCCAGAATTGTCTAGAGCGCTCGCTCGCAGACGACAGCTTGTTTTACTCGGTTGGAATTGTGAGTTATCCTTCTCAATCTCCCCTCTATTCCTCATTACTGAGCACAGGATTAGAACCTCTACAATAACGTCACCTACATGTATCCTGACGCCAACATCTGGATGATCGGTTCGTTTGCTTCCTCTGCGCACTACGTATGAAACTTACGAATCTCTTAGGCCATTCTCTTGGAGGGTCTCTAGCTTCCCTCATCGGCAATACATTCGGTGCACCAGTGGTCACATTCGAAGCCCCACCTGAGAAGCTTGCCGCTACTAGGCTCCATCTCCCCACCCCACCCTCAGTACAACACATCACCCACGTATTTCATACCGCTGACCCTATCGCTATGGGCACATGCAACGGCGTGAGGTCTCTTTGCGCTATTGGCGGGTACGCCATGGAGTCTAAGTAAGTGACATCTCAGCCCCCGTCTTCAAGATGTATTTTCTTACTGAGTATGACGTTGTTATTGAACCCATTTAGATGCCATATGGGAAATATAGTCAAATATGATACCATTACTGACCTTGGATGGAGCGCCGACTCACGCACGCATGGGATCCTTGTGATCATCGAGAGATTGCTGGGTACCGACTGGTGGAGAGAGAAGCATAGCAACGCCAGCGATGGAGGGGCGGGCAAGGAGCCAACGAAGTATAGAGAGGTCCCTGAGCCAACAGTGGACGAAGATTGCATAGACTGCTTCGATTGGGAATTTGTGGAAGAGGATTCTGCCTTCTCGCGTGGTTGTCATTAAGTATACAGGTGGGGACCATTAATTATTAATGAAATTATTGCAAGGCTCCTTTCGATTCCACACACCGTATACCTTCGCCAGGAGGGTGGTTCATGTTCAGTTTTAGCCAAGGTACGATCCTCAGGATAAACTTCGGATAAACGACTTACTTTTCAATGTCCGCGAAACTGGGCTTTACCCTGGCAGTAAGTTGTATGTCTTTGCCCCCGGCATGGGTTTAGGGAAAGGATACGAGAAAGGGATTAAATGTCCACAGGTGAGCCATCTCGAGTAATGTGTTTCGGTCAGTAGACTTGTTTGCGACCGAGGATTATCCGAGCCCCAGATCATTCAAGTAGTATTTAATGAGGCTAAATGAACAGCACACGACGCCTTGGTTTCTGTACAAGACCGTGTCAATGTCCACCATTATCAAAGATGTCCCTGCGTCCGATCCTCGCTTTATCGCCATCAAGAAAGACATCGCTGCTTCGCACTCTGCGTTCGAGGAGCAGATCACCAAGGCATGGGCTGAAATCATCGCAGAATTAGACGAAGTCACGAAAGCGATAGCCTCCCAGGGATCCTCGGTCAGGGTAAATCCAGCGTTCAACTCTTTGTCGCTAATTCCCCCACACAGTATATACCCGAGATCAGGTTCTCGGACCTAGCTGACCTTGACCCGGAACGTGTCGAAGAAGTGCGGGCGAAAGGATGCGTAGTCCTCCGCGATCTCGTTGACGATGGCGAGGCCAACAAGTGGAAGGACGATTTGAAATATTTCGTCAAAATCAACCCAGGCGTTGAAGGTATGCACGGTGTTCAAAGTTTTCTACGTATCTCATCCATGGACAAAGTTCATCCTCCTAACAATCCCATCTTCTACGAGTTATAGTAAGTGAGGAAATCATTTGATTCCATATGTTGTTGATTCTAGCCCAGTTGGACTAAGCCGCAATTGGCGGCCAGGTCGCATCCCAACATGCTTGCGGCCAGCACCTGGTTCAACAGCCTTTTCCACTCCAAGTCGGGCCAGAATATCGGCGGTGTTGACATGTCGGCACCGCTAACCTACGCCGACCGCGTACGTATTCGTCCGCCAGGTCGTTGGCCTAGTGCCCTTCCGCCCCATGTTGATGGTAAGTTGATATCTCCAATTTCCATGGTGTAGCTTGATATATGATTTCATTACCGCTCCGCGCAGGAGCTACGCTCGAACGTTGGGAGGAGCCAAATATGAGAGTATGTTTCAAGGACATCCTGTCCGGTGATTGGCGCTCCCATGATCCTTACGATCTTGACGGTCGTTTGGAGGCCATGACATCACTTTATAACCGACCCAACCAAGTATGTGTCCACTTGACGTTCACTCTAATTGAAATCGCATTGAATCCGATGTAGTGTAGCGTGTTTAGAACATTTCAAGGCTGGCTCTCTATGAGGTAGCGTACCATCATGTCCTCCATTTCTGCGTACTTAGATCTGTTTTCACCAGTGACACTGGGCCGAGGGAAGGCACTATCAAGATGTTCCCCAATGTCAAAGTAGCCAATGCTTACACCATGCTTCGTCCCTTCTTCCGGCCACTCATACCGGTTGATTCCCCGGACATTTGGGACACAAAGAACTGGATTTATGGTATGATGGTTATCTTCATGCCTCTTCATTGCATCCTCATCGCCGTCGTATACAGATGTCGAGTCTCCTGAGTTTCCTGGAATCATCGACCTCGACGGCGGATATTACCAGAGGCCAACTACTAAGGCTCACCCTCACTTAAGGCTTGAGCAGACCTTAACATCTGCCCCAGCTGTCAAGCCTGGAGATGCCGTGTTTTGGCATTGTGATGTCATCCATGCTGTGGAAGTGGAACACGAAGGAACACAAGATTCTGCAGGTAACGTAAATTCATTAAACGGGCACGTTTGTTTCATTGTGTGTTGACTCGACTGCTAGTTATGTATATTCCCGCTGTTCCCACTACACCTAGGAACGAAGCCTACGTGAAGGCGCAATACGAGCGCTTCCTCGAGGGAATACGTCCGTCAGACTTTCCGCAGGGGCCTTCTGAACGACGGTTTATCGGTATCGGCACTCCTGAGGATATAGTTGGTTCAAGTGGACGCAGGGCAATGGCAATCCCAGTGTAGCCGACTTGATCACGAGCAACGCAATATCTTTCGACCCCTTCTGTTCATTTCATGCGTAAACCAGATATTCTCACAATGACCCGGGGACACGGGACATTGCGACTCGAGGAAGAGCGTACTGAAGATAACATATGTATAAAATTACAGTCAATAAATATATAACAATACGCAAAGCTGTCCAGGGGTTTCCTCGGCGATCAAGTGGCAGGGAGCACGTCGGTGGGATCGTCCTCGCCTCGATGGCGAGACTTGCGGCAGCAACCAGGGGCCTGAGGGTCTTCTGTGCAACAGCTCCAGAAATAAGCAGTTCGGTTAGCTGCGGAGACGTTTCCCACAAAGCATCGTTGGTCGAACAACCACTCCTCTATACGCCCTGTATATGTCTGAGCACCCGCACTAGTAAATAGATGCAGAATGTTGGACTTACCTGGATGGAAATGACACTCTTCTTCGTTGTATAAAATGATGTCTTCATCGGCATTGTAAACATATTTCTTGAAGCCCGAGCCACATCGAGTGCAAGTCGCGTACTTTGTCTTGCTTTGAACTGCCGGTAGTTTGGAGGGACGATCCAAGGCGGAAGGCGGCCGAAAGAGTTTCCGGAACGGCGAAAGAGCACGGGAAATGCTGGGAGTTCGACTGCGGGGCACCGATACGTCCATCGCCGAGCCCTGTCGTTCAAGTACGCGAAAGTCCTGGGGTGCTCCAATCGAGGACAGGGATATGCCAGGAGTAGAAATGCCAGCATCGTGTAAAGACATGCTGTTTTGCACGAGATCGACGAATACTGCACGCAAGTTCTGTTCAACGGACTTCATGGACTTGAGGCTCCGAGACTTCTTGAGGGTCCGAGGGCGAGGTACTCGATGGGATGGCGCGACGGGGGGTATGAATGTCATGGAAGCCGGGGTGTTGGGAGGGTAAGGACTCGATGTGTTTGAGGAAAGGCCTCCGTCAGACTCATAGTAGTCACTCTGCAGTGGGTCGGGCACACGAAGGAATGCGCGATGCATCTTTAGAAACCTGTGTCGCGAACGGTGGGGATGAGAAGGTAAAGGTAGATGGAAAAGACCACTGTGCTGCTTGCTTTATACACGGGCGTGTGGCGGAGTTTACTTTGCATAATGGCCACAACTCCGTTGTGGCCATTTCGCTTTGAACAGGAAGTGAGGTGGTTGTGGCTGGAGCGGGAAAACCACGCGTGGCCCTCGTGGATGGATAGGGTCTGACAAACGAAAAGGGAACAAGTCTAGAATGGTCGCATTGGGGTGGAAAATTGGCGCAACAAGATAAGCAGAACGCTATTTGCAGAGGATTTCTGCCGTTCGGGGTCCTCTTGCCAGAAGAACTGTCAAGGTGATAATCTTCTACGTTTATTGGGGCTCTCGTTGGTATGGTGGCCCTTCAAACAGCCAGGACTTGTACCGTCTGCTTCGCAACATGTCCAGTTGAAGTTCTCGGGGTACTCTCGTTGATTGTCCTCCGTGTCCATCGGACCGTGGACATCTTCGTCCCAATCTACAAACGCTGCTTCATTGCATTCCAACTCGCCTGATCACGAAGTTCAGCTCGGGAAGAGTCGCAAGGGGGATTGCCTCCCTCACCTGGATGAAATATACACTCTTCGTCCATCCTCTCCGCTCGCGTGTCATACTCCTCTAGGCAATTCGCGCATAGGTCATAGCGTGGAATAGATTTCTGTGCGCGTCCTTTACGCGTTACTAAGTGTTTCGCCGCCGCCAGTTCGAAATCTGGGCTGCTGTCGACTAGTAATGCCACTACCTGACGCAGTCGAGGAGACGGGGCTGTTGCGATCGCGATATGTAAGGCCTTTCGCGTCGTGTCGTCCATGTCAAGCTCTTCGCCATCTTCGTCGTCTTCCTGCCCCGAAAGTTCCTCGTTGGTGACTCCCTCATCCTCCGAGCCCGACGAATCCGATGAAAGGCCAGTCAAGTCGATGACTTCGACTTCAACTTCCGATGCGGCTGTTGCCATCGCTAGAAATCCGTCCTGGTTAAGATATCAACTGGAAATGAGAGTGTCAGACTTACTGTCAGTGCCTGGTGAGTTATTTAGCACTGGGCGACTTGCGGGGAAATCGGGCGTGAGAAAACAAATCGCGACCAGATACAAGCACCAATCAAAACCAGTCTTCGTTGAGCTTCAAATGCTACTCGGAGGACTCGTAAGAGCCCAAAAGGCTGAGAAGAATGATATGTTATACGTGAAGAAAGTTTGAGCGTTTGTTTCGACTGGATCAAACAGCCTCCTGTGATAGCTCCTATTCTCAAGGGGTCGTTGCGAGCGAAGGTTCGCCCCCATGGACCAACGAATGCTGAACACTAAACGGCCAGCCACAAAGAACCCTGATATTGGCCAAAATATATATCTACATATATCACCCCTTCACGTGCATAGGCAATTTCGAGGAGGCATAGATACCCAAAATAATGACTACCCAAAGAATCCAGTATACCATATATCCGCCAGCCAACTGGCGCTCCAGTGAGAGCGAGAACATAGACGCCGTGAACCCGGGCCCTAGCGAGCGCATAATTGAGGAAACAATCTGAGCTAGGCCGTTTGTTGTGGCGAGAGCGGCTGGAGAAGGGACGGCGTCTATAATAAATAAATTATTGCAACCTATGTGACGAAGCGAAATGAATCAAAGATTTCCGATCATACTGAAGGTGTCATTTATCTATCACTCACCATACACCATAAACGATTGACTATAGCACATAAATTGCACCAGCATAACGGCGTATACCTTACCGTCTACCATTCCGCCTGCTTGCTTCGTCAGGTAGCTCATAGCGGGGTATGCCCCGATACAAACGAAGTAACACGAGAACGACACCCGGAACATCGTTCGCGGACCGTATTTGCGTATCAGCTTAGCGAAGAACAACCACTGGAAGATACCATTGCAGGTTCCCCATATGCCCATGATGGCTCCTATGCGAGCGGGCTCGAAGCCCAGCCCCCCGAGAGGGATCGAGGTGGAGTACATCAGCGGAAGGAGGACTTGGTGGGACTGATCGACGAAAGAAAGGAAGGCGTGGGTGGTGAGGGATACGAGGATTGGGCGTAAGAAGAGAATCGAGGATACGGGAGGAGATTTGAACTCAATCTCCTCGTCACGAGCGGTAGTCTCTGGACCTTCGTTCGTGCCATAGCTAGTGTAGTGACAGTCCGAGTCAAGGAGGGTCGCCGATTCTATGGGATCACTCGATCGACGACGAATTGTCTTGGAGGGCAAGGTCTGTACGAGAAGATGCAAGTAATAAGTACGTGGCTACGGACAAGCTATAAGCTACTGACCTCCTTTAGGAATATGCTTCCGAAGATGTATACGAAAATAGCGTAGAGACCGGGTATTGCGCACGGAAGGAAATACGGGTATTTTTGAAAAAAAGGTATCTTCCCAAACAAGTCCGGCCATTGGACGGCAGGGCGTGCAAGAGTGCCTCCAATGATCGGACTGTAGACACGCCGCAAGTCAGATTATGACACGGATGTAAGGAAGGGTATCACCCACCCTAGAGTTGAGCCCGTTGCCCATACAACTGGGTATATGGCGAACGCGTCCGCAACATTGGTTTTGTCCGTGATCTGGCGTGAGCGCTTGTAAGGCATCCCTCTTGTATAGCGACCTACAGACATACCTCTATAATGGAATTTTTACCGACACCTATGCGATGATGAATAACGAGCATCGGGGTACAGTTAGAGAGGCAGAAGGTGCATTGCATACCGACATTGCCGTTGAATGCTCCTTGAGCACAGCGGCTCACGACGATCGTCAGATATTTTGACGACAGTCCAAAGCTGAACATCGAAAGCGAGAGGCCAAGCATACCCAACAACAGGATGGGTCGCCGTCCTATTCGATCGGAAATTCGTCCCCACCAGAGCACAGTGACGCATTCCGCCACGAAAAAGATGGATTCCTGGAATGCAGGATATCGACTACAATCAGTCACCATACATATCACCACGTTGAATATACTCACCACGATCCCAGCGTAGTATCCCGTTTTTCGTTCATCACCGTTAGTCACACCCGTCTCGCGCACGAACTGGTTTACGAATGGGAATATAACAGAGTTGCAGATTGGTTCTGCTCCCTGCATCAACATGAGAATGGCCAACTGAAGCTTTGGCAACGGCGTGCGTGTCGTGGTCGACATCTTGACTTTGCTAGGGGGAACCGATGAATGTCCAAAAGCTGGAGATGGCGAAATATTTGAGGTTCTCAAGCCCTGCCCATGGCACGCCATGACTCATGCGGGACTTCTAGTCGCATAAATGGGGCTTCTCCTCGCATCGAGGATGAGAAGCAGGCTAGGAGCTATTACGGGAATTATGAGAAGAAAAGCAAACAAGTTCGGATTCCGAACCGGGTTCTGCACGTTCAAATGACAAATGACGTTCCAGGAGACATCGACCTTTCTTCGCACACCACCACCACCACGATCATCAGGCCGACTCTGGCCGTAGACGTTGCTGAGGATCACCATGCTGAGGAACGCGATACGGGCTCAAGGCCGAATTCTAACGCGCGGTGTTGCTACCTCCGCGAGCAGCGCTGAGCTCCTCGACATTGGCGAAAGACATGTCACCAAAGGGTTGGGTCGGCTTGTGAAAGGAATCATGAAGAAGGGAGAGGGCTCGTACGTCTTCATGGACGATGGGCGCCGACTCCTTGACTTCACATGTGGTATCGGCGTAGCGAATTTGGGTATACTAAACGATATCTTGGCAGTGCCAGTGCTGACTCAAATACAGGACATTGTCACCCCAAGATCAGCAAGGCAGCGGCAGATCAATGCATGTCAATAGTACATGCTCAAGTACGATGAGCGCCGTTTGATGGCTCCATCATCATTGATGTATTCTGACAAGAGTCTTTTGATTGTTTAGTGTAGCATTGCGTTCCATGAACCATATTTACGCCTCATCCAAAAACTACTCCCAATCATGCCGCATCCGTCTCTCGACTCGTTCTTTTTCTGGAATTCCGGCTCCGAAGCCGTGGAAGCAGCTCTCAAGATGGCTAGAACCTTCACTGGACGCCAAAATATCATAGCAATGCAAGGCCAGTATGTGATATCATTTTTGCTACAACGCCACTAACTCTGGCTGTGATAGGCGCATACCATGGCAGGACATACGGTGCCATGGCTGTCACCAAGAGCAAGACAATTTACTCTCAAGGAACCATGCCCCTGATGGTCAGTACCCCCTGCTGAGGCCCACATACAATAACAGAATAACCCTTCAGCCGGGCGTATTCACCACGCCGTTCCCTTACTGGCATCATTACAATGTCCACCCCTCAACTCCGACCTCGGAGCTGACGCGAGATGCCTTATACCAACTTGACCTGCTTCTTTCTCAGCAAACACACCCGAAAGACACAGCTGCTATTCTGATTGAACCTGTCATCGGCGAGGGCGGATATGTGCCCGCTCCGGCTGAATATCTGCAGGGACTCAGAGCGATATGCGACAAACACGGTATAATGCTGATTATCGACGAGGTTCAAAGTGGATTTGGACGTACGGCCGGAAGTGGATTCTTTGCCATTCAAGACGCGGGGGTGAGACCCGACATTCTTGTTATTGCAAAGGTGTGTGCTGTGGATGTTTCCATTCTAATCGCGAATTTATATCCCTCAGGGTCTCGCAAACGGCTTCCCTCTCAGCGGTATCGTAACTCAAAAGCAATGGACCGACAAGCTCCTCCCCGGTTCAATGGTCAGTGGATACCCAATTTATTACATAGGATCCGTGTAACGATGTTGAAACAGGGCGGCACATACGCTGGGAACGCGGTGTCTTGCGCAGCTGCTTGCGCTGTAGCTGATGCTATGCACGAGGAACAGACTCTAGAGAATGTCAGAGCTAGGTACGTTCCCTCCTCTCGAACACCGCCGTAAATGAGTAACTTTCCCACAACTAGATCCCCCCAGCTAGTCTCGTTCCTCAATGGCGTCAAAGCAAAATACCCCGAGTTCATCCTCGATGTACGCGGCAAAGGACTCATGATCGCCATGGAGTTCGCATCTCCGACGGTATCAAAACACGATGTCGCGAGGAATGAGAAGGCGCCAGAGAAAGTTGCCGCGAAGATAACTGCGAAATGCCTCGAAAAGGGGATGCTACTCCTCACGACGAGCGTCTACGAGACCATCCGGTTCATACCGCCATTGAATATCACCGAGGCAGACCTCCAGAAAGGGTGCCAGATATTCGAATCGGCCGTGAAGGAAGTTTTGGAAGGTTGAAACAATCCGCTGTATCAGGGACTTAAAGGAAAGAAATAACTATTGTACTGATATTTGTTAGCCGAATCCACATCCTGTTTGCCGTCATTGTATTGTCAGTGCCGAAACCGTGGTGTGAAGACCATGGGCTACGGGCATCTTTAACGCCAGCCCCTATCGCACACAAATGCTGGCATCTTACTCGTCTACACCGCCATGAATCACCCTGCTATTTCAGCTGTATATCCCGGCCTCTATGGCGATGCCGCCGGTTGGTGATGAGCCAGTGTGGGTCCAACATCCTGCTAGCATGACACACGAGGTCAGTGGATGATTCCTCGTCATATAGAGCATCTGTTGATCTCTCCGTTAGGAATACTTGATTTATCCGGGCAAAGATCTGCTCTGATGGAAGAACCGACTTCCTGAAACCCAGTCCCCACATCTGCATTGTTCGAAGGAAACTTTGACCCGCCTACGCGGTTTTTAATAGCTTACCAGTGCTAAGCGCTAACAGCTTGCAGCCGGAACAGGTAGCCCCTAGATCGTTTGATCGACGTGATGATATACAGCTTGCTTCAGACGGAGACCTAAACATAGACAATATAGGTGGGCCTCACCATTTTCTATTTTCTAATTCAATACTGCTGCATCTCAAGTGTGATCCCACCTCTTCGGCCTGTCACATTCCGAACCCGTCAACCACGCGTATCACCCGATGCCTCTTCCCCCTATCTCTCACGGCGCTTTGCCTATTCCAGATAGTTCAAGTACGAGGTGATCCTATCAGGGTGCCCATGGCGGAGCAGGAGCAACTAGGTATCTCCATTCTCTCGTTTTTACCAGCCGCGGTGTCTTGTTATGGAATCTCAGCACGCGGCGAACCAAGTCATCTATTGCTGGCGATGAGGGCCACGCCAGTATATGACCGGGTGATTTGAGCAGGGGAGTAGTGAGTGCGATGACCCCCCGCTGCAGCTGTAATCCTACCACACCTGCCACACCGAACATTCACATTACGGATCCGCCGCAGGATTTCGTGCGCATCACCTCTGCGATCCACTGTTTATTATCTACTATGGCGAGCCACCGATTCTGAGGAAGCTGAACAATCCCAATTTGGGATCACAGCCCGCGGATCGTCTACCACTTCGACACCACTCGCTTTGACCGACCCAGGTAGTACTAATTCAACTTCTTCATGCCTATCTTCCTTCATTATACCATTCAAACCCGACACACACCCCGCCCTCCCTCACATTCTCATTCAGACGTCGTTCATGAAGGATATGCACAACGACAACGACCCCCAGTTCAGACGAGATGTCACAATGTACAGGGAACTCGCATGTCATTGGATAGCTCAGGAAAGAGAAGCCCGACGGACACAGCTACACATTGGTGCCGCTCAATACAGTAATGATCCTCTTCCACGCGCATTCCCATTCGGACACTTCACCATGACGGAGACCATCAGATGGCTGGATGACGTTCGTCGGCATAACCACCAAGCAACGCTGGTGTTCCGTGGCTTGCCCAACGTGACGAACGGGACGAGCTGGGCACCATTCGTATGGCAGTTATATTCTGGTAAGCAACTAACTTGCGTTGACCGTATCCTGCTCACAATACGCGAGTAGGGGAAGTTATCCTCGGACATGTCGAATTGGACGCGCGGCTGTTCTTCGACCCCGAACCTCTTTTGTCCTGGGATGCGGATTTCGTCCTGGAGTCGATGATGCAGTCGTTGAGCCAAGGCCGACAGCTACGCGTATCAAGCAGGATAGAAGAAGGCTTCCCACAAAATGTCCAAGTATTCGAAATACGCACCTTTGACAATGGCTTGCTCCGAGAATTAGGCCGAAGATATATCCATAAGCGCGTGTGTTCGATATGCCATCGGGCGCTGCCACCGACGGGCCCGCAACAATGTCTTTATCATTGAAAATCTCTTCGTGTGTACGTCTATATGAGTGCGCAATTCCTATATTTCCCTCAACGATTTCCATGCGCAAGACAGATGCCACTCACGATTAACCTGCCAAAGGCGTGGCAAGCCTCTCCCGTACCACAAAACCCCTGCGACCTCAAGCCTCAAGCGTTGATATTTAAGCTTCTTTATACATATATTTTGACGAGGCCCATTCTTCTAGATTTTACATTCAGTATATATCTCTTTTGTAGCCATACACACGCACCGTCGATTCTGATCGAAATCACCAATCCCAACTTCAAGCTGCATGATGAGAGTCCGTGGAAGGCTATTGAGGGGTCGTAGGGCAGGCAAAAGAGTTCGTAATCTCAACGGACGGTTATTTATCTATTCCAATATTGTACCTACAAGGAACAAGGTCACCAAAGGGAAATGCTAAGTACAAGGGGAAGTAACCTTCGAAGTTTAAGACTCCGCGAACCACATTTTCGGAAGAATGAACAAGAACAGGCGATTTCTTATATAGATATCGACGCAAATGTAGCGGACCACCAGCGACTCTTGGACGGTACCATACCCCACTATATTGCGTCCAGGATTATGAGTGCAGCGTACATAGGAAACATAAGGCAAAACCTTCCGCGATCGTTTCACGGCCCCTGTCTGTAAACGCCCCAGCGCCTACGTGGGACTGCCGAGTAGGTTCACGTTCACCTCAAACCACATCGACGCGTTCCTGATGGCCCCGTTGAGCGAACGCGCAACTGAGCTAACAAGGCTCCTTGGGCCACAACAATGGACGGGTTCGGTAACCTGAAGATCGACGTTGTCACCCTCAATGAACGTCCGCCGAGGGAATCATATGGCTTTCTCGTCGCAACGACTGTCATCGAGCCGTTGCAAACAGAGCTTACAAGACGTTCTACCGATCTTTTTTGTCATGCTTCCTATCCTCTAGAACCTGTGGCATGTGGATAGGCGAGGCAATTGAACATGTCAGCGTGATTGACGCGAAGCAATCAATGCGATTCGCGGACGACACAACGGTTCGTCAATGTTCTTATTTCTGAGCTTCCCGTGCCCTGTAGAATTTTTGCAGGTCTGTTATGTACCCGGTTGACTTTTAAGCTGGCGGCACTCACAAACCGACGTTTCCTGCCCCCAGACTGCTTTCAGCTGCAAATGCGACCTTGACGACTCACGCGCTTGCGGCTGACTGAGCCGTAGCAATCGCGACATTGGGACCCCTGGTGGTCAAGGGTTAATTGAGGACCTGTCGGTTCCTCGACGTTTGCATGCATTGGCGATGTCTCTAGCGACTGGAACGACTTGAGGTCGATCTCCAGGTTATCCCATGTGATGATATGGATAAGCCTAAGCTGTATATAAGGGGTGCATAATCCCTCTCTTTTCCTCACAACACGACTTTCTCTTTTCTTTTCTTCCCAGTCCTTTACGACCCGGTTCACGAGTTTTATCCGTTACGCGACTTGTCATTATCTTCTTCGCTAAACGACGTCTATTATGAAGTTTTCATTCGCCATCATCGCAGCTGTGCTTTGCGTTTCCCAATCCATCGCCCTTCCTACAGGATACGAAGGGCAGCTATACAAGGTAGGATCACGATTGCATGTTTGTAATCCAGGTCGTTAAATAGAACAACAGCGTACCAAACCCAAGGTCGTAACCACGACTGTTACCGAAGGTTGTGGTTGCCCCCCCACGTCAATTCCCGTCCTTAATACGATTCCGCCTGCGACGAGCTCTGTCCCTCCTCCCGCTACGAGCACTGTCCCACCCCCTGTCACCTCTTACGTCCCACCCCCAGCTAGCACCCACGTCCCCCCTCCTCCCCCGCCCGCAACGACCCACGTTCCTCCTCCCCCGGTCCAACCAATGTCCTGAGCCTTCTAAATCGGTGTTCCTCCTCCGAGGGTTCAAGAGCCATGGCATGGATCACTTCTACACCACCAATGTCGAGGAGATGAACAACGCTGTTTCGAAACTGAGCTTCAAGAAGGAGTCCCATGCCGCGAAGGTGTATACCCACCCAGAAGTGAACACCATACCCCTTCACCGTGTGTTCAATGGGCACGCCAACGACCATTTCTACACTACGTCTTCATATGAGCGCGACAATGCCATCCACAAGCTAGGCTACAAGGACGAGGGTGTTGCAGCCCACATCTTCGCAACTCAGATCTGCGGTAGCGTCCCTCTTCACAGATTGTACAATGAACATGGAAAGAACCACTTCTACACCATCTCCGAGTCGGAGGCTGCGACCGCTGCTCACAATGGGTACACGAGAGAAGGTGTTGCCGGATTCGTTCTCCCTCCCCACTAAATTGTCCAATGGTGGACATTATAATAGGTGAGACGCCGTACCCTTTTTCTTCCTAGAAACTAGAAACAATGCTTACCAACTCCCACACCACCTACAGGCTATCGACGCAAACCAACAACCTTTTAGACACATTACGACTTTTTAATGTTCCTACTTTATTCATGACTTCACTCCTGACCGGATTACGCCTTTTTGACGGACTGGGATTTTACGCTTCTTCATGACTGGCACCATTTATATTTTTTACAACTTCTTGTGCCTTTCTCTCTTAGACTCTGGATTGGACTCATAGTGATCGATGTAGATACTTCGCCTGTATCTCATTCGGCGTCTTACTTCGTTCGCCTTCAACAATTTTACTTTTTGACGCCGAAACCGATTTGTGCTCACATTCATGCCCAAATCCCCACCTCTCACGTTGAGCTCGCAGCCTGTCCTTTAGCGTATGTTGAAGGGATTCGTCCCTTCTCCTTTCACTCCTTGCACTCCTTTCGCCTTCTTTCTTTCTGGTGAGCCCTTCAAGAAAGGTCTGGATTTGCTAGGCCCTATATTTCTGTCGAGGCTGTGGCACTCTTTACTCTTCCAATAGGCACCACCTCCCCAGCGTCCTGGGCCACAATCCAACGTCTTGACCGATGGTGCATAATTATCTCAGCATGGGTGAGCTCCCTTCACCCTCAAATTCTAATCTGTCTCTCCCTGGCTTTCTATTTCTCACAACTCCTTGTTCTCAATGCCCTCTCGAGCTCGCTTATAGCGGACTACCCGCCAGGTGGTTAGATGGTTTCGGTAAGCTTTGTGTAGTCTTCCAGGGGCTTTTAGAGGGGGCTGCCTCCACGACCATGGGACTCCGCCCTTCCAACATAGTCCTTATCGCAGACAGCAAACCTCCTGCAGTCCCCTCTACACGAAGAGTCTGCTTCCCCACCATAGGAGATATCTTTGCGTCTCGCCCTACCCATCCCGGATACTCCGCATTGAGGTACTTGGGAGTGGACATCCCAGAGAGCCATATGGCCGATACATCTGACCTGGAATCACTTGTTGCAGCGGGGACGGGCGTACAGACGTTTGATTCTCGCGAGAGATGAGGCAGAAGCTGCCGTGTTTTGCATGTTGACAGCTGTTGAAGAAGGCCGTGAAGTAGTTGAATTTTTCTGTATTGATATCATGCCATCTGGGTATGCAAACTCAGTAACATACACATGCTAGGTGAATGTCGAGCTCAACCCACGCAAGTGCCCCCGTCCGTCTTGCTTAGGACTTGAGCTTGCCACCTCCTGGGTCTCCTTTGCTACGAGTTAGGGGAAGGCAAACTACATTCACAAGACGGACAGAGATCTCCGTACCGAGCTCCTCAATAGCTATGTTTAGTACATCAGTCTTCCACCAAATAAGTACTGCCGACACGGTCGGAAATGACACGCGAGGGAATTCTTTCGCTTCCGGGAGGGTAGGAGGTTGGGCGCCTACGCGTCCATCGAGTCAGTCCGAGCTACGGTGTGATGCTATGCCTCCCATAAGTGCGTCTTAATTGCGCGAACCTAATTCACGCTTGATTCCTAGCGACTACAATGCCCCAAAGTGAAGCCAGGCCACCATTGATCGCTGACGCAGATGGCGTATACAGAGTCCACATTATTGGAAACAGTGGTCGGTAGCGACTTATTTACGCGTTCTGACCGTGAATTTGACTCTTTATAATCCGGTTCCAGGCTCTGGCAAGGTAGGCTTTCTCGACCTGCGCCGCCCATAGTCCTAAATATGAGGTGGACCGCAGAGTACCCTCGGGAAAGAACTCAGCAGCCTCCTCGGGCTTCCTCACATTCCCCTCGACTCACTGTTCTGGAAACCAGGATGGACGCGATCCACCAACGAAGAGTTCTGCCAGCGAATCCGCGAGGCGCTAGATAGCTCTCCGGGAGGCTGGATCGTCGATGGGAACTACACCAGTATGGGTGCGGGCTTCGTTACGGGGGAGGCAAACAATGTAATATGGATGGACCCCCCGCTTCTGCTGTATTTCCCTCGCGTGATGTGGAGGACATTCTTGCGTTTGCTGAGGCTGCGCGAGCCGTGCAGTCCTGGGTGCGCAGAGCGCCCTGCGGAGGTGTTCTTCTCTAAGGAGAGTATCTTGTGGTGGTGCCTCACGTACGTTGGGCTCCGTTTAGGCTCGCAGTATCAGTCCGCAACGTGCCATTTACTGATTCATTGTGCAGCAATCATTTCAGGTTCAAAAGGAAAACTCAAGGCTGGATGGCCGATCCTTCGTTCGCGAGGAAGACGGTCCACCTTGCGGGATGGGGATCGGAATATAGGCGATGGTGGTCGTCGGTGGTTAGTATGGTGAAGGGCCACGCCAAAAGTACCTGAGAACCTTCTGTGTCTACGATAGGTATCTACTTGTGAATAAATACCTGTTTTCAATATGGTCTTGCTGTTCCAAAGTTCGAGATAAAAACTAAAGCATTCGTGATATGAATTCACTGTGCCGCTACCGAACATCACCGTACAACTACCTAATAATCCAACAGCTTCGCCAGCATGGCGGTATCCATGTAGGTATGCGTCTGCATTCTTCTCGTCAGTACACTTTCAATTTCCAACCTCGAGAGAGCAATGACAGGGGAAAGAAGGGAAATTCGGGGCTCACCTCAATGATCAAGCCAGTGGACACGTCGAACTTGACGAGCCAAGCGTAGCGGTTGTCGTAGAGCATGCCGTTCTTACCGCGGGGGAGGTTGACTCCACCAGCGTCTCTCGACCGCATCTCGACGATGGCGCGGTTGCCCATGACTATGGGCTCCGAGATGACCTCGGTGGTAAGGGGGGTGGCTAGTGCGGCGCCAACGGGACCTTCTGCCCGGACGATGAAGTCTAAGTCCGCAACATCACCCTCGTGAGCATTGGAGCACTAGGAGAACGCGGGAAGCACGGTTGAATGGTTTCGTACCTTGCTTCGAAGTGTACAGCCCAGCGAGCGAGAAGGATTTAAAGTTGGGATCGGGGTTGGCTACCGTCCACCTTCATGAAACAAACCTCGTCTCAATCAATATTGCCACTGCCATATGTAAAGGACGCACTGGACATTGTCGTCGACATAGTCCATGAATCGCATGCTTGTGTTGGTCGATTCCAAGTTTTTGAAGATCTTCGTAACATAGTCGACGTCGATCCTTCTTGGGGTACGGAGGGGGCCTGGTTGGGATGCAGCCAGGCCAGCGGCAGCAAGTACAGAGAGTAAAGTTGCGGCGAAACGCATGTTTGGTATACGGGGAATGTGAGTGGGTCTCTGGTGCAAGCGCGGGTTTTAGTGATTGGGGTTTGGGGACTTGGCAGAAGGGGACCGGGAAAAGGTGGTCAACGATGTTCGAGGGTGATATATAGGTTCATTGATGGTTCGTAAGCTACACCCGAGGTTAGTGCCCATGAGGAGATGGCGTGCGCTCTTCGAAGAATCCATGATCGACGGGGATATAAGTGGGCCACCCTCTGGATTCGATACCCGGGTCCAACCTATTTTGTCGTCTGGGGCAGATGCTGGAGTTACTATGAGTGTTTGAGACGAGGGAAAATCGGTGGGCGGGGCGGGCGGGGCGCCAATGAGCTTGGATTAATGATCTGCAGAATCATCGGGATAGCGCGTCGGCGGCGGGAAGAGTGGTATTTGTGTTTCCTTCGTGCCAATGACTTGTAGACCAAACATCGGCCCACGGAACCAATTGCCTTTTGTTCTCTAGCTCTCACCAGATTCAGTTCTCAACAATTGGATTTTCCAACAGGAACGACGGGCATTTCCTCACAATAACCCAGTTCGCGTCGCTAAGTGCAGCAAGGCAGCTCCGCATGATTACAAGGCAGACGGTCGTTATGGATCAATGGCGCTGCTCTAGTTAATTCGCGGACGGTCTCGCTTCTCTCATCCGGCCTTGTCAGTGTCGTCGTTTGTGGGCGCACAGCACAATTGCACGTTTCCTTGCGTAGGCGCTATGGCACGGTAATTGTGTCTGCTGAGTCGTACTTAAACCTGTTGGGCTGGGAGAATGAAGAAGCAAGCACATACTCTAGTCGCCTCACGAACACGGGAACTCGTCCTCATAGATTGGCTGGCCAAACGTCCCCTCATCAAAACCTAATCGCGTTACTACATTGGTGTAACGTCTACTCTACTGCCTAATCTATTGACATACCTTAAAGTCGAGACTTACGGTACGTTTCCCCGACTTTTGTGGGATGGACGAAGCTAATGGGTGTATGCTAGACGAATATGTTCTCTAAAACTGCTGCACGGTCCAAGAGCTACTTTCTTCGGTTACCAGCCGCTGCCGTGGCCATGGGACATAGCACAGTGGTACAACCTTTCCGCCGTATGCGAACGAAAGTACGAAAGACCACTGCAAAATTCCGTCGGCACACCCCCCTAGCTCCCGCAATCGAGGACGGCGCGCACAACACAGCTGGATTACCACCCGTACTAGCACCTTTATCACCTCTGGAAATTGAAACGTGGTACCAGCGCTCCCCATCCCCGCCCCCACCCTCGTCTCCCGCTTCCACACCATCGTTGCAAAACCACTCTGATTCTGATTCTGATGCTGGATCTCAACGACAAGACCCCGAAGACTTCGATGCTCGGTCTACCTCTCAAGTGAGCGGGAACCCGCTATGGGCACAGAGGTTCCTGCCCGGGCTCAGGATCCCCAACGGCTCCGACATGAACAACAATGCTGGCGCCCAATCGTTATCCCCCATATCCCCCCTGCCCTCCCCTGTATCGCCTTCCCCGCTATACCCCTCAAACATGATTTCCCCGATGTCATTTTATTCTCAAGATTCTATACCCCATAATGATCACTTCTGCTCCTCTACGATTGATACGACGATATCATTGACGACACCTACTACCGACATTTTCACGAACACAAATACGAATATCAACGACAACGAGAATGACGAGGACCTTACGCCCTATGGATACGAATATACCAATGCCCAGGTGTTCGGCGGAAGCTCGCCCACTGAGTATACGGTCGACGGCCAGGCGAATAGCAGTACTATACCCTATGAACTCCGGACGAATGCCCTGAGGTTCAGTGGAAGCGAGGCTATTGAATATACAATAGAAGGGCCGTATGGGACACGAATGAAGGAGTTACCTTCTCCACATATCGAAGACATTCAAGACATTGACCCCTTAGAACTCGGCCCTCCTGCTCAAGCTACAACAATCATAGGGCTTCCTGCTGAAGTATGCCGTCCCCTGCTGATGTACATGCCGGTTCGACTAACATAACTTTCGCAGACCTCCCTCAACCATATTCTCTCTGGCCAGGACTTCACCGTCATCATTAATGGACCCTCACCAGCGGACTCTGCTTTTGATGTCCAAGCCATCGATGAAATTCAACGCGAGATAGTAAACGCTTGTCTCCCATTAGCAAAAATCGACATCGAAGTTGCGTCAGGATGCGAGGAGGTCGCCTACGCTGGAAATGTCCTCAACGATCTACTCTGTGTCCTCCAATCCTGCTCTATCTCCCCAAACGAGATCGCCGTACGGCTCCCCTTCATGCAGCACCAAGACGCCAGCACAGGCATCAGCCACGCTATGCTACAGGCACTGAAGAATATCCCTCCACTCGTCCCATGGTGGCGCCATGGAAGGATGGACATTGGCCAGCTAACTCGCCTCACCTTAGTATACCCTCTCCCACTCGACGATCTGATCGAAATGCTTTCCCGAACCCCATGCGTCGAGGAGCTCAATGTCACATGCATACTAGCTCCAAACGCTACTTTCTCGGTGGATTTCAGCAAGTACACCGTTCTTAGCAGGTTATCCTCACTCAATCTCGAGTCGATGGTTGACCTGGAGGCCTTCTTCGAGTTGATCAATACCCCCAATCTCAATCGGCTCAATTTGAAAATACGCGAGGCTGCGACACCCGATGCCTACAATGTTCGATGGGATAGATTGGGGCACGTGAACGTAAACTGCCCCATGACGGCCGAAGTAGAGAGTGCTTTAGTCGAACGCTGCAGAGAACTCATATCGGAAGGGAAAATGATGATTAATCAGTAAAAAATCAACTATGTCTATGATACCATTCTATATGCTGTCCTGAGGCGTGTAGCGACTGTAGGAAGGCGTCGTCTATTCCATGAGGACCTTTAAATCCTACACGTAACTCTAGCGGCTTTGTACTGGCTTCTGTTTTGAAACGCGGCGCCAGGACCTGCTTGAGTACGCCGTCGTCCGAATGACAGCTTGTGAGGTTGAGGACAGCAAGATCAGGTAAGATACAAGATCCAGCCGTATCAGAAGACAGAACGCGCAAGACGTCGTTGGATATAGAGGGGTGGAGGATTTGCAAGTCGGAAAGCTTCTGCAGGCCAGGAATGCGAAGCAGTTGTATGAATTGGTCATCGTCGAGGGACTTGTCCCATACAACCATTTTGGTCAACGTACATTCAGAGCGACGCAAGAGGCTTTCCAAAGAACGCCATCCCCGTCCGACACCGGGTCGTAAGAGGTTGTGGATAGAGACCTTATCAAGGGCAGGAAGATGCAAGTTCTCGAGAAGCCGAGAGATGTTGACAAAGGTATATACCGACAATGTCCGGAGTGACGGCAGACTTGTGATAGCAGCGGGGACTACACCGTCGCCGGAGATGGTATCTACGGAGAATTCTTGGGCGGCATGGCATTGGCTGAGTAGAGTGGATATGTCGCCCAAAGTATAAGACCCAGTGATCACGACCTTCGTCAACATTGACCATGGTGCATTCTTCGGGATCGACTCTTCCCCTCGCCAAACAAGCGACGAGAGGGGAGCACCCTGGAAGGCCTTGAAAAGGGCGTCCACTTCGCCACCCGGACATGATTGCAACCGCAAGTCCAGGTCCTTGAGCAGTGGGTATTGGCATCCAGCCAGATGCTCTACTGGCTTCCGCAAGCTACCCCTGAGTTCCAGTTTCAGGGAGTCTAGTCGGTTGAGATGCTCGTGCAGAAGCGCCCATAGATTACTGGGGACGGAGTCTTCAGATAGATGAAGGGCGAGAATCGACACCGAAATGGTACAGGACCCAGATCTTCGAAGGTACGCCGCTACCCTTTCTATCGAGCCCTTGGTGCTATGCTTGAGGGAGATACGCGTCCAGAGCATGGGCATGCACAGGACTATGGTCCTCCACCGTCGACATACGTGGCTTATCGTGACTTTAGGCCCGCATTCTTCGCCGGAGGCGTTGGCGTGACAGTACGTGAAGATGTCGCACAAAATTTCGACGGGAAGCTGGTGGACAAGTGCGGGTGTGCAAGCAACGCTCGGCTTGCCTTCCACACTTTTCTGGTGAGAAGAGAAGGAGACCAAGGGGAGAAGAGTAGGCGAGAGTGGTATGGACGGTCGCCTCGAAGTCACAAACAAAGAGGACTGCAGCTTGAGGGGGGATCCAAAGCCAATGGAGGACGAGCCAAAAGTAGAGGAATAGCCCATAGTAGTGATCATTTCGAAACTACCCCCCGAAGTCAATCCACTGTCAATCCATCGCGAAGCACTACTCACCGTTTGGTTGTTGATTGCAGTTCAGTTGAGAATTGCGCTCGTCTGTTACATTCTTTATACACCTGGACTTCAACGAAGGGTACAACGTGTCAAATCGGACTAGCGACTGTTTGTATTGCCAAAGGTGGATCGTCTTGTATATCACATCGCTCTGCAGGTGATGGCCTGGTTAGATACGTTGTGCAGCGAGTTGGCGACCGTGATCATGCGTTTTCTCCAAATACGGATTGTCTTGTATATCGCACGTTGGGGTAGTGCGGCTACGCACTACCTCGTTTCGATATCGGCCTTGTACTCTATATGGTTGACGTTGAAGTCCAAAATTCTCATGATGGGAGTACAAGGAATGAAACAAGCGCCCACACCATTGATAGCGCGTAAGTACGGCCACAAACGAATAACACGTATCCCTTCATACGGCATAATGCATTCAGGGATAAACTGCACGAGAACGCGTAGCTACACTTTGAAGTCGAAACTCAAAGGTATCGAGATGGATTCAGTATCGCCAATAAAAGGACTGCACTTCAGCTTTTGTTCCGGTTGTAGTTTGTTAGTTAGCGATCTCTAGGTACGCGGTGTCGATGGTACGACTCTTGGGGTTGTTTACTCCACAGTACTTCAATGACTAGTGTCTCCGGGCTCTAGCCGCGAGGAAGGACGCGAAGAACTCCCTGCGACTGGGTTGCCTGGATAATGCGTAGGTTCACGGATCGTACACTGGGAAGGCGAAGGTATAAGATAAAGCTTCTTGGGAAAGCGATGTAACCAATTACGAGGTTGTTGGGATCGTGCCAGATAATCGTCCAACACGGGTGTTTCCTTAGTGTCCATGTCCTGCTACGTTAAACATACGCTCGTCCCCGTCGCCGCGAGCGAGTCTAGATATGCTGCGTCGGCATGATTCGTTGTGGGCAATTTCAGCGTCAACGACTTCTGAGGCGTGTATCTCAACTGAGGCGAGCGAGATGCGAAGACTTCCGGGAGGGCGCCGGCAGGTAAAGCACATTTGCTCGAGGTAAACGATTCCAGGAGAGGAAGGACACCGTACGCGTCCTCGCGTCCTCTAGACGGCGCTGCGAAGCAGCGTAAAGCTCGTTTCGACAGGGTTGGCTCTCTAATCTTCAGGGATATCAACGGCCGTAGACTTGGTAGACGAAGATACTGGATGAGACTATTGTCACTGATCGACTTGTCTGCGAGCTCCAGATATTTCAGATTGCATTGTGATCGAACCAAGAACCTGTCCAATGCATTATACCCCCTGGGTATGTCACAATACAAGTATTGTTGTAGATGAAGCTTCTGGAGTAATGGCGCTTCAAGCCGACTGGAAATAGCTGCAGGATCGGAGGACACTTCGAGGTGCGCAAGTTTCAATAACTTGACGAGAGTACTGGCAGAGGATCTGTTTGAGTCATCGATGCGCATCCTCACAACCCGAAGCTCTGAGCATTGCGACAGTATATCACAAATCGGATCGATAGGAGTAGCGGTCTTGAGATCGAGGTCCATTGATGATGGCCAGGGTGAGACAATTGATGCAGTACGAGAAGAATAGACGAGGCTCATTATGTTTGAACCTTGACGGAACACATTGATCATGCTGCTGGCGTCATATTCCAGGGGGCATCGCAGATATAAAGATAACAAGGAGATGAATTGGCATCCGGAGAAATGAGGGAGCAACGTAGCCATGTCATTACGAAGGAAGAGCGCGACGCTCTCTAGCTGGTCGTGATAACAATGAATGTGGTGCATCTCAGTGAGGATCATTTTCCTTGTTTTTCGTCATCCAAAATCTTCAGTGCAATTAGAGACGGCCCTGATCGCTGGAAATATGCTGCGGCCTTGGTAAGAGAATGATGATGAAGCCGTATGAAGATGTGATTCCAAAGGGATGGTAACTGCAGAGCAATCGTCCTCCAATGTCGACAGACGTGACTGACTATGACTGGGACGAATGTCTGAGAGTCCCCAGCGAAACAGGAAAATACTTCGCGTAGGATATCGTCGGGAAATCTGTAAATTGGTACCAGGTACTATAGGCCTGAGAGTGAGAGTCCTGCTGAATGGCGATGCAAGAGAAGCTGAAGTGCGCGTGCTATACAATACTTGATGCACTCACCGTTACCGGCTGACAGTAGGCTTGTTGAAGTTCTTGTCCGAGTCGACTCGGGACTTCCGAAAGACGATATTCAGGGGTTCGGTTGACGTTGCTAGCTCTTACTCTCACTCTTCCAGACTCTTCCTCGACAATGTGCTTGTGCACAGTACAGGGACGTTGGTCAAGTTCTGGAAGGCAACATGGAAACGGGCTGAACAGCCGCCCAATGGAATACAAGGACTACTCGGTACTTGTACTGAGAACAAGGTTGCCTCTTGAAGTTGCTCGTTGGTAGCAAGCGGTACATCTGACAAGTGACATACCACGACTGGATTATTTGCGGTACATAACGTAGTGGTCCCATGGTGTGTAGGTCCCACCGCCTCGGCGAACAATTGGATTTTTTGGAAAGGCGGTGCGTTTTACGTTACCTCAGTTCATCATAATACCCATCTGACTCTTCGCTTTTTGCTTCAGTTCTTTGTGCCCATGGTCCTAGAGGCGGTGTCTCTCATCGCTGGCTTCAAATTGACTCTCGCTGAGATCAGGAAACCTATCATCCCTCCCTCTGCCTACGCGCGCGTACCCAAGAGGCCTATCCCCACAAGACGATGCCTCAACACGAGCGGAAAACTAAACAACCCCGGAACGTACATCCACCCCTCGTGTCTCAAGCCCGTACACCGCCTCCCAAACGAGCTCCTCTGCGCAATCTTCGACATCTACTGCGCAGAGTCAGCCTTGCCCAAGGACGCGTCGGCGATTGTGCTGAGCCACGTTTGCCGAAGGTGGCGCGAAATCATCCTGCAGACCTCCGAATTCTGGACGAACATCGTCGTGCGGCGCGTGACCGAACACACTTCGGATCGACTCCAGGCGTATCTCAGCCGCTCGCGCACACGCGGAGATCCTCACATGCAGCCGCTGACGCTGGATATCGACCCGAATCAAGAGACGACGCTGCTGGACGCGATACTGAAGTCCGTGTTGCGCGATATCGGGCGCTGCAAGCACCTCAAGATCTCGACGGACTTGCCTCGGATCGACGCCTTCCTCGACCGTCTCCCGGCTTCGGGGGGCATGACTCTGCTGACATCCCTGGACTTCAAGGCATACATGTGGCGCTTCCCAGAAGGAATCCCGTGGGCTCGGCTCACTAGCCTCTCCCTGGATTGTCCAATGACAGGCGACTGTATCCTAGAACTCCTGCCCCGCTGCCCAGGCCTGGTGTCGCTGAACCTCAAAAAGGTAGTGGACACCCCTATTACTCCGCCGCCCTATGAAGAGGAAGGCGTCTCTTGGGTCGTCGTCTTAGCGGACCTCAAGACGCTCTCAATAACTAGCGATGACGCCCCAAATGCCTTGTACGAACGCCTGTGCTGTCCGGCACTGCAGAACATAGCACTCACCAATATATCGTTCTCCATGGCACCCATCGAACCGACCATTATAGACGCGTTCCTTCGTCGTTCAGAGTGCAACCTCTTGTCCTTCACCCTTTCCGATCCCGAGGCAGTGGATGACCACATTGTGCAATGGCTCCGTCTGCCTTCTCTTCAATCCATCACCCACCTCACCCTCCAAAGCCCCTCCATTTCTGCCCCCATCCTCGACACACTCGCCGCAACCCCGACACCGCATCAGCCCGTCCCACTCCCCAGCCTCACGGACCTCGAGGTCGCCAAGTGTGTCGCTGGTGATTCGCACTTACTCGACATGGTCGCCTCGCGCCTGGGAAGTGCTGACAGGACCGTATCCAACTTGCGGAATCTCAAGGCGACGGTGGACAGAGGCGTTGACCGTCAGCCGGCCGATTTCACCACCCTGCGCAAGGCTGGCGTGAACGTCGATGTGAGCTACGCTGATCTGGCGGGGCAGATCGATTTCCTTGGTTTCAATGCTTTGTCGTTTGATTAGATTGTGTACTGTACCTGCTTTGCGCACTTGCTGTCTCCTTGCTCTGATATTGTTCTCGGACTTGTAGTATACATCCCGTAATTGGCTTTCCTTTGCTCTCGGACTTGTAGTATACACCTGATAATTTGCTGTCCTTTGGTCTCACAGATAGGCATGTTATCGTGTTCTCCCTGTTGCTTCGTAGTGTCGCCGCTGTCGGCCAACATATTCCCTACATCTTTTCTTGCATGGAAGCCGAATAGCCTGGTTGCCAGTGAAGCGGATGCAGCTCCGAGTCTTGGACAATGGTTGCTGTGAACGGCGAAATTCCGGAGCATTGAGGCAACATCGAGGTAAGCACTCCGGCAAGCTTGACGTGGTGACGCTGTTTACGGGCAAAGACGACATTTCACTCAGTGACTCAACGGCGAAAATTCGTGAAATAAGATACAGCCACCGTGTCGTGTGGGTCCGTTTAATCGAGTACATATTCTACACGCTTATGATTGCGCGAACCTTCAACCCTATAACACCCCCGCCGCGGCCATCCCAGCCAGGGATGGGTGCTCGACAGACAGGGCATCTGCGTTTAAGAATGAGCATGTACGATTCCGTCAGATATAGAGAGGGAACATACGATGGTTGTCCTTCGCCAATCATCATAGTGGCGTGCCGCTGCAGACCGGCTTTTACAGCAGCAAATAGGCACGAGCCACACATGATGTGGCCGCACGGTGTCAGAGTAGCATTGGTCGGCGACGAGAAGCAGATGGGACATGTATACGCGGTGAGCAGTGAGCTTTGGTCTAATGGCGGCGGTTGCGGTTCGGACGGTCGTTTCCGCTTGCGATGCGCATGCGGAGGCGGCGGTGACTGGTTTGTTGGATGTAAGAGCTTCGCGAGGCTGGGGCTCGAAACTACTGGCGAAGTAGCGGGCGAACGGAGGCTGTGAACCTCCGTCGAGGAGCCTGCCCACGAATCTGTTGCGCCTCCTACATCGGCATCGTGCTCGTGCTCCTTCTGCGACATGGTTAGCTGGTCGACCTCCTCCTCTGAATCAACAATCTCCACGTCTATCATCCTCGCCTTCCCTTTCCCCTCCCCCTTCTCGGGGGAGAGCTTGACCTTTTTCGCGGGGCGGTAGTCGGAGAACTCGCTGGTTTCACGCATCTTTCCTTTCCCTTTGTCGACGTTTACGATGAGTGGCTCGGGCGAAACGGTACTAGGAGATCGAGAGGCTGAAGCGGCGCTGGCGCGGCCTTGCGAACGAGGCCTCAGGTTTCTGCTAGTGGTCGGTACGGGTAATGGATCCTCGACGAGCCCACCGCTGGAGGATAGTCGGGATGCCATGAACACAGTGCGTGAAGGTGGAAGGTAGTGTTCAAGATGGGTGAGTCACGTGCAATGGTGAGGCTGGCACTAAGTACCCCATCAAATCAACACAAATCTGATAGCGTGAAATAATCTATCCTGAGCACTCATACGCAGCAGGAGAAGCCCTGAGACTCAGCCCCGGTCGGAAGGACTTACCTTGGATTTATTGAATGGACCATTTCTCAGACACGTAGTACAAGATGAGCCCCTGTGGGCTCCCCGCTCCTGGCCGGAATATTCTCACGTGACCTTCGCGACGGGTTTCGCATCCCGCCCTATCCCGCCAGAGTTTGAAGTTAACGTTGACCATTACCATTCAAATATTCACCAGGACCCACCACCAACCCATCGCTGGACCAATCGAGATGAACAACGCAGAACTCTTCGACAAGGTCATCGAGAAATGCTACGATCTTTGAGGAAACTGCGCAATTCACAATACTCTGCGACGTCGCGACTCCCATTGGAAGTCCTAGCCCTCATTTTCAGATCTCATATGTCGGCTGCTCGTGGAGGAACCCTCATATTGAATATGTCGTCGATCTGGGGAATACTGTACGGGCAGTGTTCACAGAAGTGGTTGGACTTTATGACTGAATCGCGATCAAGCAAAATTCACCAATTCCCGGCTCCTCCGTTCCATGGAGTCTAATATCACACACGGCCTTATGTCCTGGCGTTTAGAGCCGCTAAGTTCGAAGAACTCCATGTCGAGGGCGCGAATTCGGAAGCTGCGAATATCCTAATAATTTTGTCCCCAGTTATTCCCTTTCTAACCCTCTTTCCAAGAGTGACACGGCGTCTATGGAAGAACTTCATTCTAACGATATCATATTTCTGTTCAACGCGCTTCGAGTGCCTGGACACCTCCCATATACCCCAACATGCGCACAGAGGGCCTTCTCTGCAGCTCTTCCCAAAGCCACTAAACCGGCAGCCAGCCCCGAAGCCAGGCCAACAGGACAAAACCCAATCCCGGATGCACGACAAGCACCCAAACTTCCTCATCAACTCTATCTACCTATCCTCCGGCAGGCAGTGGTGGTGCAAGAAACGGCGTTGGTTATGCCGTGGAGGAGCATCATCTTGCTGTGTCTGGCGCCAATCTTGACATCGAAGATAGTGGGGAAATTGGTCTTAGCGTAGATGAGAGGAGCGATTTGGGAGACGGCGTTACATGCCTGCTACAGGTGCGCTCGTGACAATTCGTACACGTCGTTTAATTGACGGATACTTGAATACCACTGCGAACAATATTTAGCTACTTTACTCAGGAAGGATCCTTTGGGTCGCTAGGACATTCTTCTGAGGAATCGCGCGAAGACACGGAGCGAAACATAATTCTATCAGTGATCCACCCTTGATGTATGTATCAGTATTCGTATCGACTTCAACTTTTGAATTTTTGTCTTAGGATAGCTACGCCCATTATGCCGTGAGCTTCGTGGCTGTTTGGCTATGGTTTTGACCGAACTGTGTACTCCGCACAAGTCATGAGGGTCATCGCCGAAAATTAGCCCTTTTGAGAGACTGACGCGTCCGGAGAATTTCTCATCGTTCCTACGCAATAGTTGTGCCCCTGTTATTCACGACAAGACGTGTACACGACAGGCATCAAATCTGCATGCATACATGTGACCCCGCCATGGTGACTCCCGCTACTTGTCTTCCCACTGGTTACTCAAAATCGCTCAACAATCTGTCAGAAACCAGGATGCTGCGTTACTATAGGTCGCTATTGACGTATCTCCCTCGGCCTCTCTTTGCCATCCCGATCAGAGATTGAAGAAGGTCGGCGTGAACGCCAGAGCAAAGGCCTGTGAGCACTTTCATGGTTTTGGGCTATCCTATCACACCTCCTCCCAGCTTCCGAAACCATGGATCTTCTCTGTTCGTCGATGCACTGCTTCAAACATGCTTCCTTCCGACTCAATTCTGTCAGTAACCGCCAGTTTCACCGCTTCGGCTTCCACGATGATCACCTTGTGAGCCCGTTGAGATCATTTGTTATATCTTGACATGTTCTTCGGAGTCCTGGACGGCATGCCAGTACGACAGACATTGGGTGCGTTTGTGGTTTACGCAATGCCCCTGTTGAGCACAGCGCTGACCGTCGGGGTTTATCCCATGGAGACAAAAGTAAACCGCTACCTTTGACGCTTATTTTGGCACAGGCAACATCCGCTGGTTCGGATAGACGTCTTGCGCAGACCCATCTCAACGCATGTGCTCTGCGACTGGCTACATCAACGACATCGGCGCTCCCATTCCAACGCCACACAGATAGCAAACCTTTCTCAAGCACTTTTGTCTCAGGTCCCATGGGTTTCCGCCAGTGGGCACGTATTGTGCTACTAGTCGTACAGTCGATTTTTCAAGGTTCCTGGCCTTCCAACCCTAAACGTGAATGGCCTTGCTTCTGATGTAACCTAGTCGTGACCAGTCTCCATAGCAGGTACGCATGGTCCACCCCCTCTTCTAGTTTCACTGGATGCACAATTCTGCATTTAGCATCCGCCTTCTCGGCATAGCTAGTGTGCCTCCCAGAAACTGTCAGGGGGTAAATGGGGTCAGGCGTATAATCAACTTCTCTTTGATGCATTGATGATGGAGCAACCGTGATCACACCATGTCTCCCCAGTGTGCTCAGTGTAAATATACACCGGCATTTCCGTAGTCTCGATCGAGTCTCGACAAGTGGTATTGATGGCCTTGATCGGCCTGCGACGCTGCTGGCTGGAAGTGCAGGCTCCAAGGGGGATGGCGGGCAGCAAAACGTTGGCCATATCCGACACAGGGACTACAAAACGTCGCCAACACCATGTGCAGCGCTATTAATAGCCAGGCTTCGACATGGGAACTTCTGTCCCATACTAAATGTGATGTACACGCCCTGTCCCAGCGTCTTTTAAAAGCCTCGATGTTCACTGTCAATACCTTTCACGACGCACCAACGACCAAGACGACCTCGAGATGCTAGCTATCGCCCTCTTGCTGCTCTCGCTGGGCATTGCGCCTTCTTTCCAAACGCGCCCCCCGGCCCCGAAGGCCTGCAAGACTTTCCCCGGAGATCCTGACTGGCCATCCCCCGCAACGTGGCACGCTTTTAACGCTTCTGTCGACGGTCGCTTGATCCGCACTGTACCCATTGGTTCCCCCTGCCACAATCCGAACTTCAATGCAACCGAATGTGACATCATCAAAGCCAATTGGCATGACCCTGCTTTCCAGTCAGTCTTCAACGTTTTCGCATTTCTTCCTTGCTGAGTTTCTGCATTATAGTGAACTAAGCCCGTCATCGATTCAAGACTCCCTGTGGGCGAATAAGAGCTGTGACCCTTTTAGTCCCCCAGACTCTCGATGTATCATTGGCAACTACGTCCAATACACCGTCAACGTGTCTACCCAGGACCACATCAAGAAAACCCTCACTTTTGCCAAGCAGCACGACATTCGGTTCGTGCTTCGGAACACTGGCCACGAGTAAGCCATAGTAATTGCTTGCAACGTGCCGATATTAATTGACCAAAATATCTTAGCTACATGGGGAAGTCTACCGGAGCTGGAGGTCTTGCCATTTGGACGGGAAACATGAAGAAAACTGAGTGGATCCCGCATTTCAAGAGCGCAGGCTACTGTGGGCCTGCGGTCAAGGTAGCCGCTGGTGTTTCAGTAATTCAACTCTATGAAGAAGCCGATGCTCGTGGTTTCGCTGTAGTCGCCGGCGCTTGCCCAGTTCGTTATTCACACTTCTTCGTGGGTGCTTTGCTGACATTTCCTCATCTAGACTGTTGGGTTCGCTGGTGGATACATTCAAGGAGGTGGCCATTCGGCCTTGAGTTCGAAACACGGTCTGGCGGCCGATAACACGCTTGAGTTTGAAGTGATCACTACAACAGGCCAATTCTTAACCGCATCACCCACCCAAAACTCCGACCTTTACTGGGCCATCAGCGGTGGGGTAGGTTGTTCGTCTGTTCATCCGTTGTTCTGTGTCTGATTCCCGCCCAGGGTGGAGGCACCTACGGTATCGTCTGGAGTGCGACAGTCAAAGTCTTCCCCGATGAGGAGGTTTCGGGAGCTTCGGTCAGCTTCGCTGTAGGTCCCAACGTGACGAGGGACCTTTGGTGGGAAGGTATCAATTTCTACACAGCTCAGACTCCCAATTACACAGCTGCCGGTGCTGTTTCATACGCCTTTTACTCGGGGGATACGTTTAATCTCTCGCCTCTCTTCCTGCCAGGCGGGAACAAAGATCAAGCACGAAAGCTCGTCCAACCATTCCTTGATAAACTCGTTCAACTCGGAATCCCCCACAACGTTTCCATTGACAACTTCCCAGGGTACCTCCCTGCGTACACAGCGCTCTTCCCCAGCGCTTTGTTTGGCGTTTCCACGCAATTGTTCGGAGGGCGATTGCTGCCTCGGTCATTGTGGGACAGCCCCCAGAAACTTGCGCCGCTCCAAGATTCTATTAGGAACATCGTGGACGCCGGCGCCCTGGCTTTCGACATTGCCATAAGGCCGACTCTAGCAGTCGCTGGAAACCCAAAAAACGCCGTCCTGCCCGCATGGCGCGCAGCAGAGAGAACGTTTAACCCTAACTTGTGCGTACCTCCTGGCGCTGTGTTCACTGTCACAGTGTTCCTGACCATGCTTGAGCAGACCATGGGACGACACCGCGAACTTCGCAACCACCGTCGCTAATCAACTGGATACCATCACCCACAACTTTGATGAACAACTTCGCAAACTCACACCAGGTAGTGGAGCCTATCTGAACGAGGTGCGATCAACCGGTCTCTGCTTTCAACTTTGTCATCCATATGAATAACAGTTGGTGTGACAGGCTGATCCGTTCGAACCCAACTTCAAGGAGGCATTCTATGGGCCTAATTACAATAAGCTCCTTGCAATTAAAGACAAGTTTGATCCTGACCAACTACTGTTTGGATCAACCGCTGTAGGCGGTGATAGATGGGTACAGCAGCCCGATGGCCGACTGTGCAGAGCATAAAGTACGTCTGTCTACGTGTTATACCACATTTATGTCAAAACTTGTGCGCATGGTCCTTTTCTTTAGTCTACATTGTATAGGACATCGATTAATTGGGATGAACATAATTGTTTTCGGTCTGTAACTTGAGTGAACCCCCCGCGGCGTTCAGCAAGCCTGAGGATGGCTCATTGTGTGGGTACGAATGCTGGCGTAGGGCCACATGGTACGGCTTCATCCTTTGGACTCTATAACACTACATTGACAACAGTCCATCAGTTGCAGAGACTGACGACGTTTCCGTGCCTTTAATTCCTAGTTTGGCTTCAACTCCGGATGAACAAGTACCATACTCCACTGGGTACGGGCATGAGAATGACTCTGAGTATGTTGGTGCTAGATTCGGCGTTTTGACAACGTCTATTTGCCTCATTGATTAATCCACTTAGTAAGTCCACTTACACGCTTCAAATACAAGTCATGCTAAACAAACAGCGATCCCTCGGATAGTCGCTTTACCGGGTCTGCCTGTGAGCCATCCATCAATATCAAAATTTGAAGACAGAGCGCATCAAGCTCAGACCGGGTGTTCATTCATTCCTTGGGAACGTCTCCTACTACAGGTGTCCAGACCGGAGAGAAAAGAAATGATTTACATCAAACTTGACTATTGAAAAGGACGGCCAGTCCACGCAAGTTACTCCGCGTGGTTATAGCCATGCACTACGCCCTATGTCTACTTATCTTCTTGCCAACCGCATTGGCAACCCTGCGTCGATGTAAGACGTTTCCGGGTGACCGAGATTGGCCATCGCCTAGAATGTGGGACGTCTTTAATGCCTCTGTGGATGGGAGATTGATCCGCACTGTGCCCATCGGTACACCCTGTCATAACGGCGCCTCTTTCTCAGAAGACGAATGCAGCATAATTCAAGCGAATTGGCACAACTCTTCCTTTCAGTATGTCCGTTTTTACCAATGTACCTTACATATCTCAATATGTCCACAATAGCGAATTAAGTTCATCCTCTACTCAAGTCTCACTCTGGGCGAATCAGAGCTGTGACCCTTTCTCTGGGCCGGATTCGCAATGCATCATCGGGACTTACGTTCAGTACGCAGTCAACGTCTCCACACCGGCACACGTCATTAGCACTCTCAAATTCGCAAAGAAGCATAATATTCGCTTTGTCGTCCGTAATACTGGTCACGAGTCAGTATATTCAAGCGGGTCCTACTACTGTCATGTACTGAACATAGGCAATTATGCAGTTATTTCGGAAGGTCAACGGGTGCCGGTGGCCTGTCGATTTGGACATTCCACCTCAAAGAAACCCAATGGATCGATCATTTTGTCTCTAGCACATACAAGGGCGTTGCAGTTAAAGCCCAAGCAGGTGTCTCCGGGTTGCAGATATACCAGGAAGCCGATGCTAGAGGGAAAATTGTAGTCGCTGGAGCATGCCCAGTATGTTCAATGGCAAATCTCATGTACTAACAACGCTCATATTTCGACAGACCGTTGGATGGGCGGGGGGATATATACAAGGAGGCGGACACAGTCCAATGGGTTCCAAATTCGGGATGGGGGCCGACCAACTGCTCTCCATGGAGGTTATTACCACCACTGGAAAGTTCGTCACAGCGTCTCCTACTCAAAATGAGGACCTATTCTGGGCGATGAGCGGTGGTGTGGGTATTCCCAATTCACGTCAATCTAAAGCAATGTTGACTGCTGACCACATCAGGGGGGTGGCACTTATGGCATCCTCTGGTCGTTGACAGTGAAGGCGTTCCCGGATATGCCATGTGCTGGAGCTCTACTGAGCTTCAACGCTGGACCTACCGTATCACTTGCAAAATGGTGGGAAGCAGTCGACTTCTACCAGGAGAGCACCCCTACAACAACAGACGCAGGAGGAGTATCGTATTCGTTCTATTCAGAAGGGTCGTTCCAAATGGCTCCTCTTTTCCTTCCCAACAGCACTGCTGCTGGTGTCAAGGAGCACATCCAACCTTTGGTGAACAAACTCAATTCCCTCGGAATCCCGCACAACCTCACCATCGCCGAATACCCTGGGTTCTTTGCCGCTCACGAAGGGCTGTTCCCCCCGGAATCGTTCGCTGTCGGGGTAATGCAATTTGGCGGCAGACTCCTACCTCGTTCACTTTGGGAATCTAAAGCTTCCTTGGCCAAGCTTAAATCCGTGGTGAGGACAATGGTTGAAGACGACGCCGTCATCTTCGATATTGCTGTGAGCCCAACCAAGGAAAGAGGCGGAAACCCGAAGAACGCAGTGCTCCCTGCATGGAGAGAAGCCGAGCGCACATTCTACCCGACACTGTATGTCATCTTCTTCATACATTGTCCTGTTGCTCACTCAGCTTCAGCCCATGGATCGATCGTGCACCCTTGAGCGTCGCGGTACAGCAAGAGAATAAAATTACCCATGCCTACGATGCCGCGCTACGTGCATTAGCACCGAAAAGCGGTGCGTATCTGAATGAGGTACGTGCTCTAATCCTCCATGCTTCGCCGTCCTAATCACCATCTCCACTAACACCTCAGGGCGATCCATTTGAGCCAGATTTCAAAACAGCATTCTACGGCGTCAATTATGCAAGACTCCTCGAAATTAAGGATAAGTGGGACCCAGATCAACTACTCTTTGGTGCGATAGCAGTCGGGGGCGACCGATGGAAAACGGCTCCGGATGGTCGACTCTGTCCTGCATAAACTAATCTGTCCAGTCGTAAAAGTCGTTATTGAACGTCATGATAGAATCCTAAGTATATACATTATGGGTAAGAAAGTCAATAGATGAACGAGTGCTATGGACGTGTGTGTTGGGCGATATAATAAGGAGCGTGGTAGCCAGCAAGATGGTTTCAAGCAGCGATATGTGTGGAATGCAAATGTGGATACAAAGGAACAATGTCAGGGAGCGATACAAAGTCAAGATACTCAGCCAAAATTGTTTTGAGATGGATATTAAGCACGAAAATGGTATACGGCATCGACCAAACCAAAAGCCAGAGTGAAGTGATGCATTGGAGCAACAAGATGGCAAAAAAATGTCCGCGTTCCTTGACTAGTGTTTGAGCGAGCGTAACATCCGTCGAAGTTTCCGGAGTTGTTCGACTCTGCTGAGGAACTTTCTCCACCAGGGTGGCCCGGGTCGATGAGAATAACGAGACATTGCTGTATTGGTGCTGGATGACGAAGAACAGGAAGAATGGCGGCTGATAGAGGATGCGGGGCGGGAGGCGCAAGGAGTTGGAGGTGCTGTGGAATAAACGGACGGTGACATTCGACCTGACGCATACTCGGGAACGGGGAAGTGATTTGTATTGGGGCCTACGCTCAGGCTTAGATCCAGCGCCGTAGTTGATCCCAGATCCATCTTGAGTTCGTCGTCGGTCCCTTCCTCAGATGGTCGCGCCGTTGGAGTTTCTGTCGCATCCCTAGCATCCTGTTCATCGGGCGAGGTTTCACCTATATCTGCCCCCGCTGGCGTTTCTTCAATCATGAGACTACTAGTAGAGGCTTGCAATTGTGACAAGTCGATTTCTGATGAAGCCGAGGCCGCCGCAGTGGACTCGAGCAGCCCCTGCATGAAATCAGACCATTCCTTAGGCTTTGCTTCTAAGCGGTCAGAAATCCCCAGATGATCTGTTAGTGGCCCGCGAGCTTCTACTTCTTCCCCCATCATTAATTGCAGGGGAGGCAAATTCTGAGAGCGCTGAGATGATGTGACCGAGACTAGATTCCACTCCGGAGAAACCGAGCGCGTAGATGATTGGGCAGCAGAATCGAGAGAGGACGAGCGAACGGTCGTCGAGTATAACACGCCGTCTTCGCCAACGTTATCGTAGTCAATTGACCCTCCCCATTGACTTCTTCGAGTTCGGTCGATGGGGGTACCTCGTCCCACATACTTGATGAGGGGCCAAGAGCTTCTCATCAATGTCGCAGCCTTGACCGGAGATAATTGGGTCGAAGGGAGTTCCTTGGATGTTCGCTCAGGCGTGGTAGCAGAAGCACCTGTGGATGGAATAGCGTTCGATGTCGAAGAGGGTGAATCAGGACGCGGGGGGTCAGATGATAGGGACGGGGTGGTCGACGATGTAGGTGACAACGTTAGATCAGCGCTGAAGTCGGAGAATTCAAACGTCGGGATATCGATACTTGGTTTGGGTGTGGCTTCGTCTGTCGTGTCGGCCACAGGCTGTGCCACAAAGTCCAATATCATAGAAGACCGTTTAAATGGCAGAATGTCCACCGCAGAGTCATGTTCGCTAGGTGCGAATAGCAGACGGGTGTCCTCAGACACTGTGACGGCGTCGTAATTATCAAGCGGTACGGTAGCGGCTCTGTCTTGAGCTGCAGTTATTGCGCTTTGGATTTCGACGGAATTGTAAGGTCGAGGGCTTTTCACATGGTGTTAGTCAACGCTATCGGGGGGAATCCTTGTGCAATTTCCGCACAGCGAGAGGCACTTACGTGTCATCCGCCATATGCATGATAGCCGGGAAAGAAATGTCTGCACCACAAGCGATTAGGGAGACAAGGACGGGGTAGAGAAAAGAGGGCACCTTGCTTGGGGGTTTCTCGAGGGATGAAGAAGGTTGCGGCGCAAAAGGTAGAATAATCGAGGCAATACGCACCGTAAAGTCGCCGCCCCCACGGAGTGCTCGGGAGTTACGTATCCCAGGAGGTAGAATCAGAAAGTGAGGAAGCGGATCGCGAGCTTGAATTGAACGGAAGAAGCATGCAAGTGGCGGTGGTGTAACTCGTACAATGATATCCGTATGTTGTGCAACACGTTGCGACCGCAGATCAGCCGACGTCACGTCCACACCTCAAGCGCAATACATAGGTAGTGGTGACTAGAAAGTCGGCCATCAGGGGATCTTGCTGGCCAGGTTTCTTCGTTGCGATGCTCTGCAGAATGAAACTTCTGGCAGGTAAGTTCTGGAATACCATTAAACTTGCGAAGGCGCTCACCTTTAACCCTTGAGAGATCGTGGCCGACGATTTATGTAAATGGAGTCCCTTTACATAATACCATGGGCTTTAAACGACACTATGTGCAAAGTCGACGCAAGGCAGGCGAACTACGCAGCTTCATCCCACTGGAAGTCGGTGTATTTTAATGGTTTTCATCCTGTCCTCAGGCCTTCGGTAAAATGCTTGGTGTGAATTTCAACACTGGGCGGGGTGTTACACGCTTTACGCAGATGCATCGGTGAAGGCTCCATTAAAAAGAGAAGGCCGATGCTGGGCGCGCGCTTAACCGGCCTTTACATGTATAAGTCTAAACAGACTCGTCACGGCATCGCACAGCCAAGCTCAAATAATAAGCTCGGGTGCAGAAAACTCGAGCCCAAAGGTAGTTCATGTCGGACCAATAGGTCTCTCTCAGCGCTGCCAAAAACTCCCGAGTTATGGCGGATTGGTTATAATGATTCTGGAGCGTGTCTACATCAGACAACGGAAGGTACAATAAAAAGGGAAGAAGACCTACCGATGTTGTCAAGTGTCTCGCTTTGACCCGTGCTTGGAGAAATTTTAGGTCCATGTCTCGTGACGGTACGGCGCCGCGCAACTTGAGTACTCCCTCTTGTTGGGTGATATACCACAAGAAATTCAATAGTGGCGACCAAATCTGCCTCGCCAGACCTGAGATGTATCATGCAAGAATACAAGTCACTTTCAGCTTTTTGACCGTTTTTGCTGGGCTTTTGGGGCCACAGTGGTGAAAACTGGCAAAAGGGTATGGACCTAGCTTTTGGAGCGCTCGAAGCCCCGCAAAAGTGAGAGGATAGAAGTATTTTATCCACGGTCCATCTGAGAGTGCACGTGAATCCCCTATCTCCTATTCCTCCCTTTCAGCCTTGCGCCTTTGTCTCGCATCCGTATATATATGTACCATATTCCCTTGAATATCCCCCATCTTCTTACGTTCACGCTCGATAGGTAAACTCATTCTAGTTTACTTTTTCCTTCATCTTCTTACGTTCACGCTCGATAGCATTTCGAGCGTCTTCTCTTTCATTTCAGGACGCCTCCGAGGAGACCTCGCGCCCCCGCTCGCCCTCGCGACGCCAACGGCCGCTTCATCTCGTCACCGTCCTTAGATACGACTTCACGTTCTTCAACCACCCCGCTTTCATCACCAGCACATACTCCAATAATATCATTCCATCAACCTTTGTCCCCCATAGAACCAAACATGCCGGGTGAGGGTCGTGCCACTCCAGTTGACACAAACGACGGTCCCTTGGAGCAACGGGTAGTAGGACTCGAGTCGAGTGTGAGAGAGATTCTGGACTTACTTCGTACCGCAGCGAATACTCCTCCTCAGCCTCCCCCTGCCCCTCCTGTCCAACCAGTCCCAGTCGCCCCCGTTGTCTCAAACTCTCAGGGCCCGCCCCCCTTACTCTCCTATGTTCCCCCTCCCACGTCTAACTCCTCTATCGGTACGTTATCCATTCCTGACTTCTTCCCCGACGTCGACGCCGCAATTGTGGCATCAATCGGCAAGCATGAGTTCAAGCCGCAGCAGTTGGGCAAGCTGATCCCCAGCATCACCGCAAAAGCTACCACGACAACTTACGCACTTGAGGACGGCGCTTTACGCGCTACGGATACGGCTCCCATAAAGGATCTCCCTGATTTCTCCACCTTCATGCGAGCATTAGGCATCTACTTTCAAATCCTATACAGATACATAGGGACGACGGGCAGTATTCAGGCCGTAATCGATGTTGCAGTGTCCACCCAAGGTTACACCAACCTCCTTCACGAGTATTCTCGCTATTTCACCTACCCAGCCATCCTCACATACCACATCGCTCACCACTCTCGCCGTATCAGGGAGATGCTCCGTGGAGATTACTCCTTATGGGCTGACGAGGATCGGGCGCTAGTTGGCCAGCTTCACCGATCGAACATTTTCCAAGAAGTAAAGTCCGGCTCGGCTACGTCATCCAAATCCAAGTCTACACCCTCCGCAACGACGACCCGCGACGTGTCTAATCAGGTCTGCAACCGGTTCAATAACGGCGCATGCTCAACCACACCTTGCAAATCGGGTCGTCTCCACAAGTGCGCAGTCTGCGGCTCCACAGCGCACGGCAAGTCCACTTGCACCCAGCCACCGCCTAGCACTTGAAAGAACGGCAGGACGAGGGCATCACACCCAGCATCCTCCCCTCGTCCTCGCCTACAGGATGAGCCGCTCTCCCCCCCCCTCCCTTTGTTCCCACTTCATCAGCACAGCCCCTAATCAACGTACCCTTATCCCTTTTCCCTCCTAATACCATTCCACCTGCTCGCCCCAACACAGACCCCCGATGCAATCGTGCGTCGCTCCGCTCCCTCGATTGCCTACCAGTCAGATCGACTCTCGTTCTATCTCAATGGGCACATTACTTAGCAGACTACCCCGATATCGAGTTTGTACGAGCCTTACTACACATAATACAATTTGGTGCTGCCATAGGATTTACTGGGAACGATAAACCGCAAACCTGTCGCAACCTAAAGACGGCCATCGAGCATCCGGAAGTCATCGACAAGGACATGCGTGTCCTTCAATCCAACGGTCGGATCCATGGTCCCCTCACCTCACCTCCTCATCAAGCGTTTCGCGCGTCGCCTCTCGGCACAGTCACGCGCAAGCGTTACCCCAACAAATTCAGGGTGATCAACCACCTCTCCTGGCCCCCTGGCGACTCAGTCAATGACGGCATCCCAGATAGCGAGGGCCACATCGTCTACGAAGCCGTATCCCAGGCAATAAGCACCATTCGTCGCCTCGGACGCCATTCCCTGCTCGCGAAACTCGATCTCAAAGACGCTTTCCGCCATATCCCACTCCGGGTCGCCGACTATCATCTAATAGGCTGCTTCTGGGATGGAGCCTTCTACGAATACATGGTTCTGATTTTCGGACTCAAATCAGCCCCATACATCTTTAATCTGTTCGCCGAAGCCCTCCATTGGATAATCCAGCGCCACATACCAGCGGAACTGAAGCACTACTTGGATGACTTCCTTCCTATCTTCGCTCCTGATACCCCCCTATCCCTTGCCAACAACGCCGTCGCTTGGATGCAAACACTAGGGAATTCGCTGGGGCTCACCTTCCAACCTGAGAAGACTGTCTGGCCAACAACTCGTCTGGAATTCTTGGGGATCGAGCTCGATACAGTCGCAATGGAGGCACGCCTTCCGGATGACAAACTCGTTTATCTCAACGAGCTGCTCGCTTCCTGGCTAACCAAATCCTCATGCAACCTGCATGAGCTACAGGAACTCACTGGATTCCTACACTTCGCGTCGCAGGTCATCCCTTACTCTCGCGCATTTATCCGGCAACTCATTAGATTCTCCACACGGTTCGCCACCCCCCACTCCCGACGCTTCATCCCCCGCTACGCTCGCAGCGACATACGCTGGTGGTCAACCTACGCCTCGTCCTGGAACGGCGTAACACTTATTGATCCACCCAGAGCTCACCACAATGTGTTCACCGACGCTAGCGGTACTAAGGGGCTAGGGGGCGCTTACAACAACCACTGGTTCAGTACCAGGGTTCCTAGGCGCTTCAGGGGTTCCAAGAGAGATATTCAATTCAAAGAGCTTTACGCAGTCCTCCAAGCCATCCTTCGTTGGGGGCACCTCTGGCAGCACTCCCACGTACACTTCCATGTCGACAATCAGGCTGTCGTCGCGGCTCTATCTGACCACACAAATCGGTCCCCTCACCTCGTGAAACTGCTGCGCTTGATACTCATGCTTGCCGCCGTCCTCCAATTTTCTTTCTCCTCTTCCTGGCTTTCTTCCGCTGACAATGCAATTGCTGACGCTGCCTCTCGTTTCCAATATGCTCGCTTATTCACGCTCGCCCCCCATCTCGACAAGAAGCCTTACTCAGTCAACCTCCGGACTCTTGGTACCAAGCGCATCCTCAGCACTCAAGGCTTGTCGCGTTCTACCTCTGGCACGGTCTCGCGTCCAGCACCAGGTCCACTTACGGCACTGGTCAAAAGTCGTTCATCAACTTCGTCAGAGAGCGCCCCAGCCTGGTCAACAGTGACGGGTCCTACCTCCCAGCCTCTCAACGCTGCATCATGGAGTGGATCGCCCACCTGGGATCACGGGGTCTTCAACCAAAGACCATTAAATCCTATCTCACCGCCGTTCGTTCCCTCCATCTTGAGGCGGACGCCCCCTTTGCCATATGTGAAGCCCCTATCGTTCAACGCCTCATCAGAGGCATCAAACGGTATCACGGCGAGCGCGAGCGTCGTCCCAAACTTCCTATCACTTTCCCTATTCTCTTGAAACTCACATCCCTCATGTACAGTTCATTCGACGATATTGTATTCATAACAGCCGCAAAACTCGCCTACGCGGGTTTCCTCCGTTGCGGAGAGTTCACCGTTGACAAGTCAAACTCTTTTGACCCTAACGTTCACATCACCCGATCTTCAGTCAGGTTCATGCCTTCCATCGACAACCCTGATCATCTTATTCTTACACTCCCAGCATCTAAAACTGACCCATTCCGTAAAGGGGTCACTATTTATATTTCTGCTGTCCCTAATTCCCCCTCTACCTGCCCCGTCTCCGCTTTATTACACCTCTTCACAATTAATCCCCTCCCACTTAACTCCCCCCTGTTCTCCACCTCTGATCAGTCCCCGCTCACACGCTCACGATTCATCGCTCGTCTCCGCCTTGCGCTCCTTGACGCTGGATTCCAACCTCACGGATTCTCCGGCCATAGCTTCAGGCGAGGCGCAGCATCTGCAGCAGCTGCAGCTGGTTTCCTCGATCATGAGATTCAGCAGTTGGGACGTTGGCGTAGCGACGCCTACCGTCTCTACATCGACACTCCCAAGGACAGGATTCTTAACCTCTCGTCGCGTCTCCACATGGCCGATACTCATACCTCCGCTTTCGAGCCTCCGTCTCTCCACTTCACTCCTTCCCTGGCTTGAGTTCGGCCCCCCTTACAGGGGTTTCTCCTTTTCAGGAGTTCGGCTGCGTTTCACATCCGGGTTCCATTCGTTCCCGGTCCGTGAGCCAGCCGCCGAACGAGAGAGCTCGTGGCGACAACGAAATACATTCTTCGTTATCCCAAACGAGCTGGATGGATGAGAGGATAGAAGTATTTTATCCACGGTCCATCTGAGAGTGCACGTGAATCCCCTATCTCCTATTCCTCCCTTTCAGCCTTGCGCCTTTGTCTCGCATCCGTATATATATGTACCATATTCCCTTGAATATCCCCCATCTTCTTACGTTCACGCTCGATAGGTAAACTCATTCTAGTTTACTTTTTCCTTCATCTTCTTACGTTCACGCTCGATAGCATTTCGAGCGTCTTCTCTTTCATTTCAGGACGCCTCCGAGGAGACCTCGCGCCCCCGCTCGCCCTCGCGACGCCAACGGCCGCTTCATCTCGTCACCGTCCTTAGATACGACTTCACGTTCTTCAACCACCCCGCTTTCATCACCAGCACATACTCCAATAATATCATTCCATCAACCTTTGTCCCCCATAGAACCAAACATGCCGGGTGAGGGTCGTGCCACTCCAGTTGACACAAACGACGGTCCCTTGGAGCAACGGGTAGTAGGACTCGAGTCGAGTGTGAGAGAGATTCTGGACTTACTTCGTACCGCAGCGAATACTCCTCCTCAGCCTCCCCCTGCCCCTCCTGTCCAACCAGTCCCAGTCGCCCCCGTTGTCTCAAACTCTCAGGGCCCGCCCCCCTTACTCTCCTATGTTCCCCCTCCCACGTCTAACTCCTCTATCGGTACGTTATCCATTCCTGACTTCTTCCCCGACGTCGACGCCGCAATTGTGGCATCAATCGGCAAGCATGAGTTCAAGCCGCAGCAGTTGGGCAAGCTGATCCCCAGCATCACCGCAAAAGCTACCACGACAACTTACGCACTTGAGGACGGCGCTTTACGCGCTACGGATACGGCTCCCATAAAGGATCTCCCTGATTTCTCCACCTTCATGCGAGCATTAGGCATCTACTTTCAAATCCTATACAGATACATAGGGACGACGGGCAGTATTCAGGCCGTAATCGATGTTGCAGTGTCCACCCAAGGTTACACCAACCTCCTTCACGAGTATTCTCGCTATTTCACCTACCCAGCCATCCTCACATACCACATCGCTCACCACTCTCGCCGTATCAGGGAGATGCTCCGTGGAGATTACTCCTTATGGGCTGACGAGGATCGGGCGCTAGTTGGCCAGCTTCACCGATCGAACATTTTCCAAGAAGTAAAGTCCGGCTCGGCTACGTCATCCAAATCCAAGTCTACACCCTCCGCAACGACGACCCGCGACGTGTCTAATCAGGTCTGCAACCGGTTCAATAACGGCGCATGCTCAACCACACCTTGCAAATCGGGTCGTCTCCACAAGTGCGCAGTCTGCGGCTCCACAGCGCACGGCAAGTCCACTTGCACCCAGCCACCGCCTAGCACTTGAAAGAACGGCAGGACGAGGGCATCACACCCAGCATCCTCCCCTCGTCCTCGCCTACAGGATGAGCCGCTCTCCCCCCCCCTCCCTTTGTTCCCACTTCATCAGCACAGCCCCTAATCAACGTACCCTTATCCCTTTTCCCTCCTAATACCATTCCACCTGCTCGCCCCAACACAGACCCCCGATGCAATCGTGCGTCGCTCCGCTCCCTCGATTGCCTACCAGTCAGATCGACTCTCGTTCTATCTCAATGGGCACATTACTTAGCAGACTACCCCGATATCGAGTTTGTACGAGCCTTACTACACATAATACAATTTGGTGCTGCCATAGGATTTACTGGGAACGATAAACCGCAAACCTGTCGCAACCTAAAGACGGCCATCGAGCATCCGGAAGTCATCGACAAGGACATGCGTGTCCTTCAATCCAACGGTCGGATCCATGGTCCCCTCACCTCACCTCCTCATCAAGCGTTTCGCGCGTCGCCTCTCGGCACAGTCACGCGCAAGCGTTACCCCAACAAATTCAGGGTGATCAACCACCTCTCCTGGCCCCCTGGCGACTCAGTCAATGACGGCATCCCAGATAGCGAGGGCCACATCGTCTACGAAGCCGTATCCCAGGCAATAAGCACCATTCGTCGCCTCGGACGCCATTCCCTGCTCGCGAAACTCGATCTCAAAGACGCTTTCCGCCATATCCCACTCCGGGTCGCCGACTATCATCTAATAGGCTGCTTCTGGGATGGAGCCTTCTACGAATACATGGTTCTGATTTTCGGACTCAAATCAGCCCCATACATCTTTAATCTGTTCGCCGAAGCCCTCCATTGGATAATCCAGCGCCACATACCAGCGGAACTGAAGCACTACTTGGATGACTTCCTTCCTATCTTCGCTCCTGATACCCCCCTATCCCTTGCCAACAACGCCGTCGCTTGGATGCAAACACTAGGGAATTCGCTGGGGCTCACCTTCCAACCTGAGAAGACTGTCTGGCCAACAACTCGTCTGGAATTCTTGGGGATCGAGCTCGATACAGTCGCAATGGAGGCACGCCTTCCGGATGACAAACTCGTTTATCTCAACGAGCTGCTCGCTTCCTGGCTAACCAAATCCTCATGCAACCTGCATGAGCTACAGGAACTCACTGGATTCCTACACTTCGCGTCGCAGGTCATCCCTTACTCTCGCGCATTTATCCGGCAACTCATTAGATTCTCCACACGGTTCGCCACCCCCCACTCCCGACGCTTCATCCCCCGCTACGCTCGCAGCGACATACGCTGGTGGTCAACCTACGCCTCGTCCTGGAACGGCGTAACACTTATTGATCCACCCAGAGCTCACCACAATGTGTTCACCGACGCTAGCGGTACTAAGGGGCTAGGGGGCGCTTACAACAACCACTGGTTCAGTACCAGGGTTCCTAGGCGCTTCAGGGGTTCCAAGAGAGATATTCAATTCAAAGAGCTTTACGCAGTCCTCCAAGCCATCCTTCGTTGGGGGCACCTCTGGCAGCACTCCCACGTACACTTCCATGTCGACAATCAGGCTGTCGTCGCGGCTCTATCTGACCACACAAATCGGTCCCCTCACCTCGTGAAACTGCTGCGCTTGATACTCATGCTTGCCGCCGTCCTCCAATTTTCTTTCTCCTCTTCCTGGCTTTCTTCCGCTGACAATGCAATTGCTGACGCTGCCTCTCGTTTCCAATATGCTCGCTTATTCACGCTCGCCCCCCATCTCGACAAGAAGCCTTACTCAGTCAACCTCCGGACTCTTGGTACCAAGCGCATCCTCAGCACTCAAGGCTTGTCGCGTTCTACCTCTGGCACGGTCTCGCGTCCAGCACCAGGTCCACTTACGGCACTGGTCAAAAGTCGTTCATCAACTTCGTCAGAGAGCGCCCCAGCCTGGTCAACAGTGACGGGTCCTACCTCCCAGCCTCTCAACGCTGCATCATGGAGTGGATCGCCCACCTGGGATCACGGGGTCTTCAACCAAAGACCATTAAATCCTATCTCACCGCCGTTCGTTCCCTCCATCTTGAGGCGGACGCCCCCTTTGCCATATGTGAAGCCCCTATCGTTCAACGCCTCATCAGAGGCATCAAACGGTATCACGGCGAGCGCGAGCGTCGTCCCAAACTTCCTATCACTTTCCCTATTCTCTTGAAACTCACATCCCTCATGTACAGTTCATTCGACGATATTGTATTCATAACAGCCGCAAAACTCGCCTACGCGGGTTTCCTCCGTTGCGGAGAGTTCACCGTTGACAAGTCAAACTCTTTTGACCCTAACGTTCACATCACCCGATCTTCAGTCAGGTTCATGCCTTCCATCGACAACCCTGATCATCTTATTCTTACACTCCCAGCATCTAAAACTGACCCATTCCGTAAAGGGGTCACTATTTATATTTCTGCTGTCCCTAATTCCCCCTCTACCTGCCCCGTCTCCGCTTTATTACACCTCTTCACAATTAATCCCCTCCCACTTAACTCCCCCCTGTTCTCCACCTCTGATCAGTCCCCGCTCACACGCTCACGATTCATCGCTCGTCTCCGCCTTGCGCTCCTTGACGCTGGATTCCAACCTCACGGATTCTCCGGCCATAGCTTCAGGCGAGGCGCAGCATCTGCAGCAGCTGCAGCTGGTTTCCTCGATCATGAGATTCAGCAGTTGGGACGTTGGCGTAGCGACGCCTACCGTCTCTACATCGACACTCCCAAGGACAGGATTCTTAACCTCTCGTCGCGTCTCCACATGGCCGATACTCATACCTCCGCTTTCGAGCCTCCGTCTCTCCACTTCACTCCTTCCCTGGCTTGAGTTCGGCCCCCCTTACAGGGGTTTCTCCTTTTCAGGAGTTCGGCTGCGTTTCACATCCGGGTTCCATTCGTTCCCGGTCCGTGAGCCAGCCGCCGAACGAGAGAGCTCGTGGCGACAACGAAATACATTCTTCGTTATCCCAAACGAGCTGGATGGATGAGAGGATAGAAGTATTTTATCCACGGTCCATCTGAGAGTGCACGTGAATCCCCTATCTCCTATTCCTCCCTTTCAGCCTTGCGCCTTTGTCTCGCATCCGTATATATATGTACCATATTCCCTTGAATATCCCCCATCTTCTTACGTTCACGCTCGATAGGTAAACTCATTCTAGTTTACTTTTTCCTTCATCTTCTTACGTTCACGCTCGATAGCATTTCGAGCGTCTTCTCTTTCATTTCACCCACCCATATCGCGTACCCTACTACATCATCTACTACATAGATTAACCTACGTCTACGTACTTCCTACTTCGCCTAGGCCGGCTTGAGTTCGGCCCCCCTTACAGGGGTTTCTCCTTTTCAGGAGTTCGGCTGCGTTTCACATCCGGGTTCCATTCGTTCCCGGTCCGTGAGCCAGCCGCCGAACGAGAGAGCTCGTGGCGACAACGAAATACATTCTTCGTTATCCCAAACGAGCTGGATGGAGCAACAAAAGTCAGTTTTAGTGGGTCAGCGCCAGTCGTCACGATTATTCTTTGTGGATTGGGCAGCGGGGTATCCCGAAGGATATCAGAAGCAAAGGGCTTCAGTATTTCGTCCATCTGTGAATTACTCCAAGGAAGACAGACAGAATTCGAAAGGGCATCGCCACTTTGTCGATCAAGCTACGTCTGGATAGTATTACATAATGTAGTCATCCAACTTGAACTCCCGATATTGTCTCTTCCTCCGCACGTCGACGTGATCGTGCACTATATTATAATCACTATCGTTCCAACACCCTTGCTAGCAAAAAGAAGAAGTGATTTATGGCGGCGTCGAGAACGAGTGTTGACTCCGAATTTCCTCAGGATGAGTCCTAGGAGACATTTGTCACCACACGCCGAAACTCGCGTCATTCTAAGCGCGGGACTTACCAGGATTTGACCAGGATGAACGTTTGAACCCGGAGGTCAATATACATTCGCGCGAAAACCCGAGGCCTGATGGCGCCAAGCATTCAGCGCATCAGTCTGTTATTGTACTACCTCTATGCAAACGTCCGGTGGAAGAAAACACGTCAATCAAAGCAGCAGTTGATCAGTCAGGTATGCACGGTCGTGTGGTACCATGATGTCCTTGGAACCTAATGATTCGCTCGGTTGCAGTTCCAGTCAGGTTAGCAATTGGCAAGTAAAACATAGTTGGTGTGCGATGTAGGCCAAAATAGTGAACATCTGATGGACGTGATACATGTAGGAACCTTCAACCGGCAACGCCATTACACCGGACGAGATGTCCACCATCAACGTAGGCATAGCTCCACACAAGAACCCGAATGTAGTTACAATCTTGTTCTTTGCCAACTCAGGCTGAGTGCCTACGACTCATACAGTACAGCCATCTCAGCACGCTGTCAACATATTGCTGCTAAATTTACGTAAAGGGATCATGAAACGGTATATATGCCACTTCGCAATCGAGTAAGGCCTCATTCCATTTTATCCCACTATTTCGAGGTTCGTATTGTCGCCATGCTTTCAGCATCCTCATGAACTAATTGTCCGCTCAGTGAAACAATATGAGTACAATCGGTCAATGGCCTTACTTCCAACGAATCGACAGGCCGATATTCGCCAAGAAGAACAAAAAGTTCTTCATCGCTGGTTCACCTGGCTCTTCCGGGGTAACTGACCCCGAGTACGACTCACACCTAACGAAGGACAACGTCGATTTCCTCAGGAGCAAGGGCATCGACGGCGTCTACAGTTGGAACAACTACGCTATCAAGTATAATGAGCTGCAGCTCTTCAAACCCGACATCGACTATGACCCAGGCGACATCTCAATCGATAAACTCAAAAACGGCCTCAGGTACGAAATGTTTGAGCCGTTCTACAAGTTCTTCCTTGCACATAAGAAGACACTCCTCACGTTCGCGAAGGCCGACGATTGGCGCAAGCCCATAGCAACTGCTGTATTACAGCTGGGACTTACGAAAGGGAAGAATCCGCCCGAGTCGCAATGGAAAGTAATGGGCATAAAGGAGTCGGATAGAGACCTCCTGAGGAAATGGAAGAAGAAAGTGATCGCTGACGCGGCGGGTGATGACGATGGCGATGAAGAGAAGGAGGAGGATTGAGCACGGTGCTATTGATGGAAGAAGTATTGGTATATGACTTGATTGTAACTACTTGGACGGAGGATTCCACTCGGGAGAACCTGGCTGTTGTATATGCGTACTCGAACTAAGAAGTATCTCGCTCACGTGACTGTTCCTTGAAATCCGAAATCCTTGTTATCAAATTGTTGCTATAACCTTCGTTCTTTACTCACCACACCATCATCATCACCACCACCACCACCACCACCACCACGATGATGGGCCCAGTCGCGCTGGACGCTCTGAATACCGTCGAAGAGATCGAAGAAACCATTAAAAGCACACCACACACATCCAGTTAAAGCGATCAAAGAACGCGCGTTTCATCGCTGCCTGTCGACTCCCCCCAGAATTCCTCGCCCTCGTATTGAGCGGCTGGCCTTCTGCCTGGATAGCTCAAAGGGACTCCTACTCATCCCTGCTTGCGTGTCTCTCAAGTCTGTACCGCCTGGCGGGACATAGCCTTGGGTCTGCCGAGAATCTGGAGCATTGTTTACACAAATTCCTCAAGACGCTGGCTGGAAGAAATGCACCGACACTTAGGATCTTGCACGTTTGTCTTCAGGCGTGGAGTAGGCCTTCGGAGTGACACGAATGCTAGCTTTGCGCTGTTGAGCGATCGAACTCATCGTACCAAAACCATTGATCTGTGGGCGAACGACAAGGCTGCCCAATTCGTCGTTGGGGCACCTCTCCCAATTCTTGAGTCCCTAACTATCCTTGGTTATAACCATGTATATAAATTTACCGGAAGTGCTCCCCGTCTTCGCATGCTTTCTGTCACGAACTGCGCCCTCAGCCTCACACGTCCGTGCTTCCCCGCCTTGCAAGTTGATACACCGCCACCTGTACTTCCATTGTCACTTCTGGAGCGTCTGCCCAGCATGCGCGAGCTTGAACTATGTGGTGCCATGGGAATATCAGAAGTGTCTTGAGCTTTCCTCGTGTCTTGAAACCAATTTTCAGTGTGTCCATCCGATTTTCCCGTTCATCCAGTCGAGGGTACCGCACGGACGAGTGGCTAACATCGCGTTGCATATATCGACGTCTTCTGCCCGCGATGCCGCGTCCAAGGTAAAGGCCTAAATACAGTTTAGTGTTGATGCTGGAGAGGGGCGCCACACTGCCACTCGCATCTTGTCGCTGCTTCCAGTAGGGCAACCAGAGTTCGTGCAGATGGAGTGCTCCAACTACTCTGACTTGGGTGGTACTCTGTTCAGGCCCATCATCGATGCCCTGACGTGTGTGTCCGAGATCCGTTACGATTGCCCTGCTTCCGTCCCCCTCCTTCTGAATTCCAGTGACCCGCCTCAGATGGGTGAGACTCGATCAATAGAGACCCCCCCTTTTCCCAGTTTAAAGAGAATATACATAATGCAGCCGTGCCCTGTTAAACACCAAAGAGACGCTGCAGAGATGGAGAACCTGTCGCCCGCTTCTGCGGGAAACCTTGCAGAGTCGCAAACAAGTACACCCGTTGGAGTGCTCAAGTTGGGAGGCGGCCTAGAGCTTCCCAACAACGCGTTAGAAGTACTTCGACAAATAGTGCAAGTTGAGGTACTCGATAACGTCTCTTTAGTCTCGTTTCTATACGGGCCTACTCACATGTTTGCTAGCGATTGGCGGAACGGGGTATATCTATGATCTGAGCGTGGCCCGAAAAGACAAAGGGGATTGGGAGTTACTGTATACTCCTATGTATGTGTGCGACGGCACTCTTGAAAGTTGAATATTGAGATACGTGAATGGCAATGTCGATTACATTAGAGGAGGAAAACACGTCGACAGCAGCTGGTCGCGTGGATTCCGAGTCTCGGTCCTCGGAAGAAACTCCGTGGTGTCACGTGAGACGGCGAACTCTCGGGGTTTGTGAACACGTCGACATACTGAGCTGGCAACATATACTTCTCTTTCCTCCTCCACGTCCTGCTAGTCGCCTTCTTGACCAAGCGACGCAGCTTGGCTCGTCAATGTCGATGGTAATGGAGTCAGAAACCTCGATTCTCGACAAACTCGACGCCGCAGTCCCTGCACCCATCGCCCAGTTCGATGCCTTCCCAAAACTACCTTCGACTTACAAGGCCCGGTCTGAATCTCGAGGATTCATGACCCTTCTCATTGGACTAATGGCCTGGTTACTCATGCTCAACGACATCGGAGAATTCATATGGGGCTGGCCAGAATATCGGTTCAACGTCGATAGTGACAAGGCGAGCTTCATGGATGTGAACGTGGATCTCCTGGTGAATATGCCATGTAAATGTGAGTAGTCACACGGCCTTTTTATCGCATTCCACAAGCTTAATCACCTAGACATGAGTGTCGATCTGCGAGACGCAGTAGGGGATAGGCTGTTCCTCAGTGGTGCCTTCCGTCGAGACGGCGTGAGTACCCTGCACCTCGCCACAAAGACGCTCTTTTGACGGAAGTAATAGACACTGTTTGATATTGGACAAGCTACGACGCTGCAGTACGCTATACTCCTTGTGAATGCAAGCTGTCGCTGATCTACCTTCGCAGGGAGCATACCACCGCGCTTTCAGCCCAACAAGCAGTCTCTCAGTCCCGTACTTCACGAGGGCTATTCGACACTGTATTGCGCCGCTCGTCCGGCGGATTTCGCAAGACGTTCAACCACCAGGCGGATGGCGGCGCGTGCCGCATATGGGGTTCATTGTCAGTGAAGAAAGTGACTGGTGAGCATGGTTGCAGCCACTACACCACACCCATAGACTCACGCCGATCCATATCAGCTAACCTGCATATTACCACCCTGGGACACGGGTACGCAAGTTATGAGCATGTCGATCACAGCTGTACGTCCGCAAATGCTTGGGATTCATTGTTCCGCGTGCCATCGTTCCGCATATGCGCTAATTCAGACTTGCCATGCTATAGTGATGAATTTATCACATATCATTACGGAGTTCTCGTTTGGACCGTTCTTCCCGGACATCACGCAACCACTGGACATGACATATGAGGTCACCCATGATCGTGAGTCAAGCCAGCTTGTAGTTGTCTCTCGCCTTTGGTAACCGTGCCGGGTGAATGTAGCTTTCGTTGCATACCAATACTTCTTGCACGTTGTTCCAACGACGTACATTGCCCCGCGAACTGCCCCTCTCCACACAAACCAATACAGCGTCACTCATTATACTCGTGTCCTGCAACATAACGTCGGGACCCCCGGAATATTCTTCAAATTTGATTTGGATCCTCTCGCAATAACCATCCATCAAAAAACTACTACTTTCCTGCAGCTTATCATAAGGTTAGCATAATGGCCGCGGTTTCCTTGGTTTGGCTGACAACTTGATCCGTTTCCCAGATGTGTAGGCGTATTAGGCGGTGTATTCGTCTGCATGGGCTACGCGATTCGTATCACTACGCGCGCGGTTGAAGTAGTCTCCGGCGCTGATCAATCCCCCGGCCTTGTCGCGGCCGAGGCATCCGGGGTAAAAGCGGGTTTGCGCAGCAAGTGGGGAGGCGCGCAGTTACGTGCGCGCAACACTAGCTTAGGCAAAGTCGTTAGACAGGGTAACGGATGGACGGTGGAGGGCTCGCCGTACTCTTCCTACGCTGGGACGCCCATGTCTGCAGCGTTTGGTTCGCCAAACGTTGCCGGTTCTCCGTACCTCAACTCCCCCGCCATGACGGGGCCACCCATGTCTCCCGCACCCCACAGTTCTGTTGGCTTAGGGTTCCCTTCGAGTTCGTACGGACCGCCGCCGTCGTCGCCAATGTACCACACTGCCTCCCAGCCACCCAGAACGCCGGCCACGCCCGGTACCTTTGGCCCGCCCCCCGTCTCACGCTCGCCGAGCAACGGGTCCGCGCCAGGTCGTCTGGCTCCAACTCCGGTCAGCTCGTATGGCTTCCCCTCAACGCCGAATGCAACGAACGGCAACGGCAATGGGTTCCCCCACCATAATGGCGGGCCATCGCCCCCACCTCCGAAGGCAGGCCCGAAGAAAGATGATTAAGTTCGCTCGGAGTTTCGATGTACTCTATGTCTATAGGAAGACATGGCGTACGCAAATAGCGTAGACGACATTGTGTAAAGTATAGTGGGACAAGGCAATTCATCGAGGGACTGCGAGTGATCCTACGAGCTCCCAGGTCATCTATGCAATACAGAGCCGGAGCAAATTCGGTGTCTGGGAGTGCTCCTAAGACGAACGGCGCAGCGAATGGGGGCAGACGCTAGATATTACACGTAACTCAATTCTGAATAACTACTGTAAAGCTCTGTGATCCTCAAGCACCCCTTAGATTGGCGCGTACTTGTTTCTTCCACTTCTTCAGGAGCTCAAAATTCTGATTGTCATGTACCCCCTTGTGCCTCCAGGTATATTCGGGAGGATTGACTCCACCTGAACACCCCAATTGCAAGGCAATTATCGCTATGTCCGTACGCCAATTGTCACCGTCCGCGACCACGAGCAGCATGGTGTGGTGTGCACGAAAGAACTTCCACAACTTTTCCAAATGATCTAGCTTGGGACCGAACGCAGGTGGTGCCGAATCCCAAACGTACTCGATATTCTTGGGCACGAAAAGCTGCAGCTCGCCATAGAGGAGGGGCCATGTATTCCATGTGTAGACGGCGTTGATTCCCTGGCGGACGATGAAATCGACGGAGTTGGGTGTTAACTTCGCAACGACGTCAGGACTCAGTCCTGGCGTGGGGTTTGGCGAACCAGAGATGAAGAACCTCTTGTTGCCGAACTCCTGTTTGTGAATTCGTCGAAAGTTAGGCCACCCGCCGGTTTTGCTCATGGATGCTGTTCACAGATTGATATACCGAGTGGGTGAGCACAGGGTTTGTGGTAGCCACCGCAGAGACAAACCTCGATGAAAATGGGACCAATGCAACTGCTCCCTTCCTTCAAGGTAATCCGGCATATATAATCCCGATCCAAAACTAGAAGCAGGATTAGCAAGATGTTGAAGCGGAAATTTCACTCGCTAGAGTGCATCCCTCATAGCGTGCTAGGGTGTATGGAATATGTTTCTAAGTATACCCACCTGCATTGTATACCCCGCATCGATTGTGGGTGTCCCCATGCATGCACCCTGTAGACTCATAGATGCTTTCGCGTATTCATGGAACCCACCGTTGTGAGACACGGCTTTACGTTCAGGGGACAGGATATCCCTTTTTGCGAGAAACAATAAATGCTCATCAATGCATCTACGCAGGTCAACCCAACCACCGCCTCGGAAAGAGGTCAATAGCGAAACCAAAGACTGCCTGAGCCTCCCTAAGCATTCTGCGGAAAGTACAAGCTAAAAGTACAATAAAGTAGTTTACAGAATGTAATGTTACATAGAGTGTAATTTTAGGGCTCTTCAGTCGTTGAAATCTGTGTATGTACTTTGATTTTGATTTCAATCGCTTGGCCTGGTTTGCTCGTTGCGATTCCCAAGACAGAGCTACATCGCCTAAAATATTCGCTCAATTTAGAGTCCATCTGCTTTGTGTTAGACTCACTTCAAGGGCCTCTCAAATAGGTCAAGTTGAGGTTGTGGTATATACGGAGTCGCCGGTGTTGTCCAAAGAGGATTGTTACGTATGTTCGGTGTTGGTCGCATGGATCGAAGGCTATTCAGGTTGAATGGGGGGAAGATGGCTTTCGCTACACAACCTATGCATTTCCTCGAGGGAGAGATACAAGGCGACACGGTCTTTCGACTCGGAGTGGTAAAACTTTCATGTATCTACGAAAGGAACGAGTGGTTAGCTGCGGTCTATGATAGACACGTATAGCACGTGAACGAATCAGGTCATGCTCACCTTTGCAACTATCCGCCTCTTGGTCTCGGGATGCCCTTGCGTGTACATTGTAGGGTAAGAGTGACCAGGGGAAGATTTGAATGGGGAAGAGGGCAGGTTGTCGCTCTACACTTATACGAATTCAGAGATCAAACGAAGAATTGATGCAGCGGTGGGAAATGAAGAGCTGTACAAGTCTTATAGAATCAATATTTGATACCTGGTGGCGTGCATACTTGGCACTGCAAAATCCAATATATCACTTATACAAACTGAGCACAATGGCGAGAAGCTACAGCATGTAGATCAAGCGGTTTGTTGATAACATAGCCTCCTTCATGGACGGTTCCTGGCTTGGATTAGTGGAGCAAGGGTATGCGGGTATACATAGGGTATACATATTATCGTATGAGGTTCAATCATCGCCATCAATGATTGCAGGTATATAAAAAGTCAGTACGCCTCCAGCATCGGCATAATCACCAACATACACATAAAGGATCATACAGTGACGTTGACAGATACCTAATAGAATGGAGAGCGAAGTTAGCTTATGACTCTACATTGGACTGCGACTTACACGCAATGGTCGTAGTGGACACAACGTGGCTATTCAGGAATTTCAAAAAGCTGCGTGTAGACACAAGTACAGGGAAATGTTTCCCCGGGTCGTGGTCGTTTTCATCGTCCCTGTCTGTGGGCTCGCGAGCTGTATAAATGTGCTGAGTATATGAAGAACGCCACACTGTACAGCACATACTCATTTTCGGAATCGTACAATTCCTCCATTCTGTGTCCAGTTTGACCGAGTCGGTGCTGATCGAAAGCTTTAATGATCCGCTGTGGCTGGCGCTAACGGCAAGCACGTCGGACATAGGTTTCAGGCGTTCAACGACCGTCCTCAGTTTTTGTAAAGGAGGCAATAAGATATGAACCTGAACAAACGTTGATTAGAATATGCATGATAGACGACATAGTGAGATGCTTACGTCGGGGTCAGGACACATAGGCTCTTTAAGCGACGCAACATCGGTAGGCTTCATCACCTCTATCTTCACATCATGTGAGACACGCATTGACTTGCCCAATCGCGTTGTACCATTGATCTCAAAACACAGGACTGCTTGATCGTTCTTTTTCGCGAGTTTCAATACTACATCGTCGCCATCCGCTGTCTCTGCTGTAGTAGAAGCTGATTTCAACGCGGATAGTAGTGCTTCGGCGTTCAGCAGCACCGTGATTTCATTGTTGGCGTTGGATTGGATCCGATAATTGGTAAATACAGAGTCTACTTTGATCACTCTGGGCGTCATCGTCAGCCACAACGTAAGGGGGATATGGAACCACATACGACCAGACTTGGATACCGCCTTCATTGGCGTCGTTGTTGCAGATAACTCGCATCTCCGTGTCTGAGAATTTGATTATGCATTTCTTCTGTAATTTCTCAATTGCTTGAATGATTCCTAGATTCCCTGGTAAGACTTCGCCTACCCTTGAGAAGATGTACGCACGAAAAAAGGTCTGGGGGCTGCTAATGGACGTCCTGAACCGCATGTTGACCGTCAAATGGATAAAACCTTGATCTGCATAACGAATGGAGCTTGGATTCGATACAATAGCGTTTGACTGAGGTCAACTCTTGGAATTAGAATTGGTTCCAGTTTGGAGCTGGTGGCAGGACGAAGGCGCTCATTCGTCCGACAATGAGCAATAAGCGCCCATGACGGAGCGGTGGCTCGGACGAAGTTCGAAGCCACTGCCATCAAACCGTCATTGTGGCCGCACGCGCCGTCCGGCATGCTCCAAACACTAAACGACGTCGAGGAAGAAATCAGCCGAATGGAAGGCGAACTATTGAGGCTGAAGGGCCTCAGGAATGACCGCTTTCTCGCCATTTCAAATCTTCCTCCCGAGATTCTGTCCCTGATCTTCGAGCATCTTTCTTTGCTTCGTTCGCCGCATTCGTCAAGAAACTACCATGCCTGCTGTGCGGCATCTCAAGTATGTCGCTCTTGGAGGAACATAGCCCTTAATACTCCTCGCATCTGGGGAGTGATTTGCAATGATTTCTCGGAACGCTGGATGAATCTCCTGCTGAAACGCTCGAGGTCTGCACCGTTGATAATCCAGCGAGGGAATATGCATAACTCCTTGCAAATGACCGCGGCTCTCCTGGCGCCCCCATACACTGAGCGGTTGAAGGAAATTGATGTCAACGTCGGTACGGAACAGGACCACGAGCACGTCACTCGTCTACTCGATTCGCCCACTCCACTCCTTACCATGCTATCTATATGTCTATTTCCAAGTCCGAGCGTCAGCGGAAAGACATACCACCTGGGACATAAAGCCACTAGATGTAACATCGAAGTCCTCCACCTTTTCAATTGTTCAGTAGACTTTGATTCCCCCTTCAGCCAACTGCAGGAACTCGTCATCCATTTTGGCCTTTTCCATATGGACGCGGCCATGTTTTTATCAGTACAGCGCCTGCTAGTCGTCCTACAACGTACGCCCAAACTGCGCAGCCTTTATTTGTCTCATGTCCTCATCGCGGACACCACGCCATCCAACCTCGTCGTCCATCTTCCTCATTTAACGCACTTCCGACTGACTACGATGCACGCCTCCAACCTCTCGGTTTTCAACAACATGGTCATGCCCAGTTTGACGACCGTCCAAATTTGTGATTGCGCTGTCGGCGCAGGCCCGCTCGTCGCGAATATTGCGCCAGTGTTTGCAGTGCTTCCCCCTGCTTCCACTTCACCATGGTTAGCGAAGCTCATAGTCGGGGTCGAGGGCATACAATATAACGCCACGTTGAAAGTCAGTGTGGCGTCTCCCCCTTTCGAACTTGACATCGAATTCGGTCACCGAGGGGACCTCAGACATATTTTAGACTTATGCGTCCACCTTCCGTCTAGCCAACCCAGAGTCCTATCCTTAACCTGTGGCGCGGTATCGTCTGAATACATCAAAGGACTATGTCGCCCTTTGGTCAGTGTCGATGAACTTCATGTATCCGCCCTCAACGATGCACTTCTTGTTCTCGGCGACACACCCAACGTCCCGACCCCCTTCTTGTCCCTACCAGCCCTGCGACGCATTGTCCTCATTCCTGAGTTGGGAATCAAGTACAAGAGCAGAATGCTACCCAGATTCCGGCGGATGCTGCAAGCCCGGAAGCACATTAATGCCCCGATAGAGCACCTCAAGCTGGTTAACGTCGAGTTGACCCCGAAGGAGAAGGAAGCTCTAGCGAAGTTGGTGGACCTGGAGTTCCAGTTCGGTATGTCTCAATCACATCTCTTCTCTGGTGGCCCACTGAATCGTCGGTGAAGGTTCCACTAGCGAATATACTTTTCGATAATTCACCTAGGATTACGCAGCCAGGCAACATTCCAAACCTGGTGCGCCGACTGTGAGTATTCAGCCGCTTTGTGCACCCCCTAAGCACCCGACAGCAAGTTGCGACATCTGTCAAGATTCCATATGATTATTTTGGCATCGTTCCTCGAACCATCTTTGCACTCTCTGTCACCACCCACGCAAAATACACATTCCCGGCGTGGAAAGAAGCTCTGCTTTCGATTATTTTCCTCTCACATCTTCCGATGCCAGCACCTGAAATCGACATATCCACCACATTTTCGTCACTACCGACTCACTTTCAGATATTACGCATCCACTATGGATCTATAATACGTATACATAAGTAAAGTAGCGAAAGTGTCAAGCACAATGGATGAGAATAGCCTCATCTGCAAGACTTTGTCTTCCACTCGGCCTTTCAAGCAACGCACTTTGACAGACGATCCTACTTGCACTCACGAGGTACCTATACTGATGCAAGGACTCACCAGTGTCTTGATGTCCTAGCGGACCTCAACAAGATGAGACAACCTGGCTGGCCGTGTACGGCGATAGGCTAGTGTCGTTTTTCACAGTATGCCCTGGGATCTCAGGCAGCACATTGCCCTGTTATCACCGCTGATTCTATTCTAGAATCTAAAGCAGCCTTCTGATCGAGTATCCCCCTGAATGATCTTGGAGGTCTGGCTTGGGCACGTAGTCATCGCTTCGAAGACTCTAGCTGTACAGGCTTCCGTGAATCAAGAAGTAACTTTCAATGATCAGCGTTAACGTTGACGTGGTATTCGGACTTTGGCATTAGTGTGAGCGTATGCCATAAACCTACCCGTTTTCAGCATTGGTGTGAGCAAGAAGACACTCGATCTATCTCAGGCTATTCGTGTCGTATGCTGTCGCATGATTATTGCCTTTAGATTGCCGGGGATCGATGGTTCTGCATTTACAGATACCGCCGCCACAAAGTTTCAGCATTTCCGCAGATTGTCATCAGGTAGGGCCTGGTATGGCATCTGGAAGTATACATAGCTGTCCACAACTCCGGTCGGCTTCATGTTTCTCTCCTCCTCGTCCCCTTCTCGTCCCCTCCACGATGAACCATCAACGCATCAACCGGCGGTGCACAATTTACGGTTGTTGTGGGGCGCACGTGACTGAGTTTACTGTCATAAGAAGCTGTAGAACGGTATAGGCGTGAGAAAATCACCAAAAACATCCCCTTCTCTCGCCGTCGTTCTGTAAGCGTATCATTTCGCAGGCGCGTTCCCGCCGACCCCGCCTCAACGCCAGCCGACACATTATCCATTGATTCGGCCGCCGACACCTGGCTCATCCCTGTCCACCTACTATACTAATTGCAGAATTTCAAATTCATCGATTATCCTACAACTCGGCCGGAATCAGAAGCTACAGATGGCAGTCGGCATGGTCGTTTCCTCCCCGCCGAGTCCGTCGCTCTCTATGCCGAGTCTACCGTCGTCGCCAAGCCTGAGGAGGTCTCCGAGGATACACCCCCGCCATCCGGACGTGGCGGCATTTTCGATTCAGGTGAGGAAACGACAGTCTATACTCGTTGATGCCACCCCTTCATCATCATCATCATCCGTGGCGTCCTCGTCCTCTTCATTGGCGACACCCCCTACCACCCCCGATGTCGGCGCTCGTAAACGGCAGCGTCGGCCGAGTCAGTTTCCGGCATCGAGTGCTGAGACGCCATCGCAGTGCACCTCGAAGCACCAGCTGCTCACGCCTCGGTCGACACGAGCGACGAAGCGACAGCGCACGTCCCCTTCTCCATCGAGCATGAAACTGCGAAGGACGACACCCGCAGATCCTGCTGCCGGAAAGGCCAGCGTCAGGAAGGGGAAGAAGAAGGGGACTCCAAAATCAGAAGCGACCACCGTTCCCCCCACCCCAATGTCTGTGAAACGGAAAGGCAAGGAGAAGCTCACGGAGTGGATACCTTTGGAGCTGTCTCCACGTACTCCAGCAACCGGCGGCAGACGACCTCGACGATCAGAAAATAGCACACCCGTGGTGCTCGGCGAGCCTCGACCTCTCGGACTGGGGATGGCTACGAGGAGCGCAAGCCGGAGGAGGGAGATGGGACTCGCTCCACCGGTTTCATCTGCGTCGAGCCCGCCTTCAAGTCCACGGCTGAAGCCGAGCCTCTCAATGCATCTCATGTCCCCTCTCTCCCCTCTTTCGTCTGCGCCTCCGTCTCCGCTGTCAACCCCTCCGACATCTCCTATAGGAGATGACAACATGGATGTAGATACCCCGATCCCGCGATCAACCGACGTCGAGATGTCTACCAACAACGATGTGTGTATGGAATGCGAACCCTCGAATACAACCCTCGAGAACACACCCTCAACACCTTCCCCCACGGTGTCGCCTATGTCGTCCGAGTGCCAAACTTCTGCAGCAACTACCCCTTCCATCCAGCCTACACCACCACCGCAACTACGCAGCCGATCGTCTACGTCGCCGCCTTCGAGACTGCAGGAACTCAAGTTTGACGATACGGAGATCATCCCACACGTCGAGCCCCCGCGAGTCATTGTGTTGGAGGAACACGTCGGGCAACCCGAACCGTGTTCTAATAACGGCGAAATGCTGTATGAGGACACTGGCAATGACGAAAATACAAATATCTACCGCTCTGACTCGAATACGACGCCTGGGTCAGCCTCGAGTGTCGGGTATGGGTTCGAAATGGACGCCAGTGAGAGTATGGAAGGTGGCTCATATTACGATGATTATTCTCATAATCGTGATGGTGGAGACCCAAGAGGGTACAATGATGGGTATGACTGCAGTGGTTGCAGCAGTTCGTGTGCTCCCCAGCAACCGAAGATAGAGAAAGGCGATGGGGTGTGGAAGGTAGCCTGCTCGTGGCGAGTTTGGGAGATGTGAGTGTTCCCTCATTTGCCACTGATCGCCGCTGACCAGCGGTTGATGGTCCAGCCAACGTCGATATACGCCAGATACGATCAGAGCCGTCGTCGCGCAGCAGGCCAACGACTATTACGCTACGCATGGCGGGTTTGATGCTGTCAATACGAGCATCAATGGCCATCGGAGAAAGCGGAGCGAGGAGGACAACATTCTGGGGAGCGCTATCACGAGGAAGGACGATTCCCAATACGATAGCGCTGTCAAAGGCGCGACGCAGAATGAAGCTCGGTCGCAGAAGGAGCTTGCGAACGGCGCTGTTGCTGGTGGGAAGTGGGGCGGCAATGGCGCGTTTGGAGATGACGGGTTAGCGTATATGCTGGGCTATGGGTTTGAGGATGAGGACGACGAGGACAGCGACGATAGCGACGAGGATGACGAAGGGGAGTGTGCTCAGGTAGAAAGCGGGGATTGTAGCGAGAATGAGCTGAAGTGGGAGCTGGTTGAGAGAGATGCCCAGGCTGTAAAGACGGAGGAGGCAGGTGGTGGGGAGAGAAAGTTGAATATACAGACACTGGATCTAGACGCAGTGAGACCGGATGTCCCAGAGGCGAAGCCATCTGCCCTTGATTCGTCGGCCGTACCGCCTTCGATGGATATGTTGCCCGCCAACACGGTTCAGTCGCAGCTGGACGTCGTGACGTCTAGCGATGCAGTTATGTCACCCCCTTCATTCTCTTCACAATCATACCCGGAGCCTTCGACGACCATTGCGATCCCTCAGCTTCCTACTCCAATCCCGATCACGACACCGCCACCAAAAGAATCCGACCTTACCTTCCCATCTACTCCGTCCCCCGCGCAGCCGTCGCTCTCCCCATCCTTCACTTCGTTCCCGTCGTCGCCTACAGCATTACACCTACCATTTCCGCCTCCGCGTCTGAGTTCTATCCGTGTGGGTTTGTTGAGGAGCATGGATATCGACGACTGGGGCGGAGAGGACGAGCCGTTGTCTTCCGGAGCCTCAGGTGAGAGAGGCGCAGGGCGAGCACGGAGGAGGCCTGGGTGGATTGGAAGAGGGACGCCGGTTGACAGGCGGCGGAGGGCAGAGTGGGCAAACTCGTGGAGCCCGTTGAGTATGAAGGGGAAAGGCAGGCTGGGGGAAGAGATGGATAGGATGGACGGCATGCCCGGCGCGCTCAGCATTGCAATGGGTATGGGCCCTGGGATGGGCGTCCACGCAAGCCCGCCATTCGAAGATCCGAAGAGCTGGAATGAGTTCTTGCGTAGTCTGGACATGGGGAATGCGCCTGCTATGGGTGCGCCGAGACAGGATAGTATGGATATTGGTCTCGATACCGGTGTCCCACAACACCTGTCGATGTCCTTCCCGCCAACCCCCACCGTGTCGCCCCCACCCTCCTTCTCCACTTCGCCCTCGCCGTCACCCACGCTACTTTCACCAACTTCGGTGTTTCCCCCCGCCAATAACTCTATCAACGGCTTGAACCAGAATAACTTGTTTGTGCCGCCTGTTCCGTCAAGCTCGCCTGCCCCCTTTCAGAGTGGACTGGATCTGAACTTCAGCCGCAATGGCGAAGGGATGAATCTTGTGAACGGTGGAGTGGGCATGCCTGCCGACGTCAGCTCTATGAACGGGATGAATATGGGCGTGAACATGGGGTTGGGCATGGGCATGGGAATGTTTGGCATGGGTTTGGGTGTCGGGATGGGCATTGGGATGGCTGTCGGCGCGACCATGGGTGGGATGGGAGTATTTAATGGGGGTGGTGGGATGAATATGGGTAGCGGTGGTGGGATGGGTGGGATGCCGTTCCCTGGGCTGGGGTCTGGCGAACAATTGCCACCTCAACAACAGCAACAGCAACAACAGCAAACCCAGGATAACAGGACTCCGGATACAGCTGGAGAATCCACCAGCACGTTGACTTTCGCATTGGGATGAGAGTATAAGTGTATCACTGATCATCGACATTCATTAATCCGGGCCCTTGGTCCCTTCAAACTCCAAATGAGCGACCCCGGCCGAATCGCAAACACACACCCCTCGACTCCGCGACTCCCCTCCCCCCTCCCGGTATCTTTTCCCTAGGCTCCTGAGATGCGTGGACAGTGGTTGTGACTTATCATCGGATTCATTTACTAAAGCATTTCGTTCGTTTCTTTCTCCTCAGTATCAGTATCCTAATCCCCCCTCCCTCATACCTGTTTACATGCATTTCTCGTTTTCCCGCCATGCTCTGTGAAATTAGATGCAAACATATCTATATAGTGTACCGTGTTACCCGTTGTATAACTGCTGTGTACGTCGATTCCTGCATGTATTTTACTCACTATCTAGCAATGCAAAATATTTTGGATATCGAAAACTTTCCTGGAGGCTAGTGTCTTACGGTGAAGTGAGGTTTTGTCAGGTGTGTCCCTCTATACTGCCAAGCTAAGATACGCGACATCTATCAGGATTCGCCAATGTACATGCCAGTGAGCCCATGTAAAGCCAAGACAGAGAAAGATAGACGAACGGCCATCCGTTATCTCGACTGGGACTGTTTATCCAAGTCCTTGTTCAGCACTGGGATCTTGGTTCCCAACTTCAGCACTCCTATCGGGCAGAGTTTGCTTCGGTTGTGCAAAAAGTGTCTGCAATGCGGGGAACATCTTCACCTTCTTGGTTCGAGACAATCGGATTAATGTTATTCTTTTCAAACTGGGTAGTGGGAAGTAGGAAGAGCTCCCGACGACTTGGACTTCGCACCCGTCTGAGGCGTACCCATCCAGAAGCCGGATGGAGGAAGTCGAAGTGGAGCTCTGGTACGAATGCTAGGGCGTCAGTCGACAAGAGGCTTGAAAAGCGTGCTACTGGACTTGGAACAGTCAATATGCATGGATTCGGGTTGCCCCACTGGGAGCAGGGAGAGGATTTTCGCAGCGGCACCCCTTGCCAGCGCGAACATCGAAATTTATCGCGGCTGTGACTACGGCCACGGCATCGGTGTCGCGTGAGGAATACACTGATACGCAAAAAGCGATCGTGGTTCCATCTACGTTGGGCACCGACTATCGCTACTAGCACGCGCCAAGAACTCCGAATTCATGTACTCAAGCTGGGGTGTCGAGATTCGCTTCAACCCGCGATGAAGTTGCAGGTTACAGGACTGCTCTCGAGATGCCCTGGTGAGGAAGTTCAATTCTAGGTCCGTTTCCTTTGAGATCACGTCTTGGAAGTCCAAGGGGCCTGCTAGATCGATGTACCGTAGGTTAGGTAAACGGGTTAAGGTTGGCACGGGGGACATCCACGGTGGCGAATTGGTACATATATACAGTATGAGTGTTTGTAAGGCGCTCAAGCTCAAGCACCGGCGTGGGCGCGTGACGATGATAGTGGGATCCGAGAGATAGACCGCAGACATAACACACTTCCAGCGTGGGTGTTTGACGAGCAACGACTTCCGTGGCCAGCGATAGTTATAGGAATTGGGAAAGAGATGCACTGAAGACAAAGTCCATTGGGAGAACGCCGCCAAATAGAACAATGGCTTGGACCCGATGTGTAGGACTCTCAGCAACAACTGGCTAGCATCTGAGTCTGCTGCGAGACCCTGCCCGCGTCTGAAGAAAAAGTGGGTAGGACCCAAAGCATCGCTGCATCTCTTCCAGCCAGCGCTTTGAGGGATTTGTGTAAACGGTTCTCCAGGTTTTCGGTAGGCCAAAAGCCATTTCCCTTCAAGCGGTGCAGACTTGGGAGGCATGCAAGCGAGGTGGGCCAGGGTACGCGCATGAGTATTATCGCTTGGGCTATCCTCGCAGAAGGCAAGTTGCTCGAATACAAGGACTTCAGGGGGAAGACGAGAGATGGCCGCGAAACCCAAGTTCCTTAACCACATCAATGCTTGGGGTATGCGAGATGCCCTCCAACCAATTGTTCAACATCGTTGATGGTACCCAGTTTCAGAGGACAAGCATTCTGAACAGATGGTGGTAGTCGGGACAGAGTCGGAACTTGAAAAGTTAAGCGTGGGCAGGTTGGTGGTCAACTACTTACTTAGTTTGGGACAAGCTCGACGCAGGCATTACTCTTATCCAGGTATGCATTACAAAATATTTCTGGGTGTCGAAGCGCTCCCTCTGGAGGGAAATGATTGCTTATTGGGTGAGATACTCAATTGCGTGGCTATTCGCCGCTGACCCAAGTACTGCGTTTGAACGGTCCCAGATCAGGCGGCACCACAACTATCTACACGAAGTATTTGTCACATATCGGCCCGACCCTGGCGTCCAACTTACTGACTATCTCCAACGTCTCGTGCTGCTCACGGAGTTCATCAGCAACCCTCATGTACTTGGCCGAAAGAACGTACCCAGAGTTTCTCGCGAAATGCAGCACCTTCATCGCTGAGCACAAAATCGCTAGGTTCACCCACCGACATGTAGCTCACAAAAGCGCCTTTCATGCAATCCACTTTCTCTCCCGGCGCCGCTCTAGAGTTCAACGCCGCCCAGACGATCTGGCGGCTCCCTTCTTCGGCGGTGAAGGCCAGCACCCGTTCAAGTGTCCGAATGACGAGTGTTCGTGTGTCACGACGCAGATCTGAGTAACAGAACCCTGGGTTTACGGCGACGGTGGTTAAACAAGGGATGTGATCAGTCAAGGAGAGGGTAAGGAAGACGTTGAACACTGTTCAGCGCGGTCAGTCACTCTTCGGTCACTCGCTGCGACATTGGCTTGCGTACGCTTGGCTAAGTAGTATCTCGGCATCGCTTCGCTACTGTAAGTTAGACGGGAAGAACGGAATCGGTGATTTAAGTAAAGCTTACAACGGGGGGCCCAAATCCTTGTCTGAAAGTACCTGAAGAGGTGTGGAAGATTCGAATACGTTGTCGGGTATTTTGGCGTAGTGGTGGAGTGAACTAGATACGACGACGATTCTGGGCGGCCTTGGCGACTCATCCAACGACGCGAACATCTTGGGCATCAGAAGAATGATGAGCAGTGCCGGAGAGATGTGATTTACTTGAACACTGTAATATCGACGTGAGTTTACGCATTCAATACTGTCCTCGCTGCTCGCGATAAACTGACGAGGTTTCCCAGTGATCTTTCGTTTCCTCGAATTGATTTGGCACGACGGCTGCATTGGCAATCAAGATGTCGAGTCGCTGGACTTCCTGCTCAATTCGATCCGCGAATCCCCTCACGGACTCGAAGCTGCTAAGGTCCAGGAGCCACAGCTCGGCTGTCTTGCAGCCAGTAGATGCCTCCAACTCTACCAAGGTAAACATAAATCAGTCTCGACCACACCGAGAAAGAAATTGACTGACTGGCCAATGCAACGGAGCCTCTTTCCAAACTTCTGCACGCAAGGATCAGTCTTCCTGGTCCCATTCTAGCGAAATGTGTCGCTGCTTCAAAACCGATGCCTGTGTTTGCCCCAACGACAACAACTGTCTGCCCATGAAGGTCGGCCTTCGGTGCAGGGGGCACTGGTGTCCACTGTGATTTGATAAAATCCAGGACGGAGAACTGGACCATGGTGGTGGGATAACACTTGCATGGACGAAACAGCTTTGCGATTTATAGATGTGGTATAAATCTTCTAGAAGGACAACGGCACCCCACGGCAATGAGTATTTCCTTCTCGTACTTCCCTTTCATCGGGTGGGTCATTCAACATATGCCCACCAGCCGGCTATCTTAAACTCAGCGGTGCTGAACATCCCTCAGCGCGCGAGTGAGCGTGTCTCTTGATTGTTCAAAGTATGTACGATGCCCTATTCAAAGAGATCTTGGTCAAATGATAACTTCGATTTGTCCTCGAGGCTGTTACGGCATAATTGCTTCGCTTTTCTGGTTTATTGAAAGCCCTGCGATCAAGATGAGTGATATCTGAGGAGTGGGCCACACGGGCCCAAGATCACAATCAACCTCTATACTTACTCAAGGGCAAGCTATTGTTGACACGGCCCCTCAGGCTAATCGTTGACCCCATATCGGGGTTCTCGAGCTGCCTTGGAGGTAAGGTAGGTAACTCAATGTGAAGATGCCCGCCGGCCCCGATAATACTTTGAGCCGATGCTCGTTAAGCTCATGCTATACGCTACATCGACCCCTTTATCGGCCACATATCCAAGCTGAAGGGGCTTGAACGTACTAGTGGGGCTCAGGAGTTGCTCAGGAGTGCTCAGGAGTCGGACGAAAGGTCACATGATCAGTGGCTGAGGAAACCCGTCCTACCAAATACGTTCAACAACTCTAACGGAGACTTGCGTTATCATGCCCGAGAAACATATACTCAACCACGCTCTGAAGATCCCGGCCATCACAAAACTGTCAGGGAAAAGAGTGGTTCTGGCTTCAAGTAGTCCAAGAAGAAAAGAGATATTGCAGACATTCGTGAGCAGCCTCATCGTCGTATCTATACGCGTATTCATCAACTAGGGTCTAGCGCCAGATATTGTGCCCTCCAAATTCAAGGAGGACTTGCCGATAAGTTCCTTTGAGGATATACACGAATATCCTGTTTCCACAGCAACATACAAAGCGGTAGATGTATACGAACGGCTTGTGGTGAGTGGGCACCCTTCTGAACAACAACTGGTTGTCTGATCTACGGCACAGCGCGAGGATCCTGAAAATGCGCCAGATCTTGTTATCGGTGGTGAGTAGACCCACTGGCAAATCACAAGTTTCATCAGCCGTTTGACCGTTTACGACAGCGGATACGGTGGTGTTGACGCATGCGCTACCGTCGACCTCGCAGACTTCTTGGTCCGACCTTCCACAAATAAATCAGGAGCTTCTAGAGAAACCTTCGTCCAAAGATGACAATCTACGGATGCTACTAGACCTCAACGGGGGAGTCTGCGAGGTGGTCACTGGGGTCACCGTTGTGTACCCAATTTTGACTGCACCTGGCTATGCATTGAAGTAAGTAGCAGTGCTCAGGCGTATAAACTCTCTTGATGTGTTGTGTAACCAAAAGGTCTATCGACGAGCGATCGCTCGTGTACTTCGCTGACAGCCCTAAACACATCCTCAAGGCGTACGCTGACAGTGGAGAAGGACTCGATCGAGCTGGGGGATTCGCAATCCAGGTAAACTACCTCACTGCCTGTTTCGAGTTGTCGTGCACTAACGCTACGAGTGTCAAGGGCCTTGGGGGGTTGTTGGTCCGCAAGGTCGAGGGTGACTACCATAACATCGTTGGGTTTCCCGCTGCCTCGTTCTTCAAGTTACTCGACTTGCTTATCGAGGAAGAACCTGATTTCTTAGATGTGTAATACTGATAGACAATTCGATGTCCTAAATCGTGCTTAACCGAGTGAAATGATTGAAGTTATCGCCCACTTTCTTCTACCCACGTGAGGGTCGATGATGGTATCAGCAAAGCATAAAGGGACAGAGGCAATGTTAGACGCTCTAACAGCTTGTCCTAGGACCTATTCCAACGGCAGGTGAGCGAGGCATTGGGATTCACTATCGTTTATATTAACTCGTATACTCGTTTCTCGCAATAGGAACACACCTCGCAGAGCTTGTAGCATACAGCGCTTGAGAACCATTCTAGATCTACACTCCTCGCTCTCCCTACTCTCCTTTGCGACCCGTAGCGTAGCACGGATGACTCCTCAAGCATCCATTCCCATAGAGGCACCATCTCCACACTCATGTCTACGAGTACCGTCGGAATAGGAACGACAAGTGCTAAAGTTCTAGCGTGCTATCCAATATGCAGAGTACATCGAATTTCTCGTCGTAAGCCGGAAATTCCCTCATCGCGACCATATCAGCAATATCGGAGCAACGTACTACACCCTACTTGAGCTATCACGGTAATTTCCTTTCTCGGTCAAAGGCCTTCTACTTACACGATGAACACAGTCCCTGCGTAGGATATCTTCTGGCGATTAGACGGCGCGCTCTCAACTTGCTTCTCCCGTAAATCATGTCGAGGCAGACGAAGGATCTCCTGCAGGCTCTGATTAAATGGCCCGTGGTTGATATTAAGATTTTCCTAGTAGAAATTATGGAAGATGGACGCCAGGATTCAGACGAACTCGCTCTATCCATTATTGACCTACTCCTCGCTGCCGCCCGCCAAAGTACGGAGAGTTGTTTTATCTTCCTAGAGGCGGGTATGCTCGACATCCTGCTTTACTTCTATCTAGATGGTGATCTCAATCTGGACACCCAAAAAGCTGCTCAAAAGGCTTGCTTCGGCTTAGCTAAATTCCGCCCTCCTGATAACAACGTGATCTTATCGTTCACCAGATCCTTCCTCTCAGCGCCTCTCGACCTACAAAGCACTATTCCTATGTCAGTGAGCTTGCTATGCGTGGGGCTGTGTTTCATTGCTTACCACAGTCAAGACCCCATCATTATACCCCTAGCCGTGGATCGCCATCGACTTCGCCAGATAGTCATATGTTATTTTGTCCCGCTCTTCTGCGCAATTGCTCGCACAAGTAGCGCATGTCTGGATACACTCTTGAACGCAAGAATTGCAGAGCTGTTGTGGGCTATCGCCCTTCTTCAAGATACATCCTACCTACGTTTCAAGCAAGATAACCTTAACATCGCCTCTAGGGAGTACGAGACTATATGTTACGATATCATGGACGAAGCTAGTCAAATCTTCGTGCCTGATGCCTCTGATGTGTTATCCAGGCATTATACCGGCGCCCTGTATTCTAACCGTGTATAAGTTGATACCTAGTAGCAAAGATCTGACAATCCTACTCTGAGTGCAAGCTAATTAAGCTTTAGTTCAGTAGTTCATTCATTATATGTGGGCCAATGTGATTGACTATACAACCGTTCTGCGGTGGTGCATAAATATGACCGAGAAGCCACATATCATTCTACATCTATCCATCATACATGGTTTGTACAAAAGCCAAAGAAACGTTGGTAGCGCCTTACGCTGGTACGAATTCTGTGACACTAGTTTCGGCCAAATCCCACACTCTGACGAACTTCAGATCAGCAGCAGAGCTGTAAGAGACATATTTTAAGCTAGATCCATGAAGGGTATCAACGGAAGGAAATGGTTACCAGAGTTCGATGAAATCCTCGAGAGACCGTTCTCTTGAGTTGCATACGACAAGCATAGTGTAGTCGCCAGTGTATGTTCGAGCCATACCACGGCCGAATCCAGGGCTCAGCGGGTATGGCGCCTGTTATGTGGATACTTCGGCATTCTGCATGACAAAATTAGATAGATGTTACGCACTCTTGGGAGAGAAGGGTGTTGGTTGGCGATAGAAGTCTCATCGAGATGTGAGGCAAGGTAATCATCTAACGCGGCATTGGTCCATCAGAAGCTATGCGAACAGCTACGAATAGAAGAACCTACTGATAAGTAGGCGACTCTTTGGGGACATGGCACTGCGAATGTTTTTCAATAGTGTGATGCAGTCTTCGTCTCCCCAGTTGTGCACAATTTGGCTGATCTAGAAAACAAACACTGGTGAGTTAGACAATGTTGTGGAGAAAGTGGCACAACAAACATAGTAGATGTCTTGGTCAGGGACAGGCGCTTGCTTGAAGAAGTCTATGGGCGTAAATGCGACTCGGCTGTCCTTGATAGCATCAGGATATTCCTCTTTCCAGAACTAATTCGAAGATTCGCGTCATCAACATATTAAAGATCACGACGGGAGAGCACGATAACTATACGTACCACCTTTGCTTCTTCGATAGTATCAGGGAGATCCTGCAAGTGGACTTTGAGATGTGGGAATTTCTTCGCTATCTCTATTGAAGTGTTGCCGTTTCCACCGCCCAAGTCGCATACAGTGCTTCCCGGTGCAAGTTCCTGCCATGGGAAGACTGTTTGGTGTGAGATAGAGAGCTGAGAGGGGTTTGAATTCACCACATACCGTTAAGCAGGTTCATCAAACCTCTTGATACCGAAAATCCGAGCATTGCCCGGGCGAAGCGCTAATAGAATGGCATTCAGTGCGGCTGAACTTCAAGATTAGAAGCACCTTACCGCAACAGCCCCTGGCTAATACACGGAGAAGTGCGAATCAGCGCCAACGTATTTGACCTCGCTGTGAGCAACTTACTTGTGTTTGAAGGTAGTCATAAAGCGAGCCATCGAAGCCTTCTCTCCTCAATGCGTACACGAGGGGGGACTTGTTCCCGTCGTACGTCGGTCCAAAGTCGGGATCGACGAGTGCATCGTACACCCACAATGTTGCCTTGCGATGCATTTCACCAGTCTTCAGGTCAAGAATATCGACAACAGACGTCTCCGGTAACAGCGTCAAGGAAAGACGATTGTTCGCGAAGACGTTTGATTCCACTGTGTCATTTGCGAACAAACAATTCAGCTACGGTATTCCACACTTTGAGGGTGCTCAACTCACCTTCCTGGAAGCAGTAGTTGAGGATTAGGAGACGCAGTATTGTGGCGAGCTTTTGAGGGTGGATACCAGTTTCCTTCGAGAGGACATCGATATGAAGGCCCTTGGGATGCTTGGCCAAGAGGGGCGCAATGCCCGCTTGGATAACAGTGCTGATGCAAGAAGGTACAAGAACGTCCATGCTATACTGTTCGGCGAGTCAGGTCGAGTAACTAATCACTACGAGGACCTCTCCACATACGTTCAGCATCGTGTGTGCGGGTGGGGCCAGCGTCACGCAGAGCTGCGCGCATGCACCCTCAAGTATACGGAGGGTGTTCTTGAGTTCTAGAGACGGGAGTCGATCATCCATAGGATGAGCCTTGCCGCTGGTCAGAGACGGAATGTCGCATCCTTGTTTATCGTATTCAGCGATGGCCTGCTCCGCAGAAGTGTTGATCAGGTTTAGGAGGGCACGTATTTGCGCCTTTCCTTCAGAAGGACTCAGAGTAGTCATGGCTGGCTGGGTGTATGTATGAAAGCGAGATTGAGAGCGAGCTTGGGGTGGTACGAGCTGGATTGCCGTCGAGCTTTTATTCTGCTCGAGTCGAGAGTACCAATCTGGATTTGATCAAATAACTCAAGATATCGTGAAGACTTCTATCGGCCGCCTTCTATTGAGACTGTTTATCATGCTGCAGCGGAGGAGTCGTGAGACAAGTGAGAAGAGGTTCGCCCATCACTGCAGTGCTTCTCAATTGATGGTGTTAACGGCCCTTTGGATGCGATTGACCCGAGAATCACCTATCATAACCTCAGCTGCATGCTATGATTACACTGCCAGACCCAGGGTACTCACCAGGAGACTACTCCCTCCATCAGCTATGTATGAGAGCCGATGGCGACGCGCTCGATACCGAAATAACACCTTACCAAGTGAATTGAGTGATGAGCACTCAAGATTATACCACGGCAGAAGACGAAAACTTGCTGTAGTCTAGGCACACCATAGAACAAACGCGAATCCTTCGACTATGCCTATCCTTAGCCCACATCGGAAGCGATATGGGCGCTCGAAGAGATACGTCCTCGCAGCTCGGGCGGTCAGTTGATTCGCGGACAAGAACTCACCCATGTATGGCCGGCCGCCTTCACAGCTTCGCTGAAAGTATGTGCTCCTGATCCATGGCCTTGGGAATTTTGGCGGGAATTTTGGCGGCCAGCATGGAATCGTGTTTGAGAGTCGATCAAGTCGGCTAGCGAACGATTATAAGTAATCAGTCGCTCGGGAATCATGTATCGCCTGGGGCCTTCTATTCGCACAGATGCGGGCTCGCCGCTTCTGGCCGACTTGATTGATGACAATGTCTTTTCAGAGGTGGAGGAAACACCAAGAATAGAACACGACGAAAATCTTGAGCCCCGCATTATGCCGATTTCAACCCTATACCATGTGCGACTTCGCGTAAGTCTGATACAAACGCGCGAATCGTCGACTGACACTGAGCGTCAACCGTAGAAGACATCCAGGCAAGTTCCAATTCCTAGGGGCAAGGTTGATTAGCTGGCATTTCATGTTATTGTTGTATGTTTAGAAAGATGAACACGCGCCTCGCCTCTGTAGCCATACTGACAGCTCCGCATCACTGATTCTATCAGCATTGAAATTGAAAGAATCCCGCAGTGGTCCGCTTGTCAAACGTTCGTCCTTACCGTCACTATTCATACATGAGATCTTGAGAGCTCAACCTTGCTGATGGAAACTGTTTAAATAGGGTGTACGAGTGCCAGGCTCCCGGTCGTTATCGCCATGGACTGAGCTCGGGAGACATTCGTTACTTATTAAGTCCGCAAGCGGCAAGGCCGCAAATGGGAGTCTGACTTCGTCTTCATGCTCGAGTCTGGGTCGATACTGGGAATACCATATCGTGGAGAGCACGCAGCAGTTTGGCGATACCCGGAGTCGCATTCTAGGTCGCCAATCAACGCGCATTGTCCCTTGCCAAATGCTGCATGTCCCTGGTCCCATTGCTTTAGTTGCACTAACTTCTACTAGTAAGCAGTTGAAACGATTGATACGCCGGCTTACTACTCTCGACGACTGCTCTCAAGCAGGATTCTGTAAGTAATCGTTGTAACAGCGTAAACTGCAGTGGCTGCATGAGATGGTGGTGGGAATTGGGTTGAATCTGGGATCTAGTAAGTACGGTTCAAGTTGACAAGCGATCGGTGGGCGCTAAAGCGCTAAAGCGCTGAAAGGACATGGTCGCCCACTGGTAACCCACTGACAAGCTTTTACAGCCCGGTCGCAAAATCGCGAGGTCTCAACATACTTGGAGGAATGAGCTAGTCGCGGTATGCAACAGAAGCTTGGAATTACGAAGGATCAACAGGATACAAGGTGGCACGCTACAAAGAAACTCCGTGTTCAAATGTACATTCACAATCACCCTGTTCAGTGCATTGCATAGGCAGTTGCTGTAGAGGTTGAGCAAACATCAAAATATGTCACATGCTCACTTCGAGCATGGGTTCTATAGTGCAGGCTGGGATATGCAATAGATAAATCGACGACATGAATATTCTTCGTACCGTAGACCCGCCGTCCAATTTGGAGTCTACGACGCCGTTTCGCTCTTTGGGAAGCATAGAGCAAGTGCTGATAGAAGAGTCAAGTGGTACATTGTTTGAGTGATTATTCCATTATATTATATGTATAAGGTTCCGTCCAATCACTCCAAGTCGAATAACAATATCTCAGCGACCTTGTCGCCAAGGTTCTCGATGACCAATTCCTTCCCGCTCTCGCCCAGCATGTACGCCCCGTCACCTTCCCTCAGAACAACCTCTTCTCCGCCTTTAGTCCCTCCCTCTAAGATCTTAACTGCTCCGCCGGTGTTAGTGTGAGGTGGCTGGTATCCCGACGTCTGAACGACGTGGATGTAGCTTTTACGGCGCTCGAAGGTATGGGTGACAGATTTGGAGGGCGAGAGCAGCGTGGCGAAGAGTGTGAGAGGAGATTGGACAGGTGCGGGACCCGCGCCCTCGCGCGATGCGATTACCCCTTCTGCATCAACTGGTGCAACTACACGCACGAACGCATCTTTCTTTTCCTCGTCAGAGAAGTGCCGAGTGAAGTACTTGGGCGTAAGACCCCTGATGCTAGGGAGGCTCCATATTTGCAGGAAATGGACCTCTTTGGGCCCATGTGCCTTTTCGCTGTGGGAGATGCCTTTGCCAGCGGACGTGAGCTGGATATCGCCCCGCTTAAGGATCTCGGTGTTTCCCATCGAATCTTTGCTGTTCATTCGTGAGACTTTGCGACACGTGGTGAGAGACGCAATACTTACTGCTCTAGTTCGCCTGCAACAATGTAGGAAAAGATTTCGAATTCTCTATGACTGTGTGTCCCGAAGCCTGTTCCTGGAGCAACGCGATCTTCGTTGATGACACGGAGTGAGCCGAACTGGCTGTGTTCGTTGCTCTGGTACCTATTGTAGAGTAGCCGTGTCAGAAGCACTTAGAAGTCCCTATCCATCCCGAAAGGTAGACTTACATGGCAAATGAAAATGTGTGGAAGGTCTTCAGCCATCCGTGATCTGCGTGACCACGCTCACCGCTCCTTCGAGGGACAAACTTGATAGGTGCAAGGTTGCTCGACATGGTGCGACTGTAGCTGACCGCGGCTTTGGGTGATTTCGATAAGAGATGATTTATCTTGGACGCCACGTTACTGTAGTACTGAGGGAGGTAAGGATGCTGGAAACTGCTGAACGCTGCTGAAGAAGTGAGGAAGTAGGATCCGACGTATATATATGCAGGGAGAAAGGCGACGATGAGAAGGTAATTCCTGTAAGTGGTGGGCATGAGCAAGCCATGGTGTGCTTGATAATTCGTTATCAAGGTGGTTTCGGTTAGCAGCGGAGGCGCATTTCCTAAAAAGGTGTACCGACGCTCACGCGTACCCACGAACGGCTTACTCATTTAAAGTCAAGTCATGACCATGACTCCGCCAAGACGACGGTAGCACGCCAAAGACATACCAACATCGAGCTCAGCTGGCCTCCAGGCTCGACCAAGGTACCCAACGCTTCAGGTTTGTAGTTGCCCGCGTTCTTCGCGCAATGCCATCTTCACCTTCGAAAAGTTGACAGGTCAAATTTCGCGTGTTGCTTCCCCGGTTCTTACCGGCCTATGCACCATGAACGATTGCACCCTACGTCGAGAAATTAGATGAGAGATGAGTATGGGGGTCGAGAAAGAAATCTCCAGAACATTCTTGGTATTTCGAGGCTCAGTGGCTTGGAGGAATCCACTGACCTGGTTTGACGCTATTGGCAGGTCGCAGCAAGTAATTCAGCGAAAGTCCCCCAATAAATGATCTTATTGTCGGCGCAATCGCAGATTGTTTTGGGCGCAGGGCCCTTAAGCTTACGGCTCGTGCGATGTTACCTGAACCCTTCTTCGACGGCGACTGCTTTCTCAGTGCGCTTCTGCAGGCACCGGAGCACCCGCTGCATTTCTTGCCCGACCGATGGATGGCTATCAATAGGTGTTGAAGACTTGTTCCGTCAATGTTTCTACCTAGAGCAGCGCTTCTGTTAACTCTGTCAGCCTATCATCTTCTCGACCATTGCCCTCGGATGTCTTCTCCGTACCCGTACCGTTTCTATGAAAATCTTCAGTGGCGGTTAGCAAGACTCGGCCTTCGCCCTCGCTGCGCATCGCGCTGCAAAGCCGTTGTAAGTGGTTTCAACTCGATCATTCCAATGTGTTGAATAGAAAATTACCCCCAAGAGGAGTGCATCTGATGCGACGGCTGCGAAAATCTGCGAAAAGTCACAGGTGGGCATCGCACGCATACCCTGTCTGGTGCAAATCCAGTCCATATATCTGGGTTGCTCCGAATGCTCCTAGGATCCCACCACAGGACGCAACCTCGACTAAAGCGTACCACCGCCGGGATGTCAAGTCAAGCCATCGGTAGGCACGCTGGCCCGGTCTAAATTTCGTCAGGGACACGAGAATCGTTCAATGACACTCAACATGCTTCCACCGCCCATTACGTCGACGGCCCAGATCCCATAGCCTCGTCATTCAATTCCATGTTCTCACCGTCGGTGGTAGCCCGTCTTTCATACGCCTTTTGGCGATGGGCGACGTTGATGTGACACTGAAGAGTTTGGTGATTACCGGGTGCTTGTGGGTCGCGCTTTACTCCTTCGGACAACGGCTAAAGTACTTATATAGCTCGCTAAACCACCTGTTTTCGTCAGTACATTCGTCAGTACTATCCCTAGGAAATGTCGTTTGGTACACTTCGTCAACTTCTCCTGCTCGGTTGCCTGGCTCTGCCGTCGCTGGCGGCCGCTAACCTCCCAACCGCTGATTTTGATTACATCGTCGTCGGGGGTACCCCACTTTCTTCTAGTCGTTTCGACCTCATTTTAATCCTTTATTGCTAGCGGGAAATGCGGGAAATGTCGTCGCCGCACGACTAACAGAGGATCCTAACGTGTCCGTCTTGGCCTCGAGGCGGGTGTATCGTAAGGATGTTCATCGTGTGGCGACGTCGACCGTGCTAACGGCTATATTGCTCCCAGAGATGAGAACGTATTGGGGGCAGAGGCTCCGCTTCTCGCGCCCGGGCTCGTTCCTAACTCTATCTTCGACTGGAATTACACGACGACAGCCCAGGCTGGGTACAATGGACGATCAATTGCGTATCCTCGTGGCCGTATGCTAGGAGGATCTAGCTCCGTTCGTGCGTAGAATTCACAAAGTGACTCAGAAACTGTGCTTATCCTACACTGATAGACTACATGGTCATGATGCGCGGATCGATAGAGGACTTTGATCGCTATGCGGCTGTCACTGGCGATGAAGGATGGAACTGGGACAATATGCAGCAGTTCGTCAGGAAGGTATTCATTCCCAATATCTCACATCCCATCCTACATACTAATCTCAATCCTTTCAGAATGAAATGGTCGTGCCTCCCGCCGACAGTGAGCAAGCTATAGACGACCCTCATCTTTGTCTAACTTTGAGCACTAGACCATAATACCTCTGGCGAATTTATCCCAGCTGTACACGGTACTAACGGCTCGGTTTCTATCAGCTTACCGGGTTTCCCGACTCCTCTCGACGACCGTGTCTTGGCCACTACTCAAGAACAAAGCGAGGAGTTCTTCTTCAACCCCGACATGGGAACAGGTCATCCTCTTGGAATCAGTAGGCACCCTTTCTAAACGCTTTGGCTGCGTGTCTAACGATATTTTGTTCAGGTTGGTCCATCGCAACAGTTGGCAACGGCCAACGTAGCAGCTCTTCGACTGCGTACCTACGGCCCGCCCAGTCACGGCCCAATCTCAGCGTGTTGATTAATGCCCAAGTAACTAAGCTCGTCAACAGCGGTACTACAAATGGCCTACCTGCGTTCCGATGTGTGGAGTACGCAGAGCAAGAAGGAGGTCAGTATCGATTGCTGCCTCGGATGTGGATATCTTTAACACTTTTTTGACCAGCACCAACAACGACCGTTTGCGCTAAGAAAGAAGTCGTTCTTTCGGCGGGATCCGTTGGCACCCCCATTCTCCTGCAACTATCAGGTTGGTCAGATGCAGGAGCGCGAGAAGCTCGGACTCATCATATCTCAACTAGGCATCGGCGACGAGAATGACCTATCATCCGTTGGTATCGATACCATCGTTAACAACCCTAGCGTAGGTCGAAACCTGTCCGGTGAGTGGAAGCGCCTGAGAAGCCATAGGTTCGCGTGCGTACTGACATCATCTCCACAGACCATTTGCTCCTTCCCGCTACCTTCTTCGTCAACAGCAACCAGACATTCGATAACATCTTCAGAGACTCGTCCGAGTTCAACGCTGATTTAGATCAGTGGACAAACTCCAGGACCGGCCCTCTCACCGCGCTCATTGCTAACCACTTGGCCTGGCTGAGGTTGCCATCGAATTCAAGCATCTTCCAAACCTTCCCAGACCCAGCTGCGGGCCCCAACTCTGCTCATTGGGAGACCATCTTTTCCGTATGTCTATGGTTTGTATTCTCGCTCTTGTACCTGATGGCTTATTGTTGGGTAGAACCAATGGTTCCATCCTGCCATCCCTCGCCCTGACACTGGCAGCTTTATGAGCGTAACAAACGCGTTGATTTCTCCTGTAGCTCGTGAGTGTACTCATCCTTGATCATTTCGCTCGTCCTAAAGCTTTTTATTCTAGGTGGGGACATCAAGCTTGCTACATCCAACCCATTCGACAAGCCGCTTATCAATCCACAGTATCTCTCCACGGAATTCGACATCTTCACCATGATCCAAGCCGTCAAATCCAACCTTCGTTTCCTCTCTGGTCAAGCATGGGCGGACTTCGTTATTCGCCCATTTGACCCTCGTTTGAGAGACCCGACGAACGATGCTGCTATCGAGTCGTACATTCGAGACAACGCCAACACGATTTTCCACCCAGTTGGAACGGCCAGCATGTCCCCACGCGGAGCTTCTTGGGGCGTCGTAGATCCCGATCTCAAAGTCAAAGGTGTGGATGGCCTCAGAATCGTCGATGGGTCTATTTTGGTGAGTTTCCCCTTTCCTGGTCGCTAGCAACGATGGAAGGGAATGCTAATTCGCGTATACAGCCCTTCGCGCCAAACGCACATACCCAAGGGCCGATATACCTTGTAGGCGAACGAGGAGCTGACCTTATTAAGGCTGATCAGTAGTAAACATCGTGCGCAGCTTGCGATAATTCGAATACCTCTGCTTCGTGTATTCATTTCAAGTGTACAGTTTCAATTCAATATGATTCCCAGAATGGGTCCTCGATGTATCCTACCCAGCATCGTGTGCCCCCCTCGAGTTCTACGTTAGTTGTTCCCAAGGTTCGAAGAAGAGATACGCTCTTCTCCCGCGAGATATCCAGAGAACCAACAGTACGTATCAGATTTCCGGAAGGGAAGAAGTCGATGCGCGTTGTGGTAAAGAGGGCTTTGTTTAGGCAACCGCTATATAAATAAAGAAGGTACATATGCATCTTTACATACAACATGATCTGGCGAGCAGGATAACACGTACAACGGAGAGCAATAAGTCATCGACATCAACAATTGGGGACGCGAGCCTCGAGGCACCTGGGAATTAGGGAGGGAACGTGGTGGAGTAAAGATACATGAGAGTGATGGAAGCTTCTAGCCATGAAGCAATAACCAAGAGTCGGCGAACTTATTTAACGTTAAATGCAAGCAGCGACGATCCGTGTTTGTAGCTGGATGTGGATGTGGATAATAGAGTAAATACTGAGTGTAAATGCCGATGGACGTAAAACGGAAAAAGTACGGCGGTGATGCTGGTGCGTGGTCATCTAAACATTGCAGGAAGGAGAGATGATGAAGTCGGAAAGCAAGAGACTGATCAAGAAATACTTTTCTGCCTGAAGGCTAACCAGACTCTAGAAAGGAGAATCCAGCGAATCCAGCGGAAGGGGATGGAAGTTGATACCGATAGAGGACCAAGAAAGTCGAAACTAACGGCCTGTGAAGAGTTCCTTTAGATCCTTCATATCCAATAATACCACGCCCGCATCCTCCAGCTCCGTCTCGACCTCAGCCTCAATCCTATGCGCCGGCGTCACGCTCCCTCCGTACCACGCCTCGATCCTGTTGTACGTCCCATGAGCCTCCTTGATCAGAAGAACTTCATTTCCCCTCCCCAGAGCCGCCCAGCACGTTGCCCTCACGCAGAAATCGCTCTGCAAACCGACTACCACCAGCTCTGCATCGTGCCTGATCAGCGAACCAAGCTCCGTCCCAGCGAATGCGTTGTTCTTCCGTTTATCGATGACTGGCTCGTGAGGGAGGGGTGGGAAGACGAGTCCGAACCCCGGCGAGACGGGGTCGTCCGGATCGCCTGGGTCTCCGCAGTTGCGGACGTGTATTATTAGAGGGGGCGGCGAAGCAGCGCGGGCGTGGTGCAGAATGAGAGAGATGTTGTGACGGAGGGCAGAGGACGAGGGAACGCCCAGTGGCGGAGAAGATAGCAACCCGGCTTGGACATCAAGAAGGAGGAGGACGTGCTGGGTTGCGATTTGTGGCGTTTTAAGAGGATGAGGTGAGTAAGGTATTAGAGGGGAGTGAGGAACTGAACGAGAACCACCAGGTATCGAGCTTATCGTGCCGTTGACGACCCCATTTACACCACCGCCAGCCGCAGAGTCCCCATTAACGGCAATCGCTCCGTTCATGGTATTGATCCCGCTGAGAATTGGACGCGAGGATGTTGACGGCGTAGGGCGCACGGGCAACGCTGAAATCGGCGATACAACGGATGGAGACATGATGTTGGATTGACAAGTTGCATGCAATCGAGGAGACGACTGGCGGTTCCGGTTGCGTTGCTGGATAAGTTGGGTGGACCAGGAGCGCAGGCACGCGAGGGCCTGGGAAATTGAACACGGCTTGTCGAGGCCAAGTGCCTTACCCTTGGGTAGGGGTTGAATACAGCGAAGATGGGAGGAGAAAGGAACGAGATAACGGAGGAATCTACTTATATATGTATTGTGATGTATATTACTATATGGTAGCGGATTCTCTGATGAAGTCCACGCGCTGTTACTTTCGCCGATGATCAGAGTTTTAGCTTGCCTTGAGGCGCGCCGTCAGTTCCATGTCACGGAACGATGGCATGGGCACGGAGGAAGACATCGAGGTGGTGGTGAAGCATCGTTTGACGAATTGGGCTCGAGTGAACCATTAATGTGGTTACTGAGAGCTGTTTCGAGCTAGGTTGCTGATGCGAATCATCCGGCTAACTAACTTCCTCCTCAAGGCCTCATGACGGACCGTCTGGTCCATCTATTTCCTGAAGGATATTCAATTGCTTGATCCGCTTGCGTTCGCAGGTTCTTGCTCTTCAACTTGCGAACACTTGGAAGGGACGATCTCCAGTGCCGGACAGGGAGGAAAGGCTTAGGAGTATTAGCGAAGGTTGGCGCCATCGTGGACGTACCAAAAGTCTCATGTGACATACACGACCTCGCTACGAGTGGGGTGGACGCTACAATGTGGAGGTTCATGCTTCATGGATGCACGAGCTGCGCGCCAGTCGTAACCAGCTCCGATAGTCCGAAATGTCGGGATTATTACTCTTCGCAGCAGGCAGCAGGCATCAAGTATACGGAAGGTTGTTTGTCCGATCTTTGCGCACACTTAGCCATGTATTTCGGGGCATTTGCTGATGAGCTGTTGCAGCCCCATGTGCTCTTTGCGGGATTACTGCGACATGAGTGCATTGGATAAATGGTAGGCCATGGCGTTTGGATATCCCTATCGGAGAACATCTGTATGGCAAGTAGTAGTCAGCGCTAGTCAGCAGCTACCGGTCAGAAGCATCCGGTAGGCGACAAAAAACCGAAAATTTGGAGAAAGGGCATACCAGCCGCCCACGCTATGTGCCACTGCAACCTTATATATTGATAAATAGGCTTTTGACATATAACCTTGTTTAATCGCGGGCCGCACTGATGGCTACGTAGTGACTTCACCACATCGTCATCCGTTTGAAACGGCGTCTGTGGTGAGGCGCCCAAGACTTAAGGAAGATAGGCGTTGGGCGGGGCCATTATCGAGGGACAGGGAGGACGGTGGCCATTTGAATAGGAACACGAATCAGGCGCAACACTCGCTAGCGTTCGGTGGGTTCCGCAAGTGAAAGAGAGGTTGGCATCGTGACATTGCCGCATATATGCGTCCCATCGTCTGTAGACGCACCTTCAAGCTTCCATTCGGTGATGCCCATCTGAAAGTATCGTGAAAGTATCGTATGGACTACATCGCTTACTTGCAAATACTATCAATGCATTACGCATCTTATTGACGCGCCCTTTCGCGTTGCGGTACAACATTAGGGTTCGAAAAGCACATCGTTCGCACATAGGCTCTTGGTGGATGCGTTGCGGTTATCGCAAATACTTGGCGCGACGAAACCAACAGCTACTGTGTGCGAACCTTGTTAAGTTATATGCTAATAGAAGAATGGAACCGTGAAAGCTGTAGTTACGAGTGGATTGTAGACAGTTTTGGAGTCAAGATCAGATCTGTGGAATGAGATGGGCTCACGCAGATGTCGCGAGGTTGTGGTTGAGAGTGAGTGCCGAACTGAGATAATAGAGAACGGTCAGGAGGGGATCAAGAATTCGCATCACGTGAGGGCGTCCCTAGGAGCTTGATAGGAGCTCAGAGCAGTGCGACAAGGTGCAACTGGACTTACAAATTTTTTCTCGGAAAGACGTGAAATTGAGGTCCATCTCACCTAGTTGTCGGACGCCGTTGTAGGACACGGATAGTCGCATAAGCTTTCGTGCAGGTAAGCACCCTGTGAGTTTATTTGCAGTAAGGCGCTCACAGGCGCTGTCGTAGAACGAGTGGCTGATCGTTACCTTGCTTCCAAGAGGGCGCAGTTGTTACTACCTTCGTCGGTTCGCCTATTGTATCCTCAGGATACGATGAGGCTCTTGCGTACCGACAGGCGCGTATGAGTAGTGACCGGTGACCGCCCGATACTTTTGGCCTACGTGTTTGGCCTTACCCCCACCACCCCTGGGGAGGCTTCGTTCAGCATGTCTATAGCAGTCGGACGGAGTTTGTGCGAGGGTAATGTCCGCAAATGGCCTGTGCGTGTGTGTGTGTGAGGGGGGGCTATCGGGTTCCCCAGTTAATTCGTATGGGGCGTGAGATGCTGACAGAGAGCAGGGAAATCGTGCTCTCCGTGTCGACCTCCACAGGACCTCAAGATGAAGCGCAAGACCGACCGGCAGTGGACGCTTGGCGCCATTGTCAAGTTGCTTATTGCCATGTATAACGCTGCGATGTGAATTCACCTCACGTCGTTTATGGCTTTGTATTATACCCTTCAGATGCGGGGCAACTACCAGAGATCGTCCAGCGACCACCCCAAGCGAGCAAGACTCAGCGTGGTTCAACACCACGACACTCTTCGATGGGTAAAGGGAATTTTCTACGCAACATACGCGTTGTCATCGTCAGTCACGATTCCTAGACATACGCAAGAGGATATTCACGCTGTTCACATAACCAGAGACATACTCCCACTTCTGGAGAAGTGGTATGAAAAGCAAGGTACTATGGAGTGCCCCCAACTTGATATCGATCCCGGAAAGCATTCCTGAACTCAGAGCGGCCTAGAAAGAAACAATCAACATAGAGAATAACCGGAAGATACTTCGTTGTCGATGTTATTCGTGGTGCACTTATATGACGATGGGCCAAGGAAATTCTTATATACCGCGGGGGAACCAAAGGGACAGCAAAGTTAGAAAAAGATGGAACCATGCTGACGCTTGGAAGTTCGTTGGTAACATTTCAACATGTCTGCAGAACGCGCAATTGCCAAAAGTAGTGTAAGCAATATTGAAGACGAAGTACAACACTTATCGTTACATATTACACGCGGATTCTGCATCTCAAAGCACTGGATATTGAATAGTGAACAGCCGAATTAGGCACCCTCAGCTTGCAAGTGTTTCCGCAAACTCCCCGTTCTCCACCATCTCCTTCACGATATCCAATCCTCCCACAAACTCGCCGTTTATTATCAGCTGCGGGAACGTCGGCCACTCATTCAACTTTTTGAGGCCTACATGAACGAATGAGCAACCCAAAGAAGTAGAAACGATAGGATATGAATAGATAACTCACCGCTTCTAACATTTTCGTCCTCCAAGATATCAAAGTGGCCGAAGTCGGGCACTCCCTGTTCCCTCAGCAGCTCGACTATCTTCCTCGAGAATCCACACCTCGGTGCGTCCGGAGATCCCTTCATAAACAACATGACTTTGTTCGAGGTCATCAAGTTTCTCAAGCGTTCATTAAGTTCTTCCTCTGTCTCGATCTTTTCGTTGAGTTGAGAGCGGGCGGAGGGGGCTTGCGGCTGTTGATCGGTTTTGGATGTCGGGTTGATTGTTGGGCCAGAGCGCAGGTGTGTGGCGATGGAAGTTGTGAGGCCTGCTGCATCGGCACCGGACACTCGAGCGAGCAATGTATGTCCCTGCACGCACGAACGTCAGTTTGTAATATACCCGAGCCGGAAACGGAGATGCTTACCCGGAGGATGATGAACGCAGGAACGGCCTCGATGTCGAAGGATTCGGCAATATCAGATTGTTCTTCTGCCTCGACCTGAGTAGATATGTCAGCCGTTGTTCAGCCAAATTCAGCGGACTACGTGGGGGGGGGGTACATCCGTTCCCCTACGGCGCAAATGCGCCTCCCTGGGAGCATAGCACTCCTTCCGTGTCGCTCAACTCTCACCTGCAATACCAACAGTTGCGAGTACTTTTTTGCCAACTCCAAAACCACTTCATTCATTTGATGACAAGGCTCCGCCCATGGTGCCCAGAAATTTATCAGCGATACGCGGTTAAGATCTGCGGAGAGTAGTTCTTGAAATTGTGACGGGGATTCGACGACTTTGAAATTGGCGGGAGAAGGTTCCGTTGACATGGTTGTATGAAGTAAAAGACTGAAGTAAGTGAGAGTCAGGAATGGGTGAGATGAGGAGACATCGCGCAATACTTTCTTATCGGATAAGATAACAAAGTATTGACCGAATATGGAAACACCCCTGTCAGACAACAAGTTTCGACTCTCACAGAAAGTCCCAATATTAGATGTTACATAGCGCATGGCCATGTGGTTGCTAGCTATAGCTAAAGAAAAAATTGGACCTCATGGAGCGGCGCACATCGGACATATGGACCTGACAAGGCATCTGCATCAGACCTGACACGCTGGTAACTAGGTCCATGGTATACGTACACGAAGGGAAAGGTATGACGGGAAAGTAACCGTCTGGGATAGCTAATTCAGTATATATAAAATGAAATGTGATCTTAACCCTCCGCGGCTTGCGTGTATCTAGTGGCGTCCGCCATACTTAATGAATGGTGAACCGAGAAGTAAACAAGGAAGTAGGCACCGCCACAAGAGTAAGAGCCCGACGTTGAGACTAGTGAGATTCCATCCACTCAGAGACACGTTGTATGAGGTCGTCCTTCTTGCCTGAAACGGCAAGACTTTTGCTCTTCAAGAATTCCTGAAATTGAGTCGCCCGTCAATATTCAATTGTCATACATAAAACAAACACACGAAGGGGGTGCATACCTTGAGCTGGTCAACTCGTAGCTACGTTGCGATAGTCGATGTTAGCAAACTTGAAAGAATAAACGACAGCCGAACCTTGGATAACGTCCCAGACTCCCATTTGCTCCGAATTTCAGCCTCAGCGACGTTGACATCCTTCATATTTGTATCCCTGAATACCAAGTTGAAAGGAAGGAACCATATTCGATGACTTACCGCCTTCCTCTTCGATCCCGTCGTAGCAGGCACCATTGAAGCAGAGTCGTCTTCGAGTAGTGCTTCCTTCCACGCTACTATGAGCTTTCCCGCCCGCTACACAAATATACGTTGTACATCACAAGGACCTTGAAAGAAGCAAGGAAACGAGCCCACCCTATGCATAACATCCACCTTCGGTTCGGTCAAGTCCTCGAACGACTCCGCGTCGAATTCCTCGCGGAAAGCGCTGGCTTGTAGTTGCGCGTTGTGGTACGCAAGCGCTGCACGCGAAATCGTCAGCTTGGTAGTGTCAGTAATAGGGGAGCGATAATGCGATTACCTGGATTGGGATACGAATCGGGCGGATACGCGCCGTTCTTGACAGCAAGCTTTTCGACCCATGCCTTTGCGAGATCCTTCAGTTCGTCGGATGCTACGCGAAGTTAAGCCAAGCCCAATTATTGAATGGCGTCTGAATCCATAAAGTGTTCAGAGCGTACCTCTACAAGCTTCTTCAATAGGAGCCGCGCGAATATCGTCGGCAAAGGGCAGGGGGACCAAGTGGAAACCAGGGGGGTCTGTCCAGCCTGCATCGTCTTCCTTTTCTTCCTACGCCCACAATCAACAATCAACATCAGTACGTGTCCACGAAAATGACAACGAGAGATATATACTTGGGGTAGAAGTGCACAAAAGGTCGGTGTGGCGTTCCGGCGCGTAAGCGTGAGCACCAGTCCGATTTTATTCTTTGAAACCATGCTTTTGATGAGCGCACTGAAGGTTCTTTTGCTTCCTGCGTATATCTGGTATCATATCGTGTAGAGGAGCTCATATCATTTCGTTGCTCGAATGGGGGCCAGGCAAAGAACGCACGAGTTCGTCGGGATATATGAAGTTGGAGTGCTTGATGTTATCCTCGAATAGCAGCGTTTCACGATCTTTGAACCCCAGGAGCCTTATCTCTGAAAGCAAGGAGCCAGGTACCAGGTGATTATCTACTGCAAGAGGGCGAGCCGAAACCGAACGCACTTGGTTCCAGTCCCAATGTCCTGAACGAACGGATTTCCTCGGCCGTGTAGAACGGCTGTGGGTGGCGCGCGATTAGTTGCATAGTTACAGTGAGATGGAATTGAAAGTGGTAAGCGTACCCGCTTGCCAGCTTGAACTGCTCTGGTCCCAATACCACTTATATCGTCGTCGTCATCTGCTATGGTCGCACCGATCGACATTCCATAAACGATCTTGGACTTATCCATCTCCGTCTCAGTACCCTAAGAATATAAGACAGGGATTGGAACGGTCGGTCATTTGGGCGCGTCGAGAGACAACAGACCTCGTCGACGTATCGGGTCGTCGAGTTCACCAACTCCATTCTATCGCCTAGATCGACGAAATACTTGTAGCTGCCCTTCTTCTGCTCCGTCACTAAACCGTACCTATATGTCGCATTTACAAACAGCATGCTGCAAAAACGCAAGCAATTCTCACCCTTTTACACCTATCGTGAACCCCGGCGCAAGTTCGAATGGGATGCTAAACAAAGCGCGTTTGGGCACCTCATGGAACCGCATTTGGGCGAGCAGGTCATCGATGCGGGTGATGGAAATGGACTCAGGCAATGTCGACGATTCTTCATTTTCGTCACCGTTAGTTGTGCCGTTTGGGAGCACTTGCTGTAGCACAAGGATTACTATCAATGAAGCCGACACAAACGATGCTCACTGAATAAAATTTGGCCACATCAAACGACCGTTCGTCGGTACTGATGAAGAACGGTTCGACTGTCACTCCGGTTTGTACGAGGTCCTAAGGTAAATGAGGTCGAAAACAGGTCGTTGTGACTATGTACGTACATCCAGTGTTGTTTTAGCAGATCTGAGAAGTTGTTCGCTTCCGGCGCCAGAGTGCGGATCGTCGTCATCTGTAATGAGGAAGATGCGCTTGGACGCTGTTTTAGGAGCACTAGGAGCTATGTGAGTCCGAATATTCAAATGCACGGGAAGGTAGGACTACCCGTCACGCAAGACCCAGTTGCAGCTCGTGAAGACATCTCCCATTGGGACCTTCTTGCCAGTCAATGGAGGAAACGCCTCCCGCAATTCGTCTGGGTTCTCCCTGGTAGCTGCATGACATCAGCATATGAGCGCGTGATCGACAGAGTACCAACCATCCAAAAGCTGCATCACTTCTTGTATTTTAGGAGCACTGATTTGCTCGAGTGGCTGGTAAATGTACGTGTGCCTCTTGATTTCCGTAGTGTCCGACCGCTTCACCTCAGTTTTCCTTGTCTAGTCACAATTTAGCGATGCAAGACGTGCGCATGGGATAGCTCACCGTATTGAATAGCAATATCCCAACGGAATCATTTGGACCGACAATGACTTTCTTCTTCTGAATTTCGACCGCGGCTTCGAGAGCTGTTTGCAAGTGACATGTCTTGACCTCACCCGGCTCGTAGCGGGGGTCATCCCTTTGTGCAAACATTGACTCGGAGCAATCAATGCAGAAGAGGATCACGTCGCGTTTGGCCTCGAGATACTTGAATTCAGAACTATGTCAGAGACTCGTTCGCTGGTGGGGAGAGATGATACGTACATCATCTTGTAGTTCATCGTCTTCCTCGTCGTCGATTCGATTCCAATCATCGTAAGGTGGCATTGTGGCTCGTATTGGACTTGGACGCGACGAGTCAGAATCCTTTGGAACGCGTCTTACATCTCCGCAAGGCACGTGAGGATGGCGGCACTATGTCGGCCTCTCACGTGCCAGTGTTTCCCGTTTTGCTTCTTAGTACCAGAATCCATACAAGGAGGCAACGCGCATCCAAGGAGACGGTATTTGCATGTCTTTGAGACTATATCAACATTGGAAAGTAATCAATCCCTCGGAGGTGGATCACTCGAAGGCTTCCATTTGAACATACTTTCAAGCTAGCACCAATCCTCCCCACGCTAGCACAATATGGAATCCCAACCTGCTCTTCGTCGCGTCGATGTAGCTTCTCTCAAAGGGATGCCAAAACCGGCGCAGAAGATCCGCTTTGACTCTGATGTCGAAGTCTGGCGTACAACTAGAAGCTATCAAGACTATTCTTTATTTTTACACCGTTTGACTGAGGCCGTCGTCGGCCAATTCCTTCCTCTGGCGAATCCAACGCAAAGTTCGGCACGTCATTTCGTAGCCTCTGGATTTTTGTCCTAGTTCTGAAGCCGTTTATAGGCTATCCTGGGCACAATTGGCGCTTTGGATCGCCTGGATCGCTGGATAGACGATATTCCGCCTCTCGATAGCCCCCAAAGGTTTGGTAACCTTGCCTTTCGCAAGTGGGGAAAGCGACTCGAAGAGGTCCGTACTGTGTTCCACGGGACAGATGTCAAAGTCAATTTGTCCCATAGGAAGCCGACGATGTGTTAGGTACCTTGTTACCCAGCGACTACGCAGCGGCAATACCCCATTTGAAGCCCTACCTCCTGGCTTCATTTGGTTCCTTCACTCGAATGGACTACGGGACTGGTCATGAAGCATCCTTTGCCCTCTTTCTCTGCTGCCTGACTTTACTACGATTCTTCCAACCTACAATGGACGAAGAAAAAGACCTCGTGCTTCGTGTCTTCGTCCGGTATTTACAACTCTGCTGGCGACTCCAAGATGTCTATCGCCTGGAGCCGGCGGGCAGCCACGGAGTCTGGGGACTGGATGATTCATCCTTCCTCGGCTATATTTTCGGGAGTGGTCAACTCCGAGGTTAAATCCCTCCGTTACTTGTTATTCTTGTGCATTAACCCGGGCGCCCTTAGATCAGAATGAAATACCCGTTGCCGCAGTTCTGCATCCCCCGTTACCAGCCACCAATTTATATTTTATGTCCATCATGCGCATCCATGAGGTTAAGCGAGGACCTTTCCACGAACATTCTTCCCAGCTTTATGCCATTGCAACGGGCGTGCCGAACTGGAGAAAGGTCAATTCAGGGCTGTTCAAGATGTACGAGGTAGGCCAACCGTTGCCTATCGATTTGTTACCATTAAATCATAACGTTTCTCAGGCCGAGGTTCTCGCGAAACGCGTCGTCGTACAGCATATCCCCTTGGGCGGAATCCTTGAATGGGACGCCATACCTCCTTCAGCCATGGTCCCAAACAACAGCACCAGGGCGCCGTGGTTATCTCCGGCAGCTGAACTACTCAGTGCACCAATGCCGACTGGGTGGTGGTCGACTCCCACTCCTCGTGGTTCCAGTGGAGGTGTGGACTCTGCCTCAAGTGTTGGATCTGATGACCCCCGCAATAGAGCCGCTCGATCGACACCTAGCACACATTTCGGGGCCCCACCTTAGACTTGACATATGCGACCGTGTAATTTTCATGTATCGCCAATGATATCTCCTCATGTCGATAAACGCGACAGACTCGTCAGAACACCACGTAACACGGGGCAAAACAAAAGGGCAAGAATGGTAAGTAGCAAGGTTGATGTTCTGATTGCGTAACAGGTGATCCCGAGAGCTCGCGCGAATTCGAAGGCGCTTCGAGTCCCTGATTCCCATTTCCGTGGCAAGACAACAAAAGAATTCATCTAAATTGATGCTTCCCGCGCTGTCTATACATATGTCGCAAAAAGGTCTACACGTCGACAAGCAATGCTCGGAATTTTTTCCCCCGTCGGTAGAATGCAGGTATCCGTCTATTGAGTGGTGCCTTGTCGCAATGCAATTCGCTCTAGAAGTTCGCGCAGAGGGTTGGGTTATATGTGGCTGGTTGAGATAAGGCTCCTCCGGCGGATCACGATTGCGAGCTGGGCGTCGAACGTCCTCGAGAAGACGCTAACCTCGAGTAGAACAGTTCAGCCCGTTCTGTATAACCTATCAAGGCTTGTGGGGTGTCACCACTTGACCGGCATTGGATGATATCAAGACGATCAATGATGTATGTTCCGATAGGTCCGGTGACTTATATCGAGAGCATTGAGGGTAAAAATAAATAGGTGTCGTGTGAATACCTAACCATCAATAGGATGTATACAAGCCTCGACAACAGGGTCGTTGTCGAGAAACGTCCACCCCAATAGACCGGCCCCTCAGCAACAAGGGCCCGGAACGCCCCCCGACTCCACGCCCTCGAGTAAGCTCTTTGAATAAGGAACAAATGGATCGAAGCTAAGCGGCTTCGAGGTTAAGACATACTTGGATTCGAAATGGACGCAGAGATCCACAGCCAAGCATAATCAATCGCGATTCACTGCCCAGAGGTTTGGGTGAGCAATCAGCAAGGTGAAGAACACTCATAGTGTAGTGGGAACCGCGAGGAGACTACTCGGAGATTGAGAGATGCGAGAGTGCCAATGGAGTTCCCTTCTACAGTACACTTGTGAGAAAAGCTGAAGCCATTAAAGCAAGCCTTTACGATACGATGGATAGAATGGATCTAGCCACTAGGCTATAGAGAGGCAGAAATTACGCCGTCCAAGCGCCTCCTGCGTACAATTCCATTTTCTGTCTGAGAAGTCAGATTCGGAATGTTCGAGGGCAAGTGTTGCACAGACATTAAGCGCTCGTTAGGCGCTCTGACGTGGGTGGCGGGGTCTGCCGGAAATTTGCCATCGATCATCAGCTTTTCAACTTTCAAGGGTACACCGCCAATTCAAGCACCTAACAGCTTTTCAGAGAATCCAAAACCTCCCTCAACGGACACCCTCTGTCGTCGTCAGGACCTGCGCGACATCAGAGGCCCAGTACGCCACAATTTCTGCCGAACAAAGAAACGAAGATCTTCGTTTGCTGACCATCGAGTGAGCTTCACAACATTTCTCTGCTTGTTTAGCATTAATCGTGGAATTTGCTATAGGTGGTCTTCTGTTCGAGGTTTGGATCCTGAAATCCCCCTTTCGAGTTCGGTCACTGATGCTTTTGTAGGTGAACCTCCCTGACAGGACTAGAATCAGTCGCAGTTTGCAGAACCGTCCTCTCGTCTTCGTCGATCTCATTGCTCTTACATTCGCCCTTCAAGCTTTTTCCTCGCTGAACAGGGAGCGAGGAACCCCCACTAACTGATAGACACCTCATCGTTGCCGTCCTTCCGCCCGGCTCGTCACTGACCGTGGCGGTTCAGGCTCGGTAATTCGGGTTCACGAATTCATATCCATCGCATCTACATTATCTCGAATCTTCGTCTCTATCCTCGCCACTTTAGAATTATATCGCTTCCAACCGACATAGACTCGTGAGTAAGGTCCACAAATGAGTACGGTCTCGTTGACTCATCTTAGTCGTTGAACACAGCCTTGGTACACGTCGCTCATCCCCTGACCCGGCTGATCGAATGTCACCAGTGGAAATCCTACCCGCCTTCTCGCCTGTCGACTTCTCCTTCTCTACTGATTCGTTTAGCGAACAAAAATATTCGTGCAAGGGGAACGACACCGTTAATGATATCTTACCTCCATCTACCTATTTCAAACACGACGATTCCGGCTCTGCCGAAGACGACGACCCAAAAGTTCTTTTCCCCGACTTACCACCGCTTTTCACCGGACATCCGGATGTTCACCTTCGAAATGGCGTTATGAAAGCCCAACAGATGAGCGCAGATCACGTACCTGACGCCGAGCGAGCCTTCTTTGTTGCCGATCTTGGGCAAATCTACCGACAACACCAACGTTGGGTCAAATGCCTACCCGATATTCAGCCTTTCTATGGTGAAGTAGTTACAGCACTGCGCCCACTCTCCTTACTAACGTAGTTCATTCTAGCTATCAAATGCAACCCTGATCCTTATGTCCTTCGTCTCCTCGCGGCTCTTGGAGCTGGGTTTGACTGCGCTTCCAACGGAGAAATCAGCCAAGTTCTCAGCTTGGGTGGCGTCGACCCTTCAAGGATCATATTTGCTAATCCATGCAAGGCGACCTCTTTCATTCGAAACGCCGGAAAAGTGGGCGTCGACTTAATGACGTTTGATAACATGGACGAACTCTACAAAATTTCTCGCGCCCATCCGGGCGCCAAGCTAGTCGTCCGCATCTTAGCCGACGATTCAAAGAGCTTGTGCGCCTTTAACATCAAATTTGGCGCTGCGCTTGAAGTTGTTCCGAGCCTTTTGGCCAAAGCGCGCGATCTTCGCCTCGACGTAGTTGGCGTGAGTTTCCACGTCGGCAGCGGATGCTACGATCCTTCTGTCTATACCGACGCCATCATGCGTGCTCGCGCCGTCTTCGACATGGCCCAACAAGTTGGATATGAGTTGAATCTCTTGGACGTTGGTGGAGGATTCGAAGACTCTTCTTTCGAACGCGCAGCAACCTTTCTGAGCGACGCTATTCATCAATACTTCCCTGATCGACATGGCATACGTGTCATTGCAGAGCCAGGGAGGTTTTACGTTTCCAAGGCGTTCAGCCTTGCCGCAAATATCATAGCGCGTAGGGTTCCTCCGACCGAGGTTGCGTCGGAAAAGCCAACCTCCGATCATCCAATGGTCATGTGTCAGTTGCCCATCTGATCGCATATTCCATTCGCATCTAATGTTTATTCAATGCAGACTACATCAATGACGGCGTGTACGGAGCTTTCAATTGCATTCTGTTCGACCACCAAGTGGTGCATCCATATGTGTTGTCGCTCAATGGCTCCTTCCATGTCCCATCATCGGAGCCCTTGCAGACCAGCAGCGTTTGGGGACCGACGTGCGACTCCATTGATTGCGTCTGTCCATCGACAAAGCTACCCGGCGCACTCCAAGTCGGGGATTGGCTAGGCTTCCACAACATGGGAGCGTACACCATATGCGCTGCGAGCCAGTTCAATGGCTTCGAGGTTAGCAACGTTATCTATACGACGGGAAGCGTGGGAGTGTCTAAAGAGGTGTGGGGCGCCCTAGCTGGCTTCGCGGCTGAGGGTCACGGACTTTGACAGCGGCGGAACGATATTAGTTTTTCTGATCTATGATTTATGTCATTTCTACTTCCCATCTAGAAAGACGGCAGGCGACCGCGCAATTCTGCGTGCCTCACGAAAAACATAAAGTTCATCACCGCGTGGAGTGCGCGCGGGTTCTCACCAGACTTTCGGTACCGACTTCTTAGGCGGCCCGCCGACTGGTCAGTTCGACAGATGTCTACATTTGGAGCGTGAGTAGCTGCGAGTCTCGGACACGTTCTCAGGGTCACTTCGACTCGTGACGTCCAGTTACGATCGAGGATCCCAAGCTTTTCAGGAACTTGAGATATTCGTCATGATCGAGGACTTGTTCGGATTAGGTCTCCTAGCCGACGAGGTTCGTGTCCTGATATTTGTTTTGCGGTGCATATTTGGGTGTGTACTTGCCACGCCTAGGAATTCCTGAGTGGAGTCGACCGGATGACTGATAGCTTTGTCTATTTAGATGCGACCCGAAGGCATTGAGTTGCCGTAATAGCAAAAAAGCAAGTTGAAAGAACGACAAATAAGGTAAAGGCTCCCGCTTGATTTGATTTTCCGGGCATAACAGGGCATACCCTCCAAGGACAATCGAGCGGAGTCCGCGTAAGACACCCTGCGCTAAACATTAAAAGTAAGATTGAAGGGGGGAAGAGGTTGTTAAGAGCAATGAAATCGAAGTCTCCTTTGTTTCCCAACGGTCTGATTGATCTCTCAATTTTAGGACCGGGGCCTGACCTAGCGGCCGAAGCGGAGAGGTTAACCTCCAGGAATGGACAAGTGCACTAGGACAGAAATAAAATCTCCGCGAAAGTAGATGAGATCTCACTGAGGTTTGGAAGGAGGTACTAATTCTGGAAATCTCTACCAATCTTTGCCGGGGCCGAGGCTGCCACCGTTTCGAGCGTTGGAATATCTGCTTTCCTTTTGCAGGGTGCCATGGCTGCTTGTTTACGCGTGCACCACCTTTTCGGGGTTTTGCACCTTTTATGCAGTTTATTTCGTTGTGAGGTTATCGGAGAACGAACAACTGTTGGCTGTCACCATCAAGTCCTCCAGAACATACTCCTCAATCTTCAATCTTCACTCTCTGTTCCCTTTGTCGTTCCGTCCGTCGGTGTCACCAAGCACCGCCACTCTTCCTCCGGATATACTATAGTAACTCGTTGACCACAGCATAATTGACTGCGCCTTGAATTTAATACTATCTCCGTGTTAATGGCCTCGAGTTCTGTCGGACAAGTAAGTCTTTCTGGCGGCTTTCGTTGCTTTGCCGCTGAAGCCTTTTCTTCAAGGAATCTATGCAACCCACCGTCGCTTCGGTTGGGCCGAGGTTCAGACCATACGCAAGCCCCAGCCATCAAGTGACCAAAGGCCGCTATATCACTAGCAATGACCCGCGAGGCTATATGTTAGTTTGTTTCTGGTCCGGACATACAAAGGTTTGGCTCACGCTGAATGACAGTCCGGTCTATGAGTACCCTCTCAACGGGCAATGGATTATGATGGACATTGACGATGGATACGTCCTCTGGACCGGGATATGGAAAGGCAAGTTCCTGTCTTATCTGCCGCTATGACCCCCCGGCTCACGGAACCTCGTCAGCTCTCGGAAATTCGAAAGGTATACCTGCGTCCGACATCCAGACATTCTGGGGGACTGATACTTCATGCAGCCGATATAGTCAAGATGATTGACTCACAGCCGGACTTAGCAAATCATATTCGACGAGTACGTGGCGGTTACCTGAAAATACAGGGAACATGGATGCCTTACGAGGTAGGATGCTTCATGGCAAATCACATATACGATACTAATGCTGTAGAGTCTAGGTAGCACTACGTTTAGCACGCCGGTAAGTTGCTTTCTCTTACCTAACAAACTCGTCTCAACATAGTCTTCAGCGTTGCTTGGACCATCCGCGACGATCTGATACCATTATTTGGGTAAGTATTGCCTTAACACGCTATGGGTGGTTCTGACCGTCAAGTAAATATCGTACAGACCTACGTTTCCGACTACTTGCCTCTCACCCGACCAGCCTGGGTACGGTCAAGTTGTGGCCTCTGGAACTGGTCGTCGGCGCACACGCCGGGTCAATAATTCTGCAACCGCGCCCGCCACACTCCCTCGGGAATCTCAGAGCAACTGGACGGTCGTGACGCCGACCACTGGGCCTAGCCACGGCATCCCTCTTCAGCCACAGCACCAACAGCAATACCCTCACACAGCGATGGCGATGCACTCCTTGTCTCGGAGACCATCAGATCCTCACAACCGGAGTGAAGGACCTTCTTCGTACCGGGGTGTACAGCCCGAGTACTATGAGGCGCCGGGGCCGCCATCTCCTTCGACTAACGGCGACAACACGCCATCGAAAGACCGTAATTATAGCCGATACTCTCCATACCCAGGTACGAGCTCGACGTCTCATTTGAGCCGCCGGCCGTCAAGCTCTGGTAGAAGTACCCTGCACTTGGATATCCCTGCCTTGTCACTGCGGGATGACCAGCGTATGGTTGAGGATAATCCACCCCCTGGCGAACGGATTACACTCCCACCCATCCGACATCATGGATATGGCGATTCTGCCAGTGGTGCATCATATTCCCTCCCTCCAATATCGGCGTTGGAGGACCTTCGTGGAGTCCATGCTCATGATTCGGCGGCGGTCCTACGAAGACTTATGGAGGACGACTCTCAGGACATAAAACCATCATCTCAGGACTCGTCATGGGGAAGGCATCGATCTTTGTCCGCGCCTCCTTATAAGTGAGTTGGCGGGTTACACAAGATGCTTTAGCATCCGTCTCATTGCCTTGTACATCTGGTTGAACCCATAGACCTGTCTTCGAAGCTCCGTCTCCCCAGCCAATGCGAAGATCTGACAGCGGAAGTGTCCCTCAGTCGTTCGGCGAAACGACTGTACAACGACGATACCATTTATCATCCGAGCTACATTCTTCTCAGTCAAGCAGAAGGCTGAGCGATGGGTCGCACAACTCATACAGCAACAGTCCTACCTACGAAGCTTCCCCAATCTCACCTTCCCCATCGACGCCTCTCTCAGCCTCGTCTTCTCGAGATTACGGTATGCCTTGTGACAGATCCGTAGATGCTCATCGGAAGTCAGATGTCCACTTGCGGGTGGCCGTCCCTCCTGCAAATGACCATGAGCATCCCTCTGCCTTATCTGGATCACAGCCTATTCCGTATGCTAGTCGAACTTGGTCAAATATCCTCAACTGACCTGTAATCATCTGCTGTCTTCGTGGCCCGCGGTTCCGCACGTCCGTCGACGCCGGTTACCCCTCGCTTGGTCTGGTCAGGAATACATCTAATAATTCTGAGCCTACCATTCGATATGACTTTGGCCGTTGACGCATCATGCATCATGTCCATGTGATGCACTTGGTCCCAATACCAAGCTCTCAGTGCATTTTCTTATTGTAGGCACTACATATTTGCTCCGACATCTTTTATTTATATTAGGACAATTCTTTTCTTGTTCGCATGAAAATGCTGTCTTGATCCTTCTGTAATATATTATGCTCATAATTGCTGGAGTGGGAAATAATACAAAGGAACACGAGGTCGAAGGAAACTGATCGAACCCACCTGGAATCCACGAAATCCAGCTGTCACACCAAGGTGTTAAGCTGGCACTGATGGACTCCTGAGGGCAATGTGAACTCAAATACCTAAGATGGTAAGGAGGTATCGGACGATTCGCCGCCTGTTTGCACGGTAGGCTACATCCAACGGTCTTCCCCTATGAAGACCCTAGGCTTACTTTGGGACCTTATGTGCTGGCAAAAAATCGTCAGGTGCGGTGCATTGAAAAAACGGATCTCTGACGGGGCTTCTACGCCTCGTCTGGGAATGTTTGCAATGAAGCTTAGTCGAGCGGTGCCGCTGACGGCGAAGAGAAACATAAACTCATTCCTACCCTTGACGACTTAGGGATCCTCATGGTGAACGGATTGTCAAAAAGATATGCCCCTGGGACCTTTGTATTCGCATGTGGGGAGACAACACTTTTCAACGAGGCCATCACCCGGACTCATAATCTAAACGGTCAAAATGAGTCAGGCCCTTTTTATAATCTAGACGTAAAACTGACCCAATCAGGCCCATTAGAAGGTAGCCAACGGTAGAGACCACCTTCGAAAACGTTCAGTCTCACCCAGTAGGCGAACAAAGGGGGTGCCACTTACGAAAGCGGCGATTATGCTGGCTGGAACACCATTCTTTAGGAAATCGGTATTTGATAAATACAACTCTCCTAGTTCGTTCTCCTGGGTGGCACTGCGGGCAAACGTGGCAACAATTAGTCCATGCTCCCCCTTATGTCCAACATGTAACCACTCACGCTGTCTGATTGGGGAATCCAGACACTGGCATGCCCATGCCGGCTGAGCAGATCAGGCCGGTGATGAAGACGAGCAGATTTGCGTGGTTGCCATCAAGATTTTTGCCAACCTCTTGGGCTATAGGCACAAGTAGCACGCTTGCTATCGTATGGCTGATGAATGTAGAGACCACCTATTGAGAGACGTCAACGGTAAACAAATAGACAGATATAGGAGACCCACTAGCACAATCGGGGTGAGAACCATGACCACGGTGTAGATCCCGAGGCCCTCAACGAGATCGCGGATATGTGTATCCATGACCCCAAGCAGTCCACTAGATTCAACTCCCTTGCCAAGGGCAATACCACCCATAGCAAGGAACACTATCGTCCACATGAATTGTTCAAAGTCATCCTGGGTTGGCTTTAAGTCAAGGTTCGAGCACTATGCAGGCTACCACTCACCTTCTTCAGGACGCCGGTGGAGAAAAATGCGACAATGGGAATGATGGCTATGACCCCCATGTCTCCGACAACATCTTCTATTGAGTGGGCTATGCACCATAAAAAGATGGTGACCAAGCAAACAAAAGATACCCATATTTGTTTCCAGGTGAAAGGCTCCTTCGTGGGCCGTACCGTCCTGATCTCAATCTCACCTTCGCCGTCGGGAGATCGGGCAGGTCGATACGAAGCCAACAGCAATAACCAGATCAAAAGAATTGATACGGCTGACACTGGAATAGCGACCGCAAACCAGCTACCCCAATCAAGGGGTGGGTTCATGTGTTCCAGAGCGATTATATTCTGCGGCGAAGAGATCGGTGAACTCTGACCTCCTATATTCGCTGCGAGCGCTATCGCCAGCTACAAGATATAATTAATACTCCTCGGGTGTCGGCTGATAGAGAGACTTGCATACAATTAGACAGGGTCCGAACGATGCTTTGGGAGGTAATGTCCGAAGGATCGGCTTAACGAAAGTCGCGTGAATCGAGACTTGCATATGAGGATCCGAGAGGACTTACTCGAATCAGGGTAAAGCAAAGTGTCGGAGCGGCGACGTTACTAAGCGAGAGATTGAGCGTATCAAACAACCGTTTTTGCACCCCATGACGAACCTAATCCACATGCTTGCGAAACAAGAGACCCCCATAAAAGCTAATATGACAGTACTTGGACGAGAACCAGCAAGGCTAAGCACGCGAGTAACGAGTATTCGGTCGATATTCGTCTTGCTTAATGCCGAAGATATCGTGAAGCCACCGATCAGGAGCATGATGGTCGGGGAGAACATGGATCCAAATACGAATCTACCGACGATGTGAGCTACCGAGTAGACGGGTATCCTCACAGCTTACTTGGTTGCAGCTTGCGGTGTCAAAGGAGAGCAGTCCGGAGACTCCGAGGAGTTGATACACTCTGCGCTCCGTATTACGCGCAGACACACCATCAACAGCGGAATAAACATCGATGTAACGAAGAGTGGGATAGCCTGTAATACATTTAGAAGTATTCTTGCGGCAGAAAATAATTACGTACTTCCGTTGCCCATAAAACGGTGCTAAACATGAGTATTGCGAAGCACTTGTTAGCTTCGGAACCCTCAACGGTCTGGACATTGAGAAGGATAACAAATACGGCCACTGCGATAGCAGCGTATATGTGCTTTCGCTTTATCCTAATTCTTCCCACGGGCGTGGGGACAGCGAGGACCGCGTCCGATTCTTGCAGAAGGACAGACCCAATGCCTTTGGGTTCGCCATCTAACTCTCCTCGTCGTTCACGCCCGATCATTTGTCGCCATACCGTATCACGTTCCCAGGCAATGTTCTCGCGTTGATGTAACCTGAGCTGTTGCTTAGCAATCGTCTTGTCACCTTGTGTAACGCATTTGGCGTAGAGGTCAAGCAGTCGGGATATGGCATCATTCAATCTGTCCTTCGAGGCTTGCGTGAAAGGGAGCGCACGCTCCACAACTTCGTGCAAATAGCGGTCTTTGAGCTAGCCCTTCAATGAGTTCCAAAACGGAAGACTGAAAGGGCACACTGACGTTGCTGTCTGTGACCTTATCGTATCTGGAGCCGCTCGGGGTCAATAGAACTCGACCAAGGTTAGAAAACTTGACCCTACTTTTTTAAGATCTTGCGAAAGCCAGAATAGTTCACCTCGACGTATGCTTTGAGTGAAGTCAATGCGATGTATTGCGTCGTGATTCTGCGCTTGTACAATAGCCGGGTGTCGTATGCGTAGTTCGATTGTGATGTCCATATATTCTCGGGACCGAGAGATGCGATGCTATCCTTCAACATACTATCTCCCATGAATGGTAATTTACGCGCGAGCCTTCGCACCGTTGACACGGGGGACTTGCTTGTGACCTCCGGTGGACGGAGCGAAACGATACTCGCTTCGAGGTCATTCGCTTCTTCGCTGCCTGAGGAAATACTGTGCCGGTTCTGAGGATTCTCACTTGAGGATCCTGTAACTCATTGAGCACGTTCATCGTGACACGCAATGAATATACCATACTTCCATGCAATTCCGGTACTCGACCAAACCCAGCTGAGCTTAACGTCCTCCTCCGCCGTCTCCTTCGAGATGTAGAGCCAGTTGGGTCCCGACTATGTATAGGACTTTGTGGGTCAAAATGTTCGTCGTCGTCATCGTCCTCTTCTTCATCATCGTCCCCAACCTCTTCAAGATAAGGATGGCCAGCCAAACCAGCCAATTCCTGCTGCTCGACCATCTTCTCCAGCTCAGACACCTCCTGGAGAAGATCCTTCTCTTGTTGTCCGTAAAAGAAAACGATTTTCTGAAGCTCCCCGTCAAGTGCTGGCTTGAATAGGACATCCGTGTCGTCAATGTCTTGCGAAATCAGCGCCGAGTGCTCGTTAGATTCAATGTCATGATACTGAGAATCCAAGTTGTGTTTCTTCTTCTCCAGCTGGTATATTAACTTCTTCAGTGCGTCGTACCTACACAATACACCCTGTCTGATGAGAAGCAAGCGTCACAGGCATTCGGCAAATACGCACGCTATGTAGTCCTCCCACCACTCAGCGACGGCATTGAACTTCAACGACGAACTTCCACATGTCATCAGAACGCCTTCCAAACTCTCGGAATACAACGTTCATTCACCTGAATTTCATAGCTAGCCTGGCTTCAAAATTGTGAGAGCTTGAACGACCGAGTGGCCTTAGTGGAATGGATTCGTCCGTGGTTCTTAATGTTAGATGAAGCAGGGCGAGGTTATTTGTTCGCGAGATTTGGTCTGGCTCTACTAGAAGCCGAAGGGGTTACCAAACGAAAACCGTATTGCAGAGTGACTGTTGTCAAGTTAAGAGTTGCCTTATTGGGCTGAGTGCAGGATCCAGCGCATTGTGGCGCCAGTCAAAGCTCGAGCGCCTTCAGTTTCCTCAATCTCCTGAACAATGTTGACGTTTGAGAACTGCGACCCGTAGCACATTGCGCTCACGCAGATAACTAAGCGCAGCACAGGATGACGCTTTCATTTAGAATGCTCGACAACGAGGCTGAATCATCAACTTGAAGAACGGCCATCGAATCGGCTGACTGTTCACGCCGTTCAAGACTCTCAGGATTGCACTGATGAAAGAATCAAGCGGTTGGAACTATAGACATTGGGCTGTAAAAATATCATTAGCAATATATCACCTCACCAAGGGAGAGGGTTCGGTTATTTGTGGAAGTAGATAAGTAGACACTAGGGATATTCCTGCTGAGTTCTCGAGGCTTCGAACTTCAGGAATCAGTACCAATAATATACGGGGTCAGAAAAGGGGTGACGGGAGTAAAAAGAGTTCTGGGAATCCTCGACCGGGGGCCGAGGGATACGAAGATAATGTCACGGTTTCGACATTCGCATGAGCAGGGGACGGAGCTTCTGATAGTGCGAGCTCCTCATGTTCTCCTTCGAGCCTTCGAGCCTTCGAGGCAACGGACCGTCGCCTCGACGGGATAGGATCTTTGGATCTCCAGGCTAACCGGACTTCGTCCACGCTTGATATATGTACGTTCCAGGACCACCGGTGCCCACGCTCACTCAGACCTTTGATGGACGCGTTGATTACGCCGTGAAACGCAGAGGATCTAAGGAATTAGAGCGGAATTTGGGTCAATACAGAATGGAGTCCAGGTGAAGAAAAGTTTTTCGGCGCTACCATCTTCGCGAGGCGTACAACATCCTATGGGATCCAAGCTGTAAATGGAATTTGACAGCGCGAATGGTGCGGCTGAGACCGGAACCCTGCATGTCTATCTCGGTATGGTCTCGACGATAATCAGATAAAATGATGGAATAATGGCTTGGTGATGGTTATACAATGTTCCGCAGATTTAAGAGCTACAGAGTCCCAAACTCCCTGAGGTATCCCAGATCCATCCCAAAGAGTAATACAAAAATCGAATGTAGTGACGAATATAGTGAACGAAGGGTACTTGTACTTGTTGTGTGAGTCGCGGAATGTCAATGAAGGTGTGAGCCCAGCAGCAACGTGCTGCAAGAGGCGTGGCACTAGGGGGTATCGCATGTAGAATATCCGCTGGCAGATATAGTGATTGATGGACAGAGCGCTGTTACTCTGTTGATATGATGGTTGGTTGGCGCTGTGATGATGCTAGAGTAAGACAATCGCCCGTCAGAGTTTGATCGGAGAGGTGGCAGAAAGGTGACATACTGATGAAAGAGATATTGGTACATCTGAAATTCACTCAGGCGATTACACAGTACGCTCCTCCACCGTTTCCGTTCTTTTCCTCATCAGCAGGTGGTAGGGAGGGGGCAGAGTCCTCCGTAGAGGCGGCAGTGAAGAAGGCGACGATCGATGCGAAGGAGTCCATTGCAGCGTAGCAGTTATATGAACAGAGGATGTTTCAAGTTGAGAGAGGGGAGACTCGAAAGCAGAGGACTGGAGAAGGTCGCTCAAGTTGCACGATGTGAACCTGGGGACTGACTGAAAACTTACGCATGCCATTTATACGCCCCAACGTTATCCAATGCATCCTTGTTGTACATTCGCTACCGAGCGCATGAGCTGCAATTCTCAATTGTTCATCGTCGATCGGAGTTGTAGTTTGTTCAACCGGCTTCCCAAAAAGGAAGCTAGGCCCGACGGAAGAGACAATAAGAGTAAGGTCGAGCTTGGGGGACCCAAGACAGACCTGTGAATTTAACTCGCTGTTAACAATAAGAAACCCCGCATACTCCCCGACTAGTGCACAAAAAGACTTCCTCGGTCTCGGACACACAGCAAAGCACCATGCCTGCTAATTTGAGTCCACCGATGCAATGAGTTCTTTAGCCTCGATATCGGTAAGTAACCCGAAGGCACAAACCGGCCGGGACTTCAATAAGCTGCCGTCTCGAACGAGTTGATGTTATGGAGGAACAGAATGGATGTCGAGCGCCCTCATGGACAGCGCGCTCAGAGTATACAATTACGCGGCAAAGCAACCGACCGTGCCTGTGGGACATAATTCCACCATGGTGGTGGTCTTGAGTGTCAGAATGCTTGCTGCTAAGCTGAAAACATAGCCTAACTTAGCAACGATGTCAACAAAGTACGCCTATTGCGTACCTTAGTGCCTGCTGAGGAAGCCATTGATACCAGCGGGACACAATATGTCGAAGGCACGCTGGCGGCCGCCCGGGCCACTCTCCAGACGAGTTTATTGTTCAGCGGATTCATGACGAAGGTTATACAAGCGTGCGCTATATGGCTTTGGCCCATATGCCTTGTGGTGGACACCGGGAGGTCCGGGTGTGGCCAATACCTGTAAAAACGTGCGGCTAGGGGAATCCTCTTATTGTCCTGACGAAGCTGTCAGGAATATCTGCGGATTCGGAGCCAACGAAGGAAGCATGGCACCCATATAAGAATCCCTATATCCAAAATAAATACAAAGCGATAGTGCCATAATTGCTCAATCAAATAGAATCTCTATCGCGTTCAAGTTAGGGCACGAAGAAATGTGTATGGAAGAGGGTACGCACCAAAACCTTGGCCTGAAGCTTTGGGTTGGCGTACATAAGCTACATGATGATGCACGTTTTGCCCTTCTTCAGAGCCTTAGCAGCCTTCTTCTCCGCATATTGGCGTCGCTCCTGCTGACGTTTGTAGTACATAGTTCTCCGCTCGCGAAATGTGTGATCTTCTTCGAATTGCAATTGCATCGCGAGCTCGTTACTAGTGGGTTCGTTAGTTCGTTACTATGCGAGCAAATGAGGCGACATACTCGACTTGAGCTTGAGGATCCGATAGATACTGTGTAGCGAGGAAGACTTCCTCTGCGGTCTGACCTATCACATCCCCTCCGGCTGGGCTTGATGGCTTGAAGTCAGCGTCAACGTAGGGCGCGAATGCCACGTCCACGTCATCCATGCGTCTCCAGACCACGGTCGGTTCACGAAGAAACGAGTGGTCCGTGACTAGGCTATACAACGCGTCGTCGTTTGGGGGTTTGTACAGGACAGACAAGTGAGAGCTACGGTACAGCGCCACTAGCTGCCCAGGCTCTATGATTCTTGCTAGTTCGAACAAACCGTGATATGTTAATTCCGTCCGTGTCGTCTCCAAGAACCGGCCGATAAGAATGGCTCGACGTGACGTGAGAACGATAACACGGAAAGTTACTCTTGATGACTCACCGTCTTCTACTTTGGCCCGATCCTCGTCACTCAACGTGCTGTTGTCGGCTTTCGACGAACTGGCAACTGGAGCGTGGTTGCGGCTTACCACCAACCGCCCCTTGGTGATGTGGTCCGCCGCGGCGACTAGATCGACGGCGGAATCGTAGTTTTCTACTTTCATGACCGCTGGTGCCTCGGGACTCTGTGGATCTACGAGCCAGCCATGCACGAGCTTGATTTTTGCGAGTTTGAAGAGCTCTAGCTCCCCACCATGACTGCTTGGCCTGAACAAAGTAGGCCCAGTGAATAGTGGGTTGAGGTCCATCCCCCCTGACCTTTGATAAGCGAGAAATAATGTTCATGGTCAGAGTAAACACACTTTGGGTAGAAGGCATAGCCGACAAGGCAGCAGAGATGTCAACATCGCCGGAGACCGAAAGGAGATCCTCTCCAAGTAACTGGGATAGATATTCGTAGGACACTTTTTCGCGATTTGGGGGCAATATTTCGATTTGGCCTCGGAGGATTAGGATGTTGCCTGTCATGCCCGTTATCTTGAGATAAAGCAGCAAGGGAACCCTATTTGAACCTACAAATAGCAATGAACGAGCATGGGCTACGTCGTTGAGGACGACTTTCCACATGAAGCATTGGCAGGCTACTAACCCATTCGAGTTTTGAGTTATGATTCGACGAGAACCATATCGGAAAGTTATCTCTTTGAGATCCCAAACTTCAGCGCGACTAGATTGCACCGTTGGGGGGAGCACTTGACTTGGCATTGGTCAATGGGGGTGCAACGCCGTTTGACTTGGAAAAACTAACCGCGTTGATAGTCGCTTGAAGCCGCTCGTCTCACGGTCAGAGTTGATGTGTTGATGCGTTAGACGTGATGATCATTCGGTAGCATTAGCATCGGTGCGACTCCAGGACTCAAGTATTTTGTCAACGGAGGAACCTCGTTGCCTCGTGCGGCGAGACTTTGTTCACCCGGGGCCTGGCCAGTGAGGGGAGCGACGACAACAGTACACGGCCTCTGGTAGAATACGTTTGTGACTTGGGGGCCGTTGGTGTGCTCTATTTCAACGCCGGCGTTTTGTGTTCGCAACTGCCAGAAGAAGGGATCACAGAAGACAGAGATGCACATTTTGATGCGACGGGAGCATTGCCAACCACAAACAGAACAAGTCAGAAAAAAGAACGTCGTGAATCGTCCGCGTGATGGTCAACTTGAAATAGAGGCATTCCGAAAATGGAAACCTGCACTTACATCGCCACCACCTTTGACTTCTTCTATCACGCGCCGAACGGAACCGCTGTTTAAACGATGTCGGGCTCACCTGTAGATGCACCAACGGTCCACTCAAGTCAAGCAGAGGTTTGGTACCTCAAGCAAATAACATATGGTGGCCGCCGGTGCAAAATCATAACCCAGAACTTCAACGGGTCAGTGGGCTTCAGCCACTCGTACATGTAGATGTTCATGTAACACAGGCCATGTTCCTTCATTGCTATCTGTAGGCTCGACGCCTTTAATTCATCCCATACCGAACCTCATCGTTTATTCAGGCAATATCCTCATACTGCGCGGCCAGATTGAAATACTGCCGCCGGATCGCGAAACGGCTTCTTATGAATTTCTCTCTCAGTTGGTTGGAGAGTATCTCCTTACTTGCTCTGCCGATATGGACATATCTGCTGCATTATCCGCCCTGCCATATACCCAAAGTGAGTGTACGCCGTCAGTATCTACCCCTGCATACTTATCAATGTCTAGAGGGCATGGACCTCAATCCATTATTCACGGGTCCCACATTGTTCAGACCAGGAGGGAAAGGCGGAGAACTGGACCTCTTCAAGCACGCAGGAATCGATCTTGTACACGGCTGGCTGGTGGATCCCCACAGTCCCGAGGCCCCGGCAGTCACGAAAGTGGAGGACTACGACTCTGCTGTCGATTTGGTCGCTACGGCGGACCACATCACCAAAGGCCAGCTTCTGGGTACGGACGCAACTACCGGTCCGTCTAGCCCGACTAGTCCTCTGGACGCTGAAGACCGAACAAAAGTTGAAGATGGTGAGTTTCTGCCATCGCGCACGATGCATGAAACTCATCGTATTGTCCTCGCCAGCTATACTCGTTCGCCATTTTCTTGACGCCAGCTGGTCGCAGCTGACGTACACCGGCCTATTCGAACTTTCCCGAATAATAGAACCCGGCAAACTGGTCGCACTGTTTCGTAGCTCCCACCTTTCCGTTGTGTATAAACCTATAGGGCGTGACAACGCTCTGTACAGTTTGATCACCGACCATGCGTTCCTCCACGAACCTACGGTGGTTTGGCAACGAATGGACGATGTAGAAGGGGTCTCTACCTCGTATGTCGATGCAGACTTCAATCCGGCCAACCCGGCAGGAGGGGATGTAATGGGTCAGACTGCGGAGCAAGCGCTCATGGCTGCAGAATACCTAGCAGACCCTCAGGCACAAGCAGAGTTAGTAACGTTCCATACAGCCATCATGCAGTTGACTAATAGAACCTCTAGCAAACAACTAGCGATACAGTTGCAACAAGAGGAAGAGCACCAATATCGTGAACTTAGAGCCCAGCACGACAGGCGTTGGCAAGAACAACACGAGTTTGAAGAGAGGAAGAAAGAGAAAAAGCGCTTGAAAAAGGAGAAATCGTGCATCATTATGTAGATTGATAGACCGCTAGGTACGGGGAGACAATACAGGTGCGTGGCGAGTTGTCTCGATGCCCCACATACTAATGGTATAATTTGGGTATAATAGATACCCCACTTTGTTGGATTTCGGATAATTTATCCCGTATTCGGCGTACGCTGACCGTATATCTAGATCAACATTGGAATCAATTTTCTTAATCTTGTAGACCTCCGGCTGCTCTGACGACTGGGGTAGTCATGTAAGATAGGTGATACCGAAGTTTTGAATGTGGGCTCGTGTATCACAACATGCCAAATCATTAGGAGACAGTGGGGGGGGGGGTTCAAGGTGCGCGATGAGAAACGATTATTAGATGATTCTAATAAGACAGCTTCTTTACTTTGCGTTCTGCTACTAGATAACGCTGCTTCAAAGGCGTGTCCTCCACAGAACTTCCGAGTCCGCGGCCTTGACAAGCATCAGCAAACACTGACAATTCGGGGCAGGTAGTCATTGCTTTCCTCGCCAGGAGCGTCTTGAATCTAAATTAAGACGACTCGAGTCATTCCAGCCTTGGACTGACTCATCGGCCTTTCAACTGACGGCACCAACTGTGTTCTAGGTTTATCAAGACTCGATCGGTACCGAACCATAGCTCAGGTGAGCTGGTCAATGAGTCGACATTTACCCTCGAATACCTTCCTCGGAACCGTGAAATTCCAGTTTTAAGAGAAAGGAGATGCAGTAGCTTAAGCCAGAATTTGGAACCTTTCAAACAACAGAAACGAACCGTCTCAAAGCACAGAACCCATGGTGTAGGTCCTTTCCTTGTCTTAGGATATATGTATCTTTCTAAACCACCAACGACAGCAACTTCACAATAGGTGATTATTCCGCAATATACGCCCGTGCATGTGGTGACCCTCCTCTTCGCATTCGTCAGAGCAGATTCGGGCCCTCATGGATAAGCCCACTAACATCCGTAATATGAGCGTCATAGCTCATGGTAAGTGGGGCTATTTCTCGATCAATTGAGGTTCAATGCGCTGAGTCCTGACTACCTGTTCCTAGTTGACCATGGAAAGTCGACACTCACCGATTCCCTGGTCTCAAAGGCTGGTATTATTGCCGCTAGTGATGCCGGTGACAAGCGATGGATGGACACCAGGGAAGACGAGAAGGAGCGTGGTATCACCATAAAGTCGACAGCAGTCTCAATGTACTTCGAGGTGGACAAAGACGAGTTATACGCAGTCAAACAGAAAACTGAAGGTGGATGGCCTGCTATACAGGATGGGTTCCCCTATTTTCTGACGGTTCCTTCGCTTACAGGCAACGGTTTCTTAATCAATCTAATCGATTCACCTGGTCATGTCGACTTCTCGTCCGAGGTCACCGCTGCTCTCCGTGTAACTGACGGAGCTCTCGTCGTTGTCGACACTGTTGAAGGCGTTTGTACTCAAACGGAGACCGTACTTCGACAAGCCCTTACTGAGCGGATAAAGCCCGTCGTAGTCATCAATAAAGTCGATCGGGCCCTCCTCGAGCTCCAAGTTACCAAGGAAGATTTATACCAATCATTTCAACGCACCATCGAGTCCGTTAATGTTATCATCTCGACCTACAACGAGGCTGCTCTCGGAGATGCTCAAGTTTACCCTGACAAAGGTACCGTTGCCTTTGGTGCTGGTATCCAAGGATGGGCCTTTACTCTTCGGCAATTCGCTGCGCGATATGCGAAAAAGTTCGGCGTCGACAAGGAGAAGATGTTGTCCAAACTTTGGGGTGACAACTTTTTTAACCCAACCACCCGCAAGTGGACCACAAAGCCTACCGATGGAGATGGGAAACCCCTCGAGCGTGCCTTCAACATGTTCGTCCTTGACCCCATCTTCAGCATCTTCGACGCAACGATCCATTTGAAGACGAGTTTAATTGATCAAATGCTGGAAAAGCTCGACATCAAGTTATCCGCGAAGGAGCGCGAGCTTGACGGTAAACCTCTGTTGAAAAGCATTATGCGCAAGTTCTTGCCCGCGGGCGACGCGCTCTCGGAGATGATAGTCATCAACCTCCCCTCGCCTGTTACCGCCCAACGGTACCGTGTAGAGACCCTCTACGAAGGCCCCATGGATGACGAATGTGCTGTGGGCATTCGCGACTGCGACCCCAAGGGCCCTCTTATGCTCTACGTCTCGAAAATGGTCCCGGCATTGGACAAAGGCCGATTCTATGCCTTTGGTCGTGTCTTCTCCGGTACCGTACGCGCCGGTCTCAACGTTCGCATCCAGGGACCCAACTACGTGCCAGGTGGGAAGACAGACCTATTCCTCAAGTCTATTCAGCGCACTGTCCTCATGATGGGAAAAAATGTGGAGCCCATCGACTCTTGCCCTGCTGGTAACATCGTCGGTCTCGTCGGCATTGACCAATTCTTGTTGAAGAGTGGTACCATCACTACCTCGGAGGCCGCTCACAATTTGAAGGTGATGAAGTTCTCGGTGTCGCCCGTGGTGCAGGTCGCCGTCGAAGTTAAGAATGCAATAGACCTTCCCAAATTGGTCGAGGGTCTTAAACGGCTTTCGAAATCGGATCCTTGCGTACAAGCCTGGATATCCGAAACTGGTGAACATATCGTCGCTGGTGCCGGCGAATTGCATTTGGAGATCTGTCTGAAGGTCCGTTTTGTAGGCGATTGGGGGACCTACTCGATTAATCATGCCCATGTTCTAGGATTTGGAGGAAGACCACGCCGGCGTGCCCCTTAAGGTTTCTGCTCCAATCGTCCCGTACCGCGAGACGGTAAAGACAGAATCTTCCATTGTCGCTCTTTCCAAATCGCAGAACAAGCACAATCGCATCTACATGAAGGCCATGCCCCTTGGTGAGGAACTAACGAACGCTATTGAAGAAGGCAAAGTCAATCCTCGAGATGACTTCAAGGCCCGCGCTCGCATCCTCGCCGATGAGTACGGTTGGGACGTCACTGATGCTCGCAAGATCTGGTGCTTCGGCCCGGCAACCACAGGTCCCAACTTACTCGTGGATGTTACGAAGGGCGTGCAGTATCTCAACGAGATCAAGGACTCGTGTATTGCGGGTCTTCAGTGGGCTACTAAGGACGGTGTCTGCTGCGAGGAAAGCATGCGCGGAGTTCGGTTCAATATTATGGACGTTACGGTATGAGAACATTTCTCTATTCCCGTGTCGCGTAATAAACGTTGCTGCGAATAGCTCCATGCCGATGCTATCCATCGTGGCGGAGGACAAATCATGCCTACCTTCCGACGTGTCTGCTACGCTGCTTGCTTGCTCGCTAACCCCGGTCTACAAGAACCTATCTACATGGGTATGTTATCCACCATGTCCCCGTCGCAGTTTGGGTCTAACTTTTCCCAAGTGGAAATTCAATGCCCCGAGGCCGCCATTGGCGGCGTCTACAGTTGCTTGAGTAAACGCCGTGGACAGGTGTTCAGCGAAGAACAGCGCGCTGGGACACCTATGTTCACCGTCAAGGCATATCTCCCTGTGGCAGAATCATTTGGCTTCAACGGAGAGCTTCGTTCACACACTGCAGGACAGGCATTCGCTCAGAACGTCTTGGATCACTGGGAAGTCATGTCTGAATGTAAGTCTCTTGCCACATATTGTGGTCATCACAATCTCATAGCGCTTTCTCACTGGTACATTGTTATAACAGCTCCACTCGACAAGGGCAGTCGCGTCGAGGAGATCGTAACCAAGATTCGAGTTCGCAAGGGCCTCAAGGTTTGTCATTTATCGTATGATGTCTGACACTAACATATATGTATTTCTTCAAAGCCGGAGATTCCCTCCCTCGATACCTACTACGACAAGCTCTAGGCCATTGGTTTCCCAGATGCCGATACCGAACCTTCGTCACGATACTTATGGTCATATCATTCGATGGGGTCTACAGGTAGACCTGGACCCAGGTACTTTATATTGTCTCTCATCGTTCGGCTCATACTATGCATGGTGAGTTCACTCCGTAACTATCATTTCCTGCAAAACTGAATTGCAACCAGTGTTGTATATAGATCTGGAAAAATGTTTCCTCATTTACGATGTGCCAGTGTGATGCGATCCCGTCGGTGGGATGCTGCATATCAAGCCTCCCGAACCACGCGGGGTTGAGATCAACGCTCATTACATACCTCTTAAAACGAATGCATACCAGTAAGTTATTTCTGGAGACGGTGACCCCAATACTCGTGGAACACGATCAACGACAGTTGAATAGTTTAGCCTTCCGCGATTTTGATTCCTTACAGCATGTAACAACAAATGCAGCCCTTCTCTACGTTCATCATCTTGTTCATCAATCTATAAACGTCTACCATGCGCCCAGCTTCACGATTACAACCCTACGTCGCAACGGGGCCTTCTCCATACTAGAAATCCCATCGTCGCGATAAGTGGCCCTTCAAGCTTCATTGCCTGACGGTAATCACCATTGGGTAAAAGAGGTGTGAATTCCGCTCAACAGCAAATTCAATCACCCGTGTGATGCATACGAGATACAACGAAAGCAACCCCATCTCGGCACAGACGCGAGTGCGCCATGGGTTGTAAGGGTTACATGACCACCTCGCAAGTAGCGCTATGGAGATATGTATTCGGGCCGAAATAGTTACAGTCCGTTCCATTCACGATTCGTTATCGTAGACGAATAGTTTGCATCGAATCAAGAAGGCGAGACTGCTATTCTGTTTTAGCGTGTCGTGATGCATTCAAGGTTCGATACGTCGACAGCATGGCGTGTAGCAGATAAAAGAACGACGCAACGATGCAAAATGCAGTTCCTAGTTCAACGACAGCAAGGTGAGAGATCGACCCAACAGGAATGCGGAGAGTGTCGACCGTGTCGGAAGGGGAGGCAGCAGGAGTTAATTTGACGAATGTCGAAGCTTCTAAGTCATACAAAGCGGTGAACTGCGGGCTCATCTTTGGGAGATTATCGCTAGAAACGGGTGCATCTATGATGTTCCCTCAGTATGCGCTGCTTCGAAAGTAAGAAAAAGAACTGACGGGTGTCCCTTGAGCAAGCAATGAATCCCCCGGGCTTCGGTACAGTTGCGATAACAAATGGGCTTTCCCCCTCCACGGCTGGCTCTCCGTATCGAGCGTGCAACGGTACGTCGACTTCCACTGTGACTATTCCACTGGGCGCTCTAGGATAATGAACGTTGAGAAGTATTTCAGAATCCTCTCTGGGTAGAGCTGCTACTGGCAGTTCAAGATTGTTGATGCCATGGTGCACGAACGAATAAGAAGCATTCCGTTGCTGTAGTTCGTACAAGTCGACAAAAATGAGAGGTGGCAGCACGAAATGGAGGTTAAGGGAGCAGTGATGAAGTTCTGTAGCGCTGGATATGCGGACGACAGATCTTGAGGAAGTGTGAAACCCGGAATTGGGATGAAGAGTCGATGAAATAGTGAACATTTCAGTGAAGACTGGCTCGACGGTGGCGCATTGTTAACTTCAGGGAAATTCACACAGTCATACTGACTGACTCGCACGGTCACAATTTCCCAATATCCTCAACCCGAACTTTCAACTTTCCCAACTATCCGCCCCGATTTTCGCGAGATTAGATTCTCATTGAGTCCAGTCACTTGGGTTGTTGTGATAGCCAGTATGTGAGTTCTCACCTTCATTTCTGTGCGTACTCCTCATGCTCAATTGAGTGCAAGTTGTAGATATAATCCGCGAAGACATGGACGAAGGCGACACTTGGCATTCGAGTACACTGCAATGAAGGCGAGATTACTCAAATATAAAGTTGGTATCTCCAGCAAGCTAGTTAAGAAAGGACCAGGAGGCCCCGCGGAACCGCCTCCTTCCTTCTTCCCCCAGAACTCTGATAGACCGGCGATACAATACCATATGCATCCTACTCTCGCAGGAATCTCGTGAGGTCTTATCTATGTTTACTAACCTCCCAGGACATGATTTAGCTACCTCAGCACATGATGGGCTCATCCGTCTAACTTACGGCGCTGCAAAACCACCCGTGCGATACTTCCGTGCTTTTTCGTACGGGAGGCTTATATTTAGTCTACGATTCGTCGATTGCCACTTATCTGCCACAATCTCCTCTTTCGCGGCCACGATTGTCTCTACATCTTCCCCCAGCCATATTACGAGCAATGTCCAACGAGAAAGAGACGGAGTTGACGGTAAACGTCGAGATATCCGAAGATGTATTTTCCGAGCGCCGTGAAGGCTTGAAAGAGATGTATTATCGCCCCTTGACGCAGGTCAGATGTCTCATCTCGAACACCCTGCAATTTTTATAGTAGATAGGTCTCTCTACTCGGCTTCGTATGTTTCATGTGCCCCGGTACGACCTCTGTTTTTCTCATCGCGGAGTTCCTAAGTGTTATGTAGGCTTATTCAATGCTTTGAACGGTTTGGGTGCCGGAGGCCAAGGCGATAGTACGATAAGTGCCAACGCCAATGCAGCCCACTACGCTACATTCGCGTTTGCGGCCTTCTTTGCGGGGTACGTGCAAGATCTTTGATTCAGCATATCTACGTATCCCTAGCTATCGCATAGTTCCGTCAACAATGTACTGGGGTCCAAGCTGACTTTGCTCATCGGGAGCACGGGCTACGCACTGTACATCGGTTCATTTCTGTATGTTTAAGCCACCCTTCATTCACTTTGGACGTGCCGAATGTAACCCCCAGACAATTTCAGAGCCATCAATATCCATCCGAATGCAGGTGGTTTCGTTGTTGCCTCTGGTGCCATCTTGGGCATATGTGCAGGTTCGCTCGCATTTCATTGATTATCAACATTGTTTGACGGTAATAGGCTTGCTATGGACCGCTCAAGGCTCGCTCATGTTGGCGTACCCGACCGAAAGTCAGAAAGGCCGTTATATCGGAGTTTTCTGGACCATATTCAACCTAGGAGGTGTTGTCGGAGCCTCGGTCTCGTTAGGTCAAAACTTCCACTCTGAATCGAACTCTGGCGAGTGCCTTCAAAAGTCCCACAACACTAATTGCTGAAGTTTTCTCCGCCAGTTGGCAATGGTACATATGTAGGAGCCTTCGTAACCTTGCATGAGTACCTTCAATTCAGCGTACCTGTAGATTGGATTTCTTGTCCTCACCCTCATTGGCGTCCTCATCCCGCTATTGATGGCAAACCCGGACAATATGATTCGTACTGACGGCACGAAAGTCACTTCTCCTCGGCATGCGTCTTGGAAGGCTGGCGTCGTCGGTCTGTGGCTAACACTGCGCGACGACCCGATGATCCTCCTCCTCTTCCCCATGTTCTTCGCAAGCAACTGGTTCTACACATGGCGTATGTCGGCTTGTCACCGCCTCATCGTATGTCCCTGACTAATGGATATACAGAATTCAACGAGTACAACGGCACTGTATTCAACATCCGCGCGCGGTCGCTCAACAACCTCGTGTACTGGATGGCTCAAATTGTCGGATCGCTTCTTATGGGTGCCCTGCTCGACGGCCACGGTCTGCGCCGACGTGTCCGCGCGTTTCTGGGTTGGGGAACCCTCTTCGCTCTGGTCTTCGTCGTGCACATATGGGCGTACTTCTACCAAAGGTCTGTCGGGAACCGTCATCACCCCCTCCCCCGCCAGCGTATATAATGCCATTATGAACGGAAAGCACTAGGAACTATACCCGCCAATCCCTGCCCCCAGACGCCGTCAAAATGGACATCCACGACCACGGGTTTGCGAGCCGCATCTGGTTATACATCTTCTGCGGCGTCCTGGATGCTATGTGGCAGACCTCCGCTTACTGGGTGAGTGCATTTGATTTGATTTCTGTGAGATACGGACAGGGGTTTGACTTCGAGGCGACGCGTTTTAGATGATGGGGGCATTGTCGAATGATCCTGCGAAGCTCGCGTATGTCACTGGATTCTGTGAGTGTTTTCGAGTTGGGCCGTGATGACTCGCCTCGCTCTGAGCATGAAAAAATCCGATCAGACAAGTCTCTGCAATCTGCTGGTGCTGCTGGTGTCTGGCGCGCAGATGGTGTAAAACGGCCGTAAGAAACCCTTCGCAAATGTTGTTGAAAACAAATATAAACTAACCATTCGACGCATCGCGCATAGGTTCATGGAGATCTTCATTTCGACTTGGGTTCTCCTTGTTGTTGGATTGATGCTTCTATTGCCTATGATATATCTACGTGTTACGGATTATACAAAGAAAGAGACTTTGTAAGCACTCTTTTTTATAGACCTATAGGTATTTCTCATGTCTCCCCAGGACCCGTACCAACAAGGATAGCGAGGATGCAGTCAGAGCATAGCCATGTTGTCCCTACGGCGCCGCGTTGAATTCATTCGTACGTGCGTAAACCATGTAGTGCAGCAATGAACAACAACCTCACCGAGCGTTGGCTGCCTTCAACTTGAGATACAATATACTCAGGGCTGCAAGGTTACGGAAAGTAGGCTATGAGGCATTGGACTGAACCACTGATTACGACGAGCAGCTGCAGGTGCACTCAAGGAGTTTGACCACCACGCGATTGATTATGCAATGCTGGACTTTCGTCTTGCCCATGAATTGAGGTTCGCATTAATTCGAGGGCAAGATGCGTCCATTCGATTACCTTGAGGTATTGTAGCTAGATTACAGTTATTCAATCTACAGTGTTGCTAAGTTCTTATGAGTTCTACATTGGAATTACGACATGAGCATTTGAAGGGTCGTGACATGAAGTTCTCGTTTAGCGGCCAAGTCGTTGTGAGTGATGGATAAGCGCAAGTCGACCTCGAGCTGTGTAACGTTATTGAGCCAAATGGCAATGACTTGGACGCTATGCGTACCTGTAGTAGGCGGTCTGGTTCCCACATTCGAGTTGGCAGATTCTCCAATGCCACGTATACGGCGGGGATAGAGTCGCATCGCAGGAGCTCTTGCTCGTTGTTCCGAAGAATGGCGAGAGCAATTCGAAACAGCACGTCAAGCCCGTCCATCAAGAATACGTCCCAAACACGGAATAATGTCTGGAACAGGACAAGTTAAGCCCAGCGTCATGACGCTGGAAACGAGTACATACCTCGACAGGGAGACAATCGGTGAAAAGAGAGAGGAACCAAGAGAAGCATATTGCCGGTAAATCTACGCCAAGCTCATTAAGGTGCGAATATAACTTTGGGGCCAATTCTTGAACATAGTCAAGTAGCACAAGGGGGCAGGCGCGCGAAGGAAGGAGGGAAGGAGAAAAGAAGTCCTGCGGTAACAGCTTCTCAATGATCGCTGAAAGGACCCAAAATGCCTCTTCCTCGTCAGCATGGACGAGGAGGAGAGTGGAAGCTACTAGGTTCATGCCTTGACAATAGCCTACGGAGGGATTGCGGCTGAGGAAATATAAGCTCCATTTCATAAAATTGCTGAATTTCCACGTACCGGCTATAAGCAGTGAGAACGCGACGCAGCTTGTCTACCCCAGCGCCATCCCCTCCGAAAAATACGTTCAACGGCATCGTCCGTCCAACGTCTTTCTCGATATCCCCATCCACGCCTTTGGGGCCCTCAGCCTCAGCTTCGGCGAGGTAATCCCTAAACAGCCCTGGTTCCTTCATTTCCAACCCTCCGCTACATTCCAACCAAACCTTCGAACGATATACAAGAGGTATACCGCATCGGACGAGCCGGTCAAACCCCCTCCTCTCATCTCGATTTGAGGATAATCCCAACTGCGCAAAGCCAATGAGGCCATCCGTATGGGCCAACTCGTCCTCTGCAACATCAGTCCCCAAGCCAAGGATAGCGGCTGCGCCAGAAGGAATCGAAGGGGAAGTTATCCCATGAGACTTGCTCCCCTGATTCTTCATCTTGCTACGTTGCTTGACAAAAGCATCCCACTCCTTCCTCTGCGATGCTTGTTGCTGATCGTGTATCTCAGTCAGCTCGTCGAGCAGCTTTCTAATCGTGTGCGCACAGGCGTGTCTTGGCGTTTCAGAGGTAATAGAAAGAATAGAGGACAGGGAGGTGTATGTTGACGACTGAGGCGCGGAAGATGCTACAGTGGACGAGCGTTTTCTGCTCTTTGACGACGATCTGGATTTGAGGCTAGTTGCATTCGACTCTTCCGCAGGCGACCCATGTGAACCAGCACCGACGCTATGCGCACTCCGCCCATCATGGTCAAGATCGCACGTACAATTGTCCTTGACAACATCAATCTCGTCCTTAACATCATCATCCTCGTTGTCAGACCAACTATTGTCTTCCTCTCTATCAGCTATCTTGACGCCTGTTAAGCATGCTGGAGCAGTATTTCCACATTCCTTAGCGCGAATGAGAAGGAGCAAGTCGTACTGGGAAACGTCATACATGAACCCGTAACGGTCGGTAAGAGGGGTTTGAGTATGGTCATTGTTGTAGACACTAAATCTGGAGGCGGTTTGAGGGAGAGGGATAGTGAAATGGAAGTCACGCGAGGTGAGTGAAGTGTATTCACGAGAAAGATATTGCGTTGGTGGTTTGGACATGGCAGGGATGATGGATTCCAATGGTACGGATGCCGCTTTCGGAGCCGTAGAAACTACGTTCGGTGAACCAACGTCGGGTTTGCCATTGCTTATAGAAGGGCCTTGGCTGGGACCATTCGTTCGAGTCCCGCTAGCCAGTGGTTTCCGCGAAGGTTGAGGCATGAACGAACCAAACAATGGAGAAGCGAACGGAGGAGACACAGGGAGAAGCGAGCTGCTCCTCGATTTGCCGCGTTCAGCCGGTGCACTCGCAAGCGCCTTGCTTAGGCTCAAAGCGACATCAGCACCGTGTGCAGAGCTGAGAGTTGCTACGGGCGAGTCGAACGTATCCGCCCTCTCCACTTTACCCTTCTCCTTCTTCTCCTTCGGCTTATCCCTGAAGACAACACCTCCGTCACGGGCGTTCTGGACTAACTCGAAGGCTAGTCGTGCGATTAAGGGGCCCGTTTCGCGACCTTGATCGGCAAGGATGCTAGCAGCGTCTGAAGTCATGACACGAGTTGCGTTCGCTATCGCGCGTAGCGAAGAACCTTGCACAAGAGGTCCTGGAAGTTCGGTGCTGGCCTCTGTGCTTGGGGGAGGAAGAGCAGAAAACATGGGGTCTTCTAACATAGTAGTCAGTTGGGGTGCAGCTGGTAACGCGAAGGTGGTGTGGACAGGTGACGAAATGACGGATCCGCTCGACATCTTGGATTCAACTTCAGAGGCGACATCAGATGGAACGGGCACGTCTGGCTTAGGGAGAGGAGGGACCTCAGGTTCCTTCGACTTCTTCCCATTGCTGGGGACGTTCACGGGGTTGAGGATGGAAATACCGATCGTCCCGAAGACGCTCTTCGCGGATTTGCGACGGTTGTTACTACGCACCCCAGATGTGGCAGATGCTTCCTTGGTCTTGTCGTTCCGTGGTTTGCCTTTCGCCCACCAGGTACCCATCCAATCTCCGATGCCTGGGCGATCAGGTCTACCCGGTCTGTTCGGTACAATGGTTGGGACCTCGGGTTCGGAAGCTGGTTCAGAAGGCGTAGTACCCGGAGTGAGAAGACTGGCGATGTCGGGCTCCTCTTCAGGGGGCGACACGTCGTTAGAGACGGGTGCCGGTGAGGTGGGAACAGGCGTGACGGCGTCGGTGGCCTGGAAATGATAATCGTCCTCCAAGGCTTCGGACAATGTATTCTTCAATGACTTGGTACCATCAGTTAGTCTCGAGGGTTGATTCACGATTTCACTTACTACAGAGCTTGCCTGACGTCGAACGTGATGTCGCACTTCATCGTCGTCAGTGAATATAGACTGAATGACGCGTCGCGCGATCTCCCGTTCAGACGGTTGCAGTTCCCTGACCAGTTCATCAGTCCTATATCGTCGTGCGACCTCCTTCTCTTCAAGAACGCGTTTCGCCGTCTCCAGATCCCTTCGAACCTCCGTCAATTTCGAAACGGCTGATGAAAGGACGCGTATAGTCGTATGATATGGATCTCCTTCGTTTGAATTAGAGTTGATATCCGATATTGCAGCGTGTATGGCACTGTCCGGATACTGGTGCCACCTTGTATTGAGGATTTGAGACTCCAATGGAACCGATTGGACGTGCAGTAAACCTTCCAGAGTATCGTTGTCGTCTTCTGGGTCCTCGAAAGCGCCCACGGCGAACGAAGGGGCGGAAGACTTGTCCCACATAGCCGCCAGGGAGGTCGACGATCGCTTACCAACAGAGCTGGCATCCAGCGATGTCCTCTTCGACCGCTTTCCATATCCTCGCACGCTGCCATCCCAGCCAGCCTTGTCACCAGCATTCTCCTGCTCCAGTTGCGTTTTCAAAGTGAAGTAATTATTCGTAGGTTTCCCGGGTTCGGTGTCCAAACTCCGAGGTGTGCGTCGACTTCGTCCGCTGCTGGTGGTGCCAGTATCTTCAGAGGAGAGGGGATGGAGGTGAACTGGCGTCTTCGTGTGGTTGGACATTGTCTCCGCCAAGTTTCATGCCTGATGAACGATAGTGGGGATGAGGAGGAGCAATCAAGTTTAAAGTTATGGAAACGTAAATCTCTCATTTCTGACTGTGAGAATCCCACTCTGACCGTGTAACAAATGGCGCAGCGGCACACAACGGCGCGTTCTCCCGCCACGCGACCGTCACGTTCAACTTTTCCTCCATCATGGGTTCTAGCTCGTCGAAGGTGGCGGACGCTGCCCCAACTCGACAAGACCGACAGAAGTGCTGGGAGGCAAGAGATTCCTACTTCGCGTGTCTGGACCGGGCAGGTGTCCTCAAGGCAGGCGACGAAGGAAAGGCCTGCAAGGGCGAAAACGACAACTATGAGGCGAACTGCGCGAAGAGCTGGGTTTGTGGCTTCTGTTTGTTCCAATAATCCATGCTAAAATTGACTGCGGAAGATTGAGTACTTCAATCAGCGCCGCATAATCGCGGAGCAGCAAAAGAATCGACTGGCGCAGGCAAGCAATCAAGCCCAGGACGCCAAACGTTTATGAACCAACCACCATACCGAGGCAAGTTTACGGTTCTCGACTAGTCTCGGTTCAATGTTGATGAGCATCAATGCCGGGTAGATCATTCTACATGGGTCAATAATGCAATCTGAAACTATTATTTACACCTCCGATGCAGTGCATCCTGTCTAGTCTGGATCGATGGTGCTCTAGGGTGCTCTGGGAATATGTGGCAGATTTCAATGACAACCGCCCCGCTCATCTCAGTTTTGTGTGCCTCGTGCCCGGTGTGTCGGCCGCCGGGAACGACGACGAGCTACTGGGCATTGGTTTCTACGAGTGGTTATGTTATGGAAGTGCTTGGGGGCATGGCAACGATGCTGGTCACCATTCGTCGGCAAATAAACGGAGAAATGCAGCCTCCTTATCTCGCACGCCTTCCTGATCAGTGATGAGTTGGTAGTGTCGCAGTAAGTTCGCTATCGAATCATATCTCGCTCATAACCGCGTTTTGGGATAGGCATCACGCGTCCGCATCGATACCTGCGGGTAATGCGGTCAATCATTGTCTGAAGAACATCACTTGGATGAGGCAATGACATCACTCCAATATCCCACTTGATGGATTGGTAACACCTCAGTTCCCTGGGAGAGATGCATGTGGCCAGCGACGAGTAGCGCTGGTTGCCCCGATCAGAGTATCGACTTCCGCCGACCTATTGTCTGCCTGAGGTGATTTCAAACATGATTGTCAAATTATCAAGACACGTTGGACAGCTTAGTGCGGGCGGATAACCGAACTGACTGGCCCCTGTGATCAATCTAGGTATAAACGACAGCTATCACAGCCTCCAATTCGCTTTGTTCCTGCATTTCAGGGTCCCCATGCAGCCTTTGCTCCCGCATCTTGATCTGATCATCTCCTTTATATATAAGGTTGTCTTACCCACCGGCTTAATCCTGCATACCTGGCACGTCCTCATATCTGTGCCACTCGCTTCCTGCGTATTCTCCACTCCCTCCGCGACGATGAAGACCCAAGGCTTGTATTCCAACTTCTTCTCTTCTGGGCTGTTCTCCATCAAACAGCCAACCCGTAATAGACCCACTTCTATGTTCGCCTTTCCCACTGGCTCAGGTCTGAAACCTTTCGACGACACTTCATCTTCCTCCCAGCCGGCTAGTCAGCCGAGCGCGTCGCAGAGTTCAAAGTCCACGTCCAGCGCCCCACCTTATATCCGGAAGCATCGGCATCATTCTTCTTTCCACTTCACCATGTCATCCACAGCATCGACCTCCAACTCGCAGGCTACTACGAACTCGCCACCTACGGCGTCGCCGAGGTCTCGACGCTCATCGCTTCTGTCATTTCCTGGGAAGATGATCAACCGAATGTCTGCATCATTCCCAATGGAGCCTCGTTCTCCACGAAGATCAACGTCATCTAGCTCAAGGCCCCAAACGTCTTCTGGGCTGCGCCACGAGCAGGCTACAGAAATAACCGACGTAGTGTGGATTACGGAAGGTGGCCCTATTGTTTCTTCAAAACTGTGAGTAACAAGCATCTATTCTTTCGCCCGCCGCCCATATCAACTATCAATCAATCAACTCAGATTGGAAACGAGCCCAAAATTACACCCTCTTGATCCTTTCGCCTCGTCACCAGATACTAAGTCTGTGTTCATCGACTTCTCTGATACCGACACTCCGGTATCAACTCCCAATCGCGAATCCTTCATATCATTCTCCACCTCATCGAAAAGCAGTTCACTGCTCCATCTCCCACGCAGAGAACGGCCGACATCTGTCCAAACCATGCCTTTACCACCTCGATCTCGACGTTCTTCCTTACAATATCCACCGCCGGCCCAGGAGAAATACGACTGGGCATGGATGCTTGATGAAACCACCCCAATCTTCACACAGAAAGCTGGGGAGGAGTTAGAACAGGTCGAAGAAGCTGATGAGATCGACCCGGCGCAGCTGGACTGGCGACAATTTCATATCGACTTGCTGCAAGGAGATGTAGCCGCTTGATCGGAAAGTGACGGAAACTGGTCGGCGGCTCAGTTCATGGAGCATGGGCTCATTTTACTGTTCCTTGGGTTCTTTGTAATCGTAATCGTCTCATCCACTTTTCGTATAAATTATGGAAACATACGAGTCGCATGCATATTAGGTATCGCATATTTAATTCCTTATTAGAGTGTCTCTGGCAATGTATACTATCTACACGATGAATGCGTACCTTCTCTTTGATTATTTGTTACTCTGGTAAAGACTCTGCACCAACGGCGCCCGTATGTAGGTACGGCCTTCAGCTCTGAGTCCACATACTATCGGACCATTCCATTTGCCGTACGTTCGCACTGTAAGCTGTACAGTATCGCAGGTACAACGCTCAAAAAATCAAAATTACATTACACCTTGTCTCTTGGCGACACCACTGCGACGTTGTGGTGTTGGCGTCCATATGGTCGCCAGGTAGTGGCTGAGTGTTGTACAGGGTACGAACAACACAAGTCACTCAGAGACCCTGCACAAAGCACCTCGGCGGCTCTCGATTTTGATGGGAAGTAAAAGGACATTTCAGGACCAGCGAGTCGGCAAGTATTCCGGAGCGGGGAATAATCGTTTGTTCTTTTAGGCATCCGACTTAGAGGCCGCGTCGACAGGGCGAGCGGGTGGCTGAAGGTGGCTGTCTCCTGCGCATCAGACTATGGCGCCATTGTCGCCCTTGGACCGTTCCCAATTAAGGCATTTGAGGGTGACAGCGGATCAGACGACCGACGAGCGTACCCGAGGTGTTCGGAGGATTCGACATATGTACACCGCAAATTTTAGCAATTTGTGCCACTGTGTTTGAAGGAGACAGCACCATGAGGATGTCGATGTCGAGGGCCCCCGGGGTTGCAAGGCACGACGATAGGAGTTGGTCAGTCGGTCATGGCGTGATTTGCCTAGCGGGATGTCGGTTCCGCACATCCTCCGTCTACTCAGAGAATTAACTTAATAAAAGGACATCTTGATTTACCACCGTGTCAAATATGATGCTGTAAAATTTATCTCAGGTTGGCCTTACGAGAGCTGAAAGATTTCTGTTGGTGTCCTTGATGCGACTCAGCGCTTCCGAAGTCTCCACTTAGACCGGGTTAGGTGACAGGTCTTCAACAATTCAAATATTCATGAACCTGCTTCTGAGCCCGGACCCGTACCAGGATTAGATTATGATCTTGCCAGTAGGAGAACCACACCAGCACCGAGACGTTAATCTGAGAAGCTGCGGTAAATCTCACATAGGGAGTGTTTCAGGTCCATCCAGTACTTACTATAGCTCACCAAACGTTACATACTTCATGGGGCCAATATAATGATTACTGTTCTAGTTACACTGTGTACTTCTATCCGCGAGGGTCATCATTAGTTTGGGAATCAGGCGTGCGCAGCCGTCGCTTCGCGGTCATCACATCCAGGAGCTGAAAAAGATTGCGTTCTGAATCCTTGATATTCGGCGAGGAGGGGCATCAGGATTCCACGCTCAGTCCTTGAGTTACAGTTATCTCAGTATCTGGACCCTGCCTGTGAGTTGCCTTCCTGAACAGAAGAGGTATACATCTACATGAGAAACACAACAGGTCATCTGTTTCGACTGGGCTTCCCCGCATCAAGAATGATACACAGCCTGCTTGAGAATATGATGGAATGTTCGCGAGAAAGAGTTTCCCGTATGTTATGCAATATGTTCTGCGCGGGCAGATAATGCACATGGAGAGTTCACACCTGACTTTGGAGAGTCGAGTATCGTGAGTTCGGTATCCTGAAGCTAGGTTGAAAATGCTATGTGAGACCCCCCACGGCTGTCGGTAATCTATAGGCGTTGTAGATCCATCCTTCCATACCCTCGTAGATATTACCGGCCACAGCCAATGGTATACAGCTTCTTGGGGAGTAAAACGACAAGCCCCTGTACAAGCCCTGTCTACTACAGTTGAGGACAGTCAAAGTCCGCAAATTGCGTAGCGCTCGAAGGGGATTTTTTGGGGACAAACTAACGCCAGATTCAGACTCAGGATAGCTGAAAACGTCTGAAAAAGCACCTCCGAAGTTTTTCCCACGAGAATCTGTCTGCGCCAATATTTTGGAGCAAAAAATTCAAATTGTGTGTACCTCTGTGGGCCTTTTCGGGATGACAGGCGCCCAAGACTGGGCATGCAGCCCAATTCTTACGATCCCCGATTGGAAGTTGCGTCGAAATATCGCTAGCCTTTGTTTTGGAACTATCCCAAAAGCGCCTCAAGCCATAAATTCTCACACCGACGGCGTTTTCTCTCACGTTCCTGGTTTTCCCATCACGAAGCGCCCAGAAATATGAATATTTTTTCTCAGGAACGGCTCGATAGAAGTCCAAGATTTTGACGGGATCAACATGAGCTAATCAAAAGGAGTCGATTGGCATATTTTTCATGATTTTATCTAATATATTCGGCTTACGCCAAAAATTTGAGGGTATTTTCCAGTAATTCGCCTTTTCTGGGCGATCGGCTCGTCAGAATTGGACAAGCACGGTATCATTCGAAAGGGTTTTCAAGCCGGAATGTATTCCGCGCAAGTCCGGAGCACAATAAAAAAACTTTTTATTTTAGCGGACTTTGACTGTCCTCAACTGTACTAATAGTAAAAGAGGAGCAATGGCGCTACATGGCGCCTACTGTGAGAATGACCTGCCAAATACAGTGACATGAACGAATTGGGAAGGCTGGGGCGCTCTCGAAGACTGGCTTCGCGTAACCATGAATCGTCCATAAGTCGACGTCCTGCGCGATCTGGTCAACATTTCTCGTTATCATCAACGACGTTGAAGGTCTACCAACATGGAACGGCAAACGAGGCCGGAGGCGATGAATGCCTCCCCTCACCACTCGAAAGTTAAAGTCACACTGACCATGGGCAATCCTCTTTATGTTGCTGGAGGGTACGTGAGCGGGAAGATGGAGATGGAGTGTCGAGCAGATAAAGGCCTTGGAATCGGCACTATGATGGTTGAGCTTACTGCAGTTCAAGGTATGATTATGTTTCCAATTTCTTGCTATAATATTCATAACGTTGGCCCAGAACTTACATCTCGGGATCACTCTGCGACGTCAACGTTCCTGCGATCGCGCCGGCTTTTCCAAGGCCCTGGTCTTCCACCTTCGAATGCAGTGCAAGCGCACCCGCTTCCAGGGGACCCACCGTTGCCCCCACACTATCATCAGGCCCGGCGAGGACTCACCACCTTCTTATTTCGTATCCCCTTACCCTCCAGCTCGCCGGCTTCGATTAGCTTTGGGTCAGGCATTGCACGGGTGAAGTACGAGGCGAAGGCAAGTGTGCAGGTAGCGTGGAAAGGCGAGAAGACACTTGTGATCGACAAGAAGGAGCTTGACGTGGTGGAGAGTTTTGAACAGGATTTTGGGAGGTCTGAACCGGAAGGGGTAGTGGTAGGAGAGAATGGAAAGATATTCGTGCAAGGAAGGGTGGTCGGTGGCGTCCTGATATCAGGAGAAAGTGGTTGCGTAGAGCTTCAGGTGAAAAACCACTCCAGCAAGAAGGTCCGTTTACCTCAATCCTTTGTGTCGTCTCAGCTCAATTATTTGACAGAACACAGGGTTAACGATCACGCTTTCGAGACATCTGCTGTTGCTCGGCGCTGCTCCTGGTGAGAAGCCACCGTTGCAGCTCTCTGATACGCTCGCTGTGATACCGTACCGTGGTCAGGAATACATCATACCACCGGGCGCTGAAGGCGAGCCAGTCTTGTGTTTGACGTTCCCAAGTCCGCAAAGTCTGTCAAAGGAGGCTCAAGAGAGGACGACGATGGACGGACGTCCGAGGCCCTCTTCGAAGTCCGTTGCATCGTCGGGGTGAAGCTTAATATGGGCCTAGGAAGGTGTGACTCATACTCTAATACCGCAATGAATTTGCCTCAACCATTGGTCTAACAGTAAGGACATCAACCTAGACATTCCCGTTACTGTGGCGCACTCCGCTGCCCTACCTGCATTGCCTGATCCCACACCGTATCCCGGTAATCCATACACGTACACCCCCCCTGAGCAACCACCTTTCGTGCCGTCTAACGTGCCACCCCAAGCCCCCTACGTCGACCCTCACACACCTTATGGCTACCCAGTTCAGCTGCCCATGTCACCCCCCATTCCAGCTTACATCGAACAAGGTCATGTGTGGTTGCCTCCCCCCGCACCCCCGGCAAGTTACAACCAAGCTTACAATCACTACCCTCCTCCCTTTTACCCGGTTACTGGATCGGCTATGCCTCCTTATATGGTTGCCTCACCTGCTCCTCTCCACGTGCCATACGTCATTCCTACAAGGCCGTCCAGTGCTGGCGCACGAATGGCTTCACAGGTTGTCACCTCTGGTCTCCCCGTAACATCTGATCAGAATCCCGTCCTCCACCCGCTCGATAATAGCGCGGAACATTATGCTGGCCCTGAGGAAGGCAAGGGCGAACGAGCATCCAGGATTACTCAACATCTCAGGTTATCTTCGCGAAATCGTTCAGTTTCACCGACATCCCATCGTTTCCCCCTTCCACCATCTGCTATCGTCGAAAACATCATTCCCGAGGTGCCCCCGGTATCAGTACCAATTCCCCAACGGCAACCCCAGATGCAAACACTGGCTAACCTTCCTCCGCCGCCTGCTACTGATACACATGCGCCCTCACTTTCTCCACCCGACGTGTCCAAGGTCGTGTATTCTCCCCGACCTCTTCTCTCTCCAAAGCATTCATTTAGCATTGATCCAATTACAAAGAACTCGGTCAGTCGGAGCGAGAGGGTGGAGGCGTTGGAGAAGATGGCAGAAGCCGTGAATGAAGACCCTTCGTCGGACATTCCCAAGCTGGCTACGGCAGAACTAGACTCGCTTCACGCTCCTTCCTCTGATCTCAACGTTGCGAATAAAACTCTCCCAACGCCTCCGGCTCGTAGTTTGAAGAAGCACTCATTCTTCTCACCACTCTCCGCCTCTCGCCCACCTGTTGATCAATTATTCGTGGCTCCTGTGCCTGACACCCTTTCGCCTCCGGATCCAGTGCCATCTGAACAGACACCTCCCACCCCGACGCTGACTGCGGTGCATCCTAACGCACGCCCGAAGTCAAATCACGGCCTTCTCAGCTTGAGCGGGCCAAATGAGAGTGAGAGTGGACTGGACGCTTTGGAACGACGGCTCCTCGCTGCAGTGGGAACGCGGAAGATTGAATCCAACGCTAGACCTGATGTTCGGACGGTGCTACCCATTACCATTCCGCCGGCGAATACAAAGGCTGAGCCGCTGAATGATTCCGCAATATCTAGTCTGACGTTAGCTGATCACGGTGGGGATCTTGGAGGGGATCTCGGGTTAGATCACGACGATTGGGATGATAGGACACATAAAGCGGCTAAGTCGAGCCTTTCTGGTGATGATAGGGATAGGGACGGGGATACCAACAGGGGACCAGAGGGAGGTGCACGAGGTCGTGGTTCGGGATCAACCAAAGCGAAGAGCGATTCCGGCAGGACGAGGGATGGCGGAAAGAAGAAAGTCCGCAATACAGAATCAAATAAGAGGAAGGCAGCGAAGGGAAGGGTGGCAGCCTGGTTGGGCGCCATCGAACCTACTACACCCCCGGAGCAATCGCCCACAGACGGTACACCACTTGATGGCGACCAGAGCTCTGGGCCCTTTGATAGCGGCGAGGTGCTTGTCAAACAAGATGTTGCTCCTCCTGTTGCTATTACGAAGGAAGAGGCGACCGAAGGGAACGCACAGGAATCACAACCACCGGATGATGTATCTTCTGTGCCGAACCCACGGTCCTCAGGCTTCGTTCCGATCGGTACATTCAAGCGAGATACGTTCCGACGCTATGCTACAGGTCGCGGTGGCCCCGTCGTAAACCCAGCAGCCGAAGAAGCAGAGGGGATAGCTAACTTGTGGTCCAGCAAAGGGGACGACGCTCTGAAATCCAAGCCGTTCGCACTACGTGCAAATCCCCCTATGGCTATGCAGTCGATACGCACAGACAAAGACGTCTCCCCACCGTCAGCCTCTTCGGTGAAGGACGGTGTAACCATGAAGCACCGTCTAACAATCCATGCGCATTACCCCAACCCGCCCAGCCTTACATCAAGCAATTCAGCACACAGACTCCCGGTCTATCCTCCACAGCCTTTGGATCCGGAAGTCAAGTACGACGTCCGTTCTGCTAGAGGAGGTCGTGGCGGCAAAGTTACCGCTGTGGCGGCCATTTGGGCGGCTGGTGCCTTCAAGAAGGCCGATAGTCCACCACCTGATAAGCCAGTAGTCGCACCGAAGCCTAAGAAGGTTATTCCTCCTCCATTCGTCACCAAGAAGCCCGCTGCCCGTGCCCCTCCATTGATCGCCTCGAAACCTCCGTTGCTGCTCTCAGCCGCAAGGAAAAAGTCCCCATCCTCCGCTGCAAGTAGCGATGGGAGCACAGCGGCCGCGCGTACTGATTCCACAGTTGATAACAAGGCCAAGCACGTCACAAAGTCTTCGTCTGTCCCGGCAATGGTTTCGTCCTCTCTTGCCATACCCGTGCTATCGTCAACCGCGTCGCTCGCACGGCCTGTGACGAAAGCCAAGACCCCAATCAAGCCACCCCCGACCCTGTTCGAAACAAATGCCCCCCGGGTCAGCGCCCAACACCAGGGTCTTCCCGCTCGGGCTCCTTCAGGTACAAAGACCGACCTTGCGTTTGGTCAGGCGCGTCTTAGAGATTTAATCCGTAAATATCAAGGTCAGTCAACGTAATATATACGACATTACATGCCTTCCGCTCTTGGTGCATATGCATTGTTCGTTCTGGTTCCCATACCTCAATTATTTATATCCCTTAACACTTGCACACGTTTGTCTCCATCTTCTTGTTTCTCCTCTTGTTGTATCGTAAGGCCATCTTCGGAGACTGTAGTTACTCACACATACCACCTGACCGTTGTATCGATTTCACGCCTTGTAATGACAGTAATGCCAAATTTTATCTACTTTTGAACTCACTTCAGCTGAATAACACCGGGATGTATCCTGAGCTCATTACTCCTTGTCGAAATTACATACGTAGCATCCGGTAATGTGGCTTGTTGGTGGCGCGATCTCAGTAGGAAGTGACACGGAGGATTTAGACATTTGAGATAAGTCGCGAAACATTATTCATCGTAGGTACACACATTGTAGTCAAACATTGTCGTGAGGGATCAATTAAGCTCCGGAAGATACCACATTATACATTAGGCGATGTACATACAGGAAGAGGACATTACAAAGCGTTCGGGGGACATTAATGAGATACATTTACATTTATAACGGGATCCCGTGTAACAGTCTGTGCGAAATGGCGTCGATGATGAATCCGCCGAGGACTATTTGACCGATAGCAACAGTTCCCAAGAACAGACTTTTACAGTCCTCAGGGCGGTCAATGTCTGTTTGGAGGAGTCGATTTAATAGGAGGTACGAAGTGATGGCAATGGCGATATAGACCGGTGCGCCTTGACCGTTTAAGAAGGCGCCGTAGGAGAGGAGCCCAAAGAATCCGATGGCGGTAGCAGTGCATATGGGGATGGTGTAAGTCCCGCAGAAGAGAGCCGGTGAATTGATACCAATCTTGACATCATCAATCTTGTCCTGGAAAAAAACTTCGTATCAGTGGAAAAACACAGACAGTGTGGGATGGCAGCTGACTTGATGCTGATACACAGTTTCGTATGTGAAGGTCCACATGCAGGTACCGATATATATCGGAACCAGGATGTGCCAAGGTAACGAGCCGTTGATGCTCAGGTCGCCCCAACCCATGAATATCCCGACGTTAAACATTAGACCCTGCGATGGTGACCATGAGGTTGGATTTACAACCAATGAGCTGGAAGGTGCTTAGTACTCACCAAGGGGATAGGCGCCAGTCCCATCCAGCGCTATTTTGATTAGGCACATTGACAGGGACGGATTGAACACGAGAACTCACTTTACACGTCGGATAGATAATATACAGGGGCCATGCGAACATTGAAACGTGTAGGCTGGAATCGAATTCGGAGGCGTAAGAATTTCGAACCGCTGACAAATTAGAATGTGTGCATACGAAGTTGTACTCAGGAAGTAGAAGGCCGAACGAATGCCGATGACTGTCTGGATGGCAAAGAAGAGCCATGCACGTTGAAGCGAGATCGAACCGCGAGGAAGTGGTCGGCCTTTCGTTCGCTCCACCATTCCATCAATATCGTAGTCCAGGATGTCGTCAATAGTCATGATCTAGTAGCCACAGTATCTGTTAGTCACGGGCATGTCTGATCAACGGAGGTCAACCACTTACAAGGGATTTCACGCCGAAGCAAAGCGGTACGTAGATGGCAGCTCTCACAAGTGCGTCAACTATCGAAAGATGTTCTTGTGCATGATAGGCCATGGCTATCGACCACGCTATATTTGGAGAGAATCCATCAGCCCGATTTGCAAGGGAGCAGAAAAGGCAGACGTACCAGTTGGAATATAGACCACCCAAAAGCCGATGTTGTTGTGTAGCCGGCAGAGCTCCCAGCATGCCTGCACCTCCTCCTTGCTGGGCAGAGCAATGAAAGAGAGACCGGTGGTCTTGAATGTAGCGTTGTGAGAGGCCTCTGAACCGACGTCGACGACCATAGTGGAATGAACTGAAGGATCAGCAGTTTCAGAGAAACTCTTTATACCGGAATCATGATGCTAGGGTAGCTATTAGCAGCCACCGCCGATCGCATCCAGATACCCAAAGGAACCTTTCATGTGACCTTGTACTGAAAAGTCAACCTTGAACCAAGGATCCAGTACCCAGAGCTCCTCGAGGCATAATGATATCGTTAACCCCACGCCACGCTGAGCGCGCGACCTCATTATCTGCATTAAGGCAAACATCAGATCAGGCAACAACCCTTATTTGAACCCGATCCTTACGCCGAGGTATTTGTGAGTGCAGTACGCCAAATGTCAGTGGCAACCGTTTCTTCTGTTTGCGTGATTTTGATTGCTTCTCTGTTGGTCGCAGATGCACGCGACATGGTTAACTCCAAGGCCAAAAAACCGCACGGTCGATGAGTTTCAAGTTTTCGTTTGCACGTGATGGCTCTTATCCCAACATGCAACCACGACAATCCTGAACAGTCCTCCAAGTTTTCAGTTATCGGCTGCAAGACCAGGAACAATGTACATACTGTGGGTACTTCTCATCGATCTACTTATCAAAACTTACGGCACTCATTGTACATATCTAGGGCGACCCTGTAGGTTTTGCCGAGTAGATCGAATCAAAATCGGGCAGGCCTTGTTCCAATAGGCTGTATAGATCATGCTTGCGATTTGTGGCCCAAGCTCACGTTGAATACGGTTGAGAAACACTTGAAAGACAACAATATTGAATTAAGGAAGTTCCCTCTGCTGATGATACTTACGACGCTACGCGGACACTCCACGGCAATCCTATCCTCTCTGTGGGTGTCTGACCCTTCAAAGGCCACACTCACGTAAGGGGGTCCATGTAGGTCAATGCTGAAAAACATACAAGACCGTACCATGAGGTTTGAAATTTACCAAAATCAGTTAGAACTTTCAATCGCTAAGTTTCCAAAGAGCACCTGTTCCCCCGCGTACTCCTTGTTGCCTTTCGCCGCTACTCGCGACTCTGCATGGAATACTCTATAAGATGATATGTCGGCATCTTGCCATCCGGTTCCAGGAACTGCCTCATGGTCGTTCACAATTCGCTCGTTGATCGCCACCATCAAGGGCAATGCCTCTTCCGTTCCAAACCGCTGACCTTCCTGCTGTAGCTGCAGGCGCTCCTTAGGCAGCACTCACCCATTATCCGATTGCAGGCTACTCACAACTCCCCGCCCAGGCCCATAGCATAGCCGTGTAGCCCCATCGTCAGCTTCTGGCCTTCGCTTGGCAATACCCTTCACCTCGGAGCCCCGGTCCTCTCCCTGCTCGAATGCATCGTCATCTTAAAGGTGATTTGACGAATACCGATATGCCCTACAAGTCAGAGCAAATTACCACTCTATGAATCATCCCTGTAATGGGCTCTACCTCTACGATCAATTCATCTTCAAGTTATCGTCACCGTGATTACCCCGGGATCTCAATTACTCTTGACACAGTGTAAGATGAGATCTGCATAGAGTCTCATGGGGTAGATTGGGCACACGTGTGGAGTCAGAATGCACCACACATCAGCGTTCGACTTGCTAAGCAGATGAGTGATATCAGCAGCATCCTGTAATGGAAGAACCGCTGAGCGCTTGTTATGCAGACGCGGCAGCGGAAGTATTTGCGGCAAGGTTAGTCACCTTCGATTATGACATGTAGTGCCTGCGCCGCCCGATAACTGGGAGTCCGAGCTGGGAACATGGGTATCTTCTACGCACACACGTTGCCTTGTACCTATTCCGAACGCCTCCCAATATCGACCGAGCTTGATTATCATCCTCCTTGGGAGAAGATTTCACGCGAGTCGTCGCGGTGGTTGATAATGATGATATTCTGACAATCAAGGAGCCGAACCGTATCCACCTTCTTTTTCTTTCTGCAAGACGGACCGTACGATCTCTTCTTGCTTCGCAAGCCATATGCCGAAAGCCTTGCACTTGAGCCATCGCTCATAGAACTGTATCCGCTGCTTAGCCGATCGGAAGGGTAGCGGACATCCGTGGTCCTTCAGCGAGGCAAAGAACGCTGTGCGGGAGAATGGCTTGAGACGTGGTGCGGCGGCTGAAATGGATGTTCCGAGAGAAGACCTAGAAGACGCTGGCGATTGTGATTCTAGCGGCGTAACCAACGAAGCCATGGAGGGCGTGAATGTGGGCGTTTGGTGCGGACTTCCTCGCAGGCGAGAAGACGCTGCTAACTCTGCTGGGGATGGTATAAGGGTGTTCAGGTACCGCGTGAGTGGAAGCAATAATTCACGGGTACGTGCGTTGAAGTGCTGCGCAAGCAACAGCGTCGCTTCGACCTCTGTGGGCAAGTAAGTCAAGTCAAATGGAGTACAGGGACGTAGAAATACAAGCACATCCGTATGTTTTCGAGAGAAGTGTACTTACGTTCACGCTCGTTGCCACCTTTCCATGCATCTTCTAGCTTCTTTAGAAGCGATCGGTCCTTGGAAATATAACGCTTGTAGGAACGGCTCTTCCACCCATGCGATCCGAATCCCCCGTTAGCCGGGTCCGAGCCAGAGCCTATACCAAACATGAACCTTGCCTTCGATGAAGACGCTGGTGTTGACTTCAAGCCTGACTGAAAAGTGATGGGTGACCCAACAGAAGAGGGAGTGCCTATGGGGCTATCCACGATAGGCGTATTATGCCCCTGGGACCTACAGCAGTGGATTAACCGTCAACCATATCCCATTCGGACATCCCTTTCAATCATACCACTTACCCAATAACAGGGGTTTGACAGCCGAAGGCAGATCCTCTCAAACTGATGGCGCATCCCCAGTGCATGCATTGTTTCTCTAACCAAGGGTTTGTAACACCGAGAACCAGGCCTGCCTTGCCCGGACGCTTGGCGTTAATCAGCGCTGAACAGTCTGTGTCGTTTATAGTCATATAGGGACGGATGTCATGCGAATGGGAAAGAGGGAGCTACCGCCACCACCGGGATTCCATGATGTGATAGACAGGTTCAACGGTCAACCGAGCACGGCGGAAGAGCGGAAGCCGAGACTCACCCCTCTACCCAGCTCCACAATCCACCAAATAACACTACTGACCAGGGCAGGCGAGTCCCCGCAGACCAGGATAGGTTCACATAAGACGAGGTTTTCCCATATCGCCCACAAATTCGGGAGAAGGGAAGAGGCGGCGAATAGTGGAATGGCGTTTAGCAGATGGGGGATACAAGGAGTCTGTGAGCCGAGCGTGCCACCGTTTAATGCGGCCATAGAAGGGAGGTGGACTGGCGGCGCTGACGCTGGAATCTATTGGTTGTGCTCATAAGCCCGAAGAGCAACGAAGCTGAGCATTCACTGTGGCGGAGACGTACGTAGATACGCGACGATCCCTGAGCGGCGGCAGGGTTCGACCAGAAGAGTTGCTCATCGACACCATGCGGAACATCAACATTGATTTCGGTATCGAGAAACGTCAGAACGACGCTTTCACCGGGGATATGATCAGGCCTGTAGCAGCGCAACAGATTACTAAGGATTTCTTTCCCGAGAGCCTACATACCAGTTTTCCCAGTTCGAGAACGCGTGTTTCAGCGCTCCGATGTCCGTTGATCCAGCGCCGCCGCCGCCGTCTCGGGAGTGTGTAGGCCCTAGGAGAGATAGTACGAGGGAAAACAAAGCAGGGTAGCTATGAAGGGTGAGAAGCACAAGGGCTTGCTGATAGTCCGAGGAGCATCGATCAGTTTGCTACGCCATCGAAGACGAGCGCACGATACGTACACACCTGCCTGTATCCCCTCCTACTGCTCGGGTCCTTGCATTGAGTAAAATAAGAGAATCCGTTGATGAATAGTGGCTGCGAAGTTGGGTAGTCTGGTATAATTGCTGAGCTGGGTATCGTCATGGGGGTAGATAAAGACGAAGTAGAAGAAGATAGAATTCGAGGGGATGAGGTCGGGGTTGAGTACGTTGAGTGCGTGAGGCGAAGCCGGAAACTATGCATCTGACTTCCTTCCTCAAACTGAGGAGAATCGGGAAAAGATGAAAAGGCTCTGAACGAGGACTGCTGTATCAACGTTGAGGCGTGAAGGGAAAAGAACCATACATATTAGATACATCCGATGTGGTCAAAGCCATCGACGGATAGACAGCACACACCACTGGTCCTTGATCGATGTCGAAATCCACTTGGTCCCATTGATGAGCCGAAACTAAGAGAAGGACGAGAGAATACTTACCTACTGCAATTCCAGTAACCCACCGCTGTACTCTGTTCACCGCAGCAGAATCAAGACCAATTGGAAGCACGTTCAGCTTCGGAAAACCAGGTTGGGGATCGTGCCCGTGTTCGATTTCGCTGATATCTGCGGTAGATCGTTCGGATACGCGACGAGGCAGTGAAATAGAACGCGACAAGGATGCAGGAAGGGATGGCCCTGATATCTTGAGACCTTGAGGGCGCGTCATATCAGGACTCGGTGTCCTGCGTGTCGAGACGTTGGGAGAGGAAGCGTGTGCTGGTGTCAAGCTCGTTGTACGCGGCGTCTTGCCGTTCTGAAACCCGACAAAAGTCCTGCTACTGCTCGGGATGCTCGCCGACGACAACAGAGCATCGCCAATATCCCTTTCCTCGTCTTGAACATCAAGATTTAGGGATGCCGGTCTGCTAGGCATGTCTCGAAGAGGTAACGCTATTTGGCGCCCATTGGCTTTTTCACTCGTGCAAAACATGTTGTGCTGGATTGGCCTTGTTCACTTGCTCACTCCCAAACCCCCTGCACATAGAAGATAATTCATTAATCGATGAAACCGGGTAATGGTTTGAGTAGCGAGTTATCAATTTATTCGCGAATTTAACTAATTTCACAGACGACGACGGGGTACTTGGCCAGAAGAGATGTTTTCGATTACTTCTCTATCCAATCGACGCCCAATGCATCTTCTTTGCAACGGCCTCCGTCTTAGACCCGGAGCGCTTCCAGCTTTGCACCGGGGCCTCCCCCATCTCAGATTCTCGTTACGCCTACAGTCTGCCGGTCTACTACATAGACTCGACCGCCAGTCTACCCTAGAAGACCCTCGCCCTCACGGTTCACCTCACCGACCTCACCGACCACTCAAATAACACGCGCACCCTTTCATATCTTTCTGACATGCACTCGTGGACTAACTAGTTTCCTGGAGATTCGGACGACGAGCAAGAGGGTAGATTGTCCCCTTCATGTAGCTTCTACATGGCCGTGTGTTACCTGGTGTGCTTCCTCTTAGCTCTGGCCTGCGGCTTCACTATTTTCGAAAGCATCCAGTAGCCGTATCAGAGTATTACACCTCTCAACATACCAGACGCCGTAGCAAGATGTTGACGGCTTTGGGTTTGTCCTGGCCGAGGCTCTTGTATACTGATCAATAAACAACAGTGTCTTACCTGCTGATATACAAGCGTAGCTCTTGAGCTGTTTGATTTTGATCCCTAGTTATCGCGAATCTACACAGCCTCACAGCGTCAGCCATTTGGTAGAATGTAGACGCGGGTGCATTATACCTCGTCTTCTAATTATGGTCACAGCTGTCGCCAGTTATACGGCGTTAATCTAGTTCATACGCTGCTCTCACACTGCGCTGCCCCACAGTCATCATCGACAACATCCAAGTGGCACTTAACCATGGGTCCTGTGTACTTAGTGACGGGGCCTCACTCGATGTATTCAAGAGGAAGAGGATACCCGATGCGGACATTTGCCTCATGGAAATCCTTACAAGAGAGGGAGGAGGAGGAACAATTAGTGGAAAAGAAAAGGAAAAAACGGGAAAACGCAGAAAAGAGGCGAGAGAGAGAAGAGAAAAGACAGAGGAAAGGGGAAAAGAAGCAGAAAAGAAGAGAGGAACAAATGACAGCGACAGAGGCTCCGGATTCTGACGAAGGTGAGGAAGGAGGGAGGGAGAATAACGGTCGCTCGTCATTGCAGGATCTTACAGATCATATACAACGACAAGGGCAATATCCTGCGGCCGAAGGTGGTTTTGCTGATATATGGTCATGTCTCTTGAACAGTTCCCAGAGTCAAACAATGGGGCAAGTTGTGAGTGAAATCAGTGAAATAAGCGGCATTCAAGTCTGACCACCCGGCTATAGGTTGCTGTCAAAGTCCTTCGCATGGCTCGTCTTGTCGACGACAATGAGTTGAAGGGTCTCAAGGTTAGGACTCATATCTCAACACTAACTGCGGTCTCAATAAATATAGGGATCACAACGGGAATTGGCGATCTGGTACACATTATCCGATCACCCACGAGTGTTACCCCTCCTTGGCTTTTCTCTAGACTTTGGTCGTTATCCATCCATGGTATGCCCATGGATGGAGAATGGAACCCTGCATAATTATCTCAACGGTGCAGGCAAGTCATGGAGGCTAGCTGACCGATATCACATCGTGAGTTTGATCATTCAGGAATAGTTGACTCCAATTGCTAACGGACTACTGCATACAGCTCCGCCAGATTTGTTCAGGACTCGCTTACGGTAGGTGTCACTTTTCACATCACAGTGAACCCACGCTGATGCGCTCGTATAGTACACTCCCGCTCAATAGTGCACGGCGATTTGTCATGTGTATGTATATTCTTCCATTCACTTACGACACCGTACCGATTTCGATTTCATCCAGTCCAACATCCTCATTGATGATAATGGGGATGCACGTTTGAGCGACTTTGGTCTCTCCGCCTTTGTTCCCCTCGCCCAAGCCTCATCACCTACAAGCAGTCCTGACGACATCTTCTCCGTCAAGCCAGCTCTGAAGTTTGAGGTATCCCTTGACGCTGAAACCACAGTGTCTCGCTCCGAATCTTCGGAAATAAAAGGAAATCCTTGCTTCATGGCTCCCGAACTCTATCACCTCGGCAATGATAGTACTCACCGCAAAACATTTTCCAGCGACATATATGCTTTCGGCGGTGTTATTCTTCAGGTACTTATGCTTCCTCTCTGCCTTCCTATTGATTCAATTCATGCTGCTACTTAGACGCTGACTGGAACAATGCCCCATCACGATCTCAGACATCCTGCGCAGATAGTGCATCGCCTAGACCGCGGTGAACCCCCTTTTCAACGCGAAGACTCAATGATTCTCACAGATGACCAATGGATGCTCCTGTGCGCGTGCTGGGAAACACAGCCGTTCAACCGACCCTCCTTATTAGCGATTATGCAGAACCTGCAGAATCCGGAGATTAGAAACTATGCCTCCAAGTTTCCCGTGCTACCTCATTGAACGGACATTGTCCTTGGCCCAGCCGTGACTATAGCAAGTGGAATCGTGGAGACGTGGTCGCCAGCAAAGATAGATAAAGGGAATGCCGTACGTTCAAAAGCTCCAGCTATCGTGTCTTCAACTTCAACCTCTAAACTTACTCGCGGTCCCTTTAGTGCGTTGTCAAAGTCTTTTGTCGCTTACCAGAAACACATAGGGATGCCACTCTCAAGGTTTGAAATCCCATCACTCTGTCATCAATCTAGGCATCAATTTAACTCCTAGGCGATCCGAAATATTGGGGGAGGGCAACACCAGAATATACACCCTTACCTCGCCACCACAGAAGTGGGTGGTATGTTGGGCGTTGTAACAACCCCCATGTCTAGTTGCTTGCTCTCCTATCTGAAAACATCGCGAGCAGGCCTGGTGTCCCAAAGGTTAGCTCATGTGCGTAATCTGTATGGTCATGTAATTCGTAACAACTAATTCACACCCCATCTAGCTTCGGGACATAGCTAGCGGCCTGTCTCATTGTAAGTGCTCGTAGTGACACTGCCTATCCTGTGTCACTGCTCGTCCGTTAACCCAATGCATAACAGTCCATTCTACATATGTCTATTGTACATGGGGGACTTACAGGAGTACGTGCTATCTTCTGAAGATGCATCATCCATTTACCTGTTATCCAAGGAGTCCATCTGTATTGACAAAGCTGGGAACATCAAATTGTGCAACTCTGAGTTAGCTCCGCTTCTCTACCGATATGCTACACAGTCAGATCTTCGGGAAGTGTACGTCAAGAATTTCCGATGGGCCGACCCTTGTCTCTGGTACTACCTATTCATCAATCAACTGCACAATTGGAGACATGTAGAGACATTCGGTACTGACATATATGCATTCGGTTGCGTCACATATCAGGTAATTTCCCTAATCACTGGCGGGAAAATCATGTCCAGTACAAGTTGAAGACATTTTGACAGATGGTTTCCAACGAAGTTCCATTTGCCCTTGTGGCATCCAACGAGCGCGAGCTTTGGTATGCTACAGTTCAATCAGCACCAGAACATTTCTGACCACGAAAGTCTTCAATGGTTTCTGCAAATATATGGAAGTTGATGGAAAGCTGCTGGCACGCGGACCACGATTTCCGGCCAACAGCAGACCAAGTCATAATTCAACTCAGTCAACTTGGAGATTCAGATATCCATTTTCAAATCCACGGCCGTAGGTACTTGGACTTGTTCAATTTAAACAAGTACTCAACCAACGATAATACGTAGGGAGGTCCTCGACTCAAGGAGTATCAAAGAACTTGAAAGCTCATATGTAATCTATCACCACCAGATTTGTGATTGTTACACTGTACTCAGGTTGTGACTGCCTTTATGCATTGTCAAATATACTGAAAACAGCTGTGGACAACATTTGGCAGGAGTAAAGACCCTCATCGTACCGCCGTGCCATGAAGACTCGGAATGTCAACGGTATATCCAATACCCATCTGAACTGTCTGCAGGATTACTCTTCAGGATTCAGTGAGTGCTTGAATACAGCAACGGTACTACACAATGTGCAGAATGAGCTTCAGGGGGACATAGACGTGTTCTGAACTTCAGTAAATCTTGTCTTATATTGGACATCGGTAAATACTGTTAGGTGAAATGTGCCATGCAGGAGGAGCACTGACGGCTGTGGGCTTGTAGATCAGCCTCTATAGAGTATAACAATGATACTAGCACTAGTAGAAGAGAGTACTAAACTTTAAGGCTGGAGTGCTAGACCTGGTGATTAAGTTGGTACTATTATTGGGCTGAATACTTCGCTTGAGCTGACTTGTACAATTTCAGGACCTTTTCAAGCAGATATATCTGTGCGCACCAGAGTCCTACTCTGGAGTACCCCAAAATGTGATGGTGGCAAGATGAGCTATAGTTGTGTCACTGGATGATGTTGATTGCACTTCGCATCTCTACTGCCACTTATTCCACTACCACACACAAGGCAACTCAAACCACAGGAAGATACTGTTTACGAACAATGCTGACGTTGCTCAAGTTACCACCCAAGCTCTTGCTAAACGTCGCTGGTTATTTGACCAAGCCATCGGATTGCCTGGCGCTGTCCCTAACTTGCTGCAAACTTCAAGTCACCGGAGAACAACAGCTCTACTCCAATGTAACACTTCGCTCAAAGCACGATGCGGCTGCAGATAACTGGGTAGAGATGTTATACCATTGCTTAACCTTGTTCGAACCGAGATGCGAGTGGGTTCACAGTCTCTCCGTCACTCTTGTGCATCCCCCCACACCAAGGGAGCTTGAGAGACTTACTGCTATAATGCACCTGCTCTCTTGTCTGGACAATCTCAAGCTTGAGTACTCCTCTACCGCGCGCAATCTCAAGCTTGAGTACTCCTCTACCGCGCGCAATGTCAAAGCAATTGACCTCCGACCTCTCCTCAAAGTCTGTTCCATGTCACCGGAATCTTCGCTCCGTCGCTTCGTATGGCGCAACCTTGATACTCTCAATGAAACTTTTGTGTCCTTCCTTTGCTTCCACCGCAGCCTACAGCACCTGGAATTCAACTTCGAGATACCAAAAATAGGCATCAAGATATTGCCTAATATAGAAGTCCTTCGCATGCCTATTGCGACTGTCCTCCAGCTGCTTCCTGGCAGACAAATTCAGTGTGTCAAGACGGCCATCAGTGATAACACACCCCTCACATGGATGGGTATGAGTTTCCTGGATATGGAGAAGATTCAAATTTTCTCTTCAACTGTCTTTGGAGGCGACGAGGGTGTAGAAATACACGAATCCCTTGTTCAACAGTTGGGTTGCCTTGAGTTCCTCGAAATACTGTTAAGAGCCACACTCATGGGGGCTCAGGATACACGCACCCACGGGACCACAGTTCCATGTAGAGGCGCGGAGGGGAACGAGGGGAGCAAGGACATACAGGCTTGGCTTCAGCTACTGGCTGCGCCTCCCACACTCTTGCGTGCCCTGTATTTCCAGAGGGAGTCCTATGCGGGTACCGAGGGTATGGGCGGAGGCGAGGGGATGCGATGGGGGGACCTCAATAGAGAGGCGAGGGTGCAAGTGCGGAAAGGAACTAATATTCAAACTAAGGTAAGTGTATGTACAGTACAGGAATATATACTGGGGAATACACGGCGTCTGCACGTTCACAAAACAGCAATGAGTTTGGTAGGAATAAGTACAGCATGCTTGAATATGTACAAGTCCATAGTCCGTGACATGTCCGTGTAGCTGCGTGTGTGCGCGGCCCGGGTCCGTGGCCGGAAATGCCCGTTGTAGCCCTAAGGGGCCTCCTGGATGCGCCTATAACAAATACAGGCAGGTGCCTCGTTCCCAGTTATGATACGAGGAACCTGACAATAAGGCACCCTTTACTATAGGATGAAACGGTGATTACAAGCATGACACTGTATTTCACGAACATCAAATTTCTCCAGCTGCGTAAACTACGGGGATCCTTTTCCCTCTGGCAATTTTTCACCGTTGTTCCAACGCTAGAGTGCATTGAGATTCAGCCCAACTCAAAGCTGCCAATCGGTTGAGTCTCTGCAAGGTGGTATCGAGGGGAGACGACCGCGTGTCGTCTTGTGGAACTGTAAGCGCAACGAGGAATGGCTCCACGACTGGAAGATGGTTGTGGAACATGAATATTCGGCTGGCTGTAGATAAAGCTTTATGCACTGTCCGTGCTTCTACTCGTAGCACTAAGATGGCGAGTTAAATATGAGAAACTGTTCTGGGCTCATGTGCGACAATGTGGACATGGATGCGAGCTCCTCACTACCAGCGACTGGATCGAAGCCCTCCTCCCAGTCTTGCCACCATTGGGGCGGCAGGAAGTCTCGGGCTTGTAGTCTGACTGGCGTTGTTGTTCCAAAGAAGAAGTTGTACTTAGGAAAGAAGTTAGAGGTCGAGTCTGTGACATACCCGGTATCTAAGCTGATGCAGCAGAGGCTTGGCATAGCTACAAATGCGATTGCGACCCCTTCACTCAAAGTGTTCTGGGCACGACCATCATGATGCTATGGGTCAGTGAACTGTAGGTGCCGACACTTCGTTATTCCTACAGTGACTCAAAAAACCCTTTCTATGTTGGTCACTTTTGCACAAAACACTAAATAACGGGGGAACTACTGAAAATGGTAGCTCAGAGTCAGTGTAGCGTTTGTAGTGCCCCTTCTCAGCTAAGTGACAAATCTTGATTCAAGTCAATCGGATAAGTCTAGAATATTCTACAGAATTTCTAATCAAGGAATGCATTGAAAGGGTTTTTTGAGTGTACTATCTAATACTTGGTATTCCCCCCTTTGGCCTTGATAACGGCCTCAATCCTCTTGAGAAGGCTTGATATAAGGTTCTGGCATACCTCCACATCAATCCCATCCCATACCTCTGCAACCCTCTCCCATAATTCATGTACTCCTCTAGATGGTGTACTGTAGGTGTTGAGTTGGCGTTTGATGTGCTCCCAGAGGTGTTCAATGGGATTAATATCAGGAGACTGGGCAGGCCAGTCCATGACCACAATCCCTTGATCCTCAAACCACTTCTGTGCCAATTTTGAGGTGTGCTTGGGGTTGTTATCCTGCTGAAAGATCACATCCTCTGCAGGAATGTTGCACTCCTCAATGGTGGGAAGGAGACCATCAGCTAGAATGTCCACATATTGCTGGGCATCCATCCTCCCCTCAACCTCAGCCATTCTCCCCACCCCATTCCATTCCATCACCCCCCAGACCATAATATTTCCACCCCCATGCTTGACAGTTCCTTCAACCTCCCGATCCTGCAAAGGTGCCCCCTTCTGTTTCCACACCCATTTCCTACCATCTGACCCAAATCTGTTGATTTTAGTTTCATCTGACCACAATACCATCTTGAAGTCCTTCACTGTCCAATCCCTGTACTTCAAAGCCCAAGCAAGACATGCTTTCTGATGTTTGACCGATAGAAAGGGTTTTTTCTTCTTCACCACAGCCTTCATATTGTTTTTCTTGAGGACATTGCACACAGTTTGTGTGGAGACAGGGTAACTGAGAACTTTGTTCAAGTTTCTGGTGACCTGAACAGCATTCTCAGCTTTTCCAGAGTTGATTTGGCTGATGATTGCCTTCTCATCAGCCATAGTGAGCTTCTTAGGACGTCCACCCACCAGGTTTTCCTTGTTAGGGATTACCTGGCGAGCTACCCTAGAGACAGTAGCTGCACTACAACCCAACTTGAGAGCAATCTTGGCCTGAGAATGGCTGGTATTAAGAAGGGCAGAGGTGATATCGGTGCAAAGGGAGTTGGGAATGGACTTCATTGTTGTAGGGAAGATGAACAACTGACAAAGCTTATATATAGTGCAGGTTGTGCCTGGATAACTAGTAGATGACATCATATGTGTCATCCTGACGATACTGAGACTTTATGATGAGTAATAGCCAGGAAAAAGGCATTCAGAAACCACACTCAAAAAACCCTTTCAATGCATTCCTTGATTAGAAATTCTGTAGAATATTCTAGACTTATCCGATTGACTTGACTCAAGATTTGTCACTTAGCTGAGAAGGGGCACTACAAACGCTACACTGACTCTGAGCTACCATTTTCAGTAGTTCCCCTGTTATTTAGTGTTTTGTGCAAAAGTGACCAACATAGAAAGGGTTTTTTGAGTCACTGTATCTCGGGGCTTTGGCACAACATCATTACTGTAGGCGCCTTGGGCTAAATGACAGTGCATTCAATGTCTGAAATTTCAAACCGCTCACATACAGAGGGGACAATTGTAAGCTCTCAAAGTTAGGCATGAAGTGAGGGACGTGGTGAAACATTCAAACTGAATGCATTCCAAGACGCAAACCACTACACTGCAAAGTGCATCTGTGTCCAACACTTGCCAAGTGGAATAGCTGACATCCGCGGCGGAGTCTATTTTCAAGTGTGTGATGTGCCTCTGTAAGGGGACACTCCTATTTTCTCTCCTTTCCTTCATTCCATGGACTCTTACCTACATTCCCTTCATTCCCCTTCGTTCCTTTTCGCTCCCTTTCCTTTCCACTTCCTTTCCACCCACTCCTTTCGCATCCGAGCCGCGTCCGGTGACTCCGGAGTCTTCCCGCACTCCGGACACTTCGGACTCGCTCGGACTCGTCTCGGACACTTCGGACTCGCTCGGACTCATCTATACTCTTCGGGGCTCGTCCGGGTTACCTCTATCCTTTTCCCCCACTTCATTACTCTTCGCCCTTACTTCCCCAAGTCGCTGGCACGACTCCTGTGCATTTACCCTCCACTTCATTATCACATGTTTCCTTGTACCTTGTGGTATTTGTTCGGACTTGTGGCTGGTGTACTGTACAGTTATCCTGCATTCCTCTCACGCTACTACAGTATATACTTCGCTTCCTAGCATGGAGAATCCTTATCCTGTTCTCTTTGGATTCTCCCTCTGCTAGGTGAGCAGCCCTCTCATGTATTGTAGTTAGCCTTATTCATTATCTTTGGATTCTCCCTCTGCTAGGCCTGCGCTGTCGGCCATCTTGAGGTTGCCCTTACAGCCTCCCAATGAAGAAGCTCAGTGCCATCCAGATAGAAATGTGGAGCACCCTGAGGCAATCTAAGCTACTTCGGCGAATTCCAATAGGTTGCGCGCTGCTTCGCACGGAAGGTATGTGGAGATTTGGGATAAATAATTGTTCTAGCAAGGGTTGATCATCGATGAATTGGGAGGATTTTTCAGCATCCAGTGACAGACCGTAGGAAAGCCACGAGAGGCATCTAAGAAAAAATGGGGTGGGAGAGAATTTGACAAGATTGTGGAGGTCTACTGTGGGCACAATGGTCTCAAGTCCATCTTCATCAATGCATAGATGCTGCAAGAATGGAAGGTGCTGAAGCATTGGCCTGAAGACAGGCCGGTAGAACCAAGGCTAAAAGGCCTGGGCGGGTAAAGCAAGCTGTTGCACATGAAGTCCGCAGCGTCCTCCAGTAGCCGCGGTTATTGTATACAGAAAACACATTCCCTTGGTAGGAGGAACTTGTCCCGGCATGAAAGGAAGGATACCCTGGCATAGAAGATGGGTTCAACAATTAGGTGAAACTGGTGGGAGACGAATAGTAGTGTATGGAGGGTGCGACGGTCTGAGACTTTGATCAGTGCAATCACCAGCCGAACGAGTTCCACAGGCAGTGGCGGCATCCTGGTGGAATTCACAAAGAACAAAGACAAAGTCTAAGTTAAATTTCTTTAGGTTTGCTCAGCCTCTTCGCTGCTTGTACTCACTCACGAGACCAGATTACGGTAGATTCAACGCTGATTTTCCAAGAATTTAGGTACAGTTGAGGACAGTCAAACACCGCTAAAAAATGAGAGTATTTAATTCACCCCCGGACTTGCGTGGGATGTGTAGCAGCTTGGAAATGTGTTAGAATGATACCGGGCTCAAGAGAATCTGACGAGCTGTTCTTCCTAAATAAGCCAATTAATGAAAAAGTAGCGCAAAATTTTGGCGCAAGTCAAAAACAATTGATAAAATCACAGAAAAATCGCCAAACACTTCCTTTCAATTAGTAGATCATGGATCCGAAAGATTGTAAGGATCCATTGAGCCATTGTTGAGGGAAAAAATGTTTAAGTTTGTGATTCATGGTGTCGGAGATACATGATAAACTGATAATTGTGTGCTGCGCCACAATGTACAGCCCGTTCCTTTGAATAACATGAAGCGACGGGGCCGCCCACCGAAATGAGTGAAGCAGAATATCATTGGCCTTTGAAACCAGTCTGACTCTGCGTCGGTGTCACCCAGTCCCGCAGCATCTGATCAGGAAGGCCGGAAAATTATTCCTGAGCTCGTATCGGAATCCGATGGCCTCCAGGTCATTTTTGATAGTGTTAGGGTGAGCTGGGAGCAGGAGGACGATGCATGGGACCAGTCAGACATTGATGAAGAAACTGAACTTGATAGGATGGCTGATGAGGAACTGGCAAGGAAATTAGCAGATATGGCAGAGGAAGCTGATGCTGCTGATGGGGAGTGGCTGCCACCGCGGTTAAGACAGCCAGTAAGGACAGCGAAAGGTGCGAGAAGATTAAAATGTGTAGAGATCTCATTTATTCACCATTGTATTTTGAGCAGAGCGTCCTCACGAGTACGTTACAGGCCCTGATGTCTCGCG